AGCAGTTTATTCGCTGGTACTACCCACGGGACCACATTATTGCCCAACTGTCACGCCGGGACTTATTGGATAATTTGGGCCACGGAAAGCTTAAAATTTGGAAAATCTCGAAAACTGAGCATAGCAAATTCAGCACGGAAAAGTATCCGTGAAACACAAATGAAGGTTATTTTTTTTCTATTTGACCCACTGGAGCTCAAGTTTCCAAGCTGGAAATTTTCCTTCGGATTTAGTTTTCTTTGTTTCCAAAGACCAAAAATTAGCTTTTTGAGTATGGAGGTCAACTTCCAACAAACTGACTTCATTTCGAAGCTTTCAATCTTCTTTCTTCTAGTCACGTTATTTGGAAATCAAAATGAAAGAAAGAATGAACTTTGCCCACTTCGGAGTGAGAATTTCCCCCGGACTGACGGAATTTGGAGTGGACTTTTGTTGTGCAAGTACAAATATATTAAATGGAACGGACGTCGAAAATTGGTTTCTCACACGGAGATATTCAAAAACGAGAGTAAAAAAAACAAGAGTCGGAATACTGCAAAGCGAGGGGAACTTTTTGCAATATTCATGAAGCAAAAGTGAGCGGCTTGCAGCTTTTTTCGATTCTGAAGAAGGATTAAAAACGTTCTGCTTCTGTCTAGTACAGCTGGAGGAAGTTTTCAAGGCGGAATGGTGAATTATTTTGATTTAACACACAAGTTTTGGGAAGCAACATGAATCTGAAAACCAGGCCTTTCAACTAAGTATGGGATGGTGCGTGTCAAAAAGGTTTTTGCAACAGAACACCCTTTTAAATCTATTTCTGAGAAAATTGCTGCGACTTCATTAAACTTAACTCATCAGAAGCTGTTTAGAAGTTCAAAGGAGCATTATCTGAAAAATGGGTAATCGAACGAGCAGCATAATAGTGTACAAAAGAGAATTCGAGTAAGATCTATTTCATGTGAAAATGAACAGTGGCTTGATATCATTACATTTATTAGCAGGCTGTCACAAAATTTTGAAAAAGTATTCGTTTATCGAAAAAGAAATGTATGCAAGGAAGAGCAAGGCAGCGATAAAAAGTTGGAGATTTTAGAAGAGTTTAGGCTTCTTTTTGTGGGGAAATTCACGGTGAATTAAAGATAGTTCATTCATAAAAAGTTGACGAAAGATAAAGGAAAATTGAACTATTTAAGAAATAGGCTCCGCAATGGCAGAAAAACAGATTTGCGTCGGAAAATGAATAGTTTTCACTTTTGGAAGTTGTTTGGCCAATTGGAGGGAAATAAATGGATGAGAAAAATCCAATTCTTCTTCTTTTTTATTCTCATTTTTATTCCTCGTCTCTCTTCTGAAATATCTCAACTTTTTCAATTGTCAGACTATTTCGTTGCGAAAATGAGTTTCAAAAGTTTTTATAAAAAGAAAGATTCAATGAGAAAAGTTTTTGGAAAAACTGCAGAAAATGAGAATCCGGGCAGAATAAACAGAAAATCTAAAGTCCGTAGGAGGACGCTATATATATTGCTTTTCCACTAAGTTCAAGTTCAACAATCTCGAGTTATGACTCAAAAACTGCGAAAATCGTCATTTTTCAAAAACTTGAATTTTTTTCTTCTGAAAGAAAATTTTTTTGGGTCAGTTCTATAACTATAAATGTTCATATGGGAACATACTTTGTTCTGAAATTGGTTTGGACCAATTTGCTCCACTAGGAAAAAAGTTTGGTTTTTACGGTGTTTTTTCTACAGTAAGCCTGAAAGTGGGCGGAGCCTAACATAACCTGGTTCTAAATATTCAAGAGCTTGTTCACTATATACGATAGCAAAGAAAGCTCTCAGGAACAAAGATGAAATTTGTGTACCAACGATTGTTCGAAAATCTCGGAGAACGTCTGGGGAGCGTTAACAAGTGTTAGTTTGCTTCCAAAGTTCAAGCCATTTCAAATGCGGTCCTGACGAAGCCAGGGTAAAAAAAAAGGCTTTTAGAATGGAAAAAAAGCCTTTTTTTTATCCAATTAGTGAGAATAGAACTTCTTTATTAATAAGAGATAAGTTTTAAAAAGTTATTTTATTGACTGCAAAAACTTATAAGGAAAGTTTTTGTGCAAAATACAAAAAGTCGATGCTTAAGAAAAGTAAAACCAATGGGAAGATGACTGTTTGACATGGATGATAACGATAATCGCCAAAATTATCAACAGTATGATGGTCGGATGATGATTTTCAGAGCACACTGACGTCAATCGGTCTTTTTAGTGAACCTTATCATCATCATCGTCCGTCTCGGGACCTTTATTTAAAGGTCCCGATAAGAAATGAACAAGCAAAGAAGTTCCCGTTTCAAGTATCTTCGATTTTTGTTTTTGATTTGTGCTTCAATTATTTTGCTATTTCGTTTATGACAATAATTGATTTTTATTGAGTCACAGTTGAACAGTTGAAAACAAGAATTATTTGAAATTAAGTTCTTCGTTTGATTCAAGATTTATCGCGGAACCTCTTTTTTTTATGTATCACCTAATAATTGATATTTTCAAATGATATATTTATAATTTGGTAATTTCCTTCATTAAAACTACTTTTCGAAACTTGATATCATTTTTGAATACCGTTTTTCTAAATGAAAACATTAAGTCTTATTAAAAATAAAATAAGTTTTTGTTTTCAGATAATTTGAGAAGTTTTCCGAAAAATAGTCTCTGTAGATTCTGAAAAATCCTTTTTTTCAATAGTTCATCAAGTATTGACTTTTTCTTTTGGATTTATCAAAAAGATGCGCCAAAAAGCGATCGTTCTCGCTTCGAATACGATTTGTCACTACACATTTTGGCACGATTTTTACGACACGATGCCGTTTATTTGCCAAATCGTGCATTTCGCCTTGGCAAGTCCAAAAAAAAGATAACAGAGAATAGAAATTTTATCGAGCATTCGTCATTTCCTTTTCTCAAAATGCCGTAGAGCCACGTTACGCTAAGACTTATTTATTTTTTAATAAAATTTTTTCTGGAATCTTTTTTTTTGTGAAGGGGGGGGGGGCAGCTGGAGTCTTTTTTCAGTGTTTCCATGACAATTTGGATCTGCCTCCTCTTTACGAGCCTTCCTTTGAAACTAGGCCACAAAAGAGTGTGTAAACTTGCTCTTTTCCGTTTCATGTTTTCTCATAGAATGTTGCATTTTTCTTTTGCAAAAGTTGAACAATAACCTTGAAAAAATTCTAGTAAACTTAATTAGAAAGATTAATTGAAAACTTGATTTTATTGAAGTTCCTGAGAACATTTTGGGTTCTCGCGAGAAGCATACGGTATTTTTTTTTGACGCATTGAACTCGATGCATTAGGAATAACGCGCAAAAATTGAAATTTTTCGTTGTTAATTTTTTTTAAAAGTTTTTTTTAGAGAACTCTCGATCATGACTGTTTGACCGTTTCTTAGTTTCGATTTCATTTTTGGATATTATGAAACTACAAATGACCGCTTTTTTGGTCAATCTTAAATAGATATTGAAAAATTTTTTTGAATTTCTGACATTAAAAAAACTTCTTTTTAGATATTTTGGGTGTTTTAAGGGATCTCATATAATATTATAGTTTTTTTAAAAAAAGAATGGGGTTATTTCCCCTTTGTTTTCCACATGCCAGATTATGTAAAATGTTTCAAAGTGCCACCTTCTCTTTTTGCTTTTTTTCCCAGACTTGCAAATATTTTTTTAAACATAATTTCTGTTATTCTTGTTTTTTTCCGTGAAGTTACATTTTATCAAATAATCTTGCTGATATTTTTCAAACCGGATGAATATTTTTTGAATGAGAAATTTCGAAAAAAAAATTTAAGGATTCGAAATTTTTTGTGCGTATTTTAGGGTTTTGAAGAAATTCAGGTTTCTGAAGAGAGATTGAAAAAAAGGAGTGTTAAGAAATAAATCTAACTAACTAGTAAGATAGAAAGAAATTTATCTTCGAAATGAGCAAGAATGAGTCATTCGATTCCAAAAAATCGTCCAAAATTTCGTCATTCCCCAGAAAGAACACCTTTCTACTGTTCGCAACACGCTCAGTTTCTCTATTGAACCAATAAAAACTCGAAAATTTTGTTTACTCGAACTGTCGATCCTTCTAAATGACTCATTTTGCCGTCGGAGCGCCTTTGCACTCGTCGCCTCCTTTTCAGCCCTGGACTCTCTTTCTATCTCGCTGGTGGTTGCCCTTCGCCACCCGGCTGTCTACTTTTTTGTTGTGTGTTTGTGTGAAACGCTTTTTTTGAAACGTGTTTTTCTCGAAGATTAGCTCTTTTTTCATGCCTTGCGGGGTAACTTTTTTATGTAAGTTTATAGGCAAAACTTCGAAAAACCACTTTGTTTTTGTGTTTTTTTCTTCTTTTCGTGATAAAATTCTGTGCCCATTCGCATTGTTTTTTAAAGTAACCCACTCGGTTTATCGGAAATTTTTTTGTTGCAAGTCTTGATTTTTGTGAGACGAAAGTGAGGTTCTTTTTAGTGTTTTCCAAATTCAGTTTTTCAGTTCAAAAAAATCTCGAGTTTTATTATTATTTTTTCTCGTTGTAAGGTTTCTTAGCTTATCTTTGTTATAAATATAATTCTACTTTGTAAAAAAATGATGCACTGCAGCAAAAAAATGCTTGTAAATTAATAGTATTTTTACTTCGAGCTTCTCTTTCAAAATTTTTGAAAAATCAAAGAGAAAAAATGCTCCAAAGAAGATTTTCCAAGTTTCAAATCGTTTCTGCCTGCGATCATCCATCTGTTTTACTATTTTGATCATTTTTCTTTTTTTTTTTTGAGAGTTTCGAAGCTTTTTTGATTTTTTTCATACACGGAGAGCGTCATTCCGAAATTTTTAGTTCATTTTCGGGAACTTTTTTTTATTTGGGTCTTGTTTTTCTCGGTATTTACTATACTCTGTCTTCTTAAAAATTTTTATTTTTCTGCTTCGTGTAGCGTCACTTTCCAATTTTAAGACTCACTGAGGTGTTTTCAAATGAGTAATTGCAGGTGAGGAAATGGCTCGAGTAAACAAGAATAAGAAAAAGCCGGTCCGAAAGTTAGCCAATATCACCAAGGCTGATGGTAAGGAGTTCTTCAAACGCTTATGTAATTATTCGAACATTCAAAATTTACGAGCATTTCTTGAAAATATAATTTTTCTTCTAACTTTTTGAATAGTTATATGTACAAGGATTCACTTATGGAGGCATTTTCGGGGGATTTCGCTATAGTTTGAGATATTTTCCTTGAAATTCGTTGCGCAAACTTTATGCTAGGTTTATTTTGGCCTTGCGAAAGACAAAGACTTTTCAAAGTTAAGTTATCTTTTCAATATTTTTTTTTTTCTCATTGATAGTTATTTGGACTCTCGCTTACGCCTTTGACCACTGCTTGGATTTTTGAAATTATTTTCTATTTCACACTTTTTTTCAATTTTCCAAAAAACATTTTACCAGGACTATTCCGAAGGCCGCTTAGGACTCGGGTTCAAACAGTCCTCCACCAAGCTCCCGACTTCACCGTCCACAAAAAGCAACCCGCCAAAAAGGCGATTCGAGGCGGAGCGAAAGTTTCGCCTAAAGTCAAGGGCGCCGTCGCCAAAGTTGCTAAGGGTGTGACCAAAAAAGCGACCGGCAAAAAAGGACAAAAGGTAGTTTTGAATTTCGGCATGTTACGAGGTTATTTCGAGGAAAACAGCTTTGAAAGGATTAGTAGGGAGTTTTACACAGCTTTCAGTGTTTCTTTCTCAGTTAATGTGTCAGATTTCGGTCTTCTGGTTAATAGTTGGCAGAAAATGTGATGGGAACGGTTTGAAAAGCTTTCTGTTAAATAAAAATGAGCCGGACCTCAAAATAATTTCAGAAGTGTGGAGATTGTTATTTCTTGAAATTATTTTCGAGTCAAATTTGAATTTAATGGATTTTAAGACGATGAAGGAGGTTTCGCAGAGTTTCTAGTGATTTCAAGGCATATTTTTGTGTTTAATTGGAAAAAATTGTCTTAATTTCTGAACAGGTGAAGTCTACATAGTTTTAAAGTTTTTAATGAGGGCTTTTGGACGCCAAAAGCTCTAGACCTAGAATTTTCAAGCTTTGGTACTAATTTTTGAATTTTTATTGGTAGTGACTATAAAATTGAAGTGATTGAATTGAAGGATCAACTGAAAATGTAGATAAAACTTTGGGATTTGAAAAATGAGCTTTAAAGTCGAAGAAAAGATATTTTCCCTATGTTAGAGGGAAAACTTCTGGCAAGAAACCAACTTGATTTATTGCTCTTTGTTGAAATGGCTTGAGGGAACTTTGAAAAAGAAAAAAGGAAGTTTTAGATGAAAACATCATTTTTCAAAAAAAAAAAGAGAGAGGTTGATATACTGATCAATTTAAAACTATACACCGGGAAGTACTGATAAAAATTGTTTAAAGTAATACTTTACCTCGCGCATTGGTGTGAAAGATTTTCCAAAAATATTTTAGTTAAGTTATTTTGTCCCCAGCTAATATTTTTCGACACCTGGAGGCAGAATTTTGCGAAATAGGCTTCTCTCTTTCGAAGCACAGTTCTTACTGTCCATATCTCCTAAGATTTCATCTCACTCTCACTTTTGTCTATTTTCCAGACTCCAAAAGCTAAAAAAGAGCCGGCCTCGAAGAAAAAAGGCAACGATCGTTTGGTTCCCCGCACCGGGATCCAACAGTACAAGGTTGACTTCCTGAGATCCAGAGCATTCAATAAAAATTTTAAAATTCAGGAGAATCCATTCATCGCGAGTCAGAAAAAGCCCGAGTATGTGAGCTTCAGTGTCAACGGTCGGCGGTTGATCCGCGCTCTGAAAAGAAAAAGTGCGCCGGAACTGAAGGAGTTCATCAAGGATAAGCGGTAGGTTTGGAGCCTCGGATGAATGAGCAACGCACGAAACATGGCTCCGAAAATACAGCCTCGAGTTTTCTAAATTCTTAGCCTGAAGAGTCGTGTTTCTTTTGCTCATAACCTTATTATTTCAATCGAATCTTCCGGTTGATTATGTACTTTATTCGGAATGTCCCTCTGGTCGCACTTAAAATGACTTAACTCGTTGCGGTTTGAGTTGAAATGGTTGAATGGTCTTGCATGGCAACGCCGCTCCGCAACCGTTACGCGTTGAGCCATTCTCAGTGCGGCAAAAGTTTCTTTTCTGCTGTTAGGTTGAGAAATAGAAACTTTTCTTGTTCATCCTTTCGAACGTGTCTGTTTTCAGATACGGCAGCTTCTGCAATTATGAAACGTTCTCGTTCGCCATCAACACGACGGCCGAGCTCGAGGCTTGCCGCTCTCGGGACCGCGGCCTCATGACCGAATACTTCAAGTTCGCCAGCGCCGCAGCCAGTCAACGTCATGAGAACAACGCCGAGCCTAACTTGCTCCAAATGGTTTCCGATATATTTTCTAGAAATGATTCAAGCCTTGGCCATAGGAACTCGAGCGTCCAAGTCTTATGATACATGTTCAATATCTGAGTATTAATGTCTCCAAAACTAAAAGTTTGCGCAAATAGACTCGAAGAAACTTCATCTCGACCTTCCCAGTACAGATTCAAAATCAGCGCGGAAAACTTCATATTTTATCATTCGAAAGTCGTAGCTGAAAAAATCAGTTGGTAAAGAAATGCATTAAATTTCGGAGTTGTTAAATTTTACGAAGCGTAACACATTGCTGACACATTTTCAAGAAATTTCTGTTCAGAAAACAACGGGAAAGTCGAATTTCTACATGATAGGACGTGCTACGAGGAACATTGAGATGACTAGGGGTGTGGCTGGCTTTTCGAACCTTCCCTTTTCAAGAATTGTTTCTCAGGAGGTCGCGAGGGCAACAACGCTCTCCTGAACTACGCCGGCGACGAGCGTAACCTCGCCGAGACGGTCGTTTCCTTGATCCGAGAGAATATCCCCTACACTGACCTGGTGGTCATCACGAAGATCCCTCATGCGAGTGAGAATTGTCCACGGGAAAGAGAAGCAAACCCAGTATGATCAAATTCTAGACATCGCGGAGCATCAACTCGAGAGCCATGTCGTGACGGCGGTTCGGGTCGGCCATCGGAGTCTGGCCTCGGCCCTGGCTCAGGGCGTCTCTCGCCACAATTTCAACGATCTTCACCGCGAAACTCTGGAGTTTGACTGAGTATCATACGTAGTCTTGATTCACTCTAGAGATGGGCGGAACAGTTTCGCGCAAAATTAAGCGGCAGAGAGAAGTTTTGAACGGGAAAGTTCTTCAACAAAAAACAGTACGTAATGCCTATTTAGAACGTCTGGGGCGCATCCGGTTTACGTTGCCAAGTCTGAAATTTTAGAGATTTTTCTAAGCTTTTTTTTTGAGAAATTTCGACATCTGCGACCTACCTTATGACATTCAGAATGACAAAATTTTTTTAGAACAAAGGGAAATCAATCCGCGATTTCGCGATGAAAGATTGTTGTAGGTAGGCCCACTTCCAGAGTGAATCTAGCCTACGTGTGCTCAGAAAATTGGTTAGTAAAGTATTTGATTAAAGAGGAAAACTGCCGGCCAAAATCCTGCCTGTCTCGGTCGTGAAGAAGGGATTCAACAACCGAAGTATCACCCCGGTTCATACGGCCGCCATTACCAATGATTCCAAAGTGAGTTGTGAGAAAAAACTGCATTTTTCGAACATGATCGGCAGAAAATCTGGCAAATCTACGGGGTTTCGGTCCTGATTTCCGATTTCCTTCACCCAAAATTTTAAATTGAAATGACTATCTGAGAAGGCGATGTTGTTGAGAAGCCATTGGCCTATCATGAAGCCTGCTGAAGCACTCCTTTTTTCTCATTTTCTAAATTTTAATCACTATTCTTTTTAGCTCCTTGAAAAACTGCGCTCCATCGACCCTAACATCAACGTTCCTGATCAGGACAATTGGTCACTTGGAAAATTTAGAATTTTCATTAAATTCAAATTTCTAGGTATACAATCCACTACGCAGCCGTTTGTGATGGTCCGGAACCATTGAAATATTTGCTGAAAAATGGAGGTTCTTATATAATTTTGTGGTTTGAAAGAAAGAAATGGAATGAAACCTTCAGGAGTTGTGTCTTCGCTGACGAAGAAACAGGAGACGCCACTTCACGCCGCCGCCAGAGCTGGACGAGCCCAGAACATCCGAGTTGGTCGTTGAACTGCTCGGAAATGATGCCTTCCTTTGTTGTAGCTGATCATCAAGGCGATGCTCGACATGGAAAGACCGGCCGACGGCGTTGATCGAGCCAAGCCTGAAAAGTCGCTGATCAACTCTAGAAATCGCAAGGGACTCACCGCTTTGCAGTTGGCTGTCGTCCACAATAAGTTGGATTTTTAGAGTTTTTCGAAAAAATTTAGATGAAGGATACAGTACCCTCCAGAAATGGACAACACACCTAGATTTCAAAATACTTTTAAATATTTCAAGGCTGGAAGCGGTTGACGCGTTTCTGGAGCACGATATCGTTGTAGTTGATGCTCCTACGTCGACGACCACCAACAAATTGACCGCTTTGATGGTTTTTGAGTCCAAAATATCATCTTTCTCAAATAAAGTACTTCAGATCGCGTGTTCACGCGGTTTTCTGCCGATCGCCGAGAAGTTGATCGCCAAAGGAGCCTTGATCGAGCAGAAGGAGAAGAAGAAGGTGACTAGAGTCAGAAAATCATTTAAAAAGTATTGATAATCGAAAAGTTAGTTGTGGATAAGCTTTTCACGAAGGTTTTTATTTTTTTTTTTGAGTTTTTGAAGCAGAACTGTTCTTATAAGATGTTTTCAAAGAGTTCAACATTTCAAAAAAGATGACAGTTTGAAGAAACTTTGTAAAGAAACTTTGTAAACTTTGTAAAAAAAATTTTAAACAATGTCTATATCTAGAAAGTTCAACTTTTTCGAATTAAAAGTTCCAAACTCCGTTCATCGCTAACTTGGGACAAAATTTCTGGAGGCGCGTCTAAATCTTTTGCATGTTATTTCATGAAGGAACTCCATTAGATTATGTCTCAAGGAAGCTATAAATGAACTAAGCTCTAAAATTTTTTCCAGCGAACTTCTTTGATACACGCTGTTCTTAATGGCCAGGAACATATTGTGGCGATGCTTCTCGCCAGGGGAGCCAATATCCATGCGGTGATTATATAAGATAGAAGAAATCAGGAATATCTTGAAAATGTAGGCCGATTCCTCCGGCAACACTTCGGCTCACTACGCGGCCGCCTATGGCTGGCTCGACGTCTTGAAACTTCTCGTCCAAGTCGATCCGACCGTCCTGACCGCTCAGAACGACTGGGCGCTCACGACTCTCTCGATCGCTTATCTGAAAGGTTTTTTCGGGGATTCCATAAGACCATGTCCCTCAAAAAGTTTTTAATTGTGGCTTATCAGCGTAGAGAAAGAGAAAGACAACAAATAAAGATTGCAAAAATCAAATTACTCTTTATACGTTATTTTGATTGTGGACTGCCTGCTTGAAAGGTAAGTCCGTGAATACAAAAAAAAACCTGATTTTAATCATTTCCTAGAACAGAAGCTTCTTGATTTTTCTTATATATTTCGTTGTAATCCGATTTTGATTACTTATTCTCAGATCCTTACCTATGGAAAATTCAGATCTTGAACTTTCCAGGTCTTGTAAAGAAGGAATCTATGAAAATGAGGCCTTTTCGAAATTTTATTCGGCAGACGTCACAAAAGTAGTTGGTTAGCCCATATATGTTTGGGGCCAGCTTTTAGAGAAGTTGAACATAAGTTTTAAAGAATCGATTTTTGAACTTGGACTTATAGTTTACCAAGTGAATTGAACTTCGAACCTGTTTCCAAATTTTCAAAAACCTATGTTCTGGGGATCTTTTTGTCCAAAAAATGTCTCAAGTTTGAAATTTTCCGATTGAATCTTCGTTTTGGACTCTGAATGTGCTCAGGTCACTACGGGATCGTAACTTGGCTGCTGGACGGACCTCACAGCGCCTCTGTGGACATAAACGGAAAAGATACGTCCGGAGCGACTCTTCTCGCTTCGTTGTTGAGCTACGCCACGGACAACTACCATAGTCAGATGGATGGCCAGATTGAGTATCTGGTCAAGAGGTGTGTCGATGAAGAAGAGCCGAAACATGGAGAAATCGTGAAACTTTGGTTCTTCAGAGATTCATCCTTCAGAATCCTCTCTCAAGAGTTTCTTTAGTTTATGAGGGGGACTGAAGTTTGAAAAATGCCCATTCAGTTGTCAGAGCGCGTGAAAAAATTGATCTGGCATTTTCCGGAAAAAATAAACGGATTTTTTTTTCTCAATCTGAGTACCTTCTATTTCAATTGCAGAGGGGCCGACGCGGGAATCGCCGACAGCATGGGCACGACGGCTCTCCACGTGTTTGCCAACATGAGCATCACCCTCAAGGGAACCAGCGGCGACAAGGACGAGGCTCGCGAGGCCCAGCGGATGACCGAGGCTCAGTACCGCCACTGCTTCGATCTCCTCATCGAGAGCGGCGCTCAAGTCGACGCCAAGACCTCGGATGGTTCGTGTGGAGCACGAGAACTCTCTGAACCCAAAAATTTGAGGCCGGACTCCCATCCAGTTGGCACTCAACACCGGCAACTTGCTCCTTTTCGACCTGATGCTCGGAAAAGTCAAAGACATCCAGGAGCTCTTCAAAAATTGGTTGAAGAGTCATAAGACGTTTAGAAGAATCAGAAATGTTCAGGACTGACGATGGCAACATTCTTCATCAATTGTTTGCGGTTCCGGCGAAGGTCTACGAAAATCCGACTTTGTGGAAGGGTTCTGGCCTGACTCGAGCTTCATACAACGTCATTCCGATCATCAAGGATGTCATTGAGGTTTCCGAATAAAGCTTTTCTTAATAATAGGAAGAATTCTCTGAATATGTATAGTTTTGTGCAAAAAAATTGATATTTTTTTAAAGAATTATTACCCTGTGTTAGAATCTTAGAGGTTTTAGTAGTAACATGAATGATATGATCTTTCTGAAACTTGAAGAGTTTTCGGAAAGAAAACTGGCTTTCTTCTTAAAATATCACTATTGTTGTATTAAAACCCTTTTTGTGAACTTTTCTTTTGAGGTATAGGAAAAGAAACATTTTCATTTAAAATAAAACAAACTGTCGCTTTGTTGAAATAATAAGTTTTACGATTTCAAATAGAAAGTTACTTAAAATGTTCATCTTTTTTGCCGCGAAATGAGGATGTGACTCTGATTCCTATGAAGAAATAGAACCAGGAAACTCGAAATAAAGACAAAAACTTCATGACCAACTGTATTTTGTCCAGAAACGATGCAAGTCCGAGCTCCAAGAATGGATCGAACAGTCGAACAAGGAGGGATTCCCGCCATTGGTCGAGGCTCTTTTCAAGTACCGCAAGCTCAATTTCAACAATACCGTCACCAAGGCAGAACATGAAGTAAAATCGTCCAGAAAAGGATAAAAAATCAAAGAATTTCTCAGCAATTCATCGCCACAATCGTCGAGATCTTCACGTGGGCGCTCAATATTCGACCCGAGATGCTCAAAAAGACTTTTACTGTTTGGGAAGTGGTGGAATTGATGATTCATTGGGTTTTCAGGGAAGCAAGGAAGGATCTCAACCTCTGGCTCTGGCTCATTTGTCACTTTCTGTCCCGATTGAGCAGGGTTGCGGGTCGAGCTACCATTTGTTCACCAAGTTGATGAACTTCGCCTATGAGAAGGGCATTTTAATGTTAGAATCTTTTTATTTCTTAAAAATGGGTTCTGAAGGTTTGAAAACTCGGATAAGTGTTGAAATAATCTTTTGGGTGCACGAATTTTCGATTACTTTTACAAAGACTTGTGAGAAAAATTCTAAAAAGTTTTTAGCCTTCATTTTTTGTTCAATATTGGTTGAGTTGATGGGTAAATGTAAGATTTCGCATGAATTTCGAAGTTGTCGCTTGAAACTTCGAATTAGTGAGGGGTTTTCTGTTGGGAAACCTTGCAAGAGTGTTTATGAAGGCTGAACTTTGATTTGAGGGACTTCCTGAAAATGGAGAACGAGCACGGCAACGAGGTGATCATCTACGCGGCGGACAACGCGATGGGCGAAGCCGTCGAGTTGATTCTGAAGACGACCAAGCAGTATAACATGACCAGAGGCATCCATGACGCCGTCATGAAGTATCATCTTGTCGATGGCAAAAGTTTGAAATATGAACCTTTTCTTCATTTTATTTTTTTATTCCAGAAACGGAGATCAATCGGACTCTCCTCATGATCCTTCTCAAAAATGGATACTTTGACTACCTTCCTTTAGTGGAGATCAGCCCCGAAAATTGGAACGCTATCGATAGTGGTGAGTGCAGAATGACTCAACGCGTAGCTGTTCTGCGCCCGATCAAAAACGACTTGCGCGCCTTGACGTCATGTTTTGATTTCTCGACAAGACTTCAGTCATTAATTTGCTGCGAAGCGCTTTTCTCTACATAATAAGCCTTAGTCTTTTTTTCTTCAATCTTTTAAAAAATTCAATAACGGTTTCTGTGGTCCCGAGCGCAAGTCGTTTTATAGTCGGGCGCGACATGGAGAACATAATCGCCTCGCGACCGCAACGCATCAAAAATCAGTATATTTTATGTCGTCTCGAGAAATTAAAGTTTATTCGAAATGAAATTTTTTCAAAAAATATTCCGAGAGGATCTCAAGACAGACTGTTGTAAGACTGTGAATCTGTAAAATAGACTAAGACTGTAAACTGTAAACATAAGACTGTAAACAGACTGTAAATCAACCACTTCAAAAAGGGTAAATTTTGAAGCTTCCGACAATCTTTGGCACTACGCGGCTCGCGTCAACCATCATCGAACGGTCTCTGTTTTCAAGCTTTTGGAGTCGAAATGCGTTCCTCGGATTGTAAGATTTCTGAGAATTCCCTGTACTATTTGTGCGAAATCAAGGCAAATTCCAAGAAACGAACTCCGCTTCACGAGGCCGCCCTTGCTTGTGATGGTTCTGTGAATGCGGTTCTGGAGTCGGTCGCCTTTTTGTCGACCCGTGGGCGGATCGGAGACACGGACAAGGTGATAAATTCGCACTTTCATTATGTACTTTACATGAAAAAAAAAACGTCCGAACTGTTTTCGAAAAGGTGAAAGTTGACATTTTCTCAGATTACTGAAAAAAAATGTAGTCTTTCGATTTCGTGGATACTATAGAATAGTAGGATTGGCTGATGGAATCTGTTACGTCTATGTTGATTAAACCAAAATCTATTAACCTTCACACAGTCATCAAATTTTTCTGTTCTATAATTAGAAAACAAAATTTTTAAGTCGCTATTTTTAGAGGAACATTTTTTTTTCCTGTTTGTAAAGTTTTAAAGTCGATCAAGCCATAATTTTTTCTGATTACTTGTATTCGAAAGCTGAATCAGTCCTATTGGACGAACTCTATTTTTTCAAGTCTTTATGGTCATCATAAGCTTCATGCTCCCTGCTGTGAAGCTTATTTATTCTGTTAATGATTTACTCAAAAATGTTAATTTTTTAAGTACGGACGCACCGCCCTGCACTACGTTTTCGGCAAGGAACACGAGTTCGAAAACGAAACTCTTGGTTCCGGAGTTTGTGACCCGATTTCTGTGGTAGTTGTGTTGGCCAATGTCATGGATAAGAATCAGGTTCGTCGGTCTAGCCCAAAATGGAAGACAAAGTTCAAATTGAAGCTCAACATTGCTGACGTCGACGGCAACACTGTTTTGCACTTGGCTGCGATGAAAGACGCCTCGATTTCGACGGTGATGCTCATCCGAAAAGGGTGTGAGATCGACGTCAAGAACTCGGTTTGTTCAAAGATCTAAGAAGGTTGAGAAAAAAGGGAGCCGAAAATGAAAGGCCACATTTAGTTTTGTAAGTTCAAAGTTTTTGCTATCTGCTTTATTTTTTTTACTCCTCAAAATCAAATAATAATCGAGAAACTTTTTCGAAGTGATTTTTTTTTTGATTTGCACTGATTGCTTCCGAGAATAGAACGTTAGGATTTGTTTCAAGTTAGCCGTCCGGATAAGTGCTTCCACCTAGATTCTTTGAGTTTGGAGTTTAAAAATGGAGGTTATAATGTAGAAAACGGCGTTTTTCTCAAAACAAAATATCTCCCTCAGGATTACATTTTTTTCGAAAAAAACTTAAAAAAATAATTTCTTCAGAAAAAATTATTATTGATCCTAGTACATAAAAATTAATATATCGACGAAAAAAATGGGAAAAAAATACTGGAAGATGATCAATCTTGTTTTTGCTCATTATGCCTTTTAGTTTTAAAAGTTTTTTTCTCCCTTTCAAAAGGTCCATTCCTTTGATTTCCGAAATTCAATCAAGTACGATACTTTTTCAAATTGTTGAATTTTTCAGAACGGTAACACCCCTCTTTCTTTGGCCGTTTTCTTGGGTCGTCAAGCGACGGCTTTGACTTTGATTCAAGCCAATGCTTCGGTTGTGGAAACTGTGTGTAAAAACTGAGATTCTCCTGGAAATTCACGAATTTGCCTACAGATCCACCCATGGAAGAAGAAGGAACACGCGAAAAAGAAGAACGAGTGGGTCTGGGATGGAGCTGTGAAGCAAGAGAGAAAGGTCTAAATTTCACAAAAATTTGGTGGTTTTTAAAAAAATTTTTTTGTAACTCAGGATCAGTTTTTAATATTTCCTTTGAATGTCATTTCAGACGTCCTAAGAGCTAAATATTCCTCGAAAAGGTATATCATTGATTAATTGCAGGAAGAAACTACGACGATTCCGGCGCAAGTTGTGAGTAAAGGCGCTGGTTGGGAAGCGATGGTCTACGTCCTTCTCGACGTTTTGGGACAGGTTTGAAATCAAAGAATTTCTTTGAATACAAGGAGAATTCAGAACGCCAATTCCATGGCGCAATTGACCGACGCCGCCTTGAAAAGGGCTCAGTTCAACCTGGCCAACCAACTTCTAAAGACCCTCGAAACGTTGCTCGACGGAAAACCCCTCATTTCCAACTTCGACCTCCTCGACACCTTCACCAAGCATCACCAAGGCGGCCTAACCAACGAATCCATCGAGAGGACGGTCCTCCAGAAAATTCTGGACATTGGCGGCGTCATTATGAACGAAGACGGCACTTCGCAAGTCATCGAAACCGCGCTGCGATTCGGATCTTTGTCGACCCTGAACTATCTCAAGGTGTGTAGGTTCTTGAGCTCGAAGAAGCTTTCAGGGTTTTCAATGAGGCCCTCGGAGGTGAGAAATGATAGTCTTCTGAAAAACCTTCTCTATATACTCAATTGAAGAAAGCATAATTTATTTCCTTTCCAAAAAATTGTTACCTATGCAAACCGAAAGACGTTAGTGAGATTTTAAAATGTGTTATTCCCATTTTTCATAATTCATTCACAGCTTGCTCTACAACTAAAATAATTATATTTCACGATTGGGATTCCCCCAAAATTGGCTAGGATACTCCTCGATGTAATATGTACATGAAGATCCGCAAAGCCCTACTATTTTTCGTGTTTCAAACTAACGCTTTCTTCTTGGATTTTTTCTTGGAACAATGGAAAGTTTTGCAAATTATGGCTTCGATGTCCTTCACCTAAACATTTTTCGACGACGTTCGAAAAATTATAGAGTTTTTTTTTCCCAAAATATGAACCACGCGAAACTAGTTTCAACGTTTTTAGGACAAACTTGGAGCCGAGAAATGGTCACGTCTCCGTCCGATTTCCCCAGAAGCCGGTCCGATCCGAGCCTGTGTCCTCCAGTTGAGCCGACAATCCCCAGCCTACAGCGTTGACCATTCTCCGATCCTCAACGAACTGGCCGCCATGAAGAACTTGAAGTTTCCTCGCAAATTATCTCGAAATCTCATCTTCTGATGATTCCAGCATCAACGCCCCTCTGGAGTTCAAGATTCCCGCCCAGTTCCGAGAGTGCGGGATCGGCCATCTCCCGCCAATTTCCTGGGCGGCCTTGTGCGGCAAGAAAAACTTGATCAAGGTTTTGAAGCCAGCTTCTAGATAGAGAAATGGATGGAAGGATTAATAAGAAGGAAAACTTTGAATTTCGTGAGCGGACGTCTTGTATACACACAAATTCGAAGTTTGTCGAATCAGAAGCCGTAGTGTTTAGAACTTATTTGAGTTCGAAACATTTTCGGTTTTTTGTTCTGTTTTTTCAACACGTGTGAATAATTTCTCCTAAAATTGACGCCACTCTTTCCAGTATGTGCCTAACTTTCATCACCAACAAGCGATTCAATTCTTATAAGTTATTACGGTACGGCGATTTTATTTAGCGTTCTATTGATAATTATTCCAAATATTTTTATTTTGTTCCTTCAATATCTTTTCTGATTTAAATCATATCATCATAAATGAAAAGGTGCTTTTTTCCAGTACCTCCGAGCGGCTGGCGCGGACGTCAAGGCCGTCGATTCCCAAGGCAGGACTCCATTAATGTTCGCCGTGTTGGCCAATGATGTCGAAGCTGTCGATGTGGGGCTTCAGAATACTCGAGCTTCTAAAAATTTCTTCCATCCTTTGTTTTTTGTTTCTACCTATAAAAAGAAAGATAAATGTCCACCAAAAAAAGGATTCATTGTGCATGTTTATTTCCTTTTTTTTGAGTCATTTTTTTCGCTTTTTCATACAAAAATAGTTTTTATATGGATTATTTCTCATTTTAAACAAATATATCAGATCGCTCAATGTGACTTCAGAAAGTACCTAATGGTAGAAATCTGCATAGGAGTTGGAAAGACTTTATTCGCAAAATACTCGATTTCAGGCCATCATTGGCGACGGAAACGAGGGGAAAATTCATGATAATCCGACTCCGAAAAAGGCGGCGCAGAAGGTTTCCAAAGATTCGATGAGCTTAGTAATTGTATTTTTGTAGACTCAGCTATTGTTCGGCCAAGTTCGCAAGCGCAAGAATACTGGGGAAAGCGACGAGGACGGAGAAGATTCGACGGAAGAAAACTCGGCGGGAGAAGAGGAAGAAGAAGATCCACAGCCGACGCCGAGCGGTCCCGTTTGCGTGGCCGTCCCAATGGTCACGACGAGCCAAAGGATGAAACTGGGACATTTCCGGGCATCAGTTAGGGCGAGAGTCAGAGCGGCACCACTAGCCAAAAAAGCTGATGATCAGCCGCCGGTCAAAAGGATCAAGCTACAGAATAGCGAGGTAAACAGTCACTGATAGAGTACGGTTATGAAGAAAAAAAAAATGAGTCCAAAAATAGAGAAAGTTCAACTTGATTTTCATTTTATTCAGAAATAAATTCTGAAAAATTTCTTGAGTTTTCTAATTTCACAGTAAAAAAAATATAGAAAACATTTTTTGGAGTATTAGGAGATTTTCAAGCTTGAGATATATCTTCGCAGAGATTTTAGAACATCGAATAAAAAAATTGATAAAAAAATGAGTTTGATTCGACAACTTCGAAGAAGCAATTTGATCTCTCGGTACCTTATTGGCTCTAGCTTCTGAAAGATATGATAGGTCTTTTTTGCAGGCTTTCACTCAGAAGGATCACAATGGAAGATCCGTCCTTCACTATCTAGTCCAGCCTATTCCTTGGGAGAATGTCGACCTTCTGGAAACCCTCAACTTGGCCGATTCTAAGCTTGTCAAACAGTTGCTCACTTCACCTGATGGGGTTTTCCGTCGTTTACAGGGAAATTGAAGGAATGAGAGTTTTCAGAAAAATCAAACTCCGGTGGATCTGGCCAAGAAATCTCTTCAACGCCAAATGTTCGCGGCCATGTCGAAGTTGACCGGCTCGAAACAGACTCAAACGTATGTTTTCTGGATTCGATCAAAATTTGTTAATATAGTGTGAAAATAAGTTTTTCGGAATCAAAGAATAATTGATTGAAGCTTGAAACGTAGTTTTCAAGATTCCAAGACGCGGCAAACTCTTTCAATCGATAAAAAAATGAACAAGAAAAAAATACTCAACTTGTAAAAAAGTTTATTTTAATGTCTACAACAAGAAGATTATTGTCTTCATCATTTACTTATTGAAGAAAAACCGATATATAAGTTTTGTGGGTATTAAAAACCATAAAAGGTTTCATTTCGAGTCAAAAAAAAGGGAAATAACAGCAAATAAGGAATTTTCACGTCTTAGTCTGAAAGTGGACGGCGAGAAGGTCGACGACCTCAAGGCCGACCTCGACGTCAATGGAGACTGCGCCAAGTTCATCAAGAAATGGGCTGAGGTTCATGATAAGGTAGAACTCCAGAATGAAGGCAAGTAGAAGATCAAGTGTTTCAGAAAAAGAAGGCCGAAGTGCCGAAGCCGCACCGGATCAGCGGGTTCAAAGACGGCGGCGAGGTGGTCTACTGTGAAGAGACCAAGCAGTATTTCGATGTAAATATGATCTCAGTTCTTGAATAATTCTAGATTTATTAGTGAGAGATATCGAAGTTTGAAGAAAGATTAGAAAGATCAATTTACTCAGAAGAAGGAAGAGCTATGAATTCTTTTGAAAGGAAAAAAAATTCCAATGTTTTCGTTCAGGTTCTGCTCAACAAGACGGACTTGAGCTATGGAACCTACGGATTCCACAATTTCTACCGCATGCAGTTGATCAAACGCCGCGATGCCGATTTGTGGATTTTGTTCACGAATTGGGGCCGAATTGGTCAGGGCGAGGGCGAGAACCAAACTACGCCGTTTTCGGTCCTGGCTCTAGGTTTTTTTTTGTCGGTTTTCGTAGATTATCTTGATTTTTTGAAGCCATCAAAGAGTTCAAGTCGGTCTGGAAGTCGAAGACGGGACAGGAATGGGCGCCGCTGTCTGAGTTTGCCGAACAGCCCAAGAAATATCGTCTTGTTGAGGTTTAGAAATTATACAAAGCGCCGGAAAAAGCAATCAGAAAAAAAAGGAACTCAAAGGCCCTGAAAAACAAAAGACGAGAAAATATTCGAAGAAAAATAAGCTCGGTAAACACATTATTTTAAAAAAAGCAGAATTTTTTTGAGAAGGAAAAAAATAGAAAATTTTTTTAAAAATAAGAAACTATATTAAAAAGCTCGCTTCAATGGAAAAGTGGACAAAGTCAAAATCAAAATAAATCTTTTTCTTTTTTATTATCCTTTCGATTTTTGTCGCGGCTATAACCTCTAAACTCTTTTTTTTCCAATTAATTTTTGGAATTTTTTTGGGAAAATTAAATGTTTTAAAGAATGACAGCAGCCCGACGAACCTTGCGGATGTGGACATTCCAAAATATCAACACGAGGAGAAAGATGTCATCCGTCGAATGATTCGGGATATCAGTGAACCTGAAAAGCTCAAGAATTACGCAAAACAAGTTTGGAAATCTTCTGGAACCCCAAATAAAAAAGTTGTTCAGAACTCGGTGTTCAGCATCACCTCGATGCCTTTCGGCCGCGTCTCTTATGAGACCATCGAAAGGGCCGAGGAGATCTTGGACCAGTGCGAGAAGAACTTCAAGGATCTCGAAGCCCTCCTCCTGAAGGACAACAAAACCGATGCCGAAGTGCTCAGTGGACACCAGAAGGCGGTTCGGATTGAGAAAAACTAAGGAGCTATGAGGATTTTTGTTCAGATCGAACTGTCCAGCGAGTTCTACAGCATCATTCCTACCGGGGAGTACGAGTTCACCGCGTTGAGACCCATTATTGATGTGAATAGTCTATTTATGGTGTCTGGAAAAGTAGATTCGGGTCATTTCAAGAAGAGAATTCGAGAATAATGAGCTTTATTCATTGATGTTTTTTTTCAAATATCTTTATCATTTAAAGTTTGCACAGCTATCAAAAGAAGTTGTTTGACAGTTTTCAAATATTACACCTGAAACAATAATGGTTTTGAATATGTTTTTAAGTTCATTCGAAAACAAGAAGTTTAGATTTGAATTTCAGCTGGCAACTATCTTGCAATCTAGACGTCTTCTGAACCGTCTGAAGGAGGTCGAAGTGGCGACGCGACTTCTGACGGCTTCTGTCGAACAGACTAACTTGGATCGGATCGAGTTAGCTTTTCTACACTGAAATTGAAGAAAAGGGAAATGTTCAGCTACATTCACAAGGCTTTGGAGTGCCGATTCACCCTGGAAACACCGAAAAGTGACGTCAGTCAGAGAATCCTCCAGTACATCCACAGCAGCAATTCCCGGACCAGTGTCAAGGCCATCATTGAACTCGCGCCAAGAACATCCGTCACACAGTTCGAGCCGTTCCTGGATGACGATAATCAGATGTGAGGGGTCTTGAAGGCTTTTAGTGAACGAAAGTCTAGTAAAAACGTTGAATTATTTTTTCATAGGGCCAAAGAATTTAATGGAAACGTCCAGAATTTTTTTTTCGTTTCCTGGAAGTTTTCTAATGGAAAACTTCCATACGCCAACTTGTAGTTTTTGTTCCTGAAAGTACTGCGATTCCAGAAAATGCAACTTTTTGTGAATTTTCGTGATCTCTTTCTTCGTGCGATAACTATTCACTAATTCAGATACCTGTGGCATGGAACCAGGGCTTTCAATCTTTTGAGCATCCTCAAGGATGGAATTTTGGTCGACCCACCGAACACGTCCCGAAATGGACAACTTTTCGGATCCGTGAGTGAATCAAGTTGGATTACATCGAAAAAATGGCGTTTTCAGGGCGTTTACCTGTCGGACGCTTTCGAGAAAAGCCTCAATTATTGCCAGGAATCTGCCAACGGCGACAAATATATGCTTCTATGCAAGGTAGTTTAAGGAAGAGATTCCGTTCATTTACTAAGTCAAACATTAGAAGACCACGGGGAACTTGAAGTTTATATTTAAAAGAGAACACAAAAATTAAATAATTAGGCTTTTGACCTTTATGTAGCGTATTTTTGATTAAAATCAGTTCTTGGGGTGTTGCAAAGGGCAGGGTCAAGTTTCGAAAAGTTATTAAAGCAAAAAACTTTTTTTTTCGGCGCCCTAGCACACCAGATTTTAGTTAGTTAAACATACCCTGAGGCGAAAGCCGGTGTGAGTCGGGCGCAACAAATGAGGTGGTCCCGTGCCGGTCATTTCAAGCCAGAAATGGATCATCAGGGTTTCGAGCTTCGGCATGTCTTGCTTTTTATAGACATTCTGGAAGAAGTGAGCCGAATGATACCAGATCCTGGTCCAATCATTCCATACGTCGAAGCAGCTCTCAGAATAGTCGAGAGAGAGGCCCAGAACCGGGCCGACTGAGCCTTCATTTTTGCAGCCTCGGAAAGGCTTCTCAACGGCCCTCTTAAGGGCCAAAATAAAAACTATATGAAAAATTAAAAGACTGAACATCTTTTATTTCATTTTTTCAAACTTTTTCTTTTTTAGGTAGCTATGGGAAAAGTGAGGGAATTGACCGACTTGGGTTGGGACGATGATATCGACAAGAAGATGGATGAGGATACGCTTCAATACGTCGGACAGCAACATCCGTCCGGAAGCCTCACTTTCGGTGGTTGGTTTTTCTTCTCAACAAGAACATTAGGTCAAACTGGAATACAGCTGTTTGAGTGGTCAATCCTTGAAACTCTCTTATAATGATCAAAACTAGATAGTAGCTAGCCTCCTTTTTTAAATTGAAGTTGTACTCTGACTAACTAGTAAGGACTCCAAAAACGTTTTCTTTTTCTTTACCACAAGTTGTATTTTTATTACCAATACTTAGTAGTTTTGGCTCAAGTCATTCTTGAATCGAATTTAAAAGCGGAAACGATCAAGAAAATTTTTAACGTTTGGGAAGAAGTCGTTAATGTACTGTTTCTGAAACTTCAACTTCTTCCATTCAAGCCTTTTTTCTTCTAATTCTTTCGGAAAACTTATTCAGGTTTACAGTGGACTTTTTTTCCAGGCGTCAAGGTTCCCCTACTTCCTCTGAAGACCAAAAAAAACAACACTAGTGGTTTCTACAGTCTTCCATTCTCTGAATACATTGTCCGCGACGCCCACCGTGTCGTTCCTAAATTCATTATCATTTTTAAATAATTTGTCGTTCTTTTTTTTTCATCTTCATGTCGATTTTTTCCCCCATTTTTCTTCTCAGGTGTTCGTCAGTAGGTTTTTTTTGGGAAATGAAAAACACTTTTATTAGTTCCTTTTTCCAAGTTATGTAATTATTACTCATTTTGCTCCCTAACGATACAATCCATATCGATTCTCATGTATTTACTGCCCCGTATTTTTTTTTTCTGTTAATCGTTCAAGTGATAAAATGTTTATTTGGTGGAATTCTATGAACAGTAGCCCATTGATTTGCAAAGGGTTGACGGTTCTTGGTCCGGCTGCATCGAGAAGTTCTTGAATCGAAAGAAATATTGTAATTTAAAAATGCGATTTACCGCGTAAAAGACGTTGAAGTTGTCGTTGAGCGACTCGCGACACAGTTGACGCGTCATCTGGACCGTTATTTGGTCGCATCCCATCGACATTTGAACGCCGAGTTGGGCCTGCAAAGATTGAGGTCAAACTTTGAAATTTTAGAACTTTTTTTTTGATATTTAGTTCATTCATTATCAGTATAAATTTCCGATAGAAAAAAATTACAATTAACAAGGATAGTTTTTTTATTTTTTGGCTGGAAACCCCGAAAATTGATCAGAATACCTCTTGATTTACGAGACTTCATGATCCGGAAAGTCAACTTGCAAAATTTTTCGCGGACATGGATGACGCGAAACGGACGTGCTCTGAACGTTTCTGTACAATTCTAGGGATCACTTAAGAGTGCTGATGTTACTAAAGTGGTCGCTAGAAATGCCCCGACACGTCCGATTCGCGTTACAAATCTCCGAGTTGGAAAGAGCACATCTAAGTCGAAAAAAACATCAAAATTCATAAATTGAGCGGTTTTGAGATTTTGAGCCTTTATTCCTTGAAAATGAGTTGGTTTTGTAATTTGCGACTTACAGAATCTTTACCGGGTTCATCAACCAAAATTGCATGAATATATTTCAGTTTGAGCTTTGATTTACGCTAGAAAAAACAGTTTCATAGAATATTTACAGTGAAGATGTTGGCGAATAAAATATAGTACAACGTTTATTTTTTAGGAAAAGTTCACCATCGATCGAGAATGCATTTTTCAAATTGATTTGTTTGTTCGAGAAGAATTAACCTTCATGTCGGGATTGGAGTTGATTTTCTGATTTATGGAAGCGACGCCGGAGACGCAAAATGCGCACGAAATCGTCGTGGCGAAACTGCTGACGATTCCGATGACACTCAGCAAAATTATGAAGTTTTTCAAGGTGTGCACCATTTTCTGGAATTTATAGTGTATTTTTTTATAATTCCTTCAAAATGGTAATAATTTCACTTACAACGGTTTTTTTAACACATTGGCAGTCAAAGTTAACTCTCGAATAACTCTTCATGTTAATAATATTCAAGAAAGAGGTTATTTGTTTCTTGAAAAATTTTCTGGACACCTTTTTTTCGAATCAAATTAAAAAAACAATGTTGACTTGAAAAATAACAAGATGAAAACAAATCGAGAAGAAAAAAGTTTAAAAAGAGGCCAGTGGCATAGGAAACATGGTGATAAGAAGACGTTTTTATCGCCGCATATGATGGAAATCGATTTCGAAGTAGCTCTTAAATATTTCGAATATCATATCGAACAGGGAACGATATTGAATTCATATCAAAATACTAATTCATTGGACTTTGTGGAAACATCGCGTCTCAAATGAGAAAAAAAGACTTGAAACTTTGCTTCAAACTAAAAAACAGAGTTTTGGAGTTTTTGAATACAATTTTATCAAAGAAAAAGATGATTTGGGCATAGGATTCTGTGAATTTTGAGCTGTTTTTCGGGTATCTTTTCATTAAGGATTTTTTAACGAAGATTTTTCTCCATTTTCGCTCTTTTTTTTTGAATTTCTGCTGGAATCAAAACTTCATCGAAGTTGATCATTGTTCTAAAAATTCTTGAAAGGGAAAATGCATTTCTTTCAACTTTCTATGTATTGTTCTTTCTCTATATGACAACTGGTTTTCAAAAATGGCGGAAATATTTTTGCATATTCAAGAAGGAGAGCATACAATTCTCCGCACAAAAGTCTATTTTATTTTTCTGGTTTGTGAGAAAAACTCGAGTTTTCTTTTTTATTTCATTTTTTGAGTTGGTTGAACCGGAACTCAGTAATCCTTTGTTTTGACAACGAATTTTTGTTTTCCTACAAGAGGAAAAACAAGTGAATATTCAGGTGGATGAAATATTTCCGCTACGCACTTTTATTGGCAGCCACCTTGTCGATTTCATTCATATACAGTAATCGAGTGGCTTTTAGTATTACGGTACTTTGTCAGAAGGAGCAATATAAGACGACTGGTGAGTTTTGAACGGGATTCATGGATTTTGAAGTTTGAAACGTTTATAGTTTGCTCAAAGGCCGCTGAGTTTTTGAATTTGCATAGATCATTTTCCTTGAGTTCTTGGAGCGAATAGACTTTTTCAAGACACTGGCAAAAGGAAGAAATTTCATGAGCAGTTCCTTTTTTTTTTCTGATGTATGATCTTGATGAAAACGATTTTTTATTGTAGATAGTTTTTTGCGAACAGCTCATTTCTTTTATAGTTTTGGTTTCTGCGCTTTCCTCTTAAACACTGGAAGCTGTGTCGATCATGACTAAATTTAAATTTCTAAAAATTTAGAGCTTTTTGGATTCAAATGGTCTTTTTTTCCCAGAAAACTACTACTTACTCGATAAGACCGCCGAGAAATGGATGTTCACAATCACTGCTTTGGGCATGTTTGTCGGCCCGATCCCATTGTATTTTGTGTACAAATTGGATACTCGGTATGATTATTCGGGCATAGTCTGAATGGTATATAAAGACCGCTAAATGGGAGAGGCTCATGAAAAGGTCGCAGAAAGGCAGCTAAAGAAGCCCTTTTATCGAGCCTTCTATCTTTTCTACAATTTTAAAAGCTTACGTAGTAGCGCGACACCAAAAAGGAGCCTTCGTCATCGTGAAAGGAACATTTCCATGAAACCTTCCTGATCCTTTCCCACTTTCCCTATGTATATCTTTTTAAAAATCAATTAAAACATTTCTTCGATTCTCAGGATTTTAATCATTTTCTACGCGACGTTAGCCTTCCTTTCCTGTGCCCTTTTTCCATTGGCTGATTCTTTTGGATTCATGCCAGCTTTATTCTGCAGGTTTCTGTCGGTTGGTATTTTCCAATGAAGTTGTTCGAGAGAACAATATATTTTAATTAATTAAAATTCATAAAAAAATGCTGTTAATGTTAAATTATTGAATTTTTTTCTGAAAAACGAACTCAATTCTTAAAGCCATCGCGATAATTATCAAAGAACATGAAATATATCAATTTCCAGGTATTCAAAGAATCTTTAGATTGATTTGATCTTTGAAAAATATGAATGAAAAAAAAATTGCCGACTTTAATTAAAAACATAAAGCTTTTTGAAAATTGCCAAATTATTTCAAGTTTTGGTCCATGAACTTTTTCTATAATTAGAATTTCCGTGGATTTTGTGTGATTTTGGAGTTTAGGGAGTCGCTCAGGCGGTCCAGCTCAACTTTATCAATGAAGTTGCTCAAAGATGGGCTCCAGAAGCGGAAATTTCACTTTTCGTGGCCGTTCTACTCGCCACAGCTCACGTTTCACGAGGACCTTCGAAAAAATCCATTCATATATTTTCTAGTTCGGTCCTTTGTTCATCATGATTTTTGGCGGAGAAATGTGCGAATCTTCGTGGTTCGGCTGGGAATGGACCTATTATTTCCTGGCCATTTTGATATTTTCATCAACCGCTGTTTTCATCATCCTCTACACAGATGAAGTCCACATGAATAGGTTTCAATTTTTCCTGAGTATTTTTTGTGAGAACACTAAATAAGGTTCGTGGAGGGTGACGAGAAGAAGCTGATCTTGGCCGGAAAACAGCCGGAAAAAGAAAAACCGTCGGTTCCTTGGAGGCCTTTGCTCGAAGATCCCACCATTTGGGCTATAATTATCCTCTTTTGCGGATTCTACTTTGGCATGATCATTTATCAGCAATATAGCCCGATTTTCTTCAGAGAGGTTAGCGATTTTGCTTCCTGAAGCCCTTCTGAAAATACTCTGAGTTTGTAGAATCTGGAGAAACTCCCAGTTAAACTTTCTGAGTAAAATCATGTCTAAGATTGATAAAATTAAAGACTAAGTGGACTCACCGAATTATATTGTTATCAAACGTCTTAACGTCTAGTAGACAGTGATTTTGAGTATATCTCTTTTTTTAGGAAGCAAAACTAGGACGATGAATAACGTGGAAAATTGGATAAAATGCGAGAAGTTCTATCAAATTAATACTTTCTGAAAATCACTTAGTTGAGATAGAAACTTTAAGAACTTCAACCTTCTATCTTTTTCCATCATTCCATTTGTAGGTACTCCATTTTCCGGTCCGTTCCAGCGGCTATTTCGCTGCGATTCCAATGATATTCGCCATCATTGTGAAAGTGATTGTCGCTAAAATGATAGGTAAATTATTGCTTTGGCCGCACTTGGAATAGCTCGAAGGTTTACGGTAGCGTGGCGATTATATCCGTTTAAGGCCAACTTGACTTGAAGAAGTTTGCTGTGATGCTTTTCTGCGCTAGTAGTTACGGGTCGAGCGCAAAATCCTTTCTGGAAGCGTTTTTTAAAGCACTAAACTTCAATTTTTAGACTCTGACCCTTTTCAAATCGGAAAATCGTGGTCCCTCGCCTTGCCTCTCGTTATTTTAGAGTTCGTCAGTTCTGTTTTAATTATCTTGGCTGGAATTGTAAGATATTCTACGTGTTAAACCATATGACGCATGATTTTCTAAGCTGATCGAGGCTCGACACGCCGTTTTGATCCTCGACATGGCATTTGCTTCGATCCACTTCTTCGTCCCTATTATCACTAGCCGAGCTTTTCAGATTGTTAGTTTCAATTGATTCCCAAATTTTTCTTTGTAATTCAATATCAAAAAAGTATATTTCAGAGAGCCGGCCCTACAGCTCACTTTGCCATCAATATTTCGGTTGTTTTGAGTTCAATTGTCCATATTTTGATCCCATTTTTGGTTGACTTCGTAGCGCCCAACAACACGAAACAGGAGGTTTTCAATTTTCACGAGTTTCGAATTTAATTCGGAAATCAAATTTTTTCAGTGGGCCACCATGTTCTTCATCGTCGCCTTCGTTATCCTGATCACTACGGGAATCTACTTGTTTTTCTCGGATTTGAAGCCCGCGCCGTGGTTGGGGCGACTCGAAACTGTGACTCCGCCCATTTATATGTCTCAGTTGAGTAAAAGTTTGAAATGAACTTGCGAGGGGGGAGAAAAGTTGGAGAAAATAGTTTGTGAATAAAAACTGGATACGACGAATTTTATAAATGTTTTTCAAGATGGTCTTTTTCAAACTTTGTAATTTCAAGTTAAAAAGTTCACAAGGTAGGTCTTTTTTTTCGTGTGTCTGAGAATTTTCTGAAAACTGGCCAACTTACTTCTTGATGATGTACTGGAAGAGAATCCTGAGAGTCTCAACCTCCAAAACTTCTTAGTTTTCGAGAAACAAGGGCTCAAAGTCCCAAAATGACCAAATTCAACTGTTTTTGATGGTTTTTTTTTTACTTTGAGACGTTTTTTCCCGAAAAGTAGAATTTATTTAAGGCTTCCAGAACCTTCATGATTCATATCAAGGAGTTTTCTGATCAATTTTCAGAAAAATTGCAGCCGCAAAGACCTTCCTTGTGAGAAGGAGCCAAAAATGAGGTCAGGTCCATTTTTGCTGTCAACCTATCGATATAATCCTTGGCTTTTCAAACATAGTCGTTTTCATCATTCCTAACGACAGACTACAAGTTCAGTAATGAAAAAAAAATCTTTCTAATTTTCGTTTGTTTTGCTATTCGACTCTTTTATTTTTAGTTAGCAACCTGTTTTTTTTTCGACTCTTTCGGTCTTCGGTTTGAACCTTACCAACAATCATTCGATTATCCATTCCATGTCTCACTCAAAACAATCAAAAGGTAGCGATAAGGTGTGTTATTCGTATTTTGTGATGTCGCCGGTGACCCTCCTTGCCGTCTCCCTGCTCATCTATCTCCTTTTCAAGCATTTCAAAAAACGCTCCGAGTATCCGAAAGGTTCGAACTTCAGTGCAATCAACTTGAAGTTGACACACAAACGTTTTGATAGGACCCATCCCGATCCCACTTTTTGGAAATCTGCCGGAGATTTTCGCCGTCGCCAGTGCTACCGGTGGAATCGTTCCCGCTTTCAATCACTTTAAAAAGGTAAAACAACTCAAGGGCCCATCAAAATTGAGTTAGAATCAAAATAGTGTACTCCACTGCGAAAACTTGCAAGACTTTAAAAAAGCGTCAATTATTCAAAGTTTTAGCCCCGATTATGAATTCAGGCTTTGAATTCAGAAACGAGCCTAGAACCTGTTCAAAAAAAACAAGTTTCAAATTTTGAGCAAACCATTGCGTAGAGGAAGAGTTATGAGTGTGCAATAGAGATATGATAGGCTATTCTTAACTTTTCAACTTACACAAAGTAAATCAAAAAAGTGTAGTTTGACGATTTTGAGAGCCCGTAGATATTCTCCATCAGCAAGGACTTCTACAGAAATATGGACGAGTGTTCACCTTATGGATCGGGCCGATCCCGACGGTCCACATCTGCGACTACGAACTGGCCTTCGAGACTATGACGACCAGAGGCGCCGAATTCGGAACTCGGTCTCTTCCTGGTGTTCTCAACGATATTCGCTGTATGACTTCTATTCCTTGGATAAGTGTAACGTGTAGTCCCATCTCCCTATGAAAAAAAAAATGATAAGGATCAAATTGTTAAACAGTCGGCCGTGGAGTTCTCGCGTCGAATGGCGAGTTTTGGATGGAGCACAGAAGATTCGCTCTTTTCACCCTTCGAAACTTTGGCGTTGGCCGAAACGTTATGGAACGTCGGATTATGGATGAGGTTCATCAGAGGTACAGGAATACTCACAAAAACATTCAAAAACAGCGATATCTTGACAAAGCTTCCTAACGAAAAATTAAAACGTTTCTCTTTTTTCTGGAAGTTTGCTACGAGAAAATTTGAGAAAGATTACTTTTTTTGCCAAGGGCTATGAAAACTTGTAACTTTTGAATTTCAAAAGCTTCCATCTTCAATGAAATTTGTAACTTTTTTCACTGATTCGATAAAGTCGTGTAAATATTACAAGACTTTTTTATAGTCTGTGTGCCAAGACTTGGAATTTCACCGAACGACATTCCGCTGTTCCGCTGCGTCTCGCAGCGTCTTTGCGAGCCTCGACCTCGCTTTGAGTTGGTTCTAATGTCATAGATGGACTGTTCCACTAGGAACACGTGTTGTTCGAGTTCTCAAACAAAATGAAAAATTAAAAGCGCGGCCGAGCACGCAGCGGTACAGCGGAATGTCGTTCGGTGAAATTCCAAGTCGTGGTACACAGACTGCAACTTGGAAATTAAACAAAGAACTTTAAAAGTTTACGCGAGATTCAAATTGAATCTAAAAATTTTTATTCCAAGTCTTCAATACTGAGTTTTTTCTTTCACTTTGAACTGAACTCGTGGAACTTCATGAATATTTAAATAGAATTTATAAAATTTACACATTCCAAGCTTGATTATTTAACTCAGGTTCACCTACCTCAACGAGAAAAACGTTAGAATAAAAGACAATTCTGTGGATGTTGTCAAGTTCTTCGATCTCCTCGTTGGCAGCATCATCAACAGTATGCTTTTTTCGGAAAGATTTGAGGCGGTAGTCGACTTTTTCCCGAACGGAAACATTTATGGTTCTCAGAACGATAAGACGTTCGCCGAATTGAAACGGCTCCTCGACGAATCTCTTCAGGAATTCAATCTGTTGGATTTATTCGCTCCGATGTGGCTCATGAAATCTCCCTTGTTGAGATGGAGGTTTGTGAGAAGAACCAACTCAAATATAAGCAATTGGACAAAAAATAGGAACTTTAAGATAACAAGTTCGAAAAAATAGAGATTTTGTTGCTATGAAGAAAGTACAAGCATACGTTCAGGTACAACTGCTTGATGGGCCCATTCCACGGAATAGTAAACGTCGTCAAAAGACAGATCGCGGCTAGGTAAGCTATAAAAAGTCCTTAAAGTTGAGAGGGTTTTTGAGAACTTAGTCCTCTAGGGAAAATTCGAAAACTCAAGAAATTGGCCATGAGGTTGATGAGATTCACAATATTCATAAAAGTTCGTAAAACTCACTTATCAAGAATAGCGAAAACACCAAATTTCTATATAGCCTGTGTACTACGACTTGGAATTTCACCAAACGACATTCCGCTGTACGGCTGCGTGACTTTGCGAACCTTGGTCGCGCTTTTAGTTCTTTTCTTTTATTAAGGTACTCTACTTTCATGAGCTTCCACAGAATTAACAATCAATTGAAAACGTGACCTATATTCGAAAGGCGCTTCGCGAACGCACGCAGCGGAACAGCGGAATGTCGTTACGTGAGATTTCAAGTCGTGGCACACAGAATATAGTTTTATTTTATTTTCTCAGGGTTGAGGAGATCGAGCAGGGACGTCATGTGATCGCCGATGACCCTGATGATTTCGTGGATGCGTATCTTTTGAAAATGCAGAAAAACAAGGAAAACGGCGAAGAATCTTCGACTTTTGAGTGGGTTCGAGACAATATTTATATGATATTCAGCCTCAAAAATCATCTCAATAAAATTGAAGTCAAGAGTTTTGCAGCTACACAAAAAAAATTTAAATTTCTCACTAGTAAGGTAATTTTGTGCTCTGATAACGATGTTTTCTGAAATTGAAATTTAAAATATAATCATGAAATAACTATTTGAGCGTTCATTCATTTGTTTTAGGAGTTTTTAGGTATTTCTCTCATGAATTTTATGATTTTGGTGCCTAATTAATCTCGTATTGTTCAGCCTGGAGAACTTGTCCATAGATTTACTGGATCTATGGATTGCCGGTCAAGAAACTACGACGACTACGTTAGTTTGGGCCACCGTCTTGTTACTGAATCATCCTAAGGTATGAATTCATCCTTTTCGGATAATGGGAGGCGAAAAGAGTTGGAAGTTGCGTCTTACATTTTTCTGAAGATGCAAAGATCCTGTAAGGCTGAATTAAACAAACTTCGAGGTACTACTTGAGAGATGCATTTGCTTTCATTGAAACCATTATAAATTTACTGAGGAACCGCTTGAGTACTTAGGAAAAAGATTTCAAACTACATTTCTTAAGAGACTACTTTAGTTTTCCACGTTTGAAAACAGTTCTAAGTTTGCAATCTTTTTAAGGAAACCTGTGTAGAATTTTCGAGTTACAGCTTCAATGAGTGACCTTTTAAGTGAGGATTCCAATTATTTTGATTACCAAGATCAAAAAAATTCTGTTTTTGGCACTTTTTCTTTAAGGTAAAAATAGAAGAATTCGTTTGGAGGTCCAAAAAAAAACGTGAAAAATTTAACTCTTACTTGAAGCCCCTTTCTACTTTTCTGTCGTTATAAATGGTCTTGAAAGGAAGAAGAACGCGTGAGACGGGAACTACTGTCGGTGACCGGCGGCAGAGATTTATCTTTGTCGGATCGTTCCGCAACACCCAATCTCAACGCTTTGATTGCGGTAAATGCCTTCACAAAAGCAAAATAAAGTAAATGAAATTCCAGGAGGTCCAACGAATCGCTTCGATTCTGAACATTAACTTGCTTCGTTGTGTTAATAAGGTAAACTTGAAAATCAATATTAAAAAGTGCTCCAATTTATCAAAAAAATTAATGATTTTTTTACCCCGTGGCATTGCAAAGAATGATGTGATGCTTCGCGGCATATTTCAATGGCCCCGAACAAAAAATACCTTCGCGTTTTAGCCTTTAGTATGACAGGGCAATAGTCGCATCAGGTCGGGCGCATCTTCTGCGACAGAGAGAAATTCCTACCGCCAGAAACGTAGTTCAAATCCAACGCTTGGAGTTTCTCCAAAATTTATTCTATTAAAGTTATAAGCTCGCGGAAAATCTTCAGTAAAACGACCGAATTCACAAAAATGAAAGTTCGCACGTTCTTTTTTTGTTTTTGATAAAATTTTTTGGAGTTTTTAACCGCTTTATAAAATTAGGACACAACTATTGATGGACAGCCCCTGGCCGCGGGAACTGTCGTCACGGCCCAACTTTCTGCAATACATACAGATGAGACGCTTTTTGAAGACTCTCATGAGGTTTTAGGATGGCTTTCGGAAATCTGTGACAGTTTGGAAATGATTTTCAGTTCAAGCCAAGCCGATTCCTGAAGAATCCCAAGCTGGAGCCCAAGCTCATACCGTTCGGAATCGGGAAGCGAGTTTGTTTGGGAGAATCTTTGGCGAGGGCCGAACTGTACTTGGTTCGTTTTGATGGCATACAAATTGTTTTTCTTCGGTACAAAGATAATTAGCTAGATATGAATATTTGTGATCGATTTCCAAGAGACTTTTGAATTGAAAAAAAAATAATTACCTCTGAAATTTTTAAGTGTCTTGATCACATTTGAACCAATTTTTGGTAGACTCGACGCGTCTCAATGATTCATACCGAAATTGATAACTTTCTGATTTTAGATCTTGGGCAACCTTCTACTACGCTACCGTCTGAAACCAGAAGGCGCCTTGCCCAGCACAAAAGAAACGTCGCCATTTGGAATGATGAAGAGGCCCATGAAATGTCGCGCCTTCTTCGAGCCGATTCCCGCAGATTTTCAATGAAAATACAAATTTTCTTGCTTCCTGCGGATAAGATCGGCGACCCAGCCAATAAATGATTATTGAGCTTCTGGATAGAAGAACTAGACAACGAATGATCTATATGATTGGGAAAGCTGAGGTCGAGACGGAAAGAACGATATGATTGGATAAGCTGTAGCTGATCTAGGAGCCGAGATATAAGCTTTCAAAGATATTCCTTAAAATTCGGAAAGGCGTCAGATTGAATGCATTTGGTGCACTGTACCACGGGGTACTTCTCTTGCTCAATAGGACATCTAAAAATTTTTCGTTTTCGGGGTTTTTCCCAAAAAAATCGAGGGAGCAGCTTATATATAGTAACTTTATCATAACCTTTTCCAGGAAAAAGCTTAAAAACTTAGTTGGTTTTTCTGTAACTTTAAAATGAACAGAGTTATGAAGCTTGAAAATTTGAAAAATGCGATTTCTCGGACACAGTTTTTGCTCAATTTTTAAGCTTTTCCTGGAAAGTGATATGATAACCTCATCTAATCATATCATTAGATTTGTCTCGACCTCAAATTTCTAGTGTTGTAAATGAAAACCGATCGAGCTTTGTCTGATAATATGTCTGTCTCTAACTCGGCCTTCCTTCAAGACTTCGATATGAAGACTAAGGATATAGTCTGTTCAGATTTTGAATGTCAAGTAGAATGACGTCATTCAAAAACGCTCTGTGGATGGCTCGCTCTCTGATTGGTTGATCGCATTATGGGCGGAGCTTGAGCGACGACTTGACATTTAAAATCTGAACAGACTATATTACACTTTCGGATAAAGTTCGACTTGCAAGGCAAACATTTTTCAAGTGTTTCAATGTCTGTCTACATGAAAAGATGTGATCAAGAAAAGATCGAAGCGGGTATAATAGATATAGGTTGGTCATGAAAAATGCATGAATATCTCAGACTACCGGGGGCGATTCCAATTAAACTTAAAGCCAAAGGAATGTGGGTGGAAACCGTGTGAAGTTAAATTAATGCTTGTTTGCTAAAAACACAATTCTACAATTTCTCAGCACAAGATCTTTTCAACAACTGCTTCTTATTGCTCTGATTCGATGTGAGAGGCCGAAAAGTGATGAAGAAAACGAATCTGATCAGTGATAGTTTGAACGGGATTCACTTGGATCTTGCAAGTGGGTGGCCGCATGAGGGGAATGGCTAGGGTCCATGCCAAACGCGCCCGCGGCAAGAGTGAACAAAGTATATGCAAAAAAGGCGATTTTCAGGGGGAAAATTACTTGGTGATGAGGTTCTTGGCACGTTTGTTTGCCGATTCGACGCGAACTTCGTTGGATTGTGCCTGAAATGTTCATCACTTGATTTGGTTTTCCTATTTTATTTTTCACCTTATCGTGGATACGGTCGAGCTGCCTGTTCTGGTTGGAAACTTCAGTGCTCATATCAATAGCCATGTTGCGCAGGTTACCGACCATTGTGGAGACCTGGAAAATTTCGTATTTCACAAAATATTGAGTTTAAAAAACCTGCTGAATATTCTCGTCCATTTCCTCTTCCCTTGCGTCGTTAGTGATCCTGGAAAAATATTACTCTTCTTTTAAAAAATGGGAAAATCGGCAACGGTAAAGCGTTGCTAACGCGACGCGGCTTTTTTTTTCGGGAAGCCAAACGACCTTTTTTGTTCATTTTTTTTTCTCGTTTTTCGATCATTTTTGAATGAAATAACTATTTTATTAGGTTGGGAATTCCGATTAGATGAAGGAAGGTTTTTTTTTCCACATTTTTTCTATAACTGCGGCTGACCTCGAGATTTTCTCGAAAAGCCGCGTCGTGTAATCAACAAGGCACTTTGCCAATCTGCGCATGTTTTTTTTTGAGTCGAGAAGTATATAAAAGGAATTTGCTTGTCCGTTTAAGTGTCAGTCTTTGGAATATCTCTGCTTAGAAATGGTCGTTACTTGGTGATGTATCCGCCTTGAGGCCCCATGGTCGGATCTCCGACGGTGATCCTCGGCTGATCAGATATCACGCCTCCGTCGTCGTCCTTCTTCCACGCCTTCGCGTACTCCGAGTTCTTCTCAAAGTCGTCGTTCCTGCAAGAAGCTGAGGTTCAAGCATATTGAAGATGCGAAAATTTTGAAAATTTGATATTTAAAATTTAATTTTGTACTTTTTTCTGTAGTTCTCTAGCTTTTTACGCCATGAGGAGCATCAAAAGTTCTACGATTTTGCAAGTCTTTTCAAGAATTCTAAAAAATTTCCAGAGAGGATTTCCCTTTTCTTCAAGCCGTGACTTCTGACTTGTCTGCGTCTCTTTCCCTCATCAACACAATAACAAACTTGAAAATAGAGAGTAAAAATAAGAGAGACACCGAGAAAAATGTTGGACAAAAAAATCAGAAAAAAAAAATAATTTTTTCAAAGTTGTTTCGAAAACGGAAAACCAACTTGTTCCAGGGCAAGACGCAGAGTCCACAGCACTTCTCCATACCCTTCAGATGGTCTTCGGCTTCTTTCATGTCCGTGTTGATCGTGTCCAGAGCTCCCTCGCATCTTTCCAGTTGTTCTCAACAGAAATCATTTATTACAGCTCACTTAAGGTCATCGAAAATACTTTCATAAAGGAGACTTCTGTTTTCAACTTCAACCTCAAAAAGTTATGGCAGTGAATAAACTATCATCAATATTAACCTCAAATTTTTGGGCGATTCCTGGTCCAATTTAATTTTTCAATCTCTAAACTTTCTTTTTGACCACATGTGTTCCATTAACGCCAAACTTTTCAAAAAAAATCTTCGAAGATGAAAATTCTTCCAAAATAATTTACCTCCTTGATCGTCCAGCATGACGAGAGTTTTGATACCCGCTTCTTTACTCTGAAAAAAAATTAGTGAATTTTTCAAGGCATCTTTCTTTTGCATGAAGGCTCAGAAAATTCGCGAAAATCTTTCTTGAAAAGTAACGAACCTCCTCGCACAGGGCCATCATCCGACGGGTCGATTCGAGTGACTGAAAAGTTGAAAATTAAAAAAATTACTTCGGGAAAACTTTCTCGATTTTGAACTCTCTGATATGATTACAAAATCTCAAACTCTTCCACTTCTTTTCATTCTATTCAAGTTAATATTTCGAGCAAATCTTGAATGTTTTGTAAGTTCATTAGTTTTATTTTTTTGCATCCGATTTCTTCTTGTTTCTGAAAAAAATCAACTGATCCACAAAAAAATAAGTCCTCATTGAAAAATTAGATTTTTTTACTCTCCAACTTTTCCACTCCTCTGATTTGTGTTGAGATCCATCAAGTTCGCTCCATCAAAACGTCGCCTTGATTGGCTGATGGAGCCTTTTTTCGATATTTCGAAAATTCGAGCAAAAGTTCTTCTTGCATTTTACAACCAATCAAAAGCGAACCAATTTTTTATTTTTTTAATGTCCCAAATGTCCCTCAATTGAAATCAGTACTGGTTCCTGAGGCAGTACTGATTTCTAAGCCTAAGTTAAGGAGTTAAAATTTATTCCAAGCGCCTTTCTTTTAAACTACTTGTACCCCAAGCCTTCTACCTGGATTAATTGAGTTGTTTATTTGTCCATGTAGTTTTAAACTCAAGAAACGCGAGAAAACTCTTTTTTTCCGAGAACCTCCAAGGATCGGTCTTCGATGGAGACGTTGAGGCCCTTGAGCTCGTCGCTCATGTCGGCCGGCAGGAGGAGGCCATTGATCCGGACCGAAGGCTCGCCGTCGAAACTCGGCGGGGGATGTCGGTTCTTTGGGTCGGAGGCCGACATCCCCGTGGCGCGCAGTTTCTTCTGTCGGTCGTCGCGCAACGGAAGCCCTGGAGGCCATCAGAAGTGAGGAAATGCAGTTCATTCGAGTCGGAGTGAATGGAGGATTCGATTCGGCAAAAATTAGGAAAGATTCTGAGAAGTGTAGGAAAACATGTAGCGAGAGGATTGGAAAATATATTTCAAAGAAAATTAAATTTTACACATTTTTGCGGAATTTTGGAATTCTTTAGAAATTTTTTGAGATTTTCAAGTTTTTATAAAAAGACTTCAGATGAAAGAAATTTTCCAAAGAAACTATTTTCTAAGTCGATTCTTTTGAATCAGTTTTTCGATTTGGTTTTCGAAATCTTGTCTACAAAAATTTAAAAAATAATTTTCAAACTTTTCAGAAGCTAGAATAGTGGGAAAAAAAGATTGAAATTGTTCTGAGAAAAAAACTTTGAGATTACATTTATATAATAAGATAATATTTTTAATCAACCGAACGCCGACAATACTCGAGTATTTTATTCAAAAATGAAAATTCCAACAAGATCCAGTGATATCTTGAAAGATTACCAAAAGAAGTTTTTCAAGAAGACTAGGTGAAGACTTCTTAGAAAACAGAAAAAAAATGAAGCTGGAGAAAGAATAACTTTCCGTAAATTATAACCAGAGATATAGAAATCTGAACAATTGGAAAGAAATTGCATCGTTTTTCCGCTTGCATTCAATAAAGGTAATGGAGCGCAGCCCCACAAGTATCGAGTTGAGAAAAAAAAAATTTTCCCGGCAGGTGTCTTTTTTTTTTCAAAATTTCATGAAAAAAGTATTGGTAAACTACAGAGTGGAAGGGAAAAGTACAAATGGAGCAAAAAATCACTAAACTTCCAAACTTGATTGAAAATGAAATTGAAAAATAGCTATTCTGGCGAAGAGTCGAAGTTGAGCGGAAATTTAAAAAGTTCTAGGGCTTCCCAAGAAACCATAATTCCTTTAATTCTTTTTAATTTCAACCCTCGTCTCAAAGTAATCAATGTATGGAAGAGTATATAGTCCAATTATGAAAGCTTAAAAATCCTTCGCGAGAAGTAAAAGCTTTTCGCGTCAAGATTTATTATCCAAGCCATCTATGCTCCTTCCAAGTTTCATAGAAAATCAATGAACTGAAACATCGAGTTATTGAGCCCGCAAAACAGCTTGAAAAATCACGCCACAAAATACACTCCGCACAAAAGACCCTCTTAAAAAGTTGAAAAAAAGGTTCAGCTCGAAATATTTTTTCGATAGCTTTTGCTATGAAGCCTTCCAACTCAGTGGGCTCCTATTAAGGAAGTTCTGGCATTTCATCGAAACGTGTAGTCCAGTCATAAAACCTCGAAAAAACGTTCCACGGACACATTTAAAATCCAATCCAACCCAAGTGGGCCTTTACATTCTAGTAACCATTTTTAAATAAACTATATTGAAATCGAGTCAAACACACGGAATTGGAACAAAACTGAAGTGAATTCTTGGTTTCGAAGCATCTTGAGATATGGTAAATAGCGACGAAGCGGGCGTAACCGGATATATGTGCCTGAGAAAAGGAATTTTTCGCTCCACGCCACACACATTATCTCTTGCCGTTTTGCCTTCCGTTTTGAGCTACCCTATCCATATCTTCCACGCGGAATCAACTAACAAATTAGCACTTCTGATTCGTATCAGGAAGAGGGAAAAGAAATGTTGCGATAAATTTGATCAGAAACCCTACAGAGGTGTAAACGTAATAATTTTAAAAATAAAAGTTTTTTTCGATAGGAATTTCTGAAATAGTATAACATCTCTCAAAAGGACTTTTACAAGTAAAAACAAGATTTTCCGGTAGGGGAGCCAAAAGACCAGTCAATAAGATGGCAAAAAGCGGGAGTAAAAACGACATGTCAGAATGGATCGGTCCGAGGGACTTTTTGCCTCCTTTTCCTGGGGCAAACGGACATTCCATTCATATTAAATCAAAAGGAGCTATGTGTGTGTGTGTGTATTTGAGTGTGCATGTGTGTGTTTTTCGTTCCAATAAGGGCAAAAGCTGACTGAAAGGTTCACGAACAGGGATGCGAAAGTTGGTTTTCCGTCCTATTTAATGAAAAACGTTTGGGTCTTGAAAAAGCTATATTAAATTTTTTTTAAATAATTTTTTTAATGGATTATCGAGAATTTCGGGAAGAACAAAACATCAAAAAAACTAGTTGATTAAAAAAACCGTACAAAATCAAATTTTTTTAAAAATCTTTCGTAATGACTGAGAAGTTGGAAATAAAGTCTAGTTTCGAAAAGGGCTGAATTTCAGAAGGCTCAAATTACGGAAAAATTGAAAAAGTACGGAATAAAAAAACTTAATTTCTGAAAGTTTTGAATTTCGGAAGCTTCAAAAAGTTGAAGAAGATGAGAATAAAGTCCATCCTATGAAAACGTTTCGAAAAAAAGCTCCAATTTGTTTAAGCTTTAAAAAAATGTAGACAAAACAAAAATATTTTTTTCGAGTTTTTTTTGGGTTCCTCACTTCAAAAATGCCATTGTCTTTCGCCAGCCTCACGCGCGTCACAAAACATATCAAATATTCAGATTTTTTTGATAAATGGTGTGCCGGAAAAAATGAATTTTCCTCCAAAACGCAAATAGTTCTGCTACCAACCGCTGGTGGGGCTTTTAAGAGTTTTTCGTCTAAAAATCGGAACAAAAGAACCTTAGGTTACAAAAATGAAAATTGAGCCAGCAAAAGAAAGCTTCTCAATAGCACAAAAAAAAAAAAATAAATAAAAGCCACCATTTTCCTCCAAAATTTCCAATTTTGTCCGTTCGATCCATTCACCAAATGAATTTATGGTCCCAAATTACGGGTTGAGAAATTTTCCACCTGGCTTTTTTTATTAGGAAAAATAGTTTTTTTCTTTCTCCTTTTCAAACTCATTTACTACAAAGCACCTGCGCAAAAGCCAATGCATTTTGAAGCGAAAAATGGGCGAAAAGAAGGGAAAATAAATAATTAACTTGGCTGCCACAGGGTGGACAAAAAAAGAGAAAGAAAAATTAATTCTGTTCGTGGCGGTTGTTTTTGGGGGTGACCGTTTAGCCAGGCCTCTGAGAGAATTCAATAGGAAATATTTGTGATTATTACATTATTGAGCTTTTTGCCGAAAAAACTTAAGGCACAAAAAATGTCTACTTTTCAAAATGCTCATGATATGAGTCAATGTTGAACTGAAACTTCTGTAGTACATTTATGACAGTTTTTGAGCCTATCAAACGAACAAGTCGGTTCTTATGAAACTTTTTCAAGGCGCAGATAGGTTGTTTAAAGGCGAAGCAAGATAAACTAGAAAATTCTTGTCAACAGTCCTTTTAACATGCTTCCTTTGTACAAGTGAGCAATCTAACAAGCTGATTTTGATTAAATGGACTTTTGAGATACGAAAAACTCGAATCGAATTACATTGTTGGGAAATTAGAAAATCCAGTATTTTTCAAACTTTTTCTGTTCGCGGTTACCTTATGAACATAAAAGGTTCAGGCCACTGTAGAGCCGTCTAAATCCTCTTCTTTCGCTAATCGCACCAGGACCTTCCAATTTTGACTAGTGCCAGCAGTAAACTAAAATTCGAATTCGTACAGAGCAATTATGAATGGACTACTGCTCAGAAAGCTTTTTGAGCAATCGAGAAATAAATTTCTATTTTTAAATCTTTTTTTATATCTCCGTGGCAGAACTAGTAAAATTATCTCTTTGTTAGAATGAAACAGTTAGAAACTAAGTAAAGTAATACTGAGAACAAGGAGAAAAGACGGACTGGGTGAAGGAAGAAGAGAGCCAACAAATGAGGGGTGAAATTAGTGAAGAAGAAGCAGAAGACAAGGCCATTTTCTTCCCTTTTCGGTGTCCGCCTCTTGATTAAATTGGAGTCACGATCTGTCAAAAACTGGAAGAAATGAAAAAAAAAACTTGGTGGATTAGAGAAAATTACACTAAGCGTCACAATAAACTGATCGGATGATTTTTAAAAAATTTTCAAAATACGAAAACAAGAGATTAGCGACACCCTGTAGAGATTCCAGACAAAGGGGAAATCCTCTTGCTGTCTGGAGTCTCTTCTGGCCGTAGTTGGTTCCTCATTCTTTGATTTGTGTCGTGGATGATAAGACTTTTGATAGAACTGTAAGAGATCAACGGAAGCCTGAAGCGACGCCAGACAGACGGAAATTTCCTTTTTTTGGAGCCTCTTCAGATAATCTTATTTTTTGAGCTGTCGGGACAGTTTTTAATTGCAACAAACAAAAAATATTTTTAACATACTGAATAGAAAAACATTTTAGAGTCGGGTAGTCCTAACTTTGAAAAAGTTGGTCGCATGGAGAATGGCTCGCAGCGTTTGCGGTTACTATGAAGATACGACCGACCAGAAACGACTTACGCGCAGGTCCGAAATGCAAAGCGTCAGCCACACGAGGAGTTATACAAAGTGACCAAAAACGATCCGCATTTTGTATTTTTTTTTCTTCCTCCTTGCTTCTCCACTAAGCACGGTTAAAGTTAATGAACATTGATGAAAATTCCTACGTAGGCTTTCAAAGAGATTAGAAGATTGATAAAACGAGCAATCCAACCGGGTGAGTAACTTTGGAAAAAAGAAAGAAGAAAAGTCGGACGAAAGCCAACAAATGAGGGGTGAAATTAGTGAAAAAAGGGGCCATTTTTCTGGAGCAGTCAGACTTGGAATTTGACGACGACACAGTGAAGATGTTGTAATTATGCTCTTGTTTCTTCTCCCAAGGGCCGGCCCTAATTTCATTTGCCTCCAGAGTCGTTCCAACTCTCGAAACAATTTTTTTCCCTTCTTCTTTGTGTCGCCTATTCATTTTCTTGGGTTTCTTTGAATTTATTGACAGGTCGGGGACCAACTTAAAATCCCTAGCCAAACCTGGAAATGTCAAAGAAGGATTATAAAGAGGACTTTGCACTCTTAAGCGCCTCAAAAATCCAGAAAAGTGTATTTTTCTTCTGCAAATTCGCCAGTTCAACCATTTCTTGTTATTCTCCAACCCTTTATATATACCACTCAAGGGACCATTCGGAGGGTGGGAAAAAGACCACGGCTCCTCTCTTTAAGTGATCCCTTGAAATTTCTTGAGTAGGTTCTCTTTTCGAGGGAAAATTCCAAAATATACAATTCCAAAATTTTCCGCGAATCTCCAGGTAAGTTTATTTTCATTTATTGTTTTATTTTTATTTATTGTCATTTACTAGTTTTCAAAAAGTAAACTTTTCTAAATTCATAAATCTGCTCGATTCTTTTTGAAAGAATGAAAAAAAGCCTGTTTCTATTTTATCTTCGTATACTTCCTTTTCTGCGCCTCAGGTTCTGTTAACCGTCTCATCAGAAAGTTCAAAACCTCACGAGATTCGAGAAACGGAAGGACGTACCTCGTCCGTGACGGCGTTCATCTTGAGGTTGATCGCCTCGAGCGATTCTGGAACGTCGTCGTCGCCGGCCATCCTGTAACAGTATCTCATTGATTCTCAAAAAAAGTTAGTTCGAGAAAAAAATGAAAAATTATTCAGAGAAAAAAATTTTTGAAAGTGAAAAAAAGTTCCTCGAAAAACATGGATAGAGCAAATGGGAAGAAGTAACGAATTTCGGCGAGCTTTTTTTCGGCGAGCTTATTCCAAAAAAACTCTATAAAAAAATCAAAAAGAAAAAAACAGCTCACTTTCATATTTATTTAAAAATACACCCGGGTTACTACAAGAAAGAGATTTCGCATTTTTTTTCTAAACATTTCAAGTTTTACAACTAATAAACTGGAATAAGCCGTTTGTCTGGGAGAAATGCGCTCCAAGAATAAATTTGGAATCATCTTTTCTGAAAAAGGTCCGGTTTTGAAATAATGATAATGAAAACTACTATTTATTAACGCAGTTCTGAATGATACTATGAAAACTACGAAATAGTACATTTATTGGAAAATGGCACTTTTCGAAGCCTCAATTTGAGCATACGACATAGCACGTATCTCCTCAGACCTTATTAACGCGAACGGGACGCGAATCGGACGTGTCGGGGCATTTCTAGTGATCACTTTAGTAGCCTCAGAACTCTTAAGGGATCCCTAGAATCGCCCAGAAACGTCCGGAGCACGTCCGTTTCGCGTTACCAATGTCCGAGTCAATAAGAAAAATAATTTTTCATTTTGTCAATGGAGCACTTTTCATCCAATATAAGAACGAATATTAATCATCTCTAATAGCTAAATTATAGGTTCGAAGCTAACGAAAGCTAGTGAATTGAACATTCAATCCAATATTTCAGAATTTGTTCTCTTTATTCTCTTTTTTTTCTCGAAATGTTTCACTAAAAGAAAGAGTAAAGTGGAATCTCCAGAACTCGATGAAAAACAAAAGGTCAGACTCAGGAGAAAGAAGAAGAACGGGATTCGCGAGAAATAAAAGAAAGATGAATCGGCTCAAAATGGAAGGGAAACTAATCAATCTGAGAGCCGTCGTGCGCATAAAAAGCGCTAATAAAAAAGCGGAGGCATTTAGAAAAAAATGATGACATTTTCCGGTTTATATATTTTGCAGCGGGGATTCATTTGGTATGGAAGAAGAGTTCCGTTTGAATGGGAATGTTTGAAAAAAAAATAAGGGTAGAAAATGAAACTTGCTCTGCTCTTCTTGCAGCCTGATAGATTTTTGAAAAGCGTTACAGCTTTTAAAAAAAATATTCTTCCCGAGGTCTTTTTCATTTTTTTTTTCTTGCGACAGAGAATGTGGATAATAGACACCGAGTGACCTTTTTATTCACATGAAAAAGTTTGAATATTTAATAATAGTTGTGAAAAATTCAAAAAAATTTCTGAGAAGCATATTCCTCTCAAAGTTTTAGTAGGGAGGATATTTTCCAAAAGATTTTTCGCTGGTATTGAATCATCATATTGAGTTCAAAAAAACCATTTACCACAAAGAGAAACAAAAACAGGAAAGAAAAATCATTTTCCAAGCTTATCCCGATACGAATTTTTATAAGCAGGTGTTTTAGAAAAGCTGATATTTTTTTTAAAAAAAGGGACAAGGAAGGAAGAGGAGGAAAAAAGTGAGGCCCGAATAAATGATGGATCGGTGGTGCGCGTTTGGTTGTGGCTGGTTGGTTGGCTGGGAAGCGAAAAAGAATTTGATTTTACGTCGCTTTTTGGATGTGGACAAACAGCCTGGAATCAAAAAGAGGGGCAGTTTTCGAAACTTCATGAGAGGAAAAAATCCAACTGAACGTTGGGTTCCCTTGGAAATGCCAATAAATTAGAACACAATTTTTTTTTGAAAATATTGATTGAGAGAGAAATATTAATCCGAAAATCTTGAAATTTTAAAAATCTATCCTAAAGTTTATGTTGAAAGCTTGCTGATTAGATGATGAAATTTTTTTCGATAAAATTTTCCACATTCATAAATTGATTTAGACTTGTTAAAAAGGAAAAATTACTTGAAAAAGAAGTCTTTCTCTGGACTTCTTACTTTTATATAAAGAATTTCATTATTTCAAAAAAATAACTTTAAAGACTCGTTCAATCAGGAAAAAAATATCAATTTTTTTCAAAAAAACTTTCAGAAGGAAAGTTGCAAAATATGGCCTTCAGCCTACCGATGACCAAACAGCATGAATACCAAAAAATCTACTGCAAGAAAAGTTCGGTTATTTAGATTCTAATCTTTCGGACCAAAAAGAGAAGATCAAAAGATCGATACAACGTCACTAGAAAAATAGAAAGAATTACTTTTTGTATTTAAAAAAATAACACGAATATCTTACAATTGTTAAACTAAACGATAAGAAATTTCAAAAAAAGTCATTTTGAAACTCTTCTCGCAATAATTACTGACGTTAGTTCAACGTATAATCATTTAATGACGCATGATAAAGTTTTGCAATTCGTGGGAAATGATTCAAAAATAAAAAAATAGCTAGGTTTTAATAGAACTATCAATGCCTTTTTTTAAAATTTTGAAGGAAAAAAACAGCAATTTAAAAAAAAAATTTCGTGCGAAAACTACAGAATCTACAACTTTAAATTTCAGGCAAAGAGTAAATCCCGAATATTTGATTCCCTTAATAGTTTCATAAGCTTCTATTTTTTTCTTATCTCCATATCCCACCCCACGAAATGGAATGATTCAATTCAAATTCTGGAAAAGGAATATCGAAGCTGCAGTTATTCGAATGATTACTTCTTGGGATATAATTTTTTTGAAATCATGTTTAATTCTTTTTTTCTCGAGAACTGAGTATATTCAACACGATTTTTCGAGAAAGACTCTTTAAGAAAGCTTTAGAAAACGCGATTGTAAATCGAACGGCAATGAGGAGCGACATAGAAAATAATAATGGCAAGGGGAAGCCTGGGGCCATAAATCCAATAAATACCGGGAAGCTCGAATACGTTTTTTTTTCCAAAATTTGTGATTTTGTTCGCTCGAACCTTCGAATCATTTTCAACCTTTTTTGTATTTTAAATTGGTGGGATAATAAAATTTTTGGAAGGAATGTTGAACTGTAATAATGACGTGATTCCGAAAAATAGGTATCAAAGACTCAAAAATAGAACTTCAAAAGGGACAGAAATTGGAAGCAAAATAAAGTTTCACAAAGGCTAAAAATCAGAATGCTGACAGTTTGAATTTTCATATCTGAACACCTGATTTTAGCCCTAAAATTCAAAATTGCCTGATCAGTTCTGACTTAACTGAAGTTAAGAAATATAATTTTAAATAAAAATAGTAGAAATACGCAAATAAAAAAAGCGAACGGCTAGGGAAACTGGATGAAAAATTGGGAAAGGAAATCCGGAGCCGATAATGGAGAGTAGTGTATGTAAAGAGGGACGATGAGAATGGGGGGGCGGGCGGCCGAAAAAAGAGCCAGAAAAGCGTTTTGATCCCCCGCTGGCATCGGCGTCGGAGCAGTTCCTCTCCGACAAGCTCCGTCGAAGGCCGACGTCTTCTGACGAGAGTTGCCGTCGGTCGGAGTGAGGCTGGCTGCCTCTCTTCGCTGCTGCGAATCGATAGAAGCCCGCGCCGGCTCCGGCTTCCCGGCCAACGGATTCGTTCCTTCCTTCTTCCTTCCCTTCTTTCCTTCTTTCCGACACAACTCAAAAAACTAGAGCGTTCCGAGAAGGAACATGTTCTCTTTCCAGAAGCGATAATATCTCGGGGGCATCGGAAAAAAAGGTGTCTCAGCGGTGTTCTATCAGCGAAGGCCACGGATAAAGCTCAAAAGTTTGGAAGAAAAAATGTTTCTCAGGCTTTCTCTCTGAAACGCTCACACCCTGTCGAATAAATCGTTCACGGTTTTTCAAAGAAACTTACAAGTCTGGGGATGAAGTTTTTCAAGATTGAAACGGATAGTCGAAAATAAATTTATTTTCTGGAACTACTCGACAATTAGTACTTATTTTCTGATTCAGTTGATTATCGAGTGTTTTTTCTTCTTCAAATTTTCAAACTTTCGAGAAGCTCATAAAGTTCAAGGTGTGCTAAAAGACAAATTCTTCGCTTGACAAGCTTTCAAGTGCCGCTTCTTTCAAACTTTTTTTTTTCGCAAAAAATGATCGAAAAAAAGGCAGTGCAGCCTTGAATTATAAAAAAAGAAGAAAGAACTCTTAACTAGACTACAAAATAGAAGCTTCGAAGCGATCATCCCAGACTGATGCTTCATGACATGATCCTAAGATATTAAAAAAAAAATGGGGATTATATTCCTATTCATCAAACTGAATGTTAATCTCAACTCTTGATCCCAACTAAAAGAATAAAAATCATGCGACTGGAGCGGTTCGCAATGTCACGGTTGCCTTGGCGTTTCCACTGGTTTACTGTACCTGCCTCTGACATTGTGTGACTACCCAGCTTTACTACAAGAAGATGACATTGAGCGCAATTTTTCTTTATCGATGTATGGAATGCGTCGATCCGATCCGCTCAAGCGACTCAAGTTGTGAAAAACTGAATATAAACTACGGCAAAAGCTCTCGGATTCCGAGAAAAGGACAAGTTTTTCATCAATTTTTGATAATGCGACATGTGGAGCAAGAAAAAAAAGAGAAGAATTCATTAGACGAACTTTTCCTCAGTTTCTCCTCAATTATAATCCAGAAGAATCCGAAAATAGAAAGAAGCGTTCCGGAAAATTTTTTCCTGCTTGAATGACTAACCGTGTTCGATCCATCCAAATTAAGCTAATTGCGCCGTTCTCTGAGGAAAAATGGAGAAGTGATCACTTAAGAGATATGCGAAAATCCTATTGCTGAGCGTTAACGTCTATTTTTCATGCGGAGAAAAATTTAGAAAAATGCCAAATCGCTTGAGTTTTCTCAAACAGTAGGACCGCCTTGAAAGCCCCAAGTTTTGAGTTGCCCAAAAACTTCTTGTTGTAGCAGAACATGGTTTCGAAAGTCTTAAGCTGCACAACTTTCTGGTTTTTGAGAAATAAGTGCTCAAAAATTCGAAATAGCTTAAAAAAAAGTAGACACCCAATCTACATTGTAAAAGCTTCTCAGTCTTCACAATCTATTTTTAACTTGTCAATTTTCAAATATTTCAGTCGAAAACTGAACAAAAAAGTTCAACTGTCGACTTGCCTTTTTTTTCGGTTTTTAAGCCTAAAGACGAAGTTTTCACTAAAATGACGAACTTCGAGTAAACGTTTAAGTAACTTTTCACATCTGGAGTGCCTTTTTAAGAAATAAGAAATCGAAAACTCACAATGAATAATATTCAAAGTATTTTTACATCAAAAACCTCGCGAGTCGATGAAAATCGAACCAAAAATTGTATAATAAACTCACAAATACTTTCTGGAACGTCGATTTCTAGGCATGATCGTTTCGCGAATGATTTCGGATGGAAAGAATGAGAAAAAGAGCGATCGAATTGATTTTTGGAAAGAATTTTGCGTGGGAATTTTATGACGCAGTGAGATGGGAACTATTTATTTCTTTTAGTTTTTTTCAAAAAAATGAAATAAATTCTACTATCGGAAGATGTGCCGTTTTGGAGACTAAGTTTGGAGCTGAATCGAAAAAATGTTCGCTTCGCCTCATCCGCTTTTTCCCCTATACGTTTTTGGGGCATTGGGGAATAAGCTGGGAATATGTGTCTGATTTGAATGTTTTCCGTGTTGCGTGCGGTTTTTTGGCCAGATAGCGCATATCTATCTGTGAAGCACAATTGAGAGTATAAAAAAGCTTCCAAATGAACCAAATCCAGTATCGGGCATCTCAGTCGTTGATCGCAAAAAACTCTGTTAAGCCAAACTTGGGATTAGTCACACTCATGTTATCAATTTTGATCTCAATTTCATGATATCCGAGAAAATCCGAATAAAAACTCCATAAAAAGGGCAGAAGAAAACGTCATCAGAAAGCATTCAGAAAAAGACGAAGAAGCAGAAAAAAGCAACAAGCTTTGCCAAATTGAATGAGAACGTCGCGCGGGGAGAGGACACCCTTGGATATAAAAATTCAGCAAAGAAGAAAAGGTCAAGAATCGACCAAATATACCATTCAAAATGAATAAAAATCGAAACTTTATCACAGAGTCCAGTAGAAACTCAAAGAACAGCTTTTTAAATAGCAATTTTTTTATTAAATCTGAAAAAAGTTCACTAAAAAAACTTAATTTTATTCCAGAAACAGCCTAAAAATAAGGAATCGATATTCTTTTCATAGAGCGCAGCAGAAGCTCAGAAACAGCTCTCAACGGATAAATCTCAACAAATATCAATCAATTTCTACTTTTTAACTTCCAGCCAAACCAAAAGTTCAAATCAGCCAGCTTTATTTGTTTACAAGAGTTGGAAAACTGAAAAATATTTCATTTAAGTTCACTTCAAAGTCTAAATCTCCTTTTTCTCCAAATTTCTGAATAATAAAACCCTAAATCCTGTCAGGAAAAAAGAAAAGAAAGAGGAATCTCCACCATTCCATGAAAGAAAAATAGAGGTGGTTCCGGCCCAAAATGGGTGGAGAGGGCTTGGTTTCACTTCTTTTTTTTTTGCTCGAGAATGGCTCAAATACCCCTCGAAGAAAAAAACCTTGCTCGTGTTAGGCGTGAAAATTACCATCGTAATTAGGGGTAGAAAATAGTCAAAAGACATACTTCAGACTATTCAAATATTCCATGGTTAATGAACATAATTCGCATTTTTGAATAACATTTTATAGAAAAAAATATGAAGAAAAAGGATAGAAATTTTTTCTGAGGAATATCATGATTGAGTAAAAATAGTTCATTCACAGCTGTTTGTGTAAATGATTGCATGTAGAACGGCTAATTCAAATACCATACTTTTCTTATTTATATTATATCTTCGTTTAAAGATCTGTTCTAAGATTCAACTACTTTATGATGATATATCGTTTTGTAAAACGAAATCGTACATCAAATATCAAAAAAGATAATTTTGAGAAAAATATAAATCTCTGAAAAACTCGATGAAAGCCGGATATGACGCCCAAAGCAACGGATTTCCGGTGGCCATGGCATTTCTCCTTTCAAAGAAAGCTAGAAGACGACGAAGCGCCAGATTTCGAGCTCAGATATGGGGAGAAACGACTGAATTTTCGTGTTTTCGCAGAGAAAAGGCGTAACTTGACACAATGAACAAACATTGGAGCAAAAACCCGAGTTGAAGCGAAACTCATGAATTCCCATCAAAGTAAAAAAGCTCCAGAATTTGAAATATTCCATAACTTTGCTCAAAATAGATTTTCAGTTTGGAAAAATACTTGATGATAACTGCTTGGAAGAAAAACTTCGAAATTGTCTTTCTTGGAGTCGCTCTTATATGAAGAGTAACCGATAATAGAAGAATCTAACATTTTGAAAAATATGGGCTCAGTGTCATTAAGAAGCTCCAGACTCGAAAAGACTTGCGCCCACAAGCATCGTACAGCCTCATATCAAGATTCTGAACGTCGGGTTCCAAGCGCGACGCGGCCGCACGCTTTGCCAAATAAGTAAATCACAAATGATAAATTCTTTTTTTTTCACCATTCAACATGATTGATATCCTCGGCAGAACATGCATACCAAGAAAAATGAAATTCAAAATCGAGCCAAAATCTTTGAGAATCAAGACTCTAACGACCGAATGAAGAGTTTCAAACTAAAAAAGAGAACAAAAAAAACTTTGAAAGAATGAACAAAAATTGCGAAGGGCTCTTTCGTCCATTGTGCAAATGTGGTGCTCGGGAAAGCCTTTCACAGAGCTCCAAAAAAAAAAAGAAGAAGAAAAGGAAAAAAACCGGAGCCTATTATTCTTCTCCCATTCTCTTTTCTTTTTTTCTAGTCTACTTCGTCCTGCGCGAGAGCACCTTCCCTAAGGGAGACGAGTGTCGGCAATTATTCAGCGATTTTGTGTGAGCCGAGAAGAGAAAAAGATTGCAATCAAGAGGGAGAACGGAAAAAGTTCGTTTCAAAAAATGTTGAAAAAGTTGAACAGTTGGAAGCTTCAGGATCTGTTGCAAAACTCGATGATCAACTTGAAATATGAAAATCTCGAAAATAGTTCAAAACGGAAGTGCGACATTCGAAATATTCAAATAAAATCCGATCACAAACTTTCAGATGAGACTATTTTACGATCAAAGGCGTCAGAAAAAAATTTTGAAATCTCAACTAAGAAGTTTGAAATAAAAAAGGCGCTTTTACTTATTGAAATCTTGAGAAGTTTCGAAAACTTTCAAAGTTACAGGTGTGATTGAAAAAATAACTTCAAATTTGTAAAAAAAAAATGAGTATCCATCTCCAAAAAAAATTGAAGATCCCGAAAAAAAGTTTTATGAAGTCCGGGGTTAACTTTAGAAATTATTGTTGGAACTAGATTTTTGAGAATGATGAGAATTATTAGAAAGTTCATAACCGTTCCAAAAGTTCTACATAAAGGAAACAAGAAGGAAACACGAATGCTTCTTCCACCGTTTTTGAAAGAAAAATCAATAACTTTTTATCAAAAATCTGAAAGTTCAGTGAACATGGAAGATCATCAGGTGAGTAAACACAGTCCAAACTGTTCGATAATTTTTTTTTTCAACAAAATGATATAAAAATAAACCTTTTAAGGTCCTATTCATCCTTCTATTTCGCCGTCTGAGATGACGTCATTCCGGCTAGGTTGACGGCATCAAATTTCGACGTCGAAGCCTGGAAAATTTCAGAATTTTTCTCAATCCTTTTCCAATTTCCAGAATTTTTCGAGTTCTAATTGGTTATCGAAATTGGTATTTTTGGAAACCTTTTTCAATAATAAAATTCAAATAAATCTTCAATTTTTTTTTTCTGGTTGAATTATGAATTTGATTTGACCTCACTGTTCTTTCCATTTCTCTTTGGCTAAACTATAAATTTTTCTCCAATAGTCCAAGTTGATCATTGGACACGGTTTTTTTGTGAGACAATTAGTCAGAAAAATCATGCGGGAAAAGTTTAAATCCCTGATCCTATTCTATCCGCTCAAAGGGTTCAAAATTGAGAGAGAAACCGTCCATTTTTACATGTGTTTGACAGAAAATGTTAAAATAATTTCTTCTTTTTTCGCATTGAAATTAAGCAAATCATGCCTCTTTTCTCTAGAAGATGCTCATTTTTCAATATTTTGGGTTTTTCGTCAGACATAAAGAAACCACTCATTTTCTAGGAAGAGGAGTCTTCATTTTGTACTTAGCCTTTTTAATGCTTTTTTCTTTTGAAAAGTGATAAATTCTAAAAAAATTTTTAGATTACCTCAAGCCCTGCAGTCACTTTTTTTACAAAAAAATATCCTTTAAATTGCAATTTTTTTCAAATTTGAGGGATATTGAAAAAGTCTACAACTTTTTTCAAAACTAAAATTTGCAATTTTTTTCCATCTAGGGGGATTTTTTTCTGCCAAGTGCAAACATGAAAAAAATTTTTATGCTCGTTTTCCCAAAACTAACGCTGCACTTCTTATCTTTAAAGTTTCCTACAATTTTTCGTTCAAATTTAAAACTTTCTCCAAAAACTCCAGAACAGACAGACCTTTATTTTCGCCTTAGTAATACATAAATTATGAAAAGAGGCGCCTTTTTAAGCTTTCGAAGCGTAATAACCCGACTATATTGCGAAAAGAGAGATTTGTCTTTTTTTCTGGATTCAGAAGGTTCTAAAGTACATTTAAGAAGATTTTCTCAAAATTCTGATCGGAGCTGATCGGAACAATTGCTCTATTCAAAATATATGCTCATTTCTTAATCCTCTCAAACTCATTCTATGTCACAAAACCCCTATAGCACAAGAATTTTTTTAGAGAAAAAGAACAAAAAGAAGAGTGCGAAAAAGAGCAATTTTGCTAGGCAACGAGAGCTCCACGAGCCCATTTTTCGCCGACTATTCAAGCTCAAATTTCATCAATTTCTCATAAAATTTCTTTCATTGTTAGAACTTGTGACAAGAATCACGAAAATTTCATGCATTTCCTTTTTTTCTACTTTTCAAAAGCATCAAAAAGTCAAAATTTTTCCTCCCAAATCCTCTAATTGCTACCCTGACTTCAATCAAATCCATCAGTTGCCCTTCTATCCAGAAAACGACGCAATTGAAGCATTCGACACATTTTGTGATTCCTTTTATGTTATATGTTTTGGAAAGCAATATATTTCGTCTTTAAACGCGTCTTCTACGTCAAATTCCCGCTTCATATTGTTTCGTCTTACATCAAAAATTTACTATTAATTTTTCAATCAACTTTTCAGTTTTCTAATCACTCCATTACAAAAAACTGTCAAATCAAAAAAATTCTTTAGTTGAAAAATTCAAGATTTTTTTGAAGGCATCATTCATGAATTTTTGAACAAGATGAAAAAAAGATGAGGTGTTCGTGTTTGATAACTTATCATAGGTCATCTCTAATCAAATGAAATATTATCAATGCGCCAATATTTCCCTATCGAAGTGCAAAAGCAGTACCAAGGAATTCAATTACTTTCTATAGTCCATTCACCTCTACAGAACAAAATCTCACCTAATTTTTTTCATTTCTTCTTGCTTTCATCTTGTTTATCGGGTGCACTGTTTCGAAAATCTTTGCTGTGACGTTAAAGAAGCGAAGAAAAATATCAAAAAATCTCAAGGCGCAGAATCGTTCTCAGTGTCCCTTTGGGGTCTTCTACTCCTCAAAAATTCTTCAGCAAGCATTTTTCAAGAAAATCGACCTTATTTAATGCATTTTCAGTCTGCGCCAGAGGTGGAGAAATGGCGCCCCTAAGCGTTTTTTAACTTTTAAATTTCAAAACCGACCTAGGCCGCCAATGTCATTTCTTCATAAGTCGCTGCCTAGGGCGTCAGGGGCCAAAACCTTGATGGCAAAAAACGCGAAAAAATTGGAATTTTCCAGAATCTTGTAAAATTATTGTTTTCGAAGATTCGAAATTGAAGGTTACTTGAAATTTCTGATTTTGTAGCGGCGGAAATTTATTCTCTCAGCGGATCCCTAACTGTAAGTCTAAACCTTTTCGCCTAAAGAAAAAAATATGACCACACTCCGCCTAGAAAATTTAACTGGACATCATAGCCACCAAAATTTTTGAAAAATAATAAAAAATTTGCGAAAACCAATTTTAAATTAAAGATGAACAAAAATGACAATTTTCGCCCAATTTTTGTAACGTGGTATTACTCGACACATAATGACGCGGCTCATTTCTTCTCAGAGTCCTGATGGAAAGAAGACGGGCATGATGCGCCCGGGAGTGCCCCTCATTTCTTCCACCTCTCGTCTGCGCAAGCTACTGGTCCTGCTGACAGTGGTCTTGTGTGAGTATCACTTCAAATTTCTTGGAATCTGATCCGATTTCCAGACGTCATTTTCATTTTCGACATCCCTCTTCCTATTTTCTTCAGCCGAGAAGAAGTTCTAACGTCAAATGACAAGAAAAAGTTGGCAGAAAAATCAACGGAACCTTACAACGACTACCCAACACAATATGTCCAATTTCGAAACCTCTCCGTCCCCTACCACGTTTTGATTCAGCCCGATTTGGAGCAGTGCTCAAGGTCTGGCTAGTGGGAAAAGTCAAGTTTTCAAGTCAATTACAGTCGAAAGTCCCGGCATTTCGATCAAAAACTCTCATCATAACCAGAAGGCTAGAAAAGCTCCAAAAATGATATTTACGCTTTCAAAACGTTGGAAAAGTCTTTCTAGCGACTTTTTGTGGCTTTTCTGTCTGTTCTGTTCTCTTTAAATACCTTTTCTCACCCATAAACAGACCTTAACTCCAAACAGAGCTTTCAATGAGACGAAACTCCGAAGAACTTAAAAAACTTTCTTTCGTCTCAATGAAACACGGTTTGAAATTAAACAATTTTCAGACCACCGAAAATTCTGATAATAATACTCTCAATGGCCAACAGTACAGAGCAGCGGCAGGCGATTCGTCAAACCTGGGCCAATCCGTTAGTTTCTACTGGAATCGAGGTTTGGAGGCAAAAATAAATATTATGATTGACCTTCGACAATTTGAACGCTGTTCTGAGAATTAAAGATATGTTATGCCAATTAAAAACTTCCATAACTAATAAATTTTAACCCAACTTGAGGCGCAAATTCAAAAAGAGCTCATTTCCAAAAATCGAGTAATATTTTCAGAACGGCACAGTTCTGATCAACTTCATCATCTCAAACCCATCAAGCGCTACAGAATTGAAGAACTTGCAAGCCGAAGGTTTTCTATTCGGTGACCTGGTCGTCACGGATCTGCCAGAAAAATACGACCTGCTCAATTATAAGGTACATTCCCTTCAGAAGGGTTTTTTTAGAATATCTTGCAGCATAAAGAGGTCTGAATTAACATTGAAAATAAATGCGTCCAAAAATTGTTGAATGGCCTAAAAAATGACGCGTAAAAAGGCAAATACTCTCAAAAACTTTCCTAATCTTCATTAAAAACTAAAATAATGTACTGAAAAACAACAGGTCTACTCGCTACTCAACTTCCATCAAAAGTCCTGTCCAAATGCTGATTTCGTGATGAAAATCGACGAAGACGTCGTTTTGGACGTCGACAAAATGCTCTATTTTCTTCGGAAAGACCGATCGGCCAAACTCGCCTCGATAAGTTGCCGAGTTTGGGTGAAAGCGGCGCCGAAGCGAAAGCCCGACAGCAAATGGTTAGTTCACCTCTTCGCTTATTTCACTTCAAGAAAAACCGTACTGTTCTGTTGCAAATTTCGCTTTCAGGAGGCTGAGCGCAAAAAAAGTCAGTGGTTGCGGAAGCTTATTTTTCTGCCATGTTTCAATTTCAAAACTCTCGAAAATTTAACTTCAAAATTCTTTTCATTTATTCTATTTCGAAGAAAGCTCACTGGCAAGATACAAATTTAGTCCTGAGCGGTCGATAATAATACGAAAAACCGAAGTAATAAGGAAAACTTTTTTTTTATTCTTCAAAAAACAAATTTTTTTGATTTTACTCGTTATCAAACTGATATAAGTAGAGATTCCAATTCCAAGAAGGCCTAAAAAATTAAAAACTCATGAGGTCATGGATTCTGATCATTAATTATGTTTTAAATTCAAATAAGATCAAAAAAATCGCTTTTTTTGAAAAAAAGATCGGCCGCAAGTAGTCTAGCCCCACGTATAAAATGATTCTCCCCCTTCCCAATCCCTCGAAATTCGCTTAAATGATCAAAGGTACATGCCGTATTCGCTGTGGGGCGCCAAGTACTACCCGACTTATTGCGACGGGCCGCTCTACCTGATTGGAAAAGAGGCCGTGGAGAAAATACTCGACAAGGCGAAAAAAATGTCCTCATTTTCAAGATGGAAGTGGGTTCCTGCTGAATTTAAATAATAATGTATAAAAAAACACTCCATTTTGTCAGAAAAATTTCCCTATTTTCAAACTGAAACATTACAGGGTGTTTTTGTTGAAAAATTCTTTAGATTTTTCAGCTTCCAGATCTTGCTCATTAACACATTGAAAAAAAAATTACATTCAAATCAAAATGTTTCACTTTTTTTCTGTTTGAATCATTTCTATGAAAACTGCTATTTTGCATTAAAAAAATCTTCTTTTAAAAATATCACTTTTTTCTCTAATTAGATGTGCCGATTGAGCCAATAAGAGCAAAAAATAACGCGGTACAGAAACCGTTTCCAGGACGTTCTATTCACTGGAATCATCGCAGAAAAGGCGAAAGTGCCAAGGATCAAGTGGGACAAGCATCTGATTCATCAGAACCCAGTAAGTTATCACAAAGAAGCTAATTATAAAAATATGCTAAAAACTGTCTTAGATGTACCAGATGAAGATCCTAGATGTAAAAACTTGCGGAAATCTCTAAATTTTATGAAAAAGTGCTCAAAGTCTGAAATTGCTTTTATTTTGCCGATTTTTATGGTCAGTCTTAGACTTTTTCTACGTCTTTGGGTTTAGGCTAGCTTGAATATTCTCCTCGATTTTGAGCCTATTATCTCCAACTCTAGTAATTTCTGCTAGCGAATATTCTACGGATCTTCATCAAGTTTGTTCTGGCCTACTTTCAAACAACTCTCAGCCAAAGATAAAACTAACTTTCTCATGAGGATCGAAATTGGAGAAGCTCTCAACAATGTTTCCAGGAACTATTTCGAGGACAAAGTCAATGCGAGACGATAAAGGGCCGCAAAATATCCTACTATTTTGGTGCTCATTCCTTGAAAGGACCGGAAAACGTCGAAAAAGGCTTCAAGCAACTTCAAAACATGACTTGTGTAGTCCCTCAGAGAAAGCAAAGACCGGTTAGAGTAAAAATTAAAACTTGAGAGAATGGCTCAAATCACATTTTTATAGGAAAAAAATTGTTTTCGTCGTTTTAGGTATGCAAAATTCGCTTGTGTCATATTCAATAATAAATTGTTTGAATGTATGTTTTTTGCTTTTCCAAAGAAAGTTTTTTGGCTCACCAAAATATTCGGAAGTTTTCCCTATCTAGTTGACTTTTCTTCTATTTTTTTTTTCCATTAATTTTAAAACCTAAAAATACGGCTAAAATTCAAAACAGAAGACGTATTTATGTAATAAACGTCTAACAAGTAAGTTTGAAATAGAGAAACTTTTGAGCCGTCGTTTTCTTTTTCTACAAGATCAAACTCTGAACTTTTCCTCTATGCTCAAACTTTAGGTTTAAAGTTCATTCATGCGTTTCGAAGTATACGGCTTGAGATATTTATCCATAGAGCGAACACGTACTCAACGTACTTGGAGTGAGCGGCCGAAGTTTCCAAGATGTTCTCAAGATTTCAAGCTTCTTTTTCTAGCCTCCTCCTCCATCTACTTCTTTTCCTTCACTCGAACCTCCAATTATCTTTTTTTTCAACAATCAAACAACAAGAGAATAAATCTAAACAGGGCGATTCTCTTCCAAAAACGCCATTTCGCTGAGGGAGACCGACGGTTTGATTGCCGATTTTTTTCAAACGATGCCTGCCGCAAGGTTTTTGTCGAGGAGGAAGTACCCGATTTTCTTCCTTCTTTTTTTTTCTGCGGTCCGTCAGAAGGTCAAGGACAGAGATTGTCCAGAGAAAGATCTCGCAGCAAATTAAAAGAGAAGCAACCCCTTTTTTTCGTCAAATTACCATCAAGGTTGAACCGTTTTGTTGTGAAAAAAAACAATTTTCGTCCGAATCGAATTGAATTGCAAAACCGCGAGGTTCAAACTAGAAACAATTGCGAAAGGCTCGTTATCAGCCGGTTTTTTTTTTCAATCAAAACTTCCTCATATTTTGAAACTGTTGGATTGACGCCTACAGGGTTTTGAATTTTGAAAGAACTACAGTAAAAACGAATCAAAAAGTGAAGTTCGGCAGAAACTCCAAAAAAAAAGCTGGAGTAAACACTTGGATGAAAACCGTTTTGAAATTATTTTCTGCTCAATAACTGCGGAGCTACCTGTTGAGTGTTCCTTTCGGACATAAAAAGTTCCATCCTAAGAAGAAAAAAAATCGTGCACCTTTCAGGTGGCCACTCGACTGATCCATCAGCTCCTCTAGGAAATTATGGATTTGAACAAGTTTTATCTTTTTGTTAGAACTTTTTCAGATAATGAGCCAGCAAACCAGCTTTGAAGTGTTAACTAGGCGCTTTTAAAGAGGCTTTTAAAGAAGAAATCAGAGTCTCGAACATTTTCTTTATCCTCTGGAAGATGTTTTGAGTTCATAATTTTTCTGTCCTCTTTTCGCCCTTCTTGATTATCTCCTCAAGTGTTTCCTGAAGTTTCATGATGCAACTTGAAGCCAGATCAACCTCTTCAAATTTCCATCAAGCAATATTTCATGGAAAAATCAGACGATGGCAAAGATCCATGAGTTCAGGTAAAGTACTTTTGAAACAACAAAGTTAAACAAAAACTGTGAAACCTCAACCTCCTACTAACACAAAAAGCTACGTACTTCTAACTCCCCTTAATAAACTTCGAGATTTCCGGCTTTAAATACACCCAGTGCAGCGCTTGATTCTCCTAATCTCTCTCTTGGAGAAGCGGAAAGAAAGATTTTATTTACCGAAAAAAGATTCTTCGGGCGACCTTGAAGTCTCATTTCATTCTATAACCTTGGGCCCGAATGGAATCAGAAATAAAAACGGAAGCCGATCTGATGATTGGATTTCACAAAGAGAAACGAAAAATCCATTACTTTTTCTTGTTCTTCTCTTCCCATTAGCACTTCAATCCATAAGGAAAAAGTGGAAAAAGACGAAAGTATTGAAGAAAATTACAACAATCAAAGTTGTCCTTGAGGGGGGCAGGAACAAAAGCTTCAAATTCCTTTTTGAAGTTACCATCAGTGGCCTTTTTTCTCCAGAAAAAGTTACTTGGAACGGTCTTTTGTTGTTCCTTTCATAAAATCGACTGATTTGACGACTTTTTAGAAAAAAAATTGAAATTTTTATCGAAAGATTGGAATAAGGTGCTTCAAAAGCGCAATCAAAAAAATGGGGAAAAATCGACAAAATTTGAAATCATCTCAATGATCTTCCAATTTTTCTCACACAAACTCGTTCACCTTAAATTTATGAGCTTCTTTTGCAGTAACTATCAAAAAACAAACGGCGGGGAAGAACAGCAAAAAAAAAAATAGACATAAAAATTTAATTACTCAAATTTATACCGGTTAGTATCAAAGTCGAGCGGAAGTAGTTCCAAATCCGGGAGAAAAATGGTTATTTGAAGTTTGAGAAAGGCAGAGAAATGTTGGCTATTTGCCACTGATATAGATTCTTGTCAATCGACCGTTAGCTCGCCAAAAAAAAATCCTAGATTACTGTATGGTCTTTCTTCCGCTTCGGAACCGAATCCTAGAAGGTACACAGCTTGTGAAACGTTTTGTACTGAGAACCTTCCACCCAAGCTAGCGAGCTTATTCATCATTCTTTCTCAGTCAATATCATCATCAGAAAAAGGTAATATCGACTCGAGGTGAAGAAGTTCTTCTTCTCTCTTTGCTAGAGACTGAGATAGTACCTCGATCGTGTATGGTTTTTTTCATGGTCTATTTTTCGAAAGCTCATGCTCCTTTAATATTTATGGAAAGCTAGTCAGTGTCCCACTAATTAACATCATCAGAAAAAGGTAATCTCGACTCAATGTAAAAACAGGTTTTTTGTTCTCTCTTGGCCAGGGTGTGGACCAAGATGCTACCTTGGCCTTATGCCACGCCCACTTCCTTCACCGCTACACGTAGGACGTGGAGAGCTATAAAAGGCAAGTGACTGGGGAGGGTCTCGCATCGTCGGATCGAAAGATGTTCGAGGAGAAGCTTCTGGTTGGCATCGCTTCGGCGGCGTCGACTCTCGCCGTCATCACCTGCCTTGTCGTCATCCCTTCCCTCTACAGCACCATCAACGAGGTCCATGATGAGGTAAGAGATTCCTGACTACAGTGCTTTCCCCTCACCGGAGAAAAAAAAAATGGAAGTGTTTTAGAGCTTCTAGTTACCTCGAAAAAAAACCCAAATAAAGGTCTGAAATGTCTAAACTGTGAGTAGGTGGCTGAACTAATATTCGACACAAGACCTCAAACTTCGTCCAATTTTTTTTGCTCAAAAGGTTCCTGCGTTACTTTTGTGATCCCTTAAGGCCGTCTCACGAAGATAGATAAGCCATTAAGTAGGTTTGAAGGTTTGCTAGGTCTACTTAGGTATTCCTTTCAAGTAAACCTCCATTTGCGCATTTTTTTAGAAACAGAAAAAAATCCAGTGAGATAAAGTTTCAGAGTCTTCTTTTTTTGGTTTTCAATTCTCCAAGCACATTGTTTTTACAATCAGTCGTTTTCCCAAATTTTCCATTTCATTTTGTCAGTAATATAAATCATGATTTTTTTGATTCTTTTTTTCATGATCTAGCAATCTCAATAGTACAATTAAATTCAAAACTGTTCTTTAGCTAAGAACATCATTTTGAGAATGAAAACTGTCAAAAATGCTCATTTTTGCCTTTTTATCCGATATCAGAAGGATTTCTCGATTTACACTGTTTGACCGCTTTCTACTTCACTCATAGCTCTTCTTTACTTCTTGCTGATTCTGAAGCTTCGCAATTCAGGTCATCGACGGCGTGAACGTGTTCCGCGTCGAGACCGACGCCGCCTGGACGGAGATGCTCGACGTGCAGGTCACCGTCTCGCCGCCCAGCCGCCCACGCGAGAACCCCTTCAACAGCGTCTTCCGTCAGAAGCGTGGACAGTTCTCCGGCCTGCCATCGTTCTGCCAGTGCGAGCCAGCCAAGCCACGCTGCCCACCAGGACCTCCAGGACCACCAGGACGAGCTGGAGCTCCAGGTAAAATCTCAGAAACGACTGCTATTACTTGGTGAAGTTTCCAATAGGATAAGAATCACCAGACGCAGTAGTGAAAAAAATTTACCTACGAAAATAGCGCCACTGAACGTTCTTAGCTAACTTTTTCGACCTGCTCAAATGTATCTGCCTCAAAACTCTCTTATGATCGGAGAGCCAGATCTTTAGCTGAAATTTACGACTTTTTTAAAATTCTAAAAACGTTTTGCTTAAATTTCTATGGCTTGATACGTTGCAGAAAACTATTAGTTCTGCAAACAAAAGTATTTTTTCTTAGGGACGTAAATCAATCAAAAAGCAAATATAACTTTTCGAGCTTCAAATCTGACTTTCTCTATCTTTCAGGAACCCCAGGACAGCCGGGTCGCCCAGGAGCCGACAACTTCGAGAGAGTCCACGTCGACCCATGCGTGCAACACTTTGATGGATGCGTCAAGTGCCCAGCGGGAGCTCCAGGACCAGCCGGACGAGCTGGACCAGCCGGACCGGCAGGACGACCAGGATCGGCAGGACAGCCAGGACGTCGCGGAAACGACGGCCGACCAGGCAGCCCAGGACCAATGGGCTCCGCCGGAGCTCCAGGACAGCCAGGCCGCCCAGGAGGCCCAGGACAGCCAGGAAAGGACGGACGCCGAGGACGTGGTGCTGCTGGAGCGCCAGGACGCGATGGAAACGCTGGACCAGCTGGACGGGCCGGAGCGCCAGGAAGAGCCGGAGCTCCAGGAGCTCAGGGAGGACCAGGACCCGCCGGAAGACCTGGAGCGCCAGGAAGCCGCGGAGGCAACGGTCAGCCAGGCCGCAACGGAGGAGTCGGACTCCCAGGACACGACGCCGCCTACTGCGCCTGCCCACCACGCGCCACCTACTTTGGCCGAAACCGCGCCTAAGCCGTCGAGATCTGCGATCTTTCGCAAATCTCCGAAATCCACTAATAATAAAGACTTCCTCATTCATCCATTTTTTTTTCTTGAGAAGAACTATACACAAGATGACAAGCAGCAAAGAAACTCTCAAAAGACACAATCAAAAAAAGTAGAAGGTTAATCTTTTCCCTAAATATACAACTTAGTGAAAAAAGTACTTTAATTTTATCGAAAATAGGAGAGAGTCAAAGTTCCTTTTGAGGCTGTAGAAATAACAAAAACTTCTAAAAGAAGTGAAAAATTGAGAAGTAAAAACAAGAATAAGAACCATCCTTTCTCCAATTGAATTTTGTAAAAAAAAACTCTTTTTTTTTCGAAACTATTCTCCGAAAGCGAACCCGACTCATCAATCCCTTGAAGTTTTTTATTAAGACGAGAAAAATCGTAATATTACCTATTCACAACGTTTTTTGATGCCCAAAAGCAATTTCGGTGAAATTAGGCAATTGTAGTAGAAGGCCATTAATTAATCCTTGGTTAACCTTGAGAATTTCTCCGCTAAGGCTTAACTTTCGACTGAAATTCTGTCGTTAAAAAGTTAAATTAGATATAATTGCCACGCACCTCACATCTTCCAGCCGAATGAAAAGATTTTCAACGAGCTCTCAATTTCTCATTTGCCACACGTTTAGAAAACGAAATCCTCACATAGAACTTGTTTTTTTTTCCTCTTTTTTCGTTTTTTTTTTCAACACTTGTTTTTTTTTCATTCTTGGGCAGAAAGTCTAGACAAAGAGATCGAAACTCCAACAACTTCAACAAAGAATTCGCCCTTTCACTTAGTTGGGTAAAAGTGCCGAAATGAGTCAACAATGACTTGGGCAAATCTGATTCGAAAAACAAGATAAAGTGAACTCCAATAGTGCTGACGAGGAACACAGGGACCTTCAAAGAAACGAAAACGAAATGAATAAAATACTGAAAATGAAAGCTTCAAAAAGAAAACCTTTCCAAGCAAGAATCTGTTCCAAGACTAGTTTTAAAATTCGAATCGTTCGTCTTGGAAAATATAGTATCAATCTTAATTCATTTAGACTTCCTATATTTAAAAAAATATATATATATATAAATTCTATTCCTTCCAGGTATAGAGCCTTTCGTTTTGTTATAGAAAAAAACGGAAACATATTTAAGCGTCAAATCAAAAAAATTTCCCTTTTCAGAGACTTCGTCTTTATTTTTTTTAAGGTCAGAAAAAAAGAAATTCCCTTATCTTGGAAAAACAGCTTTGAAAAAAAGAATCGTTCATCGCTTCTTTTTACTATCGGATTCCCATAAAGTTTTCATTTATTTATATTTTATCTTACGGAATTATCGACTTTTCATGCAACAAAAAAAGTCGGAATTACTTCAAAAAATTCAAAAACACGATACAAATCGAAAAAAAAGACGCACCTCTTGGATATCCATGGATTCATCCTCGTCGTGGCCCTATTCGCAGTGCACAATCCTCGTTGTGGAAAAAAAAGATACAGAAAAAACTCTCCACCAAATACTGAAACCTTGAAAATCGAATCAGAACTTTTGAAATCGAAAAAAAAACGGATGTTCAAGCACATTTATCGAGGCGAAATAAATACAAAAAGAAATTGTGCGATATGAAAATAACCATCATGTTTGACAATATGTGATAGTGCGAATGTACAAGTGATTTGAGTGAGACCCGTGAAAAAAGCAGCAAGAATTAGATTCGAAATCAGCAGAAGCAGGTCCCTTGGTGACACGAAAATCCGTGGCAGACGGAAGTCGCGTTGGAAGTCGTGCAGGGCTTGACGTTGCACAGTTCGCGGAGGGCGTCCAAGAAGAGCGGGTAGCCGTGGCGACGGTAAGCCTGCGAGTTCGGATTTGTTGAGGAACAAAACGTTATTCATCATTACATCGTAGCAGTCGCAAGTCTTCGTCTTCTTGTTGCAGGCGCCTATCAATCCACCACAAGCGCTGTCGTCCTTGCAGCTTAAAAAAAGAGTTTGGGGGAAAATCTCTCATCTGGATAGGCAGGAGAAAGAAACTTTATCTCAAGAAATATGACCAAAAATTTAAAAATGATCAAGCACTACACATTAGAAATTCTACTCGGAGAAATTCTTAGGAACTCATGACCTTGAAAAGCACATAAAATAGGCCCTTTTTGAATGGAAAGACTTGGAAATTACTGAAAAAGTTTTCTAAAAAAAAGTTCGAGATCTTGAAAACACTGATTTTTTGTTAACATTTTTATCTGTCATTTCAGCCTTTTTTAAAAACAGGCTATCTATCTATAGTTTTATTGCTCTATTCAAAACGATTCCCGCTTCTTTTCGCGAAATTTTAAATACCTAATCGTCCGAAACGAACAAGAGGCGCCAAAAGCCCTTCGATGAGAAATTTAAATATACCTAAGAAAATTGATGCAGCCGTCGCAGTTGCACTTGCCGACGTTCAGGCCGAGGCATTTTCCAGTTCCGCCGCATTCCTCGTCGCCAGAGCACTTGGACAGCCACGTGCAAGTCTTCCTGGTCGTTGTAGTCGTCGACGCAGGAGTCGTAGTAGTCGTGGATGTGGTGACGGTGGTTGTTTCAGGTCGTCCCTGGAAATTTCTTTTCATCAGAAGTGCCAAAAAACGATTATTAAACTTTTTCAGTAAGAAATATTATCAAACTCAATTATTTTTTTCATGTGTTTTTTTTTTTGAATGACTAGAATGGAATATTCAATTTTAATAAGACTTTCCTAAAAGAAAAACATAGAATAACTTTTTCCACGCTTTCTTTTCAAATTTCTCTGTGGTTTGGAGTGTAATTACTCTAAAGCTGGCCAGAAGCACTCTTTGTGCGGATGAAACGTTATAATTTTGCGAAATGGTGTTGCAGTTCACCACGTTTTTTACCGGTTAGGGTGATCCCCTGGACCTAAAAGGGAACTCGACCATTCAGTTTGGCGTTTGCCTGAGGACTAGCTCAAACGGGGTCTATGTGCGCCTGAAACTTGTGTTTCAGATAATCGGCTGGGGCTAAATGGGTAAACGACGGTAGCAACCGCGGGTACTACTGGCCAACAGTAGCGTGCCCAGAAACAACTATAGAACACTACGAATCCATTAAATGTTTCAAATTTCAAACTTTACCGTGCTGAAGACGTCCTTGTCGTCTTGGCCAAGCGGCTGGTCATGATTTACGTGAGTTCGGCCGCCATTTTCGTGCGGTGCTCCCGAACCATCTTCCGCCGTGGAATGAGCAGCGTCTAAAAAAGAAGTGAATGAAAAAATTTTAAAAAAAAGATTCCATGAAAAATAATATGACCATCCTGCTCAAGAAAAATAAAACCAACAACAAACGCCGACGAGAAGGAGAACACTGAGAATGAGATTCATCACGAACGGGTAGTAGTTAAAGTTAGTGTAGTTAATGAAGTGACGGTGGGAGTTGGAAGCGCAGGAGACGGGTTAAAATTCGATATGACGAGATTGCGTCGTCCATCTGTAAACTCGCGCCAAATTTGTGGAAGGTCAAAAAGTTTTGATTTGACCCTACAGGGGAATTTGCAACGGTTGTCGCTCAAGAACCTCTGAAAAACGCCTTATTTTGGTTTTGGCACCTAGAAATCGCTGTTTCAAAACTGTGAGGGTTCAAAAATAACGTTAAAAGGCTAATAAAGCAATCTAAAAATATCGATTAGGCGTAAATTAAAATGTGGGTGGTTCCGCGTGCCTGCGGTAAGTCGGTCTACAGTACCTCAATAAATTCACTCTATTAATTAATTTATTAATAAATTGAAAAATTTAATCATTGCAATAATTCAATTCTAATAATGTTATATTCACTTGATAAAGCGCCAGCAGAAGTTGTACGTGACGTTCTGCATGAAAAAATTCCAATCAATTTGCGAATTTGGGCTTTGAAAGCTTTCCGATGCTCCTCGCTCCGCCAGAACATGACGATAAAGTTCTCGTTGAAGCAGACGAGCGAAAAGATTGGCTGAAAAACATAAACTTGAGTTGAACCATCGGAAATTATGATAAAAACCTGATAAAATTGAAAAGTACGCTTAATCTGCGGATAGTCAGCAACATTCAGGACGACAGTCGCCAAAATTGTGAAATACAAAGTAAAAAAATAACAAAGGACAAGAACGCCGATGTTCCTCACCACAGCAATAGTCTTCTGGGACACTTGAGCTACAAAAATCAAGTTATATTAGAGTACGTTCATAACAGCTTTTCTAAGCAAAGAAAGTTTGCTTCGAAAATGGAGTATAATGACTTTTCGGGACGATTAAAGGAGCATACATTAGGAGCAGAATCTTAGGTTTTTCCCTGCTTTCAAAAACCGAAAAAATTTGAACTATTTTAAAAGCCTGAAAAACTCTTGAAACAAAAAATGTTTACCAGAAGAACAATATATCCGGAAGGCGCTACAAATGTAGAAAACCAAAGTGAGGACAAGGAGAACGGCGGCGTACGGATAATGGAGTTGGCGACCCACTGAAAAGAGCATTTTCTTATAACACCATTAGAAATTGATATATCTGAAAAACATGGGAAGTTCCGTCTCGTTTGGAGGCTCATCTTTTCAATTTATAAAGACTACTCTCAAAAATAGAATTTTTTGTTTTTGCTAAAACAAGTAATATCTCAAAGCTTTTTGAATAAAACAAACTGACGTTCGCCCATAGCAATGGGCGGATTACAGGCGACCAAAGTTTCATCTTGAAATTGTGTGACAACGTCAAAAACGCCAAAAGCGAAGCCGACGACAACGCTGGGCAGGATGAAAATCTTCAAATAAGGCCCCGTATCTTTTTGGCGGTGCCTAGAAGTAATGTTTCGCTCTTGTGCGAAAGATTAGTATGAACCAAAAAGGAGCTGCAATCGATAGCAACATGTCGCCAGCGACGGCCATCATCAGACTTCTGTGCATGATATTGCAGGCCGTGTATCCAGAGAGGAGTCGAGAGCCTGGAGAAACAAAAATTAAAACTGGAAACTGGAACCGCAAACGCACACATCCAGGCAGGCATTTTGGGATAATAGACCAAGGTGAAGGCGTAGATGAGCTCAGAAAACAGACAGATCATCTGCGGAGGGGACAATGACGCCAGAAGAAGAGCTGAACTTTTCCTTTCGAATATTTCGAATATTTTCATCTCACCATATTTGGATTGAAGCTCCGTTCTTCGATAGGAAGCGTACAACAAATTGATATGGCCAAAAAATCCAGTAATATTCAGGATGACAATGAGGAAAACCAGAATGTTTGTTTCGAACGTCGTAGGGACTCCCACGGCTGCAGAACAGTGAAGATTCATCTCTGAAAAGTCTTTTTTTTTTCAGAGATATGACGTTTTAAAAATCGTAAGCCTTTTTTTGGTCGCTCTCACCATCTTCCGAACTTCAAGCTTCGTGAAAACAGATGCGAAAAAAAAATTTAGATAACATTCAGGTGTTTCAGGGTAAAATCTCAGCAAACTTTCAGCATATTTTCAAGGCCTTATTGGAGCGGCAAAAGGAAAAAAAAAACAATGAATTGCAGTCAATAGATTGATTTGAAGGAAACTCTCGTCTAATGGTAGGAAACGAAAAAGAAACAAAAGTCAATAGAACCAGCAGTTCGGCAATTATGATTAGAATCTGATTTTTGAAGCGACAGCCCCATTTTTCGAACAAGAAGAACCAGTTTTCGATGAACTCGGATGTACCAATTGTGAGATGATCCGTTTTAAAGCGTATTTAAACTTGAAAAAAATAATAAAGAGTTTTTATCTGCTAGATTGAAAACTGTACACAATTGTAAAAGAAATGGAAATGAAAACAAAAAACTCTATCTGCTTGTTCGAAAATTTCATATGATCAACGAAATCTGACATAAATGCCGACTAGAATCCAAAGAACAGCCCTAGCCAAGAAAAAGTGAAATAAAATAAACGTCAAATGACGCAAAATCAACTTTTCCAAGGAACTTACTCATAGGTAGTTTTTTAAAATAAAAAAATCATTCTGTATGTTTGCAAAAGGCAGCCGGGAATCATATCAAAAGACAAATTGGCTAAAACTGACTTTTGAAGGAAAAAAAGTTGTTGTAGATGCATTTTTTTCAACATATTTTGAAAAACGTTATTTAAAGCATATATTTTCAAACAAGAACAAACTTTTCAAAACTCGTGGTGATCTAGTTTCGCATGAAAAAAACCAGGCACATAAAATTTCGGAAAACAAAATTACTTTAGTTGAATCACAGGTGCATCAAAGGCGTATGAGCAGCTTTTCGAATCAAAAACAGCATATTACTCATATTATAATTTTCCATTAAAAGTGGGCTCCTCGGAACCAATTGTAGTCTAGTTTCCCATCGAAAAATCAAGTTGCTTTAAATTTTTATCGAAAAAAATATATTCAACTTCCGCAACAGTCTAGTTATCACAGCTCCTTGGAAAGCTTATAAGCGATTTCATGGAAGTAAAAAGAGTATTAATCATGTGATAATTGAAAACATCGACCGCCCGTTGAGCCAGCAATGATTCAACTATAAATCAGGCTCCAAGAAGAGCAGATGTTAGAGAAAAAACCGAGTTAATTGTCTTTTCCTGGAACCCATGGGAAATCAAGGAAGCAACTCAAATAGAATATGTTTTTAAGAAGAAAAAGAATTTTAAAGTAAGGAGCTTCAAAAAAATGATCAAAGGACCAGAAATCCTAGACATTCAGAGCTCGAGACAAGGAAAATGAGTAAAAGCTTGAAAAAGTTTTTGAACCTTCAGAAAAAGCTTGTATTTTTACAGAGTTGTCTAAAAATCGAGAAAAAAAAAACAACTTGAGATAATTTTCAATGTCTGCAATTAGTTCAGTGATATGAAAATCTGCTGAATGGAAAAGGCCAATAAATTTTTAGCCAAATTTATTTTGCTCATTGCATCTGCAGGAAATTGAATTTTGCCAATTTTCATTGCTTCATTGCAAAATATTTTCTTCAGAATACCCTTATGGCGTTCTCTTGAAAGCATAGGGCGGAGCTTGTTTATTATTGTTTCAATGAATGTCTCCCACGGGACTTCTCAAAGAGACTAAGATCATTATACATACATCATATCTAGTTCGAAATATCCAGTTTTCTCCCTGATTTCGAAAACTTGCTTGAAGTTTTGTGAAAAAAACCAAAGCCTCTTGAACTTGCGAAAAAAATGTATAAAAAAGTAGAGGCTCTCTTACTGGAATTTCATAAGCACGAGAGAAACTTTTCTTCAAAAAGATTTTGTATCGATCATCCGAAAAATTTGCGCTGATGAACTTGTCTCCGTTTGGGAATCCCCACGGAAACTACGATTTGAGGATTGAACCAAATTCAAAAAATTGCCATTTCTTCCTGTTTCTGAAACGAAAATTGTGTTCTTCTCAACAATAAAAAATCAGTAAACCGTTTAGATCAATTTCCTAGGATTTTTTTTTTGGAAGCTGAAAAGAGAAAAATTAACGACCAAAATTCTTTCAGAACAAATTGCAGATCTACCTAACCTACGATGAGTTGAAAAGAGTTGAAATCAAATCAAAGAATAAAAAGCAGCATAGAACACCAAATTCAATTCGAATCAAACCTTAAATGAATAATCATTCAATTTCCAGGTTGGAAGCAGACAATGACACATACTGAAACCAAGTTTATTATTTTTTCCCGGGAAAAACTTTGTGCAAGTTTTATAATGAAGTCAATTTTTTTATGAAACAAGTGGACAGAAAATTTAAAAAACAATCTTTACTCAAAACTGGCCTGCAAAACTTTTCTTCCAGGTGAAGACTATCAAAATAATGGAAAAAAAGTCTGAATCCCTCCACGAAGAATATTTGCACCGAACTTCAAGTAACCTCATTCCCGCTACAGTCACTCGCTTAAATATATTTGTCGCTGGAAAGTCTCTACTTTTAATATGGAAGTGCGCATGACTTAAAACTACTCGAGAGCTTTGTCATTAGAAATGATCGTGTCGGCGAGTTTTTCCAAATTCTCATTCTCAGCTTGAAACATTACAAACTTCTCAATCAAGAAGACTGCATATAAATATTTGAAAAAACAGAGAGTTAGAGCTACTTTAACAGTCAAGGTAGCCTTAAAATCAACTCTTCCTGTTCTGAAATTATTCACAAAACCTCTTAACCCATTTCTTTTTCAAGTAATTTATTTTTATAAAATAGGTTTCCATCAAACCTTAGGAACCTATCAAAACCATGTTATCTATCCCACATAAACAATTTACCTACATCTATTTTTTTGCTTAAACAAGCAAGCAGAAAAAAAAGAGCTTGAAACCCAAGGCGACCGATTTTCTCCAGGAAGAGCCCTCTCGATTTCGCTCACTATATCCGTCCGGCGAGTTCAAACAAAAAAAAGTGTCTTCAAAATTGTTTGTTTACTCGAATCACGCACTCTTTCTCTTTTTCTAACTCGACTTACACTTTTGTCAAGCTTTTTCTTGGCCAAGGTTCGAGTTTTTTTACTATCTCGACTTATAACAAATTGAGTCTATTTTTAAAATTTTCCAAAGGCCTTCGATAGTCTGTCAACCCCAACCAAAATACGTTGGTCGCACTAGGATTGGACCAAAGCGTCGCGGCCGCGTTGCAGTTGATATAAAGGTGCATCCGACCAAAAAACGACTTTCGAGTTCTGAAATTATACAATTTGAAAAACCATTTTGAGTCGCGTAGCGACCGCAAATCGTCCAGTCATATCAAAGCTGTCAAATGTAAACTTTTTCCCTTTTTTTTTTGCTTTAAACCAAATTTTCAAAGACCTTCAGTCGTTGAGCTCTTGTTTCTCAAAACTCTTTTTCGAAAAAACAAATTGTATTTTTGTAGTTCGTGCCATTCGTACTACGGTCTCCAATTTCGTTCTCTCAAATTCTCAACGTTCAAAACTTCCCCCAAACGTTTAAACATCACACGGTTTTGTCCTGTTGCTTCTGCTGTTTTCCTACGCAAACAATGGCGCGCGGCTTCAAGGTCGCCAGCCAAAAACTTTCAAATTTTACCATTCCTCTGTAATTTCTAGCTTTCTAGGACTTTAAGTTTGTACCATCTGCGAATGGTTTGAAACAGAATCCTCACCATTCTCTGATTTCTAGCTTCTTAGAGTTACATTTTCGAGGATTTACTAGCCTTGAATGAATCAAAAGCTTGAAAACTTCCAACTCTACCGTTTTCATAGTTTTCTAAACTGTGTTTACACTGACTTACCATATGCAAATGACATAAAACTTGAAGTTCTACTAGTACTTAGCTCTGGGGTCTTTTTTTTTGAAGATTTACAGTCTTGAACGAGTTTAGAGTTCAGAAACTTCAAATTTTAACATATTTCTGTGATTTCTATCTCCCTTACTTGTTAGATTTTTTTGATGAGTATCTTCGACTAATAATATAATTTTAAGTGCTCTTTGTAATTTTTAAGACGTCAAATTTCGTCAAAAAGCTAAAATAGGATTTTCCTGAAGAAAACTCCAATCAAGGATATTCAGGCTTCTGCAGCCTAATCCTGTGTAAATCTTTTCAAAGAAAAGACCTTTAATCTTGTGAAAAACGTCAAGTCTCGAAATGAAAAAGACGGACCGAAATTCGAAAAACCTACACTAGTTTCTGTTCAGTTAAGTTTCCATTACGGTTAATTCTTCACGTAAAGGTTAAATCTGCATCATTTTCCTTGAATTTCGTTATGTTGAACACTCTTTTTTCAAATATATAAATCGGATCGAACGGAAAAGTTTCAAAAGTGAAAAATGAAGTACTCTAAAAGTTTTTAGCAGACACTTCGATATTTAAAATTCGAGACTCAAGTTTGAAATTTGAAAATTTTTTGATGAAAGCAATTTTTGATGGAAAATCCCACTAAGATGATATTTTTGTCAGGTCAATCCTCAAGTATCCAGCTACGTGTCTCTCCATAAATTTTTTGAGTCTAATTTTTCCAAATAATTTTGAATCCTAGAGAAAAATCCTTATTTCAATCTCAAAAATGTGTTTGAAGTTCTAGACCAGCTTTTCAGAGAGTTCATAATAATCTGTTCAGTTGCACTTTTTCCTCACCAAGTCGTCAAGCCTAATCCTATTGTTTATAACGAAATCCAGAGCAACCAGCCTGGGAACAGAAAAAAATATATATCCCGGGATTTGTTCTCATATTCTTCTTTTTGAGTCGGACTAAGTCATTTTGTCTTGAAAAAGAAGATATATATTTTTCATAGCTTAATTTTTATTTGCTCAATTCACAGCTACCTGTCTCAACATTGAAATGTGGGATTTTGCATAAAATCTTCTCTGGTTCTTTTTCCGCTTATCGTTTCGAGGTCATTTTGTTGATAGTCATTTCATTTCGTTTTTTATTTTGTAGTAGTCTTACCTGTTTCTTAAGACCTGCTCTTTCAAAAATAAAAAATACAAAAACATGTTGCGTAATTACCCGGCTGTACACGACAAACACGTACAAATTGACGTAAATCGTCATTTTTTCTTCAAAAAAGTCTCTACCAGTCATCACAGACTTCCAATTTTAATTCAATCATTTAGTAGTCATCCTCTCTGCGTTGAAAAGAGTAATCAGTGTAGGGCGAAAAAAAGTTTCATGTGGAAAATCCTCTCGCCACGGCTCATTTCCGTCTCAAAATCGGCCGTATATTCAAATTGCATCCGCCTGGACCGCCTGTTTTTCCCATTACCCTCTCATTTTCATTTTTGCACTTTTTTAGTGTATACTCACTAAATTTTGTATCTCCAATATTATTCATAGGGGAAAAAACGGAACGCAATCGGAAAACTCAACTTTAAAAAAAACTATTTATCCTTTTTTGTAAAGAAAAAAATGATATCCCTTATTTTTGGAGACTTTTTCTCATTCAATGACTTCTAGACTACTTTTTTTTCGATTCAAACTTCAGTGAGAACTCGGAGACAAAAACTGCTCCGTTGAGGGTATTTCATGCCGAAAAAGCTGCTAACCTAACTATTAGAAAAAGACGCGTTTTTTTTTCTTATATGGAATGGCAATTAATGTACGTTTCATGGCTATTTCATTACAGTTTCTAAATAACCTACCAACAATTATTCTTGAGCCTATTTCATAAAGAAAAATGTAAATCCGATATACTTCGCGAGATTATAAAATAATAACGCGTCAATTTTGAAATCGCCGAAATCAATTTGAAGACGGCATCATAAACGACCGAATGCTCCGCTAAACGTTGAAATCATCAAAATAAATGCCAAAAAGTGGAACTGTCTTTTTAAATATGACTCAATCCATCAGAGTATCACCTATGAAATAAAAATTCATTTTTAAAACTATCTAGGCGTGTAAATAACTCAAAAGACGAACAAAACAAAAACTCCTCATATATACTTTTTATCCACCGCAAAACTACGAAATTTTCGTACTTTCCAACACGCAATCGTGCAAATCTTTCCTACGTCTTTAATATTTCAGCATTACTTCATATTCTCTTTGTAACTGATAAATTTGTAGAGCTCTGTTTTGGATGGAAATGATGGAAATATGTATCAACTACATGATATCTCTATGCAGTTTATCAAAAGCTCAACTTAATTCTTATCTATCACTATAACAGGAATAGTGATAAAGTTCCGTTCTTCTCCAGTTGCATCTTTGAACTTTGCTCTTTTGTTGCCATTTTCTTTTATCGCTTTCAGTTTTCTCTATTCATATTTTTTGATTTCGTTCTGCACTACTCCCTGTACATACTCCCTTATTAAAGCGGAAAATTAGACAAAAATTCTGAGCCTGTTTCCTGTTCAACTTTGAGCCAGAACGAATCCTTTCGACGTGAAAAGAATGAAATTTTGGGAGGAATTCTTGACGAAAAAAAAAAGTTCAGAAAATGAACCTACTCCAACTGCTTCTTCCTATTTACGTCTTTTTCCAAACAGGTTAGTTATACAATCTATTCGTAGTTGGCTTGGGGTTACTGTAGAGATAGCGTCAGGACCATTTTGGCTAAATACAGAACCTTTTTGCCAGAGAAGAACGATTCATAGAAAACAACACATTTCTGGCCGAAACCTGAGACTAAATGTGCATTTACAGTGTCAAGTAGATGCGACTGTATGCACAAGATCGTCCTTTTGCACAGCCCTGAGGACTACCGTATCATCAGTTCTCCAGATTATCCAAGGTTATTTCAAAATTTGAGAATGGAGAAAAGAATCGTTTATGAAAAACCTTGCAGACTCAAAAATAAAACTTAAAAATATCAGCATTTTTGCTGCAGGTTCAAAATCTCTCAACTTTTTTTTTGGACGTTCTTGGGTCATTTAATGATCACTCAAGTAGTGCCAGGTCAAAACTCCGATTTTCAGAACCTATTGCGGAAATTTGGATTGTCTATGGCGCGTCGTTGCCCCGGACAACACATCAAAGGTACAGAGAAGCCGTTTTTCGCTATTATTTTACAAAATTAGGTCTATTTCTACGCCGACAACTTGGATCTTCGAGATGATATCGATCAAATCGTGTTTTACGATCACAAGTTCCTTATTGAAAGCGATAATGTCACAGAATCCTACTCGTAAGTGGATTTAACCTAAGCTATAAGATCCGAGAGAGGAAAATATTAATTAATTTTTTTTTTTTGAATTCAAAATAGGGTCATTTTTTGAGAGAGAATGGTGAAAAGAATGTTAATTCAAAACCTGTTCTTCCGAAGGCATACAGGAATTTCAGTCAGCTTTTGTAAATATATGGAAGTTTAGTTGCACGGGCGAACGGCTCTGTAGGTACGCCAGTACGGCTCAGTACCTGACCATCAGGTAATCCGAAACAGACGATGATTCCTGGGCACAAAGGTTGAAATTTGATTTAGATTCAAAACGGGAGGCGGAGAAATCGATAATTACGGATTTCAAGGCACCGTTTCAGCAAGGGAAAAGCCATCATACGGTAGGGTTCATACTGTTATAGAGGTTTTAAGGTACAGTAATGGAGCTTTGGGTGTACTTTTCGAAAAGGCTTGAATTTTTTGAAAAGTTCCTCAATAAACTCAATATTTCGTTGTTTATACTTCATTTTGTTTCTACTTTTCGTTTTATTTTTTGAATGGAGAAAATATTGAAATGCTCCCCGGAAAAAGCTCGTTGCAGCCCTGATGGCGGCGGTGCACAAGTATTTGCTGCCTCTGACAGTCTTGGCAGTGATGCTGCTCGGCGTGATCGTGAGCATCGTTTGCTGTCGCAGGACCGTCGAAGCCGACTACCAGCCTCACTACAAACACGAACATCACGAGGAAATTGTCGAAGACGGTTCCGACAAGCTTCTTCAAAGCTAACTTTTGTTCATTTTTTTTTGATAATCCTGGCAAGGGAAGAGTCTGGGGGAACATCGAAGATCTGATTCAAACTTATCTGCTTTTGAAAAAAATGTTTCAAGAATTTTTTTATTTTTTTAGATTTTTACAATAAGACACTCCAATCGTATTTCGAAACTTTAAACGCGAAGAAAACCAGTTTGTGAACGTTTCCTGTACACTTTCAACGATTTTTTTTTCGGTCCCCTATGGTGCTTCGCGGACAAATCACTTTGTTTCTTATTACCCTCACCTCGGACTACCTGCCGCAGAAGTTTGAGTTAGATCTGCAAGTTCACCTCAAAAACCCGCCCTTGTGAGTCTAAATTTGAATCTTCGAGCGTTCCATCTTTGAATTTTGTAAAGCGTTCTGGCTTTTCTTCTTCTCTAAACGCTGCCTTTTTTAACCATTGGCACCTAACTTCCGAAGGTTCAGAAGTAGACACAAAATCATTGCTGGAAATTTAAAAGAGCTAAGACGATTTAAATAAAAGTCTTGAAAAGAAGAGCCCTTTCGTTATAATCTGGGTCATGTAAGACTTTTGCGCCTTTAAACTTTTCAGTATTTTTTTTTTTTGAAAAGAAATAATTTTTCCTCAATCATCCTTTTCACTCCGTTTTTTCTAGAGCTCAAAAGCAGAACACATTTTACTCAAGTAATAAAAAAAACGCCGTTCCTACGCAATAAGTTTTTTTCTTGTGTGATATCAATAATATTTATGCATCATATTCCTTGAAATTATTTTTATTAGAAATATATATTTCATTTAAACTGTAAATACCACCCCCTTACGTGTCCCGAAATACAAATATTTTCGGTGAAACAGACCATTTTAATATCATTTATTCGTGGAAAAATAAAAAGGATACATAAAAAGGTGAAAAAGGTTAGTAGCGAATCGAGGAATTGCCGCCACCCGCGGAGGATTTGTTCAACAACAATAAAATTATGCAATAATGTACATTTTGAAATAAATACTTACTCTCTGTTGAAATAAATAGAAATGATTAAGTGATTTCATGTGTGCAGAGCGTGTTGAAATGTGAAAATAAGTTTTAAAAATGTTTTTTTGCTACCTATTCTTCTGAGAATAGTTTTCCAGGACCTTCAGCGTCAGTTTGTTTCTACCAAACTGTTCTACGCTCATTCAAAAAGTCAGAAAGCTCTTTGCGGATCCATTATGTACATAGTATCGATTTGACTTTTGAAAAACCTTTTTTTTTTAATATATCGATTAATATTAATAAAATCTCACAGAACCTTCTGACATGCAATCAAGTGCAAAAGTTCAGGTGTGCAAAAACAACTTGAAATGACCTCTCAAGGGGCTTGGAATTTCGAGGCTAGAGTATTAATTTGAGGGTCCTCGTTTTGGAAAAAATGATTTACATTCGAAGCTCAAAGAACTAACAGTTTTCAATTAATCTTCCAACTAAAAACGCCAACCATGAAACCGTTCTATAAAAAACCCCTCAAGTAGCCCCTTCGAGCTCCCGAGTACAATTTTCAAGAAAACACAACCACAAACACCGTGTTCTTCAAATGACGCTTTCTTCGCTTTGCTGCTCGATACTCAAATTCACCTTCTCCAAATGATCAACCGTGACGTCAGGACCTTTCTCACCAATTTGCGAGCCTCTCTAGAAAATCAGCAACTTCAAAACAGCTTTTTCCTTCTCTTTCCACCTGGACAGGACTCGTTTTAGGCGTATCGGAAGAGATTCCACTCAGATCCAGGGGCTCGATTCCGTGTCGTTCTCGGTCGAGGCGCGCAGTACTCACACCGGCACCTGGGCCTTCAGAAGCCGCCGTCTGAAAATGTTCATAATGAATAACTGAAAAAAAAAACTGAGAAAGTTCTTATTGAGATCAAAAAACCCTGAATAAAATAAATTTCCGTCATTCTTATCAATTAAAAATGTTGTAGCACGAAAGGGTTATCAACTCAATTTGAAAAAAAAGAAATTCTCAACTAAAATATAGTAAACTAAAAATTTCGAAGGTTGTAGTTGAAATTATTTTCTGTTTCTTTAATCAGGGGCTATTTCTTTCGTTTGGTCCCAACTCCCAATCCTTTCACACACACACACACACCTCGCCCTCCCTGAGTTTCCTCGTCAGAATGGTCATAGACTCGGGATCGAACCAAGAATATGCTCTCGGAAAGTGTTTTCCGACGAGCTCGGCTATGGGGCCGCGTTGTCGCACGTCGCGTTCTCGTCGAAACTCGGCCGCTGTCGCGTTGGCGAGGCCATTCCGCGACACGTTGTCACGCTGCGACGCTTTCGAGTTGCCGCCGATCGTAATCATTTGCTCGCGTATTGGCTCGTGAAGACTTGCGTCCCACGGAGTAAACCTAGAACATCGTCTTTTGAACAAGGATTTTTTTTTTGATAGAATACGAAAAAAAAAAAAACAACATGTCACCAAAGTATTCGAGCTTTTCATGTCACAGCTCTCGATAGCCTAGAACTCGAAAAAAGTTCAATTTTTCTTTATTGATATTTGACAATCATTGATAGAACTGCTTCGCATCAGTCGCCAGAAAATGCTTCGCAAAAAATTATTTTTGATTTCAAGAAAGGTTTCCTTTCAGCCAGCCTTTTACAAGTAGACTTCGTAGAAAAACCTCTAAGCTGTCAAAACGAGAAAAATGCAGAAACTGTGAGCGAGTAGATATTTTCAAGAGAAAAAAAAATCGTTTTATAGCTTGTGCGAAAAAGAAAAAACAACTCGAATCTCTCAGAATTAACGATGAAATATCCCAGTGCAATTGCCCTTTCGGAAGAAAACAAATTCCGTATCCAAAACAACCAAAATCTTCCTTATTGTACTTTCGTCCTCACTAAAACGAACTTTCATAGGACAAGCTGAGACGAAAAAAAAAAAAGATAATTTAGACTGATAAGTACAAGACCTTTGAAGATGAAATCAACTGAAATATTCCTTTTATTGCGCACTTGGACTTACTAAAAGGAACTTCGGAGCTTAAAAAATCAGTACATTTCAAAATGTCTTCGTTTTCACGCCCTAAAAAACGCTACCTCAACTCCTCAAAGTACTCAGAAAAGGATAAATGTGGTTATAACACTCATTTCATGTGACAAGCTTAACTATGATAATTCTCCCTTTTGACTTTACTGAAAAAAGTTTGAGGCCATGAAAATCTAGAAACCTTCGAGTTTGAGCCAAAAAAATTTTCAAAATTACTAAAAACAAATACTTTCAAACTATTACTATATGTTTAGCAAACAAAGAGTTAAAAGAAATAACCTTCAAAAGCTTTTCGTTTCAAAGCCTAGTCGAAAAACAATGAAAATAGCCTAGAAATAAATGAGGAAAGAGAAGAAAATGAAGAAAAGAATTGTTGACGGAATTTGAGTCATTACGAAGAAAGTTTGAGCCTTTTCAAAATCAGTCAGGTGGAAAACAAAATCTTCTCGAAAAAATACGTCAGCCACACATTTCGGCAGCCAACCGAGAATGAATAAAGCTCTTGGAGGCCGGCTGATTCCAAAAAAAAGCCCGCTTTCAGACCGCCCACTTTCCCGCTAAAGTAAAAAAAAAGAAAAAGAAAAGCAAAAATGGGTCGAAAAAACAAAAATGGAAGCTCCACAAAGGAGGTTTATTTCATCTTGTAAACGTTCTTGATTCTACTTTTATTTATCAAGAATAGACAGCTGAAAAACCTATGTGAAAAATTGAGTCATCAAGCAAGTTATTTCAAATAGAAATTATGAAGAGAAGGGGAGTTTTTTTTTATTAAGGTTCCTCTCCGAAAAAGCGAATGAAAATTTGAATAAAACTTTAAGTTGGCCTTTTCCGCTCTTCTTGAAAAAATAAGCCGACTTTTGATGGCAAACCAAAAAAAGAGACAAAGGAAAATTTATTTTTCAGATTCAGAAAATGAAGATAAATATGATGGCTCTGGTCCGAAAAATGCAAACTGCAAAGAAAAAAAACTTTGGAGAAAAAATACGACATTTATCATGTATATACGTGAAAAGGGGACACGCGATTCTCGAAAAAGACGATATTTGATCCCAATTTAAAAATTCAGAAAAAAAGATGTTTGAAAGATGCCTCGGCTATTTTTATCTTCATGAACGACGATTTCTGGTTTTCAGTATAGCTACTCGGGTTTCTGTTCAACTTCAGAAAGCTTTGTGAGACTCAAAAATTTATTTTGTTTTTGATTAGTCTGAGTATTAGAGTGAAAAATTAGAGTATTCTTAAAAAAATACAATGAAAAATAGTCGATAAAAACTATGAATTCTCTCAGAAAAAAAGACGTACAAAGTTGAGCGGTTTCATTCCTACAGTTCAGATCACTCGGCACGTTTGAAATGATTTTCAAAGAGACGAGAAAAATTTCTAGGTCCCTCTAGAACAGCCGATTGCTCAAAGGACATCGAAAGTCATTGTTGGGATTGGAGGTTTTCATATTTTTAACCGAAACCCACCGAATGCAATTCAAGTCCTCTGCATCGACAGGTTCGTCGTAAACTTGAGCTCGACTGGTTTCCACGACTTCTTTCGCCATTTCCCTCAAAATAATCGATTCTTTCTTTGAATTTCAAACCAAAAACAACGGTATAACTACTCGGAGAAGGCAAGAAGTGCCCGCGGAAAACACGGAAAAAATCCAACAAAGACCTGAAAAGAATACCTGAATTTTTCCTTATGTTCTTTGTAAAGAATGGCCGCCTCTGGGTTGACGCAATTCTCGCAGTTGTACTCGTAGGAAAAAGAATATTCTCTAAAAAAATTTTGTTCTCGCTCATATAAAAAAATTCATGCTGAACAAAAAGTCATTCGAAACTTTTTCCCATGGAGGAAAAACGTTTCTTCTCTCAAATTATGAGATTTTCCTGCTTGTTGGGGGAAAAATGAAAAAGAATCTATTCAAAAACTATGATAATAACAATTTGAGAATCGGAAAAAGAAAAATTCAACCTTCTTTAATCAATGAAAAATTAATAGAATAGTATTACTTATAAAATAAAAATTTTTCCCTTTTCTTCGAAAGATCAACAAACTCCAGTTATTTCTATCAAGAATCAAGCCTTCCAATCATTTTTGTTAACATTTCGAATTTTCAAATTTTCGAAAAACTCACCTGAACGACGACTAAAACCCGTAGCAAGTCATGCCGCTCCGTTTTCCATCCGTTGGGAAAAGATCTAGACAAATCCAACTTCCGAGTTTTCAACTCGATCAGCGGATGAAAAATGGCGTTATCAAATATGACTTCCTCAAAGAAATTCGAATCAAAATAAGAGAAAAGATAAAATTTACCGGCAAATCAGAAGTGTAGGGGAAATTCATGGGAACATTCAGAGAGAAACGAAAAATTCCTCCGCCGAAAATCCCCCGGCGAATGAAAAGTATTCCAAACCATTCTAAAAATGTAGTTAATAATATTTCTTAATATCTTCACGATAAATTCCAACTAAATGGATCGAAAAACTAACTGAAAGGATCAGAAGCACTGGGCGTCACGTACATGCCATCCACCGGGTTCCGACAAAAATGAGTACTGAGAAAATACTTTTGAAGAAAACATATATTGAAAAACGAACAATTCGCTGGCGAGGGCATGATGAACCAAAGTGGCGTGGGAAAACTTCAAAGGCGCTCCGGCGCGAACTTCTTCGCCAAACTCGAACCCTTCTTCGCCACAGGTCATCCGTAAGCGAATACTTCTAGATTTCAAGCTTTATTCTGCCTTTCTCCAAAGTTTAATCCAAAATAATAGAGGTTGTAGAGATTCTGATGGCTTCGAATGAAAAAGTATAAAACTTTCGGAAAAAAAGAAGCTCGAAAAGTAACAAACTCAGAAAAATGTCAATTTTAATTATTTCAGCCTTTTTCAGAACTTTGAATTCAACCGTGAATCTACCAAATGTGCAGGTTTAATCTAAAGACTTTTAGAATAATAATATAAAAATTTTTGTCAATTCGCCAGCGAGCTTATTTTATCGATTCTTAGAATCCTCCCGAATTTTATTAACATGAAAGACGTTAGGTGTGCTAAAACTGAAAAAAAAAAACAGCGAAAAAAAAAAAATCATAACCCAAAATTAAACGCGCGGTCAAAGTAATTACTTAAATCCTGTCAAAAGGGGTCCCTAGAGTATACTTCACAGCTTTAGAGGCCATAAAAACGTTCATTTCGCAGAAATTTTAGGTGGTTACATCGACCGCGAGATTTTTTTTCCGCTTAAAAAAAGGGTTTCTTCAAAATTGCCTTCATGCGATATTAAAATCAGTGTTTTTGACAGCAATAAACAAAAAAAAACCATGAATGAATCACAACTTTATCTATTTCGAAACGAAAAAAAAAAGAAAGAGATGGAATCTACATCGAAATCAACGATTTTCTTATGATCCGGGGGCCTTGATGTTGCTGAGTGGCGGCAGGGGCTTGCCGTAGGTCAAACTTGCAAGATTGTAAAGGCCAATAATGAAGCTCATGATAGCTGAAAAGAGAATATGTTGAAAATTTGTTTTCAAACCAAAGAATGAGTCAATAAAAAAATAAAACAAAAATGGTATCTTACCAAGAACCTTGGCGATGTTGGTGACGGCACGATCGAAAGGTCCGGCTTCTTCGGATTTCTTTCCATCGAGAAGAGCGGTCTGGAAAATAACATGTTTTCGAGGATTCTTCAAAAACTGAATTTTTTCAAACTAAAAAACACCAACAAAGTGCGAAGAAGTTTTTTTTTTATGCAATGATTAATGATAAAAAAAAATTTTTTTTACTCTCTCAAAACTTCGATCCGCGTTTTTTCATTCTATAAAATATGAAAAACTAACAACTTGAAGAAATAATCTCTTTATTTCCTAAATAAATGTTCTGTTTGGTTTTAAGGCCCAAAATTTTGACATTTTCCCGCACACTCACTGTTTGAACTTTTATAGTGGTGAGTGAAAAAGCCCGAAGATACAGTTTAGAAAAAAAAAATATTCAACAATTGTGAGCCATTTATGCCACTCTCAATGAACTTCTGCGAAATTCAAAATTATCTCTGGCTAACCAAAAATCTAGTCATCTTTTTCGAATCTTAAAACTATTAATCACTTCAACCCAAAAAGTCTTCAATAATTGATTTTAAAGTAACTTTTTCACATTATTTTTTTTTTATTTTTCAAAAAATGAACACTCAAAGTTCGATTCGAAACCCTTGCTGAGGAATTGAAAAAGCATGAAAGTATTGCAAGACTTGATAAAACACTGAAAAGCTCTTTCGCCTCAAGAAACACATTAAATTAGTATATTATCCTTCAAACACCTCCCAAAGAAGATAATTTCCCTTTGTAGTTGGAATTTTCTGGAAACTGGCCGGAACACAATTTTATGTACCAAAAGAAGATCCTGGAAATCTAAACCTGTACGACTTTTTTTTTTCACAAAATCATGACTCCAACCCCCAAAAAAGCCAATTCTAACGATCTTTGTTTGTTCTCTTTAACTTGCGGGTTTTCTTTCTCGAAAACCATAAAGTTGTGCAGGTTGAGACTCTCATGATCTTCATCAGGTACATCAAAACGTGTTGTGACAAAATTTGAGGACCCCAGCCGCAAAGTTAAATGAATTTCCCTGTTAGCAGGGATTCTCGAATCGACTTATAACTTTTATAATTTTTTCATTATCGCAATATAAATAAAACATAGATTAAACCACAAAATCATGAATTACAAACCGCATAAGTGTTGACGCGTTTTCGGAGCACGGGATCATAAAGTCCGTACTTTCCCATGACAAGCTTTCCGCATCGGGTTCCTTCTGGAAGACGCGGAAGGATTTTTCCACCAGCCTACAATGAATAAAATCTCTCTTCGAAACAAAATGGAAAAATTTCAATATAAATGGAAAAAAAACCCCACTCCAAGTTGCCACTCTCCGGGGTTCAGAGGGTCGAATTGCTCAAGGGTTGGTGGCGTCTAAATCGGAAATATTAGGAATGGAACCACACCGAAAACTACTGAAACCTTTCCAGCGTTGGTAGGGACTGATTGAAAGCTGGCACAACGAATTTGCGTGCGAGCCACACCAATAGTTCTCATGGCGAGCGACATGGTTCAACCTAAAAAATGATTAGAAATGCTGTGAAATGTTCAGTATGAAAGTAGACAAAAAAAAATCGAGTTAGTTGACAAAAAAAATGGAGAAGTTGAGAAGCATTTTGAGCGGAGCCAAAATTCAATTTTTGTTGTTTTTTCCTTTTGAACTGCTAAACACAAAAAAATCTTTCAGTTGTTGCATATTATTATAAGCATATTTACCACGTTTTCAACATAAACACAGGGGATCTATAGTTGAAAATTTTTCCAACCAGATTTTTTGAAAGCAATCGAATTAAATTCAAAATCAGAGCAAATTGCATCTTTCCATCATACGAAAAATCGAAGTTTTCAGAGAAGTTTCCAGGGAAAAACGAAAAGAAAAAAATCTACCTCAAAAAAAAAATTAGTCAATCATAAAAGTAAAAATAAACGAAATGAAGTGCAATAGCTTATTCTGAACAAGTTTAAAGTCCAATGACATGTAGATTACAAATACAAACGATGAAAGAAACAAAAAGAGAAATAAAAAAAGTTCATCAATGGACCGCACAGGGCAAGACACATGTCAGCGCGCGCTACAGTACCCTTCATCGTGGCGAAGTACGCTCGTAATTCCATTTAGAGCCGAAAATCGTGATTTTATGCTGAGTTCAAATTGATTCCTCGAAACTCAAAATAGCCGTCAGATAGTAGAAAGATGTGGTGAAATACGCTTCGTAATTTCAATTGAAGCCGGAATGCTAGACTTTATACTATGTTTAAAACGAGTCCGCAAAATTCGAAACAAGGTCAGAGAGTGAAAAAATAACTAAAGGACTGAGAGGGAGAGATAATTTAAAATTTTGGTGGAAAAATGGCTTTAACACGGCACTGAATATATGAACAACCATGCTTTATAAAGCTTTCTAAAGCTTTTCAAAGTAATTTCGCGATTTTTAGAACCATCTATATAGAGATGAAGTCAGCTGACTCTCCAAAATTTAATCTATCTCTCTCTTTTTTTTTCTCTCGGACGAATCGTTCGCGGTTAATTCAAAATTTGATAATTTATTTTGAAAACGGCATAGAAGTATTTTTTTTTTTGCGTGTTCATTGGAAAAAAATCGTTCAAAAAACGCAACGGAATCGAACTTCAAAACAAAAAAAAGTACTGTCTCTGAGAAATAAAAACTTTTTCTTGCCTGCTGTATGTTAGTTAAGCAGAGATTTCGCGAGTTTTGATTTTGGAGCCGAGCGTTTAAGAATAAGAGAGAGTAAAAAAATTTTTTTAAGTTTATAATTTATGTTAGTGTGTATAGATGCTTATTATGACTTTAAAAGAAATTAATGTTTCTCGTTTCGAGTTCATTTTTCAAGTTCTCCAATATCAGTTGATTATACTGCTTTGTTTCAAGCTTCCACCTGATGCACCGATTGACCCAAGGAATATCCAGGTACGTGTCACCTGCCGAGAATGAAGCTTCCGGACTTGTTTCTTCTTTTCGGCAGCTGTCCCACGTTGTGTTTCGGGTTCGTTACTAATTCTGCAACAGTTGCTGTCTTTGTTGCATCATGCAATGATTTACTTGTGTGAGGAAATTTTAACCCTATCGGTTACTACCTCGGTTTCTTGCTTCGCTTTTCAGATTGTTATAACATTGTTTTTATAGGATTATTTTTTTAGAAAAATAAGTCTGAAACTTGTCAGAGTGGTAGAAACCAGTCCAAAAAGTTCTTTTTCTTTCGAATGGTTGAAAAAATTCTCAAAAATCAAGACCAAGAAGAAATTTTTTTTACTATGAGGGAGGCACGCAGCCGGTAAATTTTTAGAACCGAGCAGATGATTAAAAAAACATTTCGAACTTTCAATTTTTTTAAAAACTTTTGTAGCTGAGTTTTTTAAAGTTATCTAATCATGCTATTTGCGACTTTTTTCAAGCTTTGCTATTTTTGAGATCAGAAATTGTTCGAGTTCTCGCGCCCTGGTTATTTCGACGGAAATAAGCTTCTCTTGGGTGCACTGATACGGAAGTCCGTAGGCCAAATCTCACGAGAAAAGAATATGTTTTGATTTGTTTTCATCCGTTTTTGATACATCAAAGCCATCCCAAGGCCGTAGAATGATAAAAAAGACCTGAGTTTACATCTGTTCTTTTGCTCTCGCTTTTTTGAAAGAACCCAAAAAGTTTTTGCTTCGAGTTTTCACCGAGCAGTTAGATATATTTAGCAAGTTCTGGGGAGCGATTTAGGTTGGAAGTAGATAAAAGCCGGCCCAGCAGCCCAAACGACTCGTTTCCGATTCCAAGAGTTTGTGACCCACTGAGGGACAAAAAAAAAGAAGTAAACGGTGGTATCCTTTTTTTTCCAACCATCACTTCTGCTATTTTTATAAGGAAAGATGACTTTCGATTTGAACCTGATTTCTGTACTAAACCCCTTTACCGCGGAATGAAAGAGTATTTCATTTTGATTTCCATCCTGTGAGAGTCATCTATAAATCTAATTGAAAAAGTTTTTATATTTAGTTTTGAAAAAGCTAGAAAAAAAGCTTCACTCGAAATGTGTCATTCAAAAATTTTCTTCATTTCTTTAGAAGTTTTTGGGGAGGCCTTGAAACCGTGGAACTGGCGTTCGGCAGGGGATTTAGATTGATGCGGCTGCCTGAACTTGACGTCTTGTCGAGCCCTTCGCAGTTTTTTCACCACTGTCAAGTGCTCTTTCGAGAAAAAATGCACTCCTAAACATTTACAACGGCTTGAAAGTGAACTTTTCTGTGTGATAGAAAATTAATGAAGAAAAAAAGAATAGTAGATTATACATATCAAGAATTGCTTTCCCGATTTGTTTTTTCTTTGATTTTGAAGGGCTTCCTCCCTCATGATAAGTGGTGACGGACGTACTACACCAAAAAGTCTTTATTCATCGTTCGGACTCATTTTGAGTCATGTAAATGGGTTTCTTCAAAAAAAAAAATCGTTGACTCCCTAGTTATTTTATGAAAATATTCTGAAGCAATTAGGACGTGATAGTAAAGGATATTTTCTTTTGGATAGAATGAAAAATTGTTTTTGAGTCTTTTGTCAGATCGTATTTCCTTTGGATCCTCTTCCATTGCAAAAATTTCTCATGGTGTTAATTACCAGAAAAAAGAGGTATGTTAAAAAAAGCAAGTCGAAAGCTTTTCTTTTCTAGAAGACGCGTTGGTCGGATATTTTAAAGATGAAACCTTTTTCTGCAACATCAGACTCGCAGTTGCTCCTCAAATATCCTGGTCAAATTAGACACATCTCGGGCAGTCTGAAAAAAGACAACTTTCCCTCTTATATGAACCTTTGGTAAACTTCATATAAGTTTTGTTGTAATTTTATTTCTTTTTTTTACAATCAACACCTTTTTCAGAAAATTATTCCCTTGAAGAAAGTCAGGGATACAGATAAGACCTCATTCATGAGTATTGAATTTTATTTTTTCCAAAGAAAACTATAAAAAAAGACATATTCAACAGCAAAAATTTGAAAATTTCGGTGGATTTTTTCATTTCGTGAGAATATTGCAACCAAGGAAATTTATATCGCCTCGCCTTTGCCAAATTTCGATCTTTTCCAGTTTTTTGAGTCTGTCTGGTGAAAGACTGATGAGTATTTCTGCCTTTTTTTTAAAATTCAAAAATAATATTTACTTGTCCGTGTTTTGTCAAGTTTTAATAACTTTCTTTTTCATAATAAATCGAAAAAAATTAATCCGTAAATTTTTGAATCTTCTTCTGAATTGGAGTGCCGGGATAGTACTCGTAGAAGGGCTCCTGGCGTTACAGAACTTATAGAATTTCATTTATTTATTTATATATTTATATATATATATATATATATATATATATATATATATTTCCTTTTTTTGAAACTTCTCGCAATCTTGTCTTTTTCTTCCCACTTTCTCTCTCCAATCTCACTAAGACCATTCTCTTGAAACATTTTAAAAAGAGTTTTGTGAGGAAGTGTGAAGTATGTTTGAGAAAAAAAAGAGGTTGGACCATTGCGCATTTTTGAAAAAAAAAAGAAATCCTTACGCCCTTTTTTCTTCTTTTAGTATGCTTGAGAAAATCAAATTTGCTGCAGTTTTGGGTTGGAAATAATCTTCGAGGTTTAGGAAAACAGGAAAAAAACTCAAGTGGTTTGTTTTTTTCTTGTTCATAACTTGTCTTGCGCTCCGGTATTTATGTTGATTTTTTTTTTGAATTGATGAAAAACTTCAAATTTTTGGTTAGAGTTGTCTTCATTCTCTTTTCCGGAAAGACAAGTATTTTACATTTTATATGCCAATATTTCTAACATTCCAGCTAACTGTGCTTGTGAGTTTTTCGATTTTTTTACATTCTTCAGTTCTTTCGAAACTCCAAGGCTTGTATAGAGGGAAAACTCTCGTTCCATTTTTCCAAGTTATTCGCGATGTTTGCAGCGAGATTTCATAGAAGAAAAGACACAAGTAGCCAGATCGGGATGGTTCTTTGATCCTAAAAATTTTTAAAGTGACATTATTTGACTTCGAAAAAAGTTCGAAACGGAGGAAATCACATCAAAGTTTGAGTGGGATCTGAAAGAAAACTGGAGAAGAGGCACTTCTCAAGTACTCGAGAAAGCAAGCGCAAATTTAATCGGGACGGGATTCTTCTGAAAGTTTTAGCTCCGTATAAAAGTATTTTTTGAAATAAGAAGTCGAAGAACGACAAAGTTTTCTGTTTTCCTTTTTTTTCTGGCTAGAACATCTTTCTCTGCTCAAAAGCTTAGCAAATTTCGACGAAATGATCGTCTTGCTTGATTATTCCAACTTTGCAGAACACCAACGGTGAAAAGGGAGGCCAATTAGTGTGTGGGAGCAAAAAGCAAACAGAAGACGTGCGTCTGCCGCACTTTCTGCCAATTCTTCTGCACATCGTTGCCAATTTTTGTGACAGCTTCGCTACTCGTGTTTTTTCTCCAATTTAGGCACACGGGCAACATTTTAGAAGAAACTATTTGGAGAAGCAAGTCAAACTTCCCGGATCAAGCTCAATTCAAAGTCTTACTCTAGAATGGCGGTCACTATTTTAAAATTGAGAAAGTAATTGACTTCAATTCTAATTCTTCATTTATTTTCTTTTTTGAGACTCATTCCAATCTGATAACTTACTGTGTTGGCTATGGATTATTCATTGAAAGTATTCAGCAGTTAAAAAAATAGTTTATTTTTCGAAAAAAATTCAACTTGACCTGTAGACGCGAGTAAAGTTGGAAGAAAACTGGACTGGACATGAACTATTCTCGATTGAACTATTAGGGTCTGTGTATTTCATCTTCAAACTAAAAATTGAGATGGAAATTCGTTCTCCGCATGAAATTAGGTGGAAAGGCGTAGGGAACACGGCAAACACTTTTTGAATCAATCTGTTGTTATATTATTTTATATTTATGTAAACCGCTCATTTTTGACAGGCGAACCCATATATTTTTTTTCCATAAGTTCCTGAAAAGTGGGAAAATCCAGTGTTAGCGAAAGTATAGGAAAACTGACGAATAACCAGCAATGGTGATGGATTGCGGACATGTTTCAAATGCATTGGCCGACGGTCCGTTCGTCTTCGTCTCGCCTTGGCGGAGATTCCTCGGCGGACGGCGTTTTGACGTGCCGCAACTTGCCACGACAAACAACCAGAAGAAGCCTCCACATCCTTCTCGCGAGATTTATCTCTCGAGGGCGGGTCAAGAAGAAAAATTTAAAGATAATTTATCTATGAAGAGAAGAATTGAATAAATCTTTGGCGGGATCAGTTTCGCCCACGAAACTTCTCATTCTCTACAATTGCTGGTGTCACCTCGAGAAACCTCGCAAATCCTTTATTCGTCAGTTGAATTGAGTCAGCTATTTTTTGCTTTAGTGTGAGAATTAGCACTCGATTTCCTCGTTCTTGCTTTTCGTCATATTATAACAATGTCAAGGTGTCTAATCTGTTAGTAGTTTGGCGCTACTGATCTCCTTCAACTGTTTCGGCTCTTTGGTATTCAAATCATGCTGGTCTTTGTTGCTTTTCGCCTAACTGGATAGCTCAACTATTTCTTCTTCCTTCTGCTTCCGAGTAAGGAATCTCATCGAAAAACCATTGAAGGATCCACTGAAACAATCGGAGCGCTAAAATATGAACGAATGTTATATTTAATTATCGGGGCAGCTGCGCTTTCTCCTTCAGTTTATTTTTTTATTGACTCGAACAAGTTCCTGCATAATCGTTTTCAACATACATGGGCGAATCATTTTTCAAGTTCTTCAACTGTTTTTTTGTTCAAAGTTCCGAACTTTCTTTTCTCAGGAATTATTCTCTTCTTTTTTCTGAAGGAACTTCGAAGAAACTTACCAAACTTCATAGGTCGTTTTCAGGAAATGAAGGCTCAAGGTTTTTCAACTCCTGTGTCTATTCTTTAACTTTATTAAATCGGTGAATTTCTCGGAGCCCTACCAACTGAATATGCTCCGCCATCTTTCTCATTTTCATATAGTTTAGCGGATGATTTTTCAATCGACTTTCAAAAAGCAATCACGTTTTTGGAGTGCCCTGCACATTTGAAAAACTTGCGAGGAATTTCAACAAGAACGCGTGTTTTCATCGAGAGAAAAGTCACCTTGTCCGGGGTCAAGCCGTGCCGTTTCGGGACGGCGGAGGCCTCATCAATCTGAAATATCCATAGATTCTGAGACAACGCGGAGTTCACGCTCCAAGGAGCAATTTTTCCCTTTCTCCATCACACCCTGCGCCACATCGCGATCATTTTCTATAATTTGCGTCCTAATCTCTTGCTTTCCTTCAATTTTTCAACTACCTCCGCCTGCTCCCATTCTTACTTGGTCGGCGCGGTTGTTTCAGTACTATTTGAAACAATTTTCTTGGTTTATTCCATTGTAGTCGATGACCTTTTTCAACATGCTGATTCAATCTTTTTCCATCTAGAAAGGTTTTTCAAGAACTTCGAGAGATCTAAAAAAATTTTGTGTTCGGCGACTAGAGTAGTTTAGATTTTTGAAATACAGTTGAACAGAAAAAGACAACTGTTTCAGTTAATTTATGACTGTCGTTCCCTGGAAACGAAGAAGTTTGGTTGAGTTTGACGTTGTACGTCAATGCCGCAGAAGAGCCCCGCTCTCAAATCTTCCTCGTGGCTTTTCCCGTCTTCTGAACACATTCAACTCATATCATAACCATTCTGAAAGACGTCGAGAAGTGTCGTTGCTGCCTTTTTCCGCACCGCTGTTCTCGAGCTCCGCCCCTTCTTTTTTCTAAACTTCTTATTCCATAGAAAGCGACCTTTTTCCTGCTTCCAATTTGTTTACTCCCGAACAGTTAATCTCCAGAAAAACGAGATTAATCCTTGGAATTCTTCAAAAATGTCTAATTCCTTCTTCTGTAGGTTTTTCATTGAGCAGCTCATATTTTTTGCTTTGCAGTCTGTCACTTCTTTTTTGAGTTTTTACATCAACGGCTTCCGAAAAATCCTGAATTTGTTTCAATAATCCAGAGTAACCAAACTTCATCCTAATTTGAAGTTGATGAATAAGGCTTGTAAATATTTTGAATGCGGTTGCAATATATCGCTCACTCACCGACCGACGTTTTGCTCGACCTCGCGGCTCTCCCCAAGCTCCGCCCTTTTTCGTAGCTCCCAACCTCACCTTTTCACCTTTCCGGCCTGTGAGGCCCTTTTCAGCTTTCCTGTACTTTCTACCTATATTTGAATGTTTTTGGCTAGCTTTGATCATTTGGCTTTTGCTTCTTCTTTCGGAATTTCACAGAATACCGATAAATAATGAAATTATTTTCTATTCAAGTTAGCATCCAGAAGCATGTTTTTTTCTTTCTACATCGTGGTCATTCATCATGCTCTAAGTTCTTGAAAATATTTTTCGCGTTTTCGACTCTACGTTTTTTTTAAAGGCTCTGAATTAAATTAATTGAATTTGACATCCGTTCATTTTGTTCCGCTAAGAGGTTAGAAACTCTGAGGCTGGCTATGATGAAAAACTTTTTTAATTTCCTTTGTTTTTATATTTTTTTCAGATATTTCACTAGTAGACAACATATTTAGCTAGATGAATCAAAACGGAATAGCATGAATTCATATAAATATTTTAAACTAAAGACTTGTTCCAATGTGAATTTCGTTATCCGATCAAGAAATTTCTATGCTTCGTCGGCAGCTTTTTTCTAACTCCCTCTAAAAAACGAAATAATTCTATTATTTTTCGTAGTTTCGTGTCACTTGACCGTGACTCAGAGGAAGTTCTTTCTCATTTTTCAAAACCCACATTTTTTCACAGGATGTTGTGAGTCAAAACAGATGCTCTTCGGTTTGAATTTTTACTTAAAAACCATCAAAACTTCAATAAGTTTCTAATTGCTTCTTAATGCAGTCAACTTGTAGAGATGGATTTTCCAGTTTTTTAACTTTTTTCTATATTTTTCTTTTGATTTAACTTTTTTTTCGAGTTCATTATCGCTTAATCGGGTTAATTCAATAATGTCTGAAATTTAAATTTAATTGTGCAAAAAGCCCTTATTTCATCAAAACTTCAACCTGTATATGAAAAATTTGAACTCACGCCTAATTTCATCCGATTCGATTAACTGGGTTTTCTTTTTACGAGTGTTTTCATTGGACGCTTTCAGGGGAGTTTGGGGGAGCGGAGATCCGCCGCATGGAGGCGAACGGCTCGGCGGCGAACTCGTCGTGGACCGACTCGTCGCTGGAATGGCCGCCGCCTGGACTCAAGTACTCGGGCCTCGCTCTCATCTTCATTCCCGTCATCACCATCCTCGGCAACCTTCTTGTTCGTTTCCTTTACGAAGTTGAAAAGTATAAGTCAGAAAAAGCAAAAGAGCATTTTTGATAATAGTAGGTTTTGCCCATGTAGCCTTCGGAAAGCCACCTTTTTGTAAGCATGACATTTAATAGTGTGTGACTAGACGAAAACTCTAACCTACAAAGTGAAGCAAACAAATTCGAATTTTGAAAGGAAGAGTCCATAAAAGTCGTACTCAAAGCCGTCTGGATTCCCTTTTATGAGCGTTCTTCTCATCTGAGCACGGCTTTTTAATATGAGTCGAAATTTTTGGGTACGTATATCTGCGCCAGGAACTTTTTCCGGTCATTATAAGAAGGAAAACTAACCCTAGACGGCTTCCCGGAACGACCAAGTCCAGTAGCAATTATTCCCATGTGAGGAAAAAAGATGTGAATAGGTACTTTGAAGGTTTTTTTTCTGAATCCAAACGCTGGAGGAAATTTTTCAAAGTCTGAGTCAGACCAAGAAGTTGAATTTCAGGTGATAATTTCTGTGATGAGGTTCCGAGCTCTGCAGTCGGCCATCAACTTTCTGATTCTTGGTCTCGCCGTCGCCGACCTTCTTGTCGCTCTTACTGTCATGCCTTACGCCGTCTACGTTTATGTATGTTCTCTTTGTTGAAGGAAAATTGTTCAAAATGAAATATTTGAAAAATTCAAAAAAAAAAAAACGTATGTATGATGAAAAAACTGCCAACAAAATTTTTTTTTTGAATTTTTTTGCGTAGAACGTGACTGATCTAGTGTGGAAAAAAATTGGTGATTTTTAGAAAATACCGTTTCGGATCACATTCCATTCTTATTTCACGACAATTTTTTCCGTGAAAAGTCATCCTGGAAAGTTCGGGAAGAACGATTTCAGATCGTGCGAGAAATTCCCATCTTTAAAATTTTGAATGTAGTTTACTACGAATCCTTCTCGAAAGAACTTCTTGGGCGGCCAGGAGTTTGAAACTCACGGCGTCTGATTCGTGACTACAATTTGGGTGCAATGGGAAGCTCGTGCGTTTCTTTTTTCTGCTCTTTCTCAGCGACCGGCCCCAACGAAACCTAATTGGACTATGATTTCGTGTATGTCACATGCATTCTCTTCTGCTTCTCTTTAGTTTCAACAATTTGCGAAGCGATAAACGAGAGAAAACTTGGCCTTTTTTGGGAGCTGTCTACTTCTTGAACCGCCAATTTTATTTCTATTTTTTTTCCCAGGAACTTTTGAAGAATGGGATTTGATCGGACAGGCAACACCGTGTTTGAATGAACATCACGACAAATCAAAAGCTCTTGCGTGACGAGCCAACATTTATTTCCCCAGACCTCAAATTGCCGCCTTTCAGACGTATCCCGATTGGCGAAATGATCCGCAAAATAATAGGTTTGGACTACCGTGACGAAAAATGAACCTCTCGGAAATCCATCTATGGAGGTCAAAATATTCCCACGGATCTTTTTCAAAAGACATGGAGATTAGGAGGATTTCTCATATTGAATTGGATATTAGGAAGCTTCTCTCAACCTCTTGTCTTTACTTGTTTTGTTCTTTTTTTTTATTGAATGCTCATATAAGGGAGACCAACCATCTTTTAATTATTTCTTTTGCATAAAAATGGTAATTCGAGGGGAAGTTATTTGGAACATGATTCAATGGAATGAATTGAGGAATTAGGCCTTGGGGATGTCTTCGAAAACTTTTATTTCAAGGAAAGGCATCAAACATCTCTGTGCTTTTGGTTTCGATCTTGAGATGGTTGCTGAAAAATCGTCCGCACGCATGCGAGAGAATTAGTCGCACACAATTTTGATTATTTTCCCTGCCAAATTTTTAGATCTACACACGATGATAACAATCTCTGTTTCCACTCTTACCTCACCTTGAAGCGAAATAACTACCGTCGGAGTGGTGAAAAGAATGAAAACTTTTTTCTCGCGCTGACTCATTCGGACTTGAGGCTCCACTTTCGGACACTTCTAATTAATCCAAGGCTTCTTTTTAGTGTAAAGCACTGAAGAGAGGGAATCTTTTGCGTTGCAGTATTGCCAAGATTCTTTTAGACTATGCGTTTATACGTATAAGTAGGGAGGGAAGGTATCAGTGGAATCGCACGTTTTTCGACAACTGCCCGCGGAAATTGGATTGCGTCGGCATTGCTGCGGAGATGCGGCGACGCCTTGAGTTGAAGGATTTGATCTGCTGCGTCTCATTTAGTCGAGCTATCCTGACTGGATGTTTTCGAAATGCGTGTGAAGTGAGGAAGAGCTGGGAACAAATCTTTGATCATTTCCCTCCAGAACTGTTCAATTATTACTCGGGGAAAAAGAAGCGTTCAAGTTGACAATAAGACGTTCATGCATATAATAAAGTATTTTAGCCGGAACCCACATGGAGCTAACTCTGCGGGCAGGCGGCGGAGCGTAACATGCAAAAATTGAGTTGCATGAAAAATGCGCGGCGCATGAGCCAAATAACCGTCGCCGCAAAACGTGGTCTACGCGAAACTATGCTGTTTTTGATCTTTCTTCATTTTTTTTTTCTGAACGACGGATCGGAACTATCTTTTCTGTGGCTTCAAGAAGCATAAGATTTGAGCCAAAAAGTCTTGATCAATCAGGTTGCGCGAGGTTCTCCGGAACGAAATGTTGGGCAAGTTTTATGAAGTGTTTCGAGAGGATATGAATAATATTTACTAACTTAACCGCTTTGAAGGTTCAAAACGGCGAATGGTATCTTGGGAATTTGATGTGCGACATCTACATGGCCTCGGACGTCGCCTGCAGCACGGCGTCGATTCTTCTGCTCGCTGTCATCTCTTTCGACAGGTTTAGTGCCTTTCTTTCAGATGAACTTTTTTCCATCTGACTCTTGTTTGAATGAAAAAAAAAATGAGGAAGGTCTCGTGAGTGAAATTTAGAAACATTTTGAAACCTGGCCTGGCCCAAGCACGCGCAGGCTTTTACTCAAAAATGAAGCCCAAAGCCCGGGCCACGCCGCAAGCCTGGTTTCAAAACATAATTAAAGAAATAGCGCGCATTTACATCATATGATGCACTAAAGAGCAAATATGGGCAACATAAAGATTAAATAGAACGCTGCGACTTTCGGCTAACAGCAAATAGCAAAGAAAGTTTTTATAAGCCACTTTAGTGTTTTTTCGCAAGAGAGTTGTGGATAAGGTATTTTTCACATTTCTCAATTTTTAAAAGATATGAAATTCATATATAATTTGTGTGAATTTATAAAATAGTTTAATTTTTATAAACGGAATTTTCAAGAAGAAATGATTATAGACCATTTTTTTGCAGATATCGTGCTGTGTCTCATCCGATACAGTACTCGCGGCAATCTCAAAACGTGAAAAGAGTTTTGGGAATGATTGCTGTCATTTGGATCATTTCCTTGGCTCTCGCCAGTCCCATTGTCTTTGGTATGTTTTTGTTCTTTTGAAAGTTTTTTTCAAAATAGTTGAGGGAAATTGGAATAACCCATGTTTTCAAAAAAATATCATCTATTTATTTTTTTTTTCACTCAAACACGAAAATACAGAGTCTATCTATCATGTAGACTCACCATTAAAATTGAAAGGCATCGCTGAAAAAAGTTACTTTCTCAATTTTTATCGCATTTTTAAAATTTTCCCGCTTCCGCTTTTTGATATCGATCGATTTCTTCATTCAAAAGTTGAAGCAGGATTAATCACTGCACAAAAAAAGTGGGAAACTCAAATTTTTCGGAGCGTTGCCGCTGCCATTTTGGTGGCATTTGTTCGTTGAGTGAACGAAATGTAATTTCTCACCCATAAACTTTTGATAAAGTTTTATCGCGTCTTTTTTAGTTTTGAATTCCCGTTTTGAAGCAAAAATCGTTTGGAATTTCATGCGAGTTCTTTCGCATCGGGGGGTTCGTTGTAATTTTGAACGAAAAATCAACTCAACGGGTTTTAATAATTATGAAGACCAGGGAAATTTCTAAAAAATTGACCTTGAAGGCTGAGAAATAAATTTGGTTATTGATTTTTTACGAAAAATCAAAAGTTAAAAAATCGTTTTTTCAATTAATTATGGATGAGTGTAGGCGTGAACGACCGACCTCTGGACGCCAACGAACTTGAGTGCCGTTTCTACAATGCCGAGTTTTCCATCGGCTCCTCGATAATTTCGTTCCTGATCCCGTGTTTCCTCGTCCTCTTCGTCTACATCCGGATCATCATCGCCTTGAAAAAACGAGAACAGGCGGCAAAACGTCGCCGCGAAAAACATGCAGTCGCACAGGGCTTTGGGTCAGTTCATAACAAAGGAAGCTTCAGAATTAAGCCGTTGGAATATAATCCATGGAAAGTAATTCAGCACACTTCAAAAAGTTATTTAATGGGACAGCGGAAATTCACTAGAATTTAGACGATTTTGAGAAAGATCCGCCCAAGAATCTTGATAAATTAGTTTCAGAATGGGCAACGGAGTGGTTGTAGGAGATAGCGACGCCGCTGGAAGAATCGTGGCAGGACCTGGTATGGAATTTTTTTACTTTCAAGAAAAATGACTGATTCCGTTGATTTTAAAAGCAAAGATATTTTCAAAATGTTTTTGATTTTGGTTGAATTTTTCTGAGCCGAGCTAAAACACTGCATAGATTCGTATTTAACGAGTGATTGTTGTTTTTTTAAGATCCATGTGCTCTATTCTATACTTTTCTTTCACAAATGGTTTTGATCTTTTTTTTTTCTTTGACCGCGTTTGAGAGTGGCATATCAATGGGGTTTCGAGCAGAAATGATTCAGATCGGGAGAATTTTTTTTTGTTTAAAGGCTTTGAATTAATGTGGAGTACATTGCAATCGACCCTAGTTATTACCAACCTTGATGAAACTTCACCCCGTTTTCCGACAGCGCTCTGTTATCACTACGTGGTTTGCCGCTAGCTTTTTACCAAATAATTAACCGTTTATTTTAAAGTTTTTTGTGAATTGAGAATCAAAGTTTTTTATTACTTTTTTCCAAATGGTGTCAAGAGTTAGTGGTGAACCAACTGAAGCGCCAAATTCTTTCCCTTTCCCATCCTCCCAACAAAAATCTCAGCAACGCAGTTTATCTATAGCCTTTTCCTGCCCATTAACCTCATGGAATCTCGGCTGATCGACGGCTTCATACTCAGTACTGTGGAATTCTAGTGGTGAACGTGATGATGGCGGCTTTGCCGGCAATGACGCGTCACATGCGCCGCTTCGAACGTCATCGGCGAGCCATCGAACTGGCAGGTGATGGAGACCGCGACGAGTTGGCCACGGAGGACGACTACGACGAGGCCGGCGAAGGCTGTCGCAGCGCTCCCGCGGTCCTAGCTCCTGACGATCCTTCGGGTTTCGACTTGCCGCTAGAAGCCGCGGGAAGTCCGACGCTGCTGCCTAGTGCTGGCCTCCTCCGTCGAATCCTGAGCGCCGCTTCGCCAAAGCACGCCAAGCCCTCGCTCGCTCCTTCCTCCGTCTCCTCCTTCTACTCCCGACCTCAATCTACTTCTGTGCTCCTCCGTACGTATCGTACCTTTCTGCTGTTTTTGAGTTACCTGCCTGGATGTGTTTCGAATGCAACTCCTGCGCATGTCAGTATATCCCAACAACCGCTATTTTATAAAAACTTCGGAGGCTGAAAAATAATAAAAGAAATTTGAGCTAAAAGAAAGATCAAACTCAAAGTTTGTTTATGTAGAATTCTAAAATTTGTACTTTGGAAGAAGTTCGGTAATTGATAACATATTTTTTTGACTCAGAACTGTATTTTTTGTCGCAGATATCACCTATACCAAAAGCTATATATTCACAGGTTTATCTCAGAAAAAAAGAAAGAATTAGCATTAGGATTTTTTTGATTCTCAAAACCATGACTAGAAACTAAATGGTGACTCGTAGAGTGTATTGAAAAGAAAGATAAAATTGTGTACTTTCATGGAAGTTAGTGTTGATGACCTTATTTTCCCATCATCATAACCCCCAAGTTGCTGAGTTTGCATGAGCTGGATCCATTTTAAAAAAAGTAGAAAAAGGCACCGAATGATATCGAAAGCTCCAGAGCATGAGTTCACTCACACTGATCGAGAGGCAAACTTGCAATGTGAAATGACGAGAGAAAAGAAATGAACGCACAGAAAGCACAGAAAGAATGTGATCGGCAAGAAGCGCACGAATGAATGTTAGAGAAAGACATATCTGAGATCTGAGTCGACCTTCTTTTCTTTCAGAAGAACGCGAGTTTGGTGTTTCATCAACACCTCGCTCCAGTGTTGATTCTTTGTCGGAGAACATAAATGTTATAACCAACGACTTCGTTTCGGAGAATTGCACGACATTATCCAGGTGGGAGGCTCCAAAGAAGAAAGTTCCTATTTGAAACTGCGTTCAGGAAAAGTTCATACGCGGACGAATCTCTTCCCTCTTTCTCGCAAACTTCATCCGGAGATGGCAGCAGTGTGAAGACAAACAAGAAAATCAGGTATGTCAAAAGTTCGAAGGAAGAATCATTCTAGTATATGCAGGGATATCTCGCGACACTACTCAACAAGACATCAGAAGAACCAAAAAGTGCAAAGAGGAACCATCCGATCTGCTTCTTTGTGAGCTTTTCTTAAGAAACTCAAGCTATTACGATTATTTCCAGCTCGGATCAAGGAGAAAGCGAAGCCATAATTCCTTCTATCATCAGAACAATCTCTCGTCGAAGTCCAAGAATATTTAGGAAGGCGACCACCGAAAAACATGCGGTAAGAATTACTCTTAGCAAAAAAGTACAAAGGAATACTTCAGACGATCATGGCGAATCCTTTGACGTCGACACCTTCTGAATCACGACGACCGATGACGTCGATGACCGAGACGGAGACGATTTCAGCTTCCCGCGACGCTCCGCCATCGACGTTCAGCCGCAGCACCACCGCTAACAGTTTTTCTCCAAAACCGAACAGAGGCTTACGATTTCTTCCAGGCGCAGAACTCCTCGCTTCTCCCGGTTCAACGTTTCCTGCTCTCATTTCTGAAACTGTCCTCGAAGAAACGATTTCAAATCAAACCACGGATGATAGCCATGTTAGTTTTGTCTGGAATCTTCGAGTTATGATTTTGTACGATTTTCTCTTTTGAATTCCTGCAAAAAATTTTCGAAAAAACCCAAAAAAAAAATTTTACTGCCGAACTCAAACCTTAGAACTTTTTCCCGTTTTCTTCTACCGCTATTTGGCTTAGGCGATGATGAAAATTTTTCTGCGCTTAGACATCTGTACGAACTAGTTTGGTTCAGCCTACGGTGAGCTTCGCCTTGACTGTGCGAGATATGGAAGGCGACGACTCGAACAGACTCAAAGGCAGCACGGATCTGCCGCAGAGAATTCCGGATGTCGAGCCTCCGTTGGCGGTCAAAATCCTAACGCGTCCTTCGTTGCCTAGTCAGTTTCGAAGTAGCAGAACCGTGGACAAAGTTCTTATGAAAGACTTGGCGCGGACGGATTCTGTGGGCTCCTCGCAGACTCGAGCTGACAGTCTCAAGTCGGTCGACTCGAAACAATCTCTCAAAAAAGGCGGAAAGAACGGCATCGCCGTCAAACTCGTCAAACGCGCCATGCGACAAGAACATAGTTTGAAACGCAAGGTGATCAGTCTTTCAAAGGGCGAAGTATAGACTGAGGTTATAGGTATCGAAATCGCAGAGGAAAGAAAAACGAGCGACGAAGACCTTGGGAGTTGTGGTTGGCGTTTTCCTTATCTGCTGGGTGCCGTTCTTCGGAATCAACATTCTCAACGCCATTTGCATCCTTCTGAAAGAAGATTCTTGCCAGGTTGGCGATGCTTCAACTTCCATTTTTCTAAAATTCGGAGGAGATCCAAGAAGTCAAAAAAAAAAGAGTTTTAAAAAAACTTTTTTTTCCTAATTGTTATCTTACGGAGTCGTTCCAGGTGGGCTACGACCTGTTCTTCTACTGCACCTGGATCGGCTACATGAACTCGTTCATGAACCCCATCATCTACACAATCTTCAACACGGAGTTCCGAAGAGCCTTCAAATCGATCGTCTTTGGCCGCGAAGTCGCGAGGGCCCAGGTCCGCCAGAAACAGGCTCATCTCTGACCATGGAGTCTTCTTATTAGGCGCAGATGTTGATTCCGATACTTTCATTCTTTCAAGTTTTATTTTCTTTATCACTGCTTATCATGTCATTTTGCAAGTTTTTTACGGTGTGGTCTTTTTCTTCTATATTCGTGTGCCTTCAAATGAATCCTCTATCTTGTTTCCTTATCATAATCTAGAGATGTGAACAGTTTTTTTTTAGTTTTTCATTGATTGGATTGATCTACTTAATTTATTTTTTCTATGAAACGTCATGTGTACACCAGTTCATTTATTAATCACTAGGTATTTTTATGGGCAAAATTTCTTCTGAGTTGTGCTAGAAACATTGTACTTAATAACCAAGTTTTGAAAAAAACACGGGTCGTCGAAATTTGCTTCTAAGCCAGATCTCGCGCTGCATTCCTTACTTGTTCACTTGCCCTGAAGTTGTCACCAGATTTTTTTATAGTTTTATTCTTGCCATATGAAAAAAACTGTGTCTCAATTTATCAATTGTTATCGAAAGATGTTATAAAGAAGATCAAAACAAAGTTTTTGAAGAGAAGTTTCTGACATCCTGAAAAAGAAATTCCTGTGGCTTTTCATTGCTAATTCTCGAATTTATTTCATTTACAAACAGTCTAGAAGATCTTATTCATGATTTCTCAATACCATCAAATATCAAATAATACTATCGAATAAAACTTTAGTATCCGTTCAACAGTTGTGATAACTGTCCCGCCGACAGGTTTCCTTCGACATCGCTTTTGTTTGCATTCAACAATCGCTGTTTCGAAGTCAGTTCTACCTGCGTCTCGCCAAATATTTCTGTTGCATATTGCCATGTTCCGATTCGCTGTTTTTTGTTTAGTTTTACAAGCAGGTATTTTTCATTTTAAGTTTCACAAAACTAATCAAAATGTCTTGCTTCGGTACTAGCTTTTTAGCGATCTAGTAAAATTTAAAAAAAAAAGTTTCGCCCAACCAATTTCCTATGTAACGTGATAAGCCGACTTTAATGTACTTCATTATTAAGAATTTGAGTTGGAATTCAATGACGAAAATATATTTGAACAGGAACGGCAAAAAACTGCGAGTCGGATAAAGACTCTGGTGAAAGCTGTAAAGACACTCAAGGAAAATTGATGTTCTACTACGACAAAAGGACCGGTAGGTTAAAATTTTTTGTTTCTTCTGAAAGCAGAAACTCAGGAGTCTGCCAGCCTCTGTACTTCCGCGGTTGCGGCGGCAACGAAAATCGCTTCGACACGCGGGAAAACTGCGTCAAAGCTTGCTCAAAAAGAAGCTCATCTAATGGGACGCAGACGTTCGACCCACCATCGGATGCCCAAAACATCGGTTTCCATTTTGAAGTCCATAACAAAGGATACATTCAAAGAAATCGGAGTGTTGTAGGCGAAGGTACAATAATGATTCACGATTTATTGTTCCCAGTCCTTTTCTCTGTTTCGATTTTTTTTTTCTGAACTTTTCAATTGCAAAATGTAATAAAATCGGAACGGAATTGCAGTTTCGGTGTGCGAGTTGAAGACTGACGCGATTCTCGACGAGCCAGTGAGAAGCTGCAACGACGGCTGTCTCAACGGCTACCAGTGCAACAAGAAGAACGTCTGTTGTCCCACAAAAGGTGCGTTTCTGGGACATTCGCCTTAAGACGATTTGAACGGGTTGCAGCTCACGTCTGCGGACTGCCCGTGTCTTCTGGAAGCGAACGCGAGTCCCTCAAGCACTACGGACGGTACGCCTACATGCCAGGCCTCAACAACTGTATCCGCTTCTCCTATTTTGGTCAAGGGGGCAATTTCAACAACTTCAAAACTTACAACGATTGTAAAGAATTTTGTGCATAACTTCTAGTTTTTTTTTTAATTATTCGAATGCCGTTGTCTTCAACAGTTGTTCGTAGAAAAATATTCATTCAGCAGCGCAAATAAGAGAAGACTAATGACTTTTAGTGAAAAGCTGAGATTGGACACATTCCAGAAGTTATTTGAGGTTTTATCATACAATTACTTTTCTCGTAACTCATTGGGATTCTGGAAAATTGCTAATATTTAATATTATGAGATCGATTGGAAGAAATCGAAAAACAAGGATGGGAGAGTGAAAACTTCTAATAAACAAGCCGCGGGGAACGGTTGACTCGACTTCTGAAAACGACGCCGTCGCCTTGAATGGCACTTGCGAGAACTCGGTCGAGCTCTCTCACAGTGAATCTTCGAGGCAGAGGTTTCTCGTCCGAGTGCCGTGCTTTGTGCACACTGAGCCTAGGTTTCTGTCTCTTTCTCAGACACAGTTGAGAAACAAACTTCTGAATAAGGTCCTCCACGGTGACTCTGTTCGTCGAATCAACGGCTCCTGTCTTGAAGACGTTGTACTGAATTCCATTGATGACTGTCAGACAGAAGGCTGGCGATCCGTCTTCGTTCGAGTGGTCGGGAAACGTCCAATGGACCTCTGAACTCCCGTTTCTCCCGAGGAGAAGAAGACAGACCTTTCGAAACGAGGGCTGGATTCCGAATGACTAGCACTCCCCACGTACCGCCGTAGACGTCTTCGAGGATTCGGCGCACCATCTGTTCAGAAATGTTTTCAGGAAACTCCCGGAAGTTCTTTCAAAAAGAAAGGATACCTGAATCTGGATGACAGGATCGACTGTAGTCTCAGCAGCTCGTTCTATCACCGCACGAATTGAACTTGTTGGGCAGTTGTTCAACGCTGGTAAACTTTTTGTAAACTTATCGAGAGTTGAACTTTGTGGAGAAAGTTTTGAAATTTTCGGAAACGATAAAATTTATTAGTTTGCAATATAAACTTTTGGAAGTTTTAAACGGTTGTTTCTTTGTTTTTTTAAAACATGCCAGAGTAGAAAATTGTAATAACAAGCCTCGAAAATTGCCTATTTTTCGAATACCTGAACTGAATTGCAAGAAAGTGCAGAAGACGAGAAGCCGCATCGCCGACAGAATGGCACGACAGAAATGTTTTCTTTTTGCTTCCAATTTCCTCGCCATTACCAAAACTCGTATAACTCTTGTGAAAACTGTTCTTCTTTGCTACACGCGATCGAACAATGGACATTCGGGTGTCAAGTGCCGAAGCTTGTTCCTTGCGCCATTCGACCATCGCCTGGGGCATGCCAACGGGCGAAAATGTCGAAAAAAGTGTTTCCCAACTTGGAAATGCTGTCAGAAAGGTTGCAGACACAGCGAGATCTGATCAACTGATGAGAATCGTCACGGCAAAAGATATGGTCCGAGGTGTCATGTCGCATCCCCATAATAATGCCAGCCGACTGCATAATACGCTCGGTCGCTCCTTTCCGCGTCTTTTCCATCCACCTCTTCATATTTGTACTCATTTTTTCGTTTTATCAGCAAATTTCTGCGTTTTGCCTCAATTGAAACGAACTTTCTGAAAGTCTTTCAATTGAAAAAAGTCGGAAGGAAAAATATTTATGAGATGATTTGAAAAAGTTTTCCAACTGGATAATCTTGAAGATACTAGTCGGAAATCGCCGAAATGACAGTGGAAAAGTTCTTTTTAACGGAAACGTTTTTCTTGAAATTTTCATTTTTGTTAATTTGTGAGAGTCTTTACAACTACAGTTTGAGCATGTTTCTACCTTTCTGCTCAATTTGAAGGTTATTTGGAGCTTTGAAAAATTTCAACCAGGTAGGAATATGGCCTCAAACGGCGCAAATACGCGTCTATTGCCGATTTCAAGGTTTCTCAAGCCCGATAGCAATCAATTTTTGGCAAGTGACCTTCTTGTTGGGCGCCGTGCTTCAAGTGACTTCTTCGACTTTCGCCTGTTCTTGGCAACATAACTTTCCCACAAAATCAATCTCGCGAAGTATTGTGTTTGGAAGTGAGTCTGGAGTGCCTCACGTCGAACAAACACTTGTCTTCTCCCCTTTTATTAATTCGGAAAGGTTTGTCAGGTTCACGGCAAACAATCCTTCCGTAGAGAGATCCCATGAAAATCTGTGAAGGCGTTCTAAATTTTCTCTGCTATCTACAGAAAATCTTTAATATTGCTCATCCATCCATCTAATTTCCTCGAAAAGTCTCTTCCATCTTCATTATTAATCATTGTCCTCCTAAAAAAATTCTTAACCTTTTTTTTTGAAAAAGAGAAAAATGCGCGGCCAATCGTCAGCTGACTGGAAGCCAAAAACGGCGCTCAGCTGATCTTACTAGAGAACCTGCGATTGGGAGAGACGCAGACGGTTAAAAAATTATCTCAAATTAGCAAAATAACCTTCAAGAGGAAAAAGTATGATGAAAAGAAGAATAGGAAAATTTTCGTTTTCAATTCGTACAAAAACGCATTGCAATGAATAGAAAAATTTAACATAATACTCTTATAAATTTTGAAGAAAACCTAGTTCAAAAAAGCTCGGAGCTCGTCAGATTATTCTTTGAATATGAAGAAAAAAATTCGATAAGTTTCTCGATTAGAGTTTAGGGTTTTTGAGTACTATTCGAGCGCCCGACAAGCTTGCCCATTCATGAGAGTTGAACTGATTTGGTATTTTATTCATGCAGCTTCTTGGGTTCGGAGCAGGAGAATCCGAAAGGCGCAGGTACAGGGCAAAAGGCCCAGCCGTGCACACGATAAACACGGCCGCCGGCTGACCTACATCGCCATCGAAAATTCCTCATTTGAATGTCGGCGCTCCAGGTGGCCTTCCGAAATTTCCCAACATCGACCACCTCAAAAGTCGTTCAGGCGACAAGAGTTCCTTTCAACTTTTCTCGGTTTCGACTCGTTTCAGACAGTCGGAGTATGATCACAATGACATTGCAAGTCTGTTTTGATCCTTTTTTTAATTCTGGTTTCATCTGTTCGAACTGAGAGGAAATCGTAACACAGGAAACTTCGCTTTCAGCGTATGAATCTAATACTTTTAAACATTAGTTCGGACATTTTCACCATCTTTTGAAGTCTTTTTTTTGAGATGCGAGTGTTCTCACCTTTGGGATTGACACTGATCTTTACGAACTCTATCATTTTCATCGTTTATAACAAGCCTTTCGGAAGAAACTCGAAATCGCCGGAGCCGAAAACGGCGGCTCTCGGAAGAGATAATGCGTGTGGCGTTTGTCGCCATGCCAACAGCATTGTAGTTGTTGGTCCGTTGCAACAGCCTCCCCCTCGATTATCCAACATCCACCCGTTTGTCGCCAAACAAGCCCGACTTTGGAAGCTTCTCTCTGAGGAAACCTCTCTAATATACTTCTTTTTTTTTTTTTTCACCAATTTTTTTCGCTCTTGTTATACTGCTAGTTGTTGTTGATTAATTTTCAAATAAAAAAAAAACTACGTATAATCCATTATATCCAGTCAGAAGCCATCCTAATATGATTTTATTTTCAAGAACAATCCACGGATTTCGCAATCTTTTTTCCGAAAATTTGTTGTAACCAATTTTCATTTCTTCGTAATCATCATGCGTTTTTTCTCTCTTTCATACTTTTACCAGTTAGCTTAAGCTGGTGAGTCAGAGCGGCGGAAAGTTGGAATTATTCCCAGTTTATGGCGAGTTTGAAATAAAAAAAGAAAGGGCAGTTGGATTAAAACAGGGCGAGCCACTGGCTGGCGACATGCCAGCGCAAGCCACAAATTTCGACGTCGCTCCGTTTCAAGGTGAATCTTCTGAATCTCCGGCTTTCACACGCTCTCTCTTCACCTTTTTTGCCTCATTATCTGACAACGGCTCATGGTCGCTTCGATCCGACCGTCTTCGTTTCACAAAACCTCTTCCGAATTCCATTTTTGGCGTTTTCCTTAAAATAAGGATTCTTCACGATTTTGAGAAAAACTTTTCTTGTTAGTTTTCTATATTCGGTTTTTGTCTACGGAAATAAGAGTTCAAAAAAAAGTTGTATTTTGTGTAATCATAACTTTTCGACATAAATTTCACGTCATCCTCAGTTTTTCTTTTCCCAGTTAGTATTGACTACTTCTAATATTCCAAACTTCTGTGGTGTTTCAGCTTTAAAATTGTATGCATTCATTCTAAGCCGTTTATAACGAGATTTCACTATTCTTCCCAACTTCATAAGAAGCTAAAAGAAACAGAGAACTTTCCAAAAAGCTCAAATATCTATCCAGTTCCAAAACTCATTATTCAATTTCTCATTTGAAGTTCTTCGCACCGCGTAAACTAATCGCCGAAATGGAATTCTCTCGCCCAGGGCGGCCTAATCGCCTACCATTTCATGAGCCCCGCCGCCGTAAACCTGCAAGGTGGAATCCACGACTTTCTGCGACCTCATTTCTATCCATTACTTGCCGCATCGTATCCCTCGCCATTTTCGGTTACCTCCAAAAACTTATTCAGAGGAAAAATTTAAAAGTTCTGCTCCTTTTTTTCAGCTCTGTTCAATTTTTTTTAAAGCCAATTTTTTGGCTAACCTCAAACGTGGATCGGGTAAGAGTAACGCGCTAGTACCATACAGCCTATCGAAGGGTCTAAAGCCTAACGATGGAACCACCAGTGTAGGTGATTCAGGGCTGGCTTGAGCCATCGAGAAAAGGGTCCTGACACGATAAGAAAGAGACAGCGCCTGGTGGAGAGCGCAGACAGGCCACGTCCTTTTGTGTCCTAAGTGAGCCTTGAATCGGCTTTGTATCTTGTCAAACTTCAGCGAATCCGATAGACTTTCGATATATCAATCAGCATTATCTCTATAGCTCTGATAATGCTGATTTTACCGGATTTATGATGACAAACATATCATTATAGTATCCTAATCAAGTTATTACCTGACCCCGGTGCGTGTATATTTCAAAACTTTTGGTTGAGAACATTTCACAGGTTGAAAAAAAAATAAATAATATGATGAAATAGCTGAGTATCAAAAACAGAAGACGTTCAGCTGTGAGAACGACAGCAAATACTAATTTTTCTTATTTCGACCTTCGACATGTGCCTTTCTATTTCAGGCTTAAAGATAGTTTTGATCTTAGAAACACTGAAGATCGGTTTTTGTAGCTCATAAAACAGCAAAAAATATTTTCGCCGGAACGGGAACAGACCTTGACGCGACTCGAACCGGTCTCTGGCACGCCGCCAAGAACTTTCGCTCTTCTTTCTCGGTCTCTTCCTCCAAGTTTGATTTTATCGATTGCGAAATGAAATTCTCGAAATCCCTTATCCTGAAAATTCTGAAATTAGCTCTAGGTGGCCGCTTAGTGCAAGAATTCGTTGTAAACTCGAAAAATAATCACTGAAAAAATTATCTAATTCGTCGATTCTTCGCAAATTTCAGACAGCGAGCTCAAAAAAAGAAAAATTCCCTTCGTTTGTTTGATATTCTTTTTATTTCTTCTCGACCTTATTTTGCATCTATTTTTTCAAGTCGTTTGCAGACTTTTCTGAGAAGAATCTTTTCAATATTCATAAGAAATATTTTTCTTCAAGTTCCTTCTCTTCAAATCTGCGTATCGTTTTTCAAAAGCCCTTTTCCAATTCTTGCAGATATTCAAGTTGCAAGAAATCTTGTTGCAGACATTTTCATAGATCGAATTATTCTCAAATCTCTGAATATATTTTATCCGTATACATCAATTCTCAATCTAAAAATATGTGAATAGGACAGTTTGAAAGCAAAAACTGCTGAGAATCGTTGCGGTGAAACGACGCAATTTATGCGTCATCCTCAAATATCAGACGACGTTCAGATCTTTTTTCATTTTTTGTAACTCATTTTTGGATTCTTTTTTTTCGTACAAAGATCCATCTGAAGTCGCACACTGAAAAATCTCAATTGAAAAGTGAATCAAATTGCTATTCGCATGCAGTTTATTGTACTTGTTCGTATCGTTTATCCATTTAGTTATTTTGAACATAAACTCGGCCAAACTGATATTTTAAAGGGATGTCGAGCACCATAGCCCAAAAAGGGCTGCTGGCTCTCTCGATCATTCTCATCATTGGCGGGATCTGTCTGACGTGTGGCGGAGCATTTTCGCCGGCGTGGCAGGTCGTCGACATTCGCGAATTCCGCGCCGAGCACCAGGTCGGTTGAAAGTATTCATTCATAGAAGTATATATATATATATATATATTTCAAAAAAATCACATACTTTTTTTCACAAGATTTATGATAAAGAAGAATATTTTCACAGCACGGCCTTTGGTGGGACTGCATTCGAGCCGAAAAAAACACGTCGTCGCCGTCGGCGATTTCTACGACGAAACTCGGCTACACTGCATGTATAAGGTTTTTTTTTCAATACAAAGTTATAATTTATTCCATTTCGTATTCAACTAAACTTCGGCGTGGTTTTAATTATATGAATAATATCTTTCATAAACATTGAGGCTGTAACAGCCGCTGTAATCAATAGAAATGTTGGTCCGTGTCGGATTTTTATAAATTTTGATTATTATTTGTACTGGCGATGAGAAGATGGTTTTGTAAATATTTAATGGACGTTATAGAAACGATCGTTCAAAGAAAAGTGATATGAAAACTTTATTATATTTGATGCGCAGCGTCTGGTCTCAAGTCGATAGCAATTTTGAACAAAAAGCTAGGTTAAAGTTCTGATTGCTGTGATTTTCGCGTTCTTTGCTATAAATGAACCTTTAAAAAAATAGAATATTTATAAAAAAATTAGAATAATTTATACTTTTTATAATTTATAGGAGAGATCATCGTACTTTTTGAAGAATGGATTGAAAATTTCCCGTTCATGCTCTAAACATTAAAAAAAAAGAGATTTTCAGTTTGACAATTCTGCCGAGCTTGTTATCGAGAACACCTTGAACAACATTGACGAGGACGGAGCGGCCGGAGAGAGCGAACATCACCGTTTCTGGGGTTAATAATAATAATTTATTGACAGATCAGGGGTTTGTCTTCCATCAAGTCCATCGATGAGCAGGACCTAGAAATGGACTCTCTATCTTTACACAAACCTGTTCCTGACAAAACAAAAGCTATCAAACTTTCATCTTTTTATCTATCATAGTCAAGTTGATGAGCTCTGTATGTAGAGCTTGTTGAAGAAACAATTTGAAAACGAAGATGTAGACTGAAGCCTCGAAAAAAGAACTAAGGACTTCTTGTGTCCGATTTATCTTGGTAGCTTTCAGGCTGGCACAAGGCGATCCTCTTCTTCATCATCACGTCGGAATTCCTGGCGTTCATCTCCATCTGCACGGGAGTCTGCGCGCCGTGCTTCACGCCGACGGCCTTTGCCTTCACCATCTCGCTGTTCATCGCCAGTGGGACTGCCGATTTGTGAATTACCACAGTTATGATCTTCAGTGCTGTGCTCTTTGATCGCTGACGGCGTTTTCTTCTTGGCCGCCAACCGCGTCGACAACCGATTCGTTCAGGGAATGGTCGGCACTTATGAGGTTTCTCCATTTTCTCAGTTACCCAACCTTTCGGAAAACCTGTCGAAACCGGAAGCAATTCTTAGCAACGGATCGGCTACGCCTTCTACCTGCATCTGATGGGCACCATGTGCTGGATCGGAGCCTTCGTCATCGCTCTTCTCACCACCTACAAGTTCCTTTCCGGCGAAGGAACCGACGGAAGGTGAGCTTTTCTTCTACTTTTGGGCATGCTTTCGGTAGATACACCTGAAATAGACTTTTTTGTTGTTTCCGGGCTTTCTTCCGTTGCGTGTATATGCACCTTTTCCGCTCCTACTAGTCTTTTCTCTGAAGAAAGGGGCCTAAATTTATGATATCAGAAAAATTCAGGAAAAGGCCAGTAAAGTGTATCGTTGAACAGATTTTTTAAGTCTTCTAAAGGATCATTTTTTGATTTATCAAATTGAATATTCAGTTAAAAAGGTGTTATCTAGAACCTAGATTGAGGAAAGAATGGTCCTTCCAAATTTCAATAAACCTACCCAGTCGTAAAAAGTATCGAAAAACACGAAAGCAGGATATTTCATGAAGAAAATTGTAGCAAGGAGAATCTGTTCACCTGGCAGAAGCAGCAACCGACAACGCTCAGCGTGTAAATCCTTTCTCTTTCTCTTGGTTTCTAACCGTTGCACCTAATATGAGCAATGCGACGCTTTGCACTATTAGAAGCAAAAATAACTAAAATGTTTTGCATGGGTGGCGTTGTCGTGTTTCTGTGTTGTGATGGGTGCTTTAGTTGAGGTTTTCTTTTCTTTCGGAGTAATGAGATGGAATTATAAATAAGGCTAACTATACCGTGTGTCGTGTACCTTTGTTTGGTGTTGCAGGTCACGTCGCGAGTATTGGCACTAATTCTGCACATTTGGTTCCTCAGCTTCACCTTCAGTTCCCCTTTGCCTGTCGCTTTTGTTTTCTTCTTTTCCTTCCCATCTTCTCCGGTTTTCAGTACCGAGCTGCCTTTCCGCGGAAACGTGCAGACTATCCGCGAGGAGCCGCTTCTCGAAAAGTATCCCCCCAGCAGCGTGTATCGCCCAAGTCCTCAGGTCATTTTTTTACCTTAAGACTCTGGTCTTTCGTCGAAATCAGTTATTTGAAGTTTCATGTTCCAGGTGCCATACCGGACGACGAGCATCACTCAATACCGCGAAACCAGTGCCTGATTCTGCTCAATCTCCTCCTTGCTCTTACTTCTCACTTCTTCTGATCACTTACCATTCTCAGAGCCTTTCTTTTCACCTTTTTTTGTACATTGCGAATAAAATTGCTCTCTTTTCCTATTTCAGTGTTTATTCATGATTTTTTGTGCGTTAGCCGGTTGAATATGGTAATTTTGAACTTTTTTCCCTTGAAGTTGTTGTTAAATTGTTCCCAAAAACTTTGCCGCTTTTTGAACTAAATTATGACTCCGTCAAGTTTTTCTACAAACGCGGAAAACTGTTCAAAAAATTTCGCATATCCCTGTACTGCCAACATCGCTCCGAGGTGTATTTTATTTGATTAGCCATTTTTTGATAAGCAAATTTATTTTTATAACGCTTTCGATGTGGCGCCGAAGCTAGAGATTGAAACTTTTTTACGCAGCAGAATTTTTTGTTACCTTGTTCGAAACATGTTCCCGAAAAAACAGGAAAAATAAACAGAAGACTTTTCTTATGAGAAAAGAATAATAAATCTCTGCCATCTGCGCCGCAATACTTTCCTTAAATTGTTGATCTTCTCTATTAGTTGGCAATCTCCACTCGAAAGTTTTTCAAATTGATTTTTCGTTCCTGTTCTGAAAAAAAGCCAGCCAGTATCTCAAAATTGTCTCATCCTCTGTGCTATAACTGTACTTTTCGTTTGACATGAAGCCTTTTCTCCGAATTTCATGCGAATTCAGGTGATCGATATGAACTTTAATAAAAATTTGACAGAAACAATTCAAGAGCCTAAAAACAGTTGAAAAGTTGAAGAAAAGACGACAGAACCCCGTATTGTACCGATTGAAGAGCTTCAGATTTGAGCCGCTTGCGTTAACTTCTTGTTGTAGTAGTAAGACCAATAAATGATCTGAAAACGGTCTTGAACCTTGGAAAACCTCAGAACTACGGCATACATTGAATATTGCAAAACAGGCAGGAAACCCGATAGCTGATATGCGATCAATTTTTTCGGGAGGCCAATTCCAAACCTCCTTGAGCGCCTAAAAGCATTGAGAAATCGCTTCGAAGTTTACTCGGATCATACTTTTAACCGGATGACGTCAGACCAGCTGATGTGTCTCCGCTCCACGGGCAACATGAAACGTTTCTCGTAACGGCACAAACCGGCCGGTGAGGATTCAAAATTGTCTAGCGCTTGCAACTGAAAGTTCTTGGAGTTTTTTGAATCTCATTTTTCTTATGAGCAGAAAAAAAAAATTGAAAAATTCTTCAAGTCTGAGAAAAAATACCTTTTTATGAGAGCTTTTTTTCCTGCCGCTTTCCTCGTTTTTGGTTTTGTACCCGACTATTGCCAATTCGAGCAGCGAACAGAATACGAAAGTCATCGAGGCGAGCATCCAAACGTCTCAAATCAACATTTTTTCAACATCTTTTCGAATTTCTTCAATTCAAGGTTTACATATCTTCTGGAACTAATCAAAAACGCACTGAAAAGCCGAAATGTTTTCAATTTTTGTTTGGTTGATTTATGGGGCTAAGGAACGAGTTTTTGTGTTGCTCAGCGTTTTGGAAATCCCAAGTGAGACTTATAGAAAGATGTATGGCCAGCCCATAAATTCAAACTTTTTCATTACGGCTCTTTTCTGTGTAGCATACATATTACTGACTCATTGCAGTCGATAATACTGGAAAGGATCAAATTTTCAAGCCTATATAACTTTTTGAAAGGATTTCATGTTATTCTCAACATACAAGCACCTTTATGAAGTCTTATTTTCGATCAAGTTTTTGAAAGAACTACACATTCTCCATCATACAATTTCGAGCTACTCTTTTTGAGCTGAGTTTCCAGAGACAGAGTCTACTTGGAAGCTCACGACTGACCAATAGCTTTGATGTAGGAAACGCGTGGAAGGTTGCGCATGATGTTGCCGAACTGGAAAATCATGGCGAGGAGCGCGTTGACGCCGAGCATCGTCCTGGCCGGAATCGCCTTGGAGCCGAGCGAGAAGGAGATCCAGCTGCAAGGAAGAGAGTGGCCGCTTCAGGGCCGACGGCCCACCTGATGAAGATGGTGAGGTAAGTGGGCAGGTAGGCCTGCATGAAGTACCAGATGTAGCGTCTCTCGAAGACTAGCCTCACGTGCAGCTCGTCCCACATGCCAGCTGGGTACGGCTGCAACTTTCCATTTCTCTTTTTCATTTTTCGTCTTCAAAAATGTCTGGCTCCAAAAGATTCTATAAAATAACTGAAAGTTTCCAGCTTTCATCTTCAAATTTTGCAAAGAAAAATTTTGTCCATAAAGTAGAACCGATCAGGAATAAAACAAAATGATAGAAATTCGAACCGCAGATATCCTGGTAGGAGTTATTTTCATGAGGTCGAAGTCGGGTAGGACGATTTTTCCGGTAGTGATGACCGGCGTCGGATTGTGCTCCGCCCATCGCATCATCACCTCTTGGTTGTTGTAGTTGAAGCTGAGGCCAAGGAATCCCGGGAAACAGAAGAGCAACTCACCTTTCGTAGATCAAGTTGCACTCCTGGATGTCGAGGGGGAAGAGTTCGAGCGACAAATTGCACGGTCCCTTCACGTTGACGCGCTGCAAAAGGCTCGGATATCGGAATAAAAGACGCCGCCAACTCACGTAATTCACCCAGACTGTTCCGTTGGGGTACAGCATCAAGAAGACGTTCCTGCAACGTTTGATTTAGAAAAAAAACTCTCATTTAAGAGGGACACTGCTTCTGGGGCTAGTCATTTTTGAAAGTTCATTTTTCATCTATGGATTTTAGAGGTCATAGGAAAGCTTTATAAAAGTATACCACAAACGTGTGAAAATGAACAGAGCAATGAAATTTGGTAGAAATTTGATGAGGGTGGCGATTCTATTAATAAACACACACTCGCTCCAAAATAGCAGCTAGACTACAAAAATAAGACAGGGACCTTCCGAACCGTACATTACTTACAAGATTGATTTTTACAACAAAAAAGCAATATTTTTTTCTTGGATCTAACAAGTAAGTCATTTTCCAAGAACTTTTTGAAAAATAAAATGTTCTGACAGTTTATTAAAGACTTCATATAATCAAAAATTTCACAGAAGCTGCTAACTTTTTACCCTAGTTTTTTTCTCGAAAAAAAGTTTTCGGTTAGAAAAAAATATTTTTCATTTTATTTTCTTCGACTAAACCTCGAAAAAAGAAATGTTAATTCTGCGCAAGAAGCAGCAAAAAAATTTAGGTATTTTGAAAACAAAACAGGGAAGTTTAATCATGGCGTCCGGAAGTTTTATATCTCTCTTTGAAAAATGTACAAAGACGGACTTGAAAGGGGAGTCGTGGATCTCGGCGAATTTGCTGTTGATGAAGCAGCTGTTGGGCGTCCAGAGCTGGTCCAGAACCTGAGAAGTAAATCTTCACCCTTTTTTGCTTCAATTTCATAACAAGGAAAGACATCGAAAGTTTTTCGAATTCACGTTTTTCTTAATGGTCAAGAAAAAAAACTCCAAAAAAAAATAAAATGAATGAACGATCGAAAAAATTCAAAATTTTCTTGAGAAAGGCTTCAAAAATTGAGCTAAACGTTTTTGCGTCGCCATTATTTGCTTTTGTGGTTTATAGAAAAAAAATTGTTACCCGAGTTATTTAAAAAACTTTTCATTTTCTTCGAAAATTCGTTTAAGGGAAATATTTGTTCAGACAAAAGCCGCGTTGTTCATTTCTGATGTAAAACAAGAGCGTTGGGCATATTCTTTCAAGAATAAAAGAATAAATGTTTTTGCTGTGGACAATAACCAATTCTGGTTCTCTGGTCTTTTCCACTCTTCCAAGCTTTTTCTTGAAAAACTCAAGATTTTCTTCCAAACAAGAAATAGCGATACCAGCTCGATACTGCGGAACAATGAGATATTGTTAACAAAGTTTTGTGATTTCAAACTCAAAACTAAGTTTTCCTCGCTCATTTTTGAACCTAAACTTTCCATCGGGATTTTATGTCGAGTTCTCATAGAGTTCCCCTAAGAAAAAGCATAGTCTAGCGGTCACGTCATCGGGTCTAATAATACTGAGGACTGGGAATCGCTCACCTGGTGGCTGAGAGAGAGATTTTGCTTGCAAGGGTTCATGTGCTCAAAGTTCAGTGACGGGTCCATCCACATCTCGTTGATGTAAATGTCCATCTACAAATGGTCTTCTCATTTTACATTTAATTTCGGTTGGGTTATTCAGCAGCTCCAAGTATGTTGTTTTTCTCGTTACCAAAGTGATAGATACCTATCAAATTTCATCAAGGAAAGAGAGAAGTCGAATGAAAAAATAAAGTTAAAAAAAAGGAATTTGAAGACAATTATACTCGGTTAGTTTATCACAAAATTTAAAAGACGAGTGAACTTTCAAACAAACTATCCTGGTAAAATCAGCGAAACAGCTTACGAGAACAAGAGAGCAGACAGTAGCAATGTCTTATTTCGAATCCGGTTAAATCAGTCGAATCTTCATAATAAAAAAAATTACGGCTAAAGTTGATCCCCCGCTGCCTTAGTATACAAAAAAGCACGAATCGTGAGTTTTGTCCTAGACTCATTCGTCTTTTCTCAATGATTATAGTGCTCCCTTTGAAACAACCTCGAAGTCGTTGGTGATCTCATTGATGGAAGTGATGGCTTGAACCCAGAACTCGACGCTCACCTTCACGCCGTCGTCGTCTGAATCAGCCGAAAAATCTCTCAGAAATTCTCTCTTGCCAAATAATTTCGAGGTTCTCACGCCTTTTTGTTACAGACTTCCGAATTATTAATATTTTCTCATAATGATTCACGGGGAGTCCCTAGGCTGAAAAAAAAAAAGTGAAGTTGGGATTCATTTTCTTGTTGTTTGGAACTTCTACTACCAGCTGAGAAGACCAATAATTGTCCGAAAATTTTGAGTGCGGGTGGACGAAAACGCAAAGGGATTAGAGTCCAAATCAAGCGTTCTCATGTTTCTTCTTTCCTTAAACCACCTTCAACGCCATTTTCGAACATAAATTTGGAAGCTTCCCGTTCTAAAAGTACAAGATGTTTTTTTTTCACTGACAGAGGACAGATACAAGATTAAGAGAAGTGGATGCCAAAAAACTTGCTCGGAATGCGGAATTTGTTGTATCCGGTGCCGTTGAGAAGGCGGTTGATGATCACCGGCTGGCGGGTGCAGTTCCGCTTTCGCGAGGCCTGAACTTCTTCGACATTGATGTACTAAGATTCTTTAGATATTAAATCATCATTTATGCCACCTAGCGAGAAGTTCGCAGAACGCCAAAGTAACTTTTCTGATTATTAGTGAGAACTTCTACTTTTGAATAATCAGAGATATTAAACTATTTCATGGAACTGCCACAGTATAATTTCGGAAAAATCATTAAGTGCTAATGAATGTTTGAAAAGTTTGAAAGACACCTTGAAATGAAGACAAACCATTCAGTTATTGGGTTAGGATTCAAAAGAAATTGAACAAAACTTAATCAATGGAAAGAACGACATTATTTAAAGTGATCATGATAATTGCTATCGAATGTTATGACAGTAGTCATTAATCGCCAAAAAAAAAAAAAAATGAAAAAAGGCTGAATTCTAGCGCTAATCGACTCAACGAGAAGGAGAGAAAGAATGGACCTCAGTGGTGGTCTCCTCGTCGGCCGAAATGTTGTAGTCGTTGTCGATGACGATGGAGGCTAGCCGTTGGCACAGCGTCAGAAGCAAAACCGCCGTCGCGGCCCTTCGCATCGGGCAGCCGGAATACCGCCTTCAAGTACAGATGCTTCATTAGCTGCGAAATCACGCAATTTTTTTCGGCTAGGTTAAACAACCAGGAAGAAAAGAAAATGAGTGATTCCTTTGAGAATTCAAATGAGATGCCGCCAATAGCACTTGATATTCACGAAAGGAAATGCTAAACAGAATTTAAACAAGTTTCAGTGGTGAGCATCAAAAACGACGGAAGAACGCAAGAAAAACACATCCGTCAGCAGATGGAAAAGACGACGGCCTAGGACTCCGCCCACCGTGAAGGATTTCTGAGCAGTCCCTCTAGGACAATCGTTTCCAAGCTAGCCGGTATTTTTCGGAAAACATTTCAGAAGTTCGACAAGGTCATTGCCTTTTTTTCAAACAAAACAAAAAAGTTGTGAAATTAGAAGTTGGCAATCTCAGAAGTAGGAAATAATGATAACTTTTGAAATAATTAAAGGCTTCTGAGGCTTCTCACAGCAACATATTTAAACCAAAGAAGTTGGCGTGAGGACTTGAATCAAGCAAAAATGAAACATATATACCCGCATTTTGGCACTATTAAAAAAAAAAAACTTTGTTCCGTTTTTTTGAATAGCACAAATTATAAAGCGAAAGCTCAACTACAACACCTATACAAAAAATAGTAAACTAAGACTCAGCAAATTTGAGAGAAATTTTCAGTCTGTCGGGTTTAATGCTCTGAGAACCTGCTGGTTCTCTCGATCGTTGAGTTTTTATTTTTATTTTGTTGTAACTGCTGAGTGTGTTCTCACAGCTGGTACAGCCGAATCATTCAACACGATGTGAGAAAAATGTAAAGAAACGTGAGAACAAGAGTTAGAGCACTTCGGGCCGAGCTTGATCTCAGAAAGGTTGAGAGAAATTCTTCGGCTTCTGTAGGAAGGCACAAACGCGTGGATGTGTACGGGAAAACGTTTAAAAACAAAAGGGCGTCGCGGAAATGATTCTTCGAGCGGAATGCTTTACCCGAAAAGTTTGAAGAAAATGCGAGCGGAAGCAATTAATTCTCGGCACTTTTCTCGTTGCTCGGTTACTTCCCTTTTTTGTTAACCGCACTTCTTTTAGAGTGTTTCTTAGTGATAAAGAAGCTGAAAAGATGGCACACGGCCGGAAACACTGTCGATGGATTTCCGGCCGTCGACTCCTAATATGTAAAGAGTCGTCTCCCTTGCTCAAAGGTGTTGCGTTTTGTGGGAAAAAAATATATATTCGAAGAATAACTCAGGGAAACGTGCAGACATCCTTCGATGGAAAAATCTTTTTCAATGATCCTATTCATAAGTTTGAATACATATTATAAATGGAGGAAGAAAAAAACAAGAGAAAAGATTCTTCTAGAAAGCAACCCGTATTAAAATCGTATTTTAACATGTACTTTCAAATAGTCTAGAGAAGACAAACAAAAGAAAATGGACAAATTTTAGAGGAAATAATATGTTACATTTGTTTCAATAAGGCTGGTGAGAGCAGGTTAAAAAAAAAGAATAAAGTCACCTATTTTCTTTAAGATTCGTAATATTAATACGCAAAGACCTTCTTTTCACGCTTCGCTCTCTGCAGAATAACCAAGTTCGGCCATTCTCGAAAAATAGAAGAGCGTTCACCTATTCATCTCGTTACCGCTATGAAACGATAGGGGCAAGGACGACAGCGAAACTATCAGAAGGGAAAAACCTCAAAGGACTAGGGATCTTCGGATGCAAGAATAAAAGACGCAACTTTTCTTTCAGAATTGAAACTGAAAAAAAAAAACATTATGCGGCGTTTAAAGATACGTTGCGGCGGTTTAGATTGAAGGAGTCATTTAAAAATACTTAGCAGCCCTAGAGAGGCCACTCGAATCTGATTCGCCAAGCGCTTCAAGTTATCTTTGAACGCGACGTTCGGGTGGAAATATCTCCAAAAACTAAGTTAACTCAGAAAATAGAGATTGATAAAAGTAATCAATGAAACGATTTGAAAAATCGAAGAGCGGCTAGCGTTTTTCGTAAAATGTCGATGGCCAAGGTCGACGAAATAGCGTCGAAAAGCTAGGAGAGCCGCACTAATTTATTTATCGAGCTGCACATCACTTGCAATTTGGATCACGTTCGGGAGGCCGATGTGGCCAAATCGCTTGAAACTTCCAATATGTTCAGCTTCCATTTTCTCAACTTTGTTTCAGTGTGCAAAATGGATCGGAAATTTCACTCTAAGAACTTATATGGAAGTTGTAATTCCACACGTGAGGACGTGAGCTTTAGGCTCGAAAAACAGAAGCTCAATTGCATACTTGGCTGTTTAAAGGGCTAATTTTCTTCGGGAGCGACGAAACGGCAATGAATAAATCACGGAGGACGCGCGCAAAAGTCTCAAAGCAATCAGCTTCGAGTTTGAAAGCACCTGACCTTTTTGAACTACAGTCAGACTACTGTCTCCCCTGTCTGGTTCCCGACTTTCAAACACTTCAGCTTCAACGGCTTGATCTTGCTCAGACGTTTTCTTCAGGTCCAAAATCTTCTCACCCGGACATGATTGAGGAATTTCCAAGAGTTGTAACACGCTCGAATGAACTTTTGAAACCACGCACTGCATTTCCTGTCCTCAACGCTTATGCCGATTCGGAAATTGAGTCTCTTGTATGATGTTGGTGTGGGAAAAGAAAAATCAAGTTCGACAAGCTTTCAAATGTCGAAAGTATATGAAACTATCGATAGACAGCCTTTGTATGACTCAGGCTAGACGATCTGAAGTGGAAATAAGAAGAAATGTCTTGCGGAAGCTCTAAATTGCAAACTTGCAAAAAAAAAGTGGCGGTCGAAAACGCGCCCCCACGTCAGTCTGGCTCGAAATTAAAACGGCGATGTCCAGTTTTTTAGGCAAAACACCTAGAACTCGGTTCGAGTTGACATTTAAATTAGTCGCTGCTTAACTTGACGTTTAGGCTCCTTGAAAACATTCCAAAACAGTTAACTATTTAAAAAATAAAACGAAAAGTTTGCTTAATAATAAAACGAAGAAAGCAAGAAATTCACACTGCGTGACATGAAAGTATTAATGGAGTGCAGATGTAGGCATATCGAGCAAAATTGAGAGAGAGCCCCAAGGTGTAAGTTGGTCTGGCCATGGCAATTGAATGCCATTTTCTCGGAGGAAATGTCCTCATAACCCGCTTTTCCCGCTGTCCTTCCAAATCCGTCGCACGGCTCTTTCTCGAGTTGATCACGACAAGAGCCAATGAGCCTTATCCGACCTATTTTTTCCCATCCAAGTATCACAATTGCTTTGAAAGAAACTTTTCAAAATAGGCATTTCTTCCACGATCTCTTCCCCCTACTTTTTGAGAGAACTATTTTAAAAAAAACAACCTTGTAAAAAAAATGAAAAAGTCAACTTCTGCATTTCACCTTCGATTTCTGAAGTTCTTCGAGCAACGAATTCAGCCGTCGAACGTTGTCGCAAGCCAACAAACTGAAAATTTCAACAAAAATTTTATTTCGAAATAAAAACGGCAGTTCAAAAAAGGTACCTGAATCAACACGAAGCTGCGTACAACATCTGCTTCTCATCGAGCTAACGACCATTAACAGTCATATGAAAGCATTATATAAATTGATTGTGGCGTGTTCATCTCACAAAAACGAAAAACTGTCTCAAAAACGCGAAAAAAAGTCCTTCCGAAACAAAAAAATTAGTACTTTTTTTTGAATCATCTTTGGGCGTCGATAAACAGTCGATTGCGTTTCGAAAAGTTTTCCGTTTAGCCGATGAAAAACGGTATTAAAAAAATTAAATAATAATCGCAAAAACTTTTTTTGTTTGAAAAAGTTACATCGAACGCGTCGACGTGTTTGCAGGCAGCCTAGCATCGTAAGAAACCCAAAAAAATAAATATGTAAAACCCTTCCGCGAGCATTTTAAAAAACTTCTATTTCTTTCTATCAAAAATTCTGTAAAACCTCTCCGTGAGGAAAATTCAATTTTTCAACCGGACCGTTCAGCACGCGTTAAAGTGAAATTCAGGCTTGCTGAAAGTTGGTGAATTTTTGAAAAAAGCTGCAATAAAATGAAATGAAGGGATTAGGTCGTAAAAATAAGTTGAAAGATGCGCAGCCGATAAAAGATCATAAGCGAAAAGCGGCATGAGGACGATGAAAAGATAGGCAGAAGGAGTCGACAGCCTGCGTCAGAACCCTTATGAATTACACTTAATTGCTGGTAATTATGTGTCGTTTCAGTTTATAATTCGTTCTTTTGACTTGCAAACTTATTTTTAGCTGTTACCTAAGATGAAACTATGTGTAAATATGCCAAAAAATGTAGGTTTGGGTCAGCAGTCGATCGACTCCTACAGTTTTTTTTTTCAAAAATTTTCCCTTCCTAAAGAAAAGTTGTGTGTGGGCCAGTGATTCAGAAATGGATCGAAAAAATAAAAAGGAGAAGTCCAGAAGTTTTTCTGACCTTTTCTTGCGCACGAAAGATGTCTGAAGAAGAAAGATTGGTTATTAGGCGCAGACTTGTTCTGCGCCGTTTGGGTTTAGGCTGGTTTGAAATAAAGGGCTTTACGATAACTTTTTTTTAAACTTTAGTTTGGGTCATTTTTGTTCTCATCGTGATTTGAGGCTCTCGGAGTTCCTTTCTCGTTTCTCTAAAAATAGTATCAAAGATCAGAAAAAAAAGTTGAAATATTTTTGGGAAATTGAGCCAAAACCAGTTCGGCACAGTTTCAAAAAAACATTTCATCTGTTCTTTCCCCTGCAATTCGTTTAGACTATTAAATAATTTTTTTAAGAATGCGGAATGCGGATAGTTACTATAAACAAATATGAAGTAATTTTAAGCCAGTAGGTCCCAGAACGTTTATTTTAGTATTGATTAAGTTTCTACTGCCGAACCGCTGTATGGTCCGTTCACCGCGATTTGACAGTTTTCGCATGTCTGCGTCTCTCTGTTCCCTCACCGGCGAGGTCAGAGAAACATGGAAACAGCACGTAAAAGTGAGAGGGACATTGAGAGATGAGGAGAGCGCAGAGTAGTCCGACCCTTTCCAGTCGCGAAAAACGAACTATACAACACTCCTTCATCTTTTTTTTTTATAAAACTTTTCATCATTTTGCATCTCAAATGAAAATTTTTTCTCGAGTTTCCTTGCTTGATTAATTTGTTGAAGACTGGATCCACGTAAAAACGGACAATCTAACGAAAACTTTTAACTTGATCTCTGTGCGAATAAAAAGACCAGAAAGGTTTATCGAAAGACTGAAGGAGAAAAAAAGACTGTTTAAGCGATGACTTCATCTCATTAAGCACTAGAAAACATTCACCGAAGTCAATGATGCGTGGAAAATAGTTTTTGAAGCCGAAAAGACCATTTTGAGACGGAGGGACGAAAGGTGAGGGAGGAAACTAATCAGCGACGTCTTTTCACGTTTTCCAAATGCGATATTCTGCTCTAGATGCGTCAACAGGGGTTCGTTTTCAAAACAAAACTTTCTTTGTACCAAAAAAGACGAGTATCAAAATTATATTTTCATATTTCAGTTCACTTCCTCTCAGCTTTTTTTGTTAGGGAGAAGCTGAAATTTATAAAAAATGCATTGGATGGATAAGAAAAGCTGTGTACCGAGAGAAAGTATGTAGTGAGGTTCTCATCGCAACTTTTATTCTTGCTCAAAATACTGCTCTGAAGATGATCATAGTTTTGAAAGGGGAAAACCTAAAGAATGTAGAGAAAAATAGAATCTGGCGACTAGTTATCGATTTCGTTAGTTTTTTCATTTACCAATGAGGAGGTCGAGGACCGTCTGGTCAAAGCAACGTGAATCGCGCCTCCGATGGGGTTCTACCAATAGTAAGGCTCTGTAAGGGGGATAGCCTACGTAACCTCCGTAACCGCCATAACCTACTGTATGCCTTCGGAATGAAAAAAGCACAAAGGCCGTTCCAGAAAAGAGATATTCGTGCGGTTGGAAAACATAAAGAATGTAGAGAAAAATAGAATCTGGCGACTAGTTATCGATTTCTTTAGTTTTGTTATTTACCAATGAGGAGGCAATATTGAGCAAGCAAAATATTGAGCAAGAATAAAAGTTGCGATGAGAGCCTCACTACATACTTTCTCTCGGTACACAGCTTTTCTTATCCATCCAATGCATTTTTTATAAGATTTCAGCTTCTCCCTAACAAAAAAAAGCTGAAAGGAAGTGAACTGAAATATGAAAATATAATTTTGATGACCCGACAAAGTCTAGTTGGCTCGATGTTTCGGGGCTTATCTTGCTTAAATACCAAGGTTTCTTTGCCTCTACGTCGCCGGTATAAGAGAAGTCGCTGGTCCAAAGGTTATCAAAAGTTTTCTCTTTCCATTTTTTGGAAACGGAGAAAAAATAGAATCGCGTTTCTGTCCGCAAGACGCTGCTCAAACCACACAGATGTACCTCAGAGGGTCTCGCGATACCCTTTCTCGATTCGCCTGTTTTTCAAAGTTCATTGTTTCGTAGAATTTCAATAGGTGCAGAATTTATTTTTTATACATATTTTGTTCATTTATTCCATACCAATTTGCGTTTTACTTCTTTCTTCGAACTTTCTTATGGATATTCAATTGAAAAAGTTATTAAAAATCTTATGTTAATAATGTTGTGTCCTCGCAGGTCGGTGGACAGTCGGGTGCCCGTTTATTGGAGGATTGAAGGAGGCAAGAAGCCCCATATATTGTTGAGGATCCTGTTCTTTTTTTCAGTTCCAATTCCAAGCTCCAGTTTCAAAACGAAAAACTTTATTAATAATTGTAGCAATAAACAATCTTTCAGCGAATCAAAACAAAAGTTCAAATTTGTTAAAGGCATCTAAAACAAAAAACCGACGGATTGTGGAAAAATGGGAAAGTGTTACTACTGCAAAGGAAGAAAACTAGAACTAATAGAAAAGGAAACCGACAGGCCTGTTCAAATGAATAAAAAAATGCAGTCGACGAAAAAGTCGAATCTCCCAGGTAATTCAAAACGGGAAATGCAAAAAAGAAAAAAAAAACCAACATGAGAGAAACAATTGCAGAGGTTCGGAGAAAGCTCATTTATAAAAGAAATTAAAGGAGGGGGAAAGCAGAGACCTAATAGTAAGTTTCGCGTTCGACCCAACCGCCGGGATAGCGACGGATAAGGAAACGGCGGACCTCGTCGTACACGAAGATGAGGATCGAGAACGGCAGCGCGCAGAACCACCACGAGAATCTAAAACAGGAGTTATCGTTAAAAGATTCGAGAAATTGAATGAAACTGAAAAATAATAAAAAACTTTTTCCCTAAAAATAAGCTGCTTTCGTCAAATTTTTTTTGTTCGTTAGATCTGTTGTCTCTCTTTTTTCTCAAAAAAAAAAGAAAACGAAATGTTCTCCCTCTTACCTGAGACCATACATACGAAGACCGTTGTCGAGTCCAGGGCAGTAGCACATGAACCAGGCCAAGGCCGTCTCGAAGACAAGACCAAAGTTGAGGGTCCAGTTGGACATTCCTTGCTGGACGAGCGAGTTACGGCGAGTCTTGGAGATGATCAGATCGGCCCATTGGACGACGACGATGGAGACGAAGTATGCCGTCTGGCAGGTGTACTCGAGGATCTTACGGTTGGCGTAGGTCTGCAAACGGAAAGTAATTATGCATTGAAAATCAATCAAAATCGACATAAGCTTTCTTTGGAAAAAAAAATTCGAATAAACTGGACATTGGTAACGCTTTTCAAGGTGTTCTTCCAGTTCAGCAATCACTTAGGGGGTCAAGCGGCTCTTTAGTGCTATTGAATCAAGCAAAGAGTTTCCAATCTGATTTTAGAAAATCGAAATGTGAAAAAAAGGTAGAGCTGACCCATTCCTGGCCGTAGGAGTCGAGGACGTTGTTGTAGGCACGAGAGTCCCACTGAGAACGGAGCTGGTAGAGGTCCCAGGGCATGAAGCCGTTGTCGGCCATGATCCAGAAGTAGGTGAAGAAGCCGGCGGAGGCCTGGATCATGCCGATCTGACCGTAGGCCAGGGAAATGAGACGTTCGTTGACGAGTTTGTCGCGGATCGGGTCACGGGGCTGACGCTTCATGATGTCGGATTCGGCTTCTTCGTAGGCGAGCGAGATGGCGGGGACCTGCAATCAGGATGTTCAGAGTTTCGACTTTAGAACTTTTTTGGAACAAAAATGAACTTTTTTCAAATTTAGATTTGGATATGAATCTAGTTTGAAGCGATTCATTTTAGAATAAATGAAAAGCTTCTCGTTTTTGTGCACAAAATGGATTAAATGGATTTCTGCGATTTTGAACCAACTTAAATATTTTTGTGGATATTACTTCAGAAGCGCCCAAAATTGTGTTTCATCAATTTCAAAATATACTTAACTTAAAAATTCACATGAAAATGACCTAATGACCTCGAAAAATAATTTTTTTTTTCCTAACTTGTACAGCGATCACTAAAAACGATTTTTCTTCAAAACGGTAAACTAAAAAAGATTTTTTTGAAAGTTCCAGTACTTTTTAGCTACCCATCAAAAACTCAAACTATATTTTCAGAACCTAAAACTTTGCTTCGATCTGGTTCACGAATCTCGCTCTTACTCACCATGTCAGTTCCAAGATCGATACACAAGATGGTGACGGTTCCGAGGGGCAACGGGATACCGAACAAGATGTACATGAGGAAGGGCGAGATCTCGGGAATGTTGGAGGTGAGTGTGTAGGCGATCGACTTCCTGAACTCATTCTTTCCGTGAAAAGAGTCGGGTTCGAAACGGACTTGAGGTTATCGAAGATGAGACGTCCTTCTTCGACACCGACGACGATGGAGGCGAAGTTGTCGTCGAGGAGGATCATGTCGGCGGCCTGCTTGGAAACGTCGGATCCGGCGATTCCCATGGCGACACCGATGTCAGCCTTCTTCAGGGCGGGCGAGTCGTTGACTCCGTCTCCGGTCACAGCCACGATTTGACCCTGGAAACAGTTGTATTGGAAAAACATAGAGCTATGAAAACTTCTCAGAGCTCTAGATCTGAAATTTGAAAAACTCTATATAGACCTATTCCCTGAAGTACTAAGAATGAGGCTTTATCTTTTTAGCTTCAAGAAGGAGAAAAAGAAAGAAGCTGAACCTGCTTCTGGAATCCTTCGACGATCATGAGCTTCTGCTGAGGCGAGGTACGGGCGAAGACGATTTCTCTGTGATGGCGGATGATGTCAGCGAGCTGGTCCTCGCTCATTTCACGGAGGTCGGATCCGTGGATGACAGCGGCGTCGGCCTCGCGAGGGTCGACGTTCTCGACGGGGATTCCTCGGCGGATGGCGATGTCTTCGACGGTCTCCGTGCCTTCGCTGATGATGCCGACGGACTTGGCGATGGCCTTGGCGGTGATCGGATGATCTCCGGTGACCATGACGACCTTGATACCGGCAGAACGGCACTTGGCGACGGCGTCAGGGACGGCGGCACGAGGAGGGTCGATCATGGACATGAGACCGACGAATCGGAGGCCCTTCAGCGGGAAGTTGACCTCTTCGACGTCGAACTTGAAGCCTTTGGGGAATTTGTCGGCGGGGAGGACGAAGTCGCAGAATCCGAGGACACGCTCTCCCATTCCTCCGAGCTCGAGGTAGGCCGTGTTGAACTCGGCGCGGAGCTTGTCGTCGAGTTCCTCCTCCTTGCCGTTCAAGAAGATGGTCGAGCACACGTCAAGGATTCTTTCCGGAGCTCCCTTCATCACGAGGAGGTACTGGTCTCCGTTCTCGTGCACCGAAACCTGAAAATATCAATGTTTTTATTCAACATTTATTTTTATCAATAAACTTCTATAAATCAACTTCTATTTCTGTTTCGAGATGTAATCTACCTTATACTGGTAACGACTTAGCGAAAAATAAGAAAAATATTTTTCAATGGACAGTCTCTAAAAATTGAAAACTTTGAAAATTCTCGAAAAATTGTGTAATGTTCTTAAGGGCCTCAATCCCTCATGTATTTTCTGACGTTCTCAATTTTTCCAACACTCGGTCATTCTACTCTACCTGGTACTTGTTAGTGGAGTTGAAGGGGATCTCGGCGACCTTGGTGTTCTGCTCGCGGGCCTGAACGACGTTGCCAAGAGTGAGCTCGGTGAACTTGAGGAGGGCGATCTCGGAGGCGTCACCGGTGCAGTCGCGCTTCAGAACGGGCTTGTCCTGCTGGCCGGGCTTGAATTCGGCGCGGTTGCAGAGGCAGGCGACGCGGACGAGGGCTTCGAAGGAGGGTCCAGTTCTTTTGGTTTGCGAGACTTGGGTCTCGGTCGTGTCGCAGTCGTGGATCACCTTGTCGTACCACATGTGAGCGACGGTCATCCGGTTCTGGGTGAGGGTTCCGGTCTTGTCGGAGCAGATGGTGGAGGTCGATCCGAGGGTCTCGACGGCTTCCAAGTTCTTCACCAGGCAGTTCTTGCTGGCCATTCTCTTGGCGGTCAGGGTGAGGCATACGGTAACCGTAGCGATGAGACCTTCAGGAACGTTGGCGACGATGATACCTGCAATCAACACCAGGTTACATTCAGTGACACAGAAAACAAAGGCTATGGAGTCAAGTCATGAATAAATTACTTTAGACATTCAAAAATATGCAGTAAAGCTTCTTGAACTGAAAAAATAGTGCAAATAACTACCACATTTATCCAACGGACTTTCACTTTTTCTCCAGCACCAGAAATTTTTCAAATATGCTCTCCGAAGCCAAACTATTATGTAAACTTTAATGTCGCAAAAACTTCTGTTGTTTTTTTTTTCTAGATTGAGCCATTTGGGCTTCCCGCTCTTCAATAGGCTTTGAATATTCACCGATAAGGAAGACGACGGCGGTGAGCCAATGGTAGCCGAGGATGAAGGCGATGATGAAGAAGGAGACCCCGAGGAAGACGGCCACCTGAAGGCATCCATTTCACTCCAGAAAGGCCTTTCGGGAACGAACCCCAGTGATGAGATGGATGAAGTGCTCGATTTCGCGGGCGATCGGGGTCATGCCGGTGTCGAGGCCGGAGGCCAAATGGGCGATTCTTCCCATGACGGTGTTGTCTCCGGTGTAGATGACGATTCCCTTGGCGGTTCCTTCGACGGCGTTCGTCGAGAAGAAGGCGATGTTGCGGGTCTCGAGGGGATTCTCGTTGGTGCAATCCGGCGATCGGGACTGCGGTTCCGACTCTCCGGTCAGCGAGGAGTTGTCCACCTGCAAGTCATTTCTTCTACCAATTGCTCAGCGTTCAAATCTTTAATTTTTGTTTTGTTCTCATATCCTTACAGCGTTTAAAAGATTCGAACTTAAATTATTCAAAATTTTTGAATCTACGTTCCAAGAAATCGGGTAATTGGGTTCTCAACCAACTTTATGAAATCTGGACAAAAAAACTTTTTGTGAAAATTTTCTTCTTCCAATTAAATCTTTGCAGTTTCAAAAAAACTTTCAATTTTTTTTCTCTTTTTTTCCATATCCTTTTCATAAAGTTAGGCTTTGAAAAAAATTAAGAAATTGACCTATCAATGAATTTTTTTCTATTCTATAAGTGTTTATGAAGAACATTATAACAGAACTACTTCCGTTCCCCCAAAATTTTCTTCCCCGAAAAATTCACCTTGAATCCGAAAGCAGAGATAACACGGATATCAGCCGGGACACGGTCACCGCCTTTCACCTGAAAAATTCATGATTCCCATGCCGAAAACACATTTTTCGATGAATACCTCAACGATGTCACCAACAACAAGCTCCTCGGTGCGGATTTGCTGCTTCTGACCGTCACGGTGGACCAAGGCGAACTGAAATGTCGAAGAATATGTACGGATATTTGAGAAAGAGAATTTTTTTGGTTCACTCTTTTCTTCGAAACTTCAAGTTTTCCAAAAATCATTTAATTTTCCTTTCTTTGAGGTTTTTTTAGGAAAGTTGTCAACGATCTCAAAAATTCAGCTGAATAAAGTCTTAAATGAGGAAAATCAATAGTAAAAAGTTGGTTTCTAAAATTTCAACTTATGATTCCGATCTCTGGTTTTCATTTTTTTTTTTTTGCAGTTTCTTTGGAAATAAGGAATATTTCTACTTCTTTGGAAGCAATTAGTGATAAATCGAATGTTTCTAGATTATTAGCTAGAAAGAAATCGAGATTCACATTAAATACAGAAAGAATTTCTCAACTCTTTTTGTTCGATACGAATACGGAACTTTTTGGGCAAAATTTGTGAGTTCTCACCGTGGGAACCATGTTCTTGAAGGAGTCCATGATCTTGCTCGACTTGCTCTCCTGATAATATTGGAAGCAGCCGGTGATGATGACGACGGTCATGAGCACGATACCGAGGTACAGCTAAATCGTATTTCATTATTTTCCATAACCCAAAACGAAATCGAAACAAATTTCTGGAAAGCTCTAAACATTTCCGATCGAAATTAAGCTCATTTTTGCGTGAATTTTCGTTTTTTGGCTCTGTTAAACACTGGAGAAAGCATTTCGGAACAAATTCTCACGTACATTGTCCTTTGACGGGTATTCCATAGTGAAGTAATCTACAGAGTAGGCGATGTAACAGAGGATTGCTCCGACCTGGAAATCTCAACATTACTTTCGATATTTGGCTCGTCGGCAACCCAAAGGAGCATGGCGAAGCCTCCGAAAAGGTTTTTGCAGAACTTGATCCATTCCGGCGTCGTCTGAGGGGGCGACAAGGCGTTGGGGCCGTCGCGCTGAAGGACTTCGGCGGCCTTTCCGCGGGTAAGACCCTGCAAAAGTCGATTGAATTCATTCCCGTTACCTTGTTCTAATTATGGACAAAAGGAAATCATGGACCATTATTTTTTTGATAGTAATATGAATTTCAAAATTGTAGACTTTGAAACCAATCTTGCTTACACAAACTTGTTTGTGGAAGAAAGAAAATTTCAATTTTGATTGACTGGCTTAATCGCGGTTTGATTTTGGAATGGAGACATAAGCTGTAACTCTAAAAAATTGCGTTTCCCCTTTTAAATATTCAAAAGTCATTTTCAACGCGGATCCGGAGCTTCTCAACTCTCCGGAGCAAAGTCGCAACAATTGTCTACGATTCAAAAGTTAGAGTTTGCCTAGCACACAAAGATGCTCCGTTTAGACTTGAGCACACACCCACAAATTTCCATTCTCAAACAAAGACGCGCCACTGTGAAAACAAAGAAACTCTCCGCGCGTTGCGTTGGAACAAAATTCGATACCACTTAGTTATGTTCAAATGAGAAAAAAAGGGGGAAACTCTCATCTTTTGTTGACCAGAAAATGATTTTTTTTTTTGAAAGAGCTTTTTTGTCTCATAAAGAGATTCATCAAAAACTGGTCACACAATGATAGAATGCAATTTTAAAAACTGATAGAAACCTTGAAAAAAGATATTTGATATCATTTGTGTGAATCATAAAAACTGTGAGTTCAAGTCCGCTTTATTAATGTTATTTTTTTAATTTCTCACTTTTCTGAAAAAAGTTTTTCCATTGTTCACAAAGCTGTTTATTAAGAAAAATGCATAACTTTAATGAAAAATTTGTTTTCTCCGGATATGAATCATCGATTCTTTTCTCGTGAAATCAAACATCGTATTTAAAAAACGTGCATTCAATGACGATATGTACGATCGTATTCAAAATTGCATTCTGTGGGAATATTTTCGTCCTCGCTTAGAAAACAAAAAAAAAGTGTGGGAACATTTTTTTATGAGCAGCCAAAGGCGTCTGAATTTTTTCTTTCACTTTTTTTTGTTCCGCGACACTCCGATTAATAGGAAACAGGTAGAGAGATGGTCGAAAATGATCGCGATCACGTCGAAAAACATCACGTCAGTTCACCCCCAATTTGCCGCCGGAAACTATAAAGTTCCCTTGACAAGCGGAAAACTATACATTTTTGATTCATAGGTTCCTTTTTAGTTTATTTTTCGTCTCACACACCGTCTCGAGGTTGGTGCCGAGACGTCGGACGAGGTCGTCCATCGGGATGGTGTGTTCGTCCTGAAAATATCATCGATTCCCACTTTTGTTAGGACAGGACCCACCATCTTGACCTCTTGTTTGAGGTCTTGGAGCTCAGCTTTCTTATCCTTCGACTTACCCATTTTGAGCTGAAAAAAGAATCAATCCAATTCGAAAGTCCAACAAAAAAGACGGAAAAACGAAACGCGAAAAACTGAAAATAATCGAAAAATTCTTAGCGACAACACTAAAAAATCTATTTAAAGGAGGGAGATGGGAGTAAAAGAACTCTAGATAAACCGATTGACGTCGTTTTAGTGTCAGATGGAAAGTGGAAAAGAGATAAGGAATTCATGTCGGCCCATTCGATGCCGACAATTTGGAGGATGGATATCTAAACTTAGACGGTTTGACGTGCAAAGATAAGAGTGAAAAGACCAGAGAATGACAGGTAAGAAGTACTAAAAAAAAGTATAATAGAAAATTTGAATTTAGGTAAATTTTTTCAAAAGTCTTTCTTCAAAAAAAGCTTTTTGAAAGCGCTCAAACATTTTCGCTATAGGGGCTCAAAGCGGAAACCGTTTTCAATGTTATTTTTAGCCAAAAAGACTTAAATGTCTTCGAAAACCAATAAAAAAAAACCATCAAAAGCATTTTTGAGCGGTCTTTACGGTAGAAGGTACGTTCAAAAAACTGCAGAAATATAGAAACAACCTTTTCTGAAAGACTATTTGACCATTGAACAAACATTGGGAGAGCGGAAAAAGCTTTAGTACCATGAGAGACGCCTTAAATCCCCTATGACTGAGAATATCTAATAAACGATCATTTTCATAATCTAAAAGAAAAAAATTTTGATGTGGAACTTTTCTGCACCGAAACGGCTCATAAAAAGTTCGGAATTAAATTTTTTGACTCTTTCAACGTCGATCTCATTGAAGTCTAATGTGTTTCACAACGGAAAAATATCATCGGAAATGTTGAAAGATTTCTCTCATTTCATAAATTCTAGTCGACACTTCATGAAAAACAAAATGAAAACTTTTGAACATAAATCTTCGGAGAACAAAATGGATCTGGAAAGAAAAAACTCAAAGAAAAATAATGGAGAAAACGGGAAGGCGTGTTTTTGCGAGAGATTTGTTGGGCAGGACTCTCGCATTCCAATTTTGAGTCAAACTTTTTCAATAAACTTTTCTGATTTTAGTGAACCTTGAAACCGCGACTGAAAAGCAAAAAGCAGGGTTCGTGAAAAAAAGAAGGAGCCAAAGTAACACAAATTTCTCTCCTTCCAAGAAGCTGAAAAGTAGAAAAACTTTTTTCCCTATTCCAAGATGTGTTCCTCTTATCAAAGTGGTCGTTGTTTACAAAAATATCCATAACGCGTTGATTAATGGGGCCAATGGCAAAACAAGCATGGCGTGGCAAAACAACTGTCACCGTGGAAGGGCCTTCGCGAGGTCACCAGCCGTCGGAAACACAAAAAACCCTCGAGAGGCGCAAAACCGGCTGGTAACGTCGGTATCGGCATGTCGGTGGTGCACAGAGATGAAGGCGAAGAAGGGGGCAAGAAAATGTGGGCGTGGCTTCATTAGAGCGCGCAAGAGAGAAACGTCGAAAGAGCGTGGCTGTAGTAGAGAGCGCCGACGGATCGATAAGCTAGGCAGAGAGCCGAGGGCGCTCCGCCACTGAGTGTACAACCCCAGCTTCGGAGAGCTCTGACGTCATGCGACTAAAACGCGCTTCGAGGCCCAGCGAGAGCAAAACTTTGAAATGGCGGCTTCTGGAAGGGTTCCTCCGTCACTTTGCGAGTTTGCAAAACAAGGATTTGTCGCGTTCGAGGAACCGAAGCAACTTGAAGTGGCCACTTGAGATAACCGTCAAGGTATCACTTTTAACACTTCGAGTGGACACTTCGAATGACTAATAACGACTTACCTACAAGTTACCAGCTTGCTTGGAGCAGCAAAAAGCGTCATAATAAAAATGCTAACACAAAGATATAGATATCACATTTTTAAAAAAGCTTAAAAAGGAATTTACAAGTTTTTCAAACAAACTCTACAAAATTGACAGAGAAAAGCTCTGAAAAAACGGCTTTCAAAAAATTAAACGCTTTTATTTCGTTAAGAAAAATAACTGGCCGCGTTCAAAAATGCGGAGCGTCAACTTGAGATTATAATGAAATGGACTTGAGGAGTAACTTTTAAAAAAAGCTCCGGAGCGCTTCGTTAAAGTAAAATTTCCGAAACTCTAGAACAATATTTACATGTTTGGAAAATTTCGGTCAAAGATCATTATGAGTCAAGAGGCAAAGAGGGCTATTCAAATTATTTCAATGATCGAGTTTTATATCAAAAGTCAGTTAATAAACTAGGCTTTTTTGAGAAATGGAGAAATTTATGAGTTCTTTCGAAATATCATAGATTCTAAAGAGCAAGCGTTAGAAAAATGTTTGATACGAAATAAAATGCCAAGAAAATGACCCTTGAGAACGAAATGACACATTCAACCTCAAATGCTGCCGATCGTCCGCCGATCGCCGAAAAATCAACGACCGCTCGCCGTTTCTCAAACGCTCTTTTATCAGGAAGGGAACGTGTGAAAGAATCTAAATAAAAGCAAAAATAACCGCAAAAATGAGGATTCACCGGAAACGAAGCAACGTTTAAAAACACAATTTCCAATTAAATCTTCCACCTCTGTTGTGAACAACTGTTCTTGAATCATCTTTTTCGATCAAAGTTCACATCAGCAACGTAAAAAAAAATCAGCAAAGAAAACGGAGAAGATTCTTGGAGAGATATGCAATTAATTGAATCGAGTGTTTCATGAAACGAAAAAAAATATGAAAAAACCTATTGTTGAGAACTTTTTTCTTTTAAGATTACTGAGCGGAAATTGAAGCCATGCATGAAACATGAGAACTTGCTGAGAGTATCTAGAGCAAGCTTACACGCCTAAATATAAAAAAAAATCAAACATAAAAAATTTAAAAGCGTTTTAATGGCATGTTCATCTGAAAAAACGAAAATTGCTCTAAAACAAAAATTAGTACTGTTTCGGAGCAACTTTGGCGCGCCGATGAACACGATTTTTCGTTTTGAAGAATGCTCCGTTTTTCCGAAGAACATGCCATAAATTAATATTAAAATTAATTTCAAAAAAAAGTTATATTTTTTGCGACGCGCGAACACTAAGAATAACTGACGAGATAAACGCGAGCTCGGTGGCGGTACATTGACTAACTCGCAAAAAAATGTCGCTTTTTTCTAGGCGCGATCCCGCATTTCTCTCGGCGCGACCTCGCATTTTTCTCGGCGCCATCTCGCATTTATCTTGCATTTCGGAAATTTTCAAATAGCGAGAGAAATGCGAGCTCGCGCCTAGAAAAGTGCGAGCTGGCGCCCAGAAAAATGCGAGACCGGCGCGAGAAAAAATGCGAGATGTTTGCGAGCTCGTCAATGTACCGCCAGTGTCTCGCGTTTATCTCGGCAGTTATTCTTAGTGAAAAATAATGCGAGCACTGTAGAAAAAAGATCCTCCGAGGCTGTGCTTGCAGTCTTTGCGCTCAATTGACGAGCTTCCTCGAAATTCTACTTTTCCAGAAATTCCATGGCATGGATTTACCCAGTATTATGGACTATATTGCAGCGAGACTAATGCTATTCCGCGGGGAAGCCGCGAGCAATATCGCTTGCCTTCGTTGCGACCTTGCAAATGTCTTGCGCTATATCGCTCTCTGGAAAATTTCTTTTTAAAAATGTTTTTCTCTTTAATTTAATACATTCCGCCATATAAGTCGCAAATGAATTAAAAAAAGTTTTTACTTCTCAATTTTTGAGAGGGCACGATATGGCAGCGAGAAGCCTCGGCTATATCGCCTGCGGCCCGCTTCGATATATAAGCTGCGTTGGATTTTATTTGAACTGCACATAACTTTTTCTTTCAGTTATAATCGTTGTTCAAAAAAAAAAAAGGGAAAAAAATTTATTATTAAAAGTTTTTAGAGCTCTGCTCAATCATCTTTTTTTCGGTGTCGCTGATGACATCGAAAGCAGGAGCAAGAAGTCGTTGTCGCATGTAGTCAGTGTCATGCAGATTCCGGCATTCTGGCTCCATTTTCTCGATGGAAAGCGGATGAATGCCTTGGGCCATAGAATGCACCTGGCCAATGTTCGTTTTCTGTCAATTTTGAGTTCTTTTTTCTTTTTTTTTCCCCATTTTCTTACCAACAAAACATCTTTGGCTTCAGGACATTCTTCCGCCAATTCTTCGAAATAGCAAACCGTCGAGCACTCCAACGTTCTGGAAACATTACAACCATTTTCTAAGAAGGTCTTTTTTTTACGTACAGACATTCGGATTTCATTTTTGATTCTTTCGACGCGGTTTTTTCGACTTTGTGGGCGTTTCTGCATCGGTCTTTGCAAACTGAAAAGCTGTTATCGTTATCATCTTATCTGCCGCCACTTTTACGTACCAAGGTCCGCTTCTGCCGCCGCCTTCGCAATGCAACTCAGATGCTCTTGAAGTTCTGTAAAAGAAAAAGTTGTAAAAAAATTTGCAAGCGAAAAAACTGTTTCAGGTTGTATTCAAATAGCTTGTAGAGACTGCAAAAGAAGCACAAGTCTCAGATAAGTTCAGAAAATTTATTTTCTGAAATCGAGTTCAATTCGAAATTTCGAAAAAAACCTTCTTCATAATCCACGCAGTGAATTCGGTAGAACGTGGTGTATTGGTAAAACTTTCGCTGGTCTTCCTGTGTGCACTTTCGAGCACAAAAAGCTCCATCCTCGAGCATGTCACATACCTTAATTCCAAGATTTAAAAAGGTACACGGGGTTCAAAGATGCGAAAATGGAAAAAAAAAATTACGTTTACAGTTGAGATATTACATAAACATGAATTCAAAAAAATAAATAGCGTGTCTAAAGAACAGAAAACAATAACCGTTTCTAAATCAACAAAAAGTTCCACATAGATATCCTTTGTACAGAACAATGTATTTGAAATTCTCAAAACTATTGATCTCATTTTTCAAGCTTGATTTCTATTTTTAAATGTTTTAAAATGCAATCAGATCATATTTTTCCGGCTCATTTTTCACGACTTTCAGAAGACTTACCTTTTCGAAGTTATTGAAAACGTAGGTAAAAGAGCGATCGAGTTGAACCATCGGCGTCAGACATTTCTTCAGACATTCGCTCGCTTCTTGATCCTTTTGCTCAGAAGAAAACGTAACTTAACATTTTTCAAGCTCATTTCTGAAAAAAAGAACAAAAAATACCTCCAATGATAGCCAAAAAAGCAGATATCGTGAGAATCCGTGGCATTTGAAAACTTAAACTTAATTCAAGAAGAAGTGCGTCGGAACGGCCAAAGTCTCCGAAATGAGGTCACGCCCCCGAAAATCCGCTACCGAACTAATCAAGCCCAATTCGGTGTTGGGTTTTCACCATTTACTTACTGTTGTTGGTTTGGTTCGCTAATTGGTTCCAATCAAACTTTTTCCATTTAAAAATGACGGCTGAAAGCTTTTTAAAAGTTGAAGAAAGGATTTCAAATGAGTAAGGCAACTTTTGAATCTCTATCCCGCGCACTTAAGTTACAGATCAACTCTCTGTATAATTTCTTTATATTAGTCAAGTTTCTTTCAATTTCGGTCGAAAGGGATTCTTTCAAAAATAATTTGTTTATTAATCTAAACCCGACGTTTTGAGCCATTCCATGTGCAAAGTAGGACGAAATTTCGTCATCGATTAATTTCATTGTGTGGAAGAAGAAAAATAATTTATTCATGTTATCGTAGAAGTCAAACAGCTTCGAAATTAGCACTGAATCCCGTGGCTTGGCCGGCCGAGTCAGAACTGAAAGTGACGAGCATTTGGTTGGAAGTCGAGGTGAACTGTTGGGCGTTGGGTGGGTAGTGGCCGCTGACTCTGAAAGTCAATTTTCATTCTGGTTTCGATTACTGCTAGAGTAACCTCCCCAATTCGCGACTGGAAAGATTTGGACCGTCGCGGACAACGATTATGTCGCAACATTGCTCTGTGTCGACGTTTTGGAAGTTCAGATGGACTCTTAATTTTTCCATGATTATATTTTCATAGTGAGTAAGAAATTTAAAAAAGCTTCAAACAAGCCGCTGGATAGGGTGAAAAAACTATCAAAAAAAAGAAACCAAAGTTATAAAAGAATGGTTGAATTTCACATAAAATCGTTGAAACTATCCATAGAGCGCACAAGTTCCGCCGCAAGCGCCTTCTGCTATCATTTATCGACTTTTCATCATTGAAAAGATCGATGTTTGAAACAATAGCAAAATTTTCGACTTTTTTTTGTAACAGAGTATCATTTTGAGTCTATTTATTCGTAGTTTTGATTTAAGCGAGAACTCAATTGCGTATGATGAAGTTTTTTTAAACACAAACTTGAATATCTATTTTTTTCAAGTTTTCACAAGTTTCAACTGAGTCTCACCGATATCCACCAGCAGTTGACAGTAGGTATCTGCACTCGGAATAATTTGGATAGAGATTTGGGTAGTTTTGCGACGTGATCTTGAAATAAAGCTAATGAATTATCGATTAAAAGTGAGTTACAGTTCCAGGAGCATAAAGAGCCGTGGCATTGCATCCGCTCGGGTTGTATGGATCTGGTGTGACGGTTACTGGGGGAAGTCCTGAACAATTTATCTTCATTTTAGAATTTGTGCTAAAACGAACTCGAACCATACTCAGACTTCGTTTTCTTTTATTGATTGAGTTGGTATTATTCTTTCTTACCTGTGAAGCCTCCAGGATAGCTTGGCTGGAACTTGGCCTGCCAACGGAAGATCTGACCGGCCTGGTCTCCGCTCGTCCGGAAAACCATTCTCATTGTGTTTGTCGTCGAATTGAACCAAAGTTTTGGGTTCACCGTTCCGTAAAGACTGCAAAATTCATTTTAAACAAATTTTCAAGGGCTCTTCCTAGGAATTTTTATTGAAAAGGTTGAGGAGACAACAACGTGTTGGAAATAAAATCTGAATAATCCCCAAAAGAAAAGAGGACTAAAACATTTTTTTTACTTCTGTTCGAAAGCTGCGAGTCTCTGAAGTAATTGAAGCTTGCAAAAACGAAAAAAATAATGTATAATCTTTCTGTGATATCGGTTTCTCGAAAAACTTTGATTCACGTTTTGAACTTGTTCTGCAAACACAGAGAAAAGCAATTTTGGTAAAACTTTACGTGATAAAGGGCTTGGTGTCCTCAATTTGATTGTAGAGATCCACGCGGCTCGTCTGTAATCTTCTCTTCAATCTCATTTTTCAGTTTTGACAAAACCGCATCAAGGTTGAAAATAGGAAAGTTGACAGCAACTGTAGCCATGCTGGGTACATACAAAATGTAGTTACACGTATTAGCTTGTCCCTCGTAGGTGTTGGGGTATCCAGGGGAGAAGAACTGCAATCGTTTTCCTCGGATTTAAGAAATTTGACTGGAGACTTACAGTTCCATTTCCTTCATAAATGAAAGGTGAGGTACATTGAAGTGGTGTTTGAGTGGGTACAGGAGTGGTCGCCGTACAAATCACCGACTTTCCTTGATGTTAGGCTTATGATATATTGATTTCATTTCGAAGAAACTTCTCGAGCAAACGAAAGGAAGAGTCGTCTCGCAATGGCTGCTGATCCATTGGCCCTGCTTGACCAAGTCGTTCTGCATCGACATCGACATACAAGACCCTAACTGAGCGTTCGACAGACCTACAAATGAATTTCAACAAAAGAAAAAAACTCACAATGCTCACCAATATTAGAAAAATCGAAAGGTGTTCCGTCAAACCAGACATAGGTGTTTCCCCCTACGTTGGCAGCTCCGATTCGAATGTAGGCTGGAGAATTGGCGCCAAAAAGGGTGTTTATGTACTTGTTTTCCTTAATATATTATTTCTTAGTTTTCCCAAGATTCCAAAAGTACATCCATAGAATGAATTGAGACAAGGTCGGCACAAGTCTGCTGACAAACGACCCGAGAATCGGTTTCGTCGAGTTCATAGGCGTATGGAAAATAGCACTTGTCCCCAAACTGGTAGTCTCCACACCCCGTGTTGCCTGAATTGCAAATATAAAACTTTTTGTCGATTTGAATCGCGGATAAATCGTGGCGGTTAGATTCGGGTGAATAGCAGCTTGCTCTAACCAGGTAAGGCTTTTTGAAAGATTGCCGTACAAATCTCAGACCCTTTTCAATCAATTTTTTAGGACACTTTCCTCGGATCGTTATTCATTTTTCTCCAAACATACTGACCAGGATCAATTGGATTGGTCTCGCAAACGTATGAAAGAATCATGGCGTCACAGTCGCCGGAAAGCCATTGGCCAGCATTTTTGCCCGTGACCGACATGTAAACACAGCTGCCGATATCCGTCATGGGCCAGCCTGAAGATGTTTGGAATTCTGAGTCGAAAACTTTCTACGATTTCTTACCCTTGACGAAGTTGTTATAGGTGCCCGCAGAACCAGTATTGTCGTCCCAGAAGCACGAAGAAGCCTGGCTTGCTGCACATTTCAATCCGATCCACAGAGGGTTTGTTACTCCGTTCGCTGCGTTGATAACCCCGTTGTTGTCCTACATTGAGATTTTTAAATTTTTCTTCAAAGATTAATGAAAAAATTGGATCGGAATAATCAGTCTATGTATAAAGTCAGATTTCAGTGCCTGAGTTTTACATTTGATTTCTTCTCATGAATATGACATTATTCATGGTACCAGTTGATTCCAGAACGATCGATGACGTTAATCTCGATATTTTCATCAAAATCGAGGGTTTTTGCTCGTCACATTTTAGGTTTGAACAAAAAATCGAGGATATCTATCCTTGAAGAAGGTAGTTTTTCTATTGTATAGTTTGAACATTTCAGGTTTAGGTAGCTTCTTCAATAGATATCTCATTCAAAATCAGTTTAACTAAGTTGGAGATCTTTTAAACTCACAATCGCATTGTGGATGGAAACCAACTTTCCACCAAGGTCTGAACACTTGGAAACCGCAGCGGAGTGTGGAGAATTGACCGTTATTACCTCAATCCGTTTTTATTGAAACTCAAGTCTGTATTTAGGTACTTGAATGCATTTGCTAGTGATTGCCGTGAATCCAGGTGGGCATTGGAAATCTCCTAAATCAGAAAAAAACGTGAAGACGCTTCTAAAAAACCACAAAACCTTGAACTAATTGAGAAATCAAGAGAAGAACGAGGTAACGAAGCATGGCGCGAAAATGGCCAATTCAAAAAAAAAAACCATTTCATGTGTCTTTTATCAACGCCCACGGATTAGAAGATTAAAAGTTAATATGCAACTGATAGTATTGTCCGAATGGCGCATTCACTGTCCAAATTAAAGTGATGTGATAAATTTGATGATTAGGAACTGTTGCCGGAAACTGTTAATCATAATGAAAACCCAATATATTTTTCATAGTTTGTAGATTACTCCTAGATTTCAAGTACAATGGATAGCCAATATCAAGAAGTTCAAGAAACGGTTGAAACTCATTTTTAATTTATGTGGATAAGTACGTTTTTGATCCAAAAATCTAGCAAAAAAAAAATTTTTTTCCTTTTTTTCTTGAATGGCATTTGTAAATAATTTCATTAAAAAGTTTTTTTCACAGCTTTTCAATTTATATAAGCTCGGAAAGTATGCTAGAAAAGGATAAGATTTCACCTAAAAATGATAAATGGCTCAGAATTTCTTTTTCTTTTATAGACCGTTGTACAAGAGTCTTCATAAAGGGCTACAACATTTTTCAAACTAATGAGCAATGTGAGACCGTCATTCATTTGTAAACTGTTTACAACTTTTCCATAAAATGGAATGTATTGATAATTTCACAAAAGTATGGCGAGACTATCAGTTCCCGTCAGATAAAGTCCATTTATTCTCATCTCTTGAAGAATTAGGCTTTGATGTTTCTTGCAACTGGCCCGTTTGGAGTGAAATGCGTTCGAATTTCTGAAAATAGCGACGTTCACATGGTTGGGGACGTTGAAATGCACTTGCGCCATGCGAGAGAAAATCCGTAGATTCGGGCCCGCGGATATCGCGTTGCACGGCGCCGCTTCTGAAACACCCAGAGACATTCTTCTTTTTGCCTCCTAATGAGTAGTCACATCATCTTCACGTTCGTTCTAAGGAAGTTTCATTGCTGTGGGATGTGTGGAACTACACACTTTTAAGTTAATTCTTTGGCTCTCGTAGAATTTGAAGCTTGCTCTCAAAACTCGGAAAAATGAAGAGCTCGTAAGATTTCAAACCAGTTACAATAGTTGACCTTTCCCTCTCTTATTGTCAACTAAAAATTTTATTTCGGGTCTAACTGTTGACCTTGGAGTAGTTGGCTCCTCAAGTTCAAGGAGTCGTGAGAAAACGGTTTTTTCTAAACCCCTTATCTCACACTCAAAGTCGAAATCTCTGGGAGAAGATGGCTTTTTCGCTAGATGGTTTTTCAAAACTCGGTAAAATCTACGGAAGTAATCTTCAAATTATTATCGAAATGGTGATCACGAAAAAAGATTATAAACTTCTGATTCCATGCAGCTTTTCGGAAACGGCTAACGTTAACTTCAAAAGCTAGTTGGTGAGATTTAGTTACTATAAAGGCTTTTTTTTGAAAATTAATTCTGTTTTTTTTTTCAAAAAGCTAATTTATTTCTCACTGTTTCTCAAAAATATTCAAAAAATTTGGTAAATCTATTTTTTCAAAAATATGTAAAATTTCTAGTTTTCTAAAATTTAATTGATTCCCTGCTAAATATTCTGATGTAAAAACACTGTGGAACCTCGTCATTTCAACATATTGTGTGTTCAGTTGACGAACACGACAATTATTTGGCCAAGAGCTTAATTTCTCGGAAAAAAGCATCGTTATTTATATCACACTCCCATTTTCATCTTTCAACTTCCTGTTTTTTTTCCAGGCTTGGGAATGAAACTTTTCTTGGCAATATTCCTCGTGGTCTTAATCGAAAAAGGGTCTTCGGAATGTTCCTGCAAGACGAACGCTTCGGAATGCGTCGTTTCTTCCAAAATGTCCCTAAAAGGCCGAATCCAAGCCATCAAAGACGTCAACTCCACTGAACTGCTTGAGACCGTCATCGTGGTTTATGTCGTTGGTTGGTTTTTTTAATTCATTTCCTCTTTTTTCATTTTGAATCAATCAATTTTGAGCTAAAAATTCAAGAGAGAAAAATGAGCAATTTCAGGACTTGAGAACGTCAACGGCCAGAAGTACGACTTGTTGCAGGTACAAAATTTTAAAAATCTTGAATCTCTCAAGTTAATTTCAAAAAAAAAGGATCGCTGAAAAATTTTATGACTCGAAACAGATACGTTTTTGGTGTTTTTGGTGCAGTTTGAAATCTATTGTAGCTAAAAAAAAATTTTTGGATTATAGCTCTTTTTTTCATTTTTCTCCCCAAATGAATGCAAGCCTTTTTCTCACATTCTCATCATTGAATCAATCAATTCTCAAATGTTTTATTTCTCACCCACAAGTACTAAATTTCACGAAATAGATGTAGGGAGAGTTTGGGAACATATGTGTCGGAACTTGTGGTGATGGAGGGAAGAGGACTCGCGGTCGTGTTAACCCCCCACAATCATCAATGTTTATTGGTTGTTTTAGTCAGATGAAACCGACTCGGAAAAATTTTTTTTTCAAATTTATCGCCCATCTTTTTCAAAAACTCTCATAAAAATTTCCTTCAACCCATATCTTCTCAAAGAGTTTTTTTTTTGAAAAACAATTTAACTTTTTGTTCATCTCAAGCCTGTTTTGAATGAAACATATGGAATGGTTGTATAAAAAGCTTCGCGTCACAACTTAGTTAGCATTTCTTTTTTTAAGAACGAATCCTCCCTGACTATCGATTGGCTTCCAATGAACCACGACGTGATCGAACCTTCGAGAGCTCCTCCGAAGCTCAAAAGCGTCCAGATGGTTGACGTCGGCAACTCGACCCTCGCCATTGTCGTAGAACTGCTTTTCGATGTCCTCAACATGAAACTCCGTTCGACTTATGAGATCCGAGTAATATTTTCGAAAAAACCTCCTTCGTCACCACGTTACACAACCTGACCGGTCTGCGTTTTCTTATTTGGGCTTTTCTTTGTAAATTTGTTTCACAGTTTCGGCGAGGATGAAGAGAGCGCAGATACGGTATGGACTGTTTTGCTCAGATTTTCATGGTTTTTGCTCTCTTCCGAGCTACAGAACCCTTGAGGAAAAGAGTTTAAGGAAAGAGTTCTGTAGCTCTGAGGGAAATAAAAATCGTGAAAAGCTGGCGCCGAACAGGCTATAGAAGGTGTTCCAATGTGGTGAAGGATTTTATATTTATTTTGAACGAACTTCTCAGATCAACTCGGTGTATGACAAGGAGTGCGGTCGAATGGTGCCCCTCACTTCGAAGGCTTCTCTCAATGTCACGTTCGCTTGTGAAAGGATTTTGAATGCAGACTGCAAGAACGCCGTCAAAAGTTGGAATGTGAACTGATCAGTAGGAAGTCCAAGGTTTAGTCGACCATCATCCAGTTTGCAATCTGATGAGGAACTACCACACAAAAGTCGTTGAGACTGGGGATTTGCGCGAGGTCGATGTCCTTGTTTCTGTGGAACGACAGCGGCAGAAGAAGATCAAATATTTCGCAGTTCATTATGGTTTGCAGAGAATCTTCTTGTTCAATCAAGAATCATTTTTACAGGCCAGTGTGAACATGAAGACGAGGTAGAGCAAGGCTGCATCTTAGACTTGCAGAAAAGTCAGACTTCCCGGTTCTGCGTGACGAACAAGTCCAACTGTCCTCATGTAAAATCTGTCTCGATGAAAATTTCTGAATAAGCAATGTTGTCCGCTAACCGTGCGACTTCTAAGTCATTTTTTTCATCCTGAATGTAGTTTTTAACGTTGATTCCAAATTTTGTTCTCGAAAACTGCTTCGAGGCTTGTGAAGAGAGTTAGGGGCTCTCAAAGTTCAGATTTTCGGTGTCTCAGAATACGTTCATTTTGTGAGAATTGTTTCAGGACCGTTCGTACAATGTGACGATATCTCCGTTCATCGAAGGTCGGTATGGAATCCAAGTTTGCGGTGTGATCGACAAGCGTTTCGAGTACCCTCCGATTGTTGGAGGAGTCAGCAAAATCGTCGCCGATCAGTTATATTGTCAGTCTCGGAGCTTGAATATCAATAAACGAAAGATTTCAGTGTCCTCCACGGCGATGTCGATGTCGGTGGTGGCTTCGTCTGCAGACTCTCTGACTAGGACTTTATTCGGCTATGCTGTAGTCATCGCCATGCTCATTTTGATCTTACTTCTGTTGTTGATATACAAGTGCGCCATGGGCAAGATCGTCTGCTGTAGGCGACAAAAGAAAAGGTTCACGCCAGAATTTCTTTGGTCGCAAGGGGAATGGCTCAATTTGGGAGCTAAAAATTGCAATCTAATTAGACATGTTCTGAAATTTCAAAAGGGGTTGAGGCTCGAAAAATGTACTTTCATATGCTGGTTCTGAATAGCTCGAATTGAACACTTTAATCTCGGAGGCGCGCAAGTCACACTGCGGTCGGTCGCATCTACAAAGTGCCTGCGTCACACGTCATTTCGACCTGAGCCATTCTTCGAGTCATTCTTTCAACTGAAAACTTTTTTTCTGACGGAAACATACTTTTCTGGATTTGGAACACTTTTATGCCGTGTTCAATTTGATTTCGCGATATGCAAAATGATATCTGACTCTCCAAAATTTAGTGATCTTTTTCTTTCTCTAACGGGTATTTTGAATTTCGCAATAATTCTTTTTAGTATTTTATAAAAAGTTTTCAGCGACATTTTCACCATGGATGAGACCAGCGTCATCCTTTTCGAAGATAAAGTCTTGGGCAAAGGCCGATTTGGAACCGTTTATTTGGGTAATTTCGATCATTTCTTCTTCAAAAACATCAATTTCAGGACAATTATCAAGCGATTGGCACGGGCCAGTGATACTCGACGAGTTGCAAAGGGTCGCTGTTAAGGTCGGTTTAAATTCCAACTTCTGACGAAAATAACAGTTCGAAGACGAAAGCTGCTCTTGGGTCCATTAAAAAAAAAATTTAGAGCTCAAGAAATGTGGATAAGCAACAGCGACAAGTTTTCTTTGATGAAATGGAAGGCGCCAAGTACGTCGGAAGACATTCTCGGTTCATAGCTTTCATTGGTTTGTGGTTTTATTATTCTATGAAATCCTGACCTGAACACATGAATAATAAGAATAGGAACTTTGTTGTATTCTAAATTTGTCTTTTAAATTAGTAAAAGACCTGACTCCATCAAAACGTTTCCAGGAACCATCCCAACTCAAAAAGGCCTCCTCCATGTCATGGAATACTGTTCCAATGGAAATCTCCTCGACTATCTGACCTGTCGAAGGAATTACATGCTCCAGTTGCAACAGCGAGGAATCAACTTGAATGGAAGTCTGACCGATCTGGAAGACGTCGAATTTGACGACGTCGTTTCCACGCAGGACCTCCATCGGATCGCTAGCCAGATTTGCTGCGGCATGGTACGTCTCATTTCGAAAAGTCTGACGTGTCTGCGCTCTCTTTTCCCTCACTTCTCGGATTTTCTGTGCTTCCACTGTTTCGTTTTTTAATAATAATGTTTCACAAACAGTTAGAGACCATGAGTTCACTTCGAGCTTGATTTTTGAAAAGTACATGTTACAGGTTTGTGTGAACCTCTAAAGAACTTTTTTGTTCCAATCATTCATCTTCTTGGAAAAGAAGTTCATTTTAACTGTCTTTCTTGCCGTTGAGGAAAAAGAGACACAGACAGTGTTTCAGGACGATGAAAACATCGAACTTTTTTTCGAATTTTGTGTCAGATAGGCCCACCAACTTTCAGATGTACCTCTCTTCGAAAGGAATCGTCCACAACGCCTTATCCGGTCGTCATGTCCTCATAACTTCTGACCACAGTGCCAAAATTGCCGATTTCGGCTTCATTTCGACTCCTAACACTAAAACAAAGTTTTTCTCTTCAGGAGTACTTTCAAAATAGAACTTTATAGCCAACCCGCCGCTAACATGGAGAAATACACGGCTTTGGAAGTTCTGCGCGGAGAATACTCGACAACTCTTTCTGACGTGTTTGTTCATAGTTTTCATTAGAAAATGTTATTCTTCAAGTAGTTTTGATACGATAGTTTTGTGATAATATGTCAAAATTATTTTCGCTTTTTATTATTTTGCATCGAAGCGCTAAAAACGGGTCTGCGCCTAACCGATGCGAGGTCTTTAAAATAAAGCCTGAAACTGTTTTGAATGATCAGATCTGTAATGTAAAGAAGTTTTTGCAGTTGGTCTTACGGAGTAGTTCTGTGGGAGCTGTTCACTCTTGGCGGAAGTCCCTACTGCAAAATTCCCGACGAAGGAATCCGTAGCCTCATCGAAAAAGGCTATCGCCTTCAGAAACCTGAAAATTGCCTGCTCACCATGTTGGTTCTCACTTATTCAAAGAAGTAAAAAGGAGGTTCAGTTATCAGTTGATGCGAGAATGTTGGTACGATTCGCCGACAGAAAGGCCTACGTTCAGTCTCATAGCGGCTCGGCTGTCTCAGCTGGTCACTTCTGAGCCTCCAGAGGCTTTCAAATTTCTTTCAGTGAGCTCTTTTTCTACAAATAATGAAACTAAATCTTATTCTGTTCCAAATATTAAAAGAAATTTACCTGTTTAGGGGACCTTTGTTTCATGAAAAGTTTGGTGAAGACACAAAACTCACATTTTTTTGAGCTTTTATTTTGATCGGGCTATATCAGAAACTTTCTAAAAATCTAGCGCTATTTTTTTGATTTTTTTCAATGGCTTTTTTTATCTAAAAAAATTTCTCTTGTAGAATGAGTTGATTTCTAGAATATTTTTTTCAACGTCTCATCTGATCATCTGCGATTTGAACTCAATAATCGCTCAATTTCCGCTTTATACGAACCGATTTCTTTTAATTTTTACGAATTTCGGGGCAGAGTCTAAAGACAGATTTTTAAAATTGTTGTCTGCATTTAAATTCCGTATATAATCTTATCCCTTTTTTATTGATCCTCAGGCTCCAAACCAATTCATTTTTCAGATCTCAACCTCCTGCGACTATTACTCGGATGAGCCGATCCGACGAGAGTCAGTGGCCGACGCCGTCGCCGCCGACTCGACGGAGCTGATCTCAGAATCGGCGCGGCTTCTTGGATTTCGAAGATAACCGTCGCTCGAGTTGGGCTAAATCCCGCTGAGTTTGCACTGGCCACCGGCTGGACAAACATCGCCAGTCGTATCGATTCACTGACCCGCCAGGCGACTTTACCCAACTCCATTACCTGTAAATCTATTGACTTATTTATATACTTCAGAAATTGGTTATCCTTCCTTTTTCAACGCTCTATTCAGCTCTAGCTTGAGAGATTTTCTCTAGAAAGGCCCTGGACCTCATAACTCCGCTCAATTTTTGACATTAATCGCGCCAAAGTCCTGTTTTCTCATGCCATCAGCAACTGAATTATGAAATGACCCTCCAAATTTGATCTCACCTTCAATTCTCATATTCCAGAATAAAGTTATCCGCAGTGTGCATTTTGCACTCCTGTTCTCAGAAGTAATAAGATACGGATACTGATTGAAAAGAAGAAAAACGTCGAAAAGTTCTTTTAGAACGTGTGTTTTGGAGAAGCTCATCTATTGGAAATAAAGAAGAAGGGGTTCATTTCAAGTATTTATTTGAGATCAGCCTCGTGTCGATAATTTCCCTTTTTTGCTATAAATTTGGCAGAGAAGAGAAATGACTTTGATTACCTCTGTAACATTTGAATTTGCTTAAAGTAATTTACCACTTTTCAAACAAAAACAGACAGCTGGAAAAAAACCTTCGAATGAAAAATACCAGGAAAAATTCACCAACTTTTCAAAACTTGAGAGGTTGACGAGGAGTTTGTCCAAAACTCACAGAACTGCGAAAAACTCAAAGTAGCTTTCAAATTCCTCATAAAAGGAAGTCAAGACTTTCGAAGGTTTCTGTACTGTCTTCGGACGTCGCCGGACATGCGGAAGCGTGAATTATTGAGGCCGACATACGATAGGCCGTTTGCAGAGGCGCAGAGTTCTCTGTTTGGATTGGCCCTTCCTTCCCAACCTACGGCTACCTTTCTCTCTAAGCTCCTTATGCCCTACTTTCTACGTTCATTGAACTTTTTTCTCCAGAAAACTTGACTTTTGGGTATTCCACTACTCATTTAAGAAGTCGAATGACTTTCCTTTTCATCCCGTAATGGTTTAATTATCTCTTTAAAGAACCCTACAAAGAGCTTTATTGTTAGCTTTTCTATTTAATTTGTGATAGAAGTTTACTTGAAAACTCAAACGTCTAGTATTCGGAAATAATTAATCACTCTGAATCATAGTTTTTTTTTTTCCATAGACTTCTATGAAATACATTCAAACTTGAAATTTCGATAGTTAAAAAAATAGTACGATTTCTTCAAAAGTACTTCATTTGGGATATAGCCTGTTCCGATGTTTTCTCCTTTCATTGACTCCTTACTTTTTTTCTCATAGATGAAAAATATATTTAAGTTAAGGTTATCAGACTATTTTTGAGTAGCAAAACTCATGCAGTATTTTTTCAGTTCATTTTTCGCGAGTTTCCTGTTTACCTTTGAGCTTCATCTTTTTTTGTAAACAGAATCGAAGGCTCAGTTTTCTTTTTTTTTTCTTGAAAAGTTCCTTTTTTTCAATCATAGGCGACCTGATAAAAGGTATGCTGAAAGTCTCTCGATGTACATATTATGGAATGTTCACGATCCATTCTGAGAGGTATATTTGTGGACATGTTATGGTCGATTCGCCAGTGATTCTGTTCTTTTGCCCTTCAGGACGAAGGAAGAACTATTTGGAAGCTGCAAAAAAAAAAATGTTGCCTCCGAAATTTTGACAAACGGGACGTTTTTCGCTTCTCATTATTATGCTGGAATTCACGCTGCACCATTGATTCGCTTCAATATTGAATTTCCAGTGCTTCTTTTGCCGTATTTGACAAAAAGGGAGTGTTTCAGAGCGTTGAGGTCCTTTTGCGGATTGCATTAATACCTCGTTTTCGAGTGGCCAGGAGGGCCGCACAATGCTTCGACGGCTACTCCACTGCCTGCTCTTTCTCGTCCAGTTCTCATTTGCCGGTCTCTTTTCGGTTTTTATTTCTTACGAATCGAAAATCCTTGAAATTGCAAAGCAACATATCAAAAAACCATAGTCCTTCTTGGTAGATATCTTATTGAAAAACAGTCTTCATTTTGGAGAATCATATAGCCGCTGACGACCTTGAGCGGCTTTCCGTCTATACTACAGAATGGGATAGGGCGCGAGTAGTTTCTTGTCGGGCGCACTGGTTTTTTAGGGTTTTCCTTCAGAATCGCGCCGGCTTTTGAAAGCCGCAACACAGATTCTTATATTAATGCCGTGAAAATGTTACAACATATAAAATCTGTCTGAAACGTTGATATTTGTTTCTGAATTTCAGCGAAATGCTACAGTTGCGCAACGCCAAACATGCAGTCGGTCAGTTTTGAAAAATTTGACTCTTTTCATTAAGAGCTTCAATTAGAATTGGGAGTTTAAAAAAAAAAGAAAAAATTTATTGGAGAATTTGAAATTCGCCAGAATTTTCATTTTTTGTTTTTGCTTTATATAAAACATTAATGTTTAAGTTAAACAGTCTAACTATCATTCTTTGTTTATTTTCAGAACCTTGGTCTGAAAACTTCTATGAGGTATGCGTTTTTCAGAACTTTCTAACGAAGCAAAGAGGTCCACCAAATCGGATATCGGACCCGAAAACATTTGACGGCAATTGCAATGGAGACCTCTGGATAATAAAGGTGAATTTCTTTTCATTAATGCTCTTCGATCGTTCGTGGCTGAAGAAATACGAAAAAAAAATAATTTTCAGGACCGAAGCAGCGAAGACTGCGACGGCGTCTGCTTCAAGTGGCAGCAGGTTTTAAATAACTCAGGTTGGTTCTCATTCACATTTTACTTCGAAATCAAACCGTGGATCTGAATAGTTGTTATGAAATTTATATTGAATGAAATGTTTATTTCGCTCACAGACAGATCTGTGGCGTGGAGAAAGAGAACCATGAAATTTATATTTTCCTAAACTTCGATAAAGTTCCACTTTGATATAAAAATATTTTAGGTCGAAATCGAAGAGAATCAAAAAGAAAAGTAATCTATAAACGAGTTAAATCATTTTTGTGATATTTGCAGCTTCCTTATTCGAAGAAAAAAAGTTCCATTATTCGGCTTGGAAAAAGATCTAAGTGAGACAGAAACTGATGAGATCTCAACTGGTGAAAATTCTTCCACTTGATTCCTGTTTCTTTTCAATTTTTCTGTCTATTCTCTATTCAAAATTGAAAGAATTCCGTTTTTTCTAGGTGTGTCAGAAATAGAAATCAAAAAGGAAAACTGTGACATTAGGCTTATGCAGCCAATGAAAGACGTTAATGATAAAGAAGAACCACAAAATCTCATTTCGAGTACCGATTTCTTTGCAAAATGATCAATTTCCAACTTTCCAGGCTCGTACTCGTACATGACGTTCCGAGGCTGCTACCAGAAGATGTACAACGTCCTCGATCCCAACACCTTCAAACCGCCCAATCACTCGTTTTGCACGATGTCCAATGCCCCATTAGCATGTCTGTCTGATTCGAGCATTCTCGAGTATTCTTGCTGGTGTCTAGGCGATTATTGTAATTTTACCTCATCTCCTTCTTTATTGATCTCAATTTTCGTTATGGGTGTTGTTAATTTTTCTTCTTTGTTACACTGATTATTATATTATGTACAAATTTATATCACATAAATGTTTTGTCTTTTGTTTTACAAAGACAGAGATTGAAAGTGCTGTCTTTTTTCTCCTAGTGATAGGAAAGATTGCGGTATTTTTACAGCGTGCCTCACGCAGGCTTGAGCGTCAGGCCGGGCGACCCGGCCCGGGCTGGCCTGGCCCGGGCTTTGGGCCTACAATATGAAAAAAGCCTCCGTGGGCTCGGCCAGGCCGGGCTTCGAAAGAAATCTTAAATTTTATTTTGATAGAATTTCTGTTCAAAAAAAAACTGTTTATTGCATCTTCAATGCAAGAATACATGTGCAATCGACTTTCATTGATTTCAACTGTGTTTAAACGGCGGCAGGAGCTGTGGCTTAGGCAGAGAAGTTGTGAATTTCGCTCGTAGAACATCAGGTACAAGAGAGGTAAAAATAGAATTTCACGGAAAAATTATTTTTACTTGTCGAATCATAGTTTCTAATAACTCTATGAGAATAAATAAGCAAAAATACCACTTTTCTCGTTAAAAAAGCGAAAAATTCGACTTGAAGAGAATTTGAGTTCTTTGGGCCGGGCCGGCCATTTTTGCTCAAGGCCTGCCTAGGGCCAGGCCGGGCCGGGCTTGGGGAGTGGCCGGGGGCCGAGAGGTTGACGGGCCGGCCCTCGCACAAGCCTGGCCTCACGTAAAAGGGCAAGAGATTTATCATTGGGGCGCGCTTTTTCACACCTCGCTGATTCTTTTTTTGTTATGACGACGCTACTCAAGTCGCTGGTTCTCTTCCTTCACGCCACAGAATTCTGTCTGTGAGCGAACAATAAAAATTTCATTTCATTTCATTGCAAAAAGTATTACATAGGTCTTATTCTTATTAGAATAGATAGTATCTCAGTATTAGTATCTTATTAGTTTCTTATTAGTATTACATACATAGGTCATTACCTCTCATCGAATAACATTTTTAAATATGAAAAGATTGAAATGAAAAAGTTCAACAGCACTCAAAAAAAAGTTTACATATCGAAAAAAATGAAAACTTGCAAAAAACCACGTGACAACGTGTCATTTCTTCTTGTATGACTTGGCTTCATTTATCATTCCTGCTTCCTTCACGAGTCGTCTTGTTCTTGCATTCAACTTCAAGATCAGTTTTGAATTCTATTTAACTTCTAATTTCCAAAATAAGTATCTGTGTGATAAGCGCTAGTAGATTAGGCCCGCGGGACTCCCGGAGTGCCGATCCTCTTTGCTTGCAAATTGGATACGCAAAGTCACGCCGAAGCCCATTCCAGTGGCTGAAGCACAAACTGTTGGCAGCGCGATGCTGACAAAGCGATGATGGGACCCCCGCGGGAAAGGCCGTCACGGCTTTCGGCGTCTAGGATTCTTAGTTCTGACAAGGCCGAGCGGAGCTCTAGCGCACCGCCTAGTTAGTTCTTTCTGACGGGATAAAGTTTCCTTAACTTACTTACGGCTTTAGATAGCTAATCAGTCAAAACATCAAAACAACTATTTATATCCTCTTCTCCGCATTAGAAAGTCTTTTATCTTTGAAAATTCAGTTAATCGCGATGAAAAGAGATCCGCCTTCCATGATCAAAGTCGCGACGACGTTGTCAAACTAGATCCGTGACGGAAGGAGTTCGATCAACTGCGAGGCCGACCAAACAATACCAGGTACCAGCCCAATGCTCTTAAAAGCAGCTGAGGGTTTTTTTTTCTGTGTTAAACTGCAAAGGAGAAAAGAAATAACAGTAACCTCAAAATGGCTTAATCGCTCTTCACTAGTAAAATTTGAAATTATCTTTTATTTCAAATCTGATTGACATATGTTCTAACAGGCTAGCCAGGCTTGTGCGAGGTCCAGAGTGAAAATAAATTGAAGTTTTTGTTTTGCAATTAAATGAAATGAAATGTTTATTGTTCGCTCACAGGCAGAATTCTGTGGCGTAAATGAAGAGAACCAGGGGCTTTTTTAGCGTCAGCATTCTTAAGTGATCCCTAAAACTGCTCAAAAACGTCCGGAGCACGTCCGTTTCGCGTTACGAAGGTCCGAGAGTAATTAGAAAAAAAAAATGAATCAAAGAGGTGTGAAAAAGCGCGCCCCAATGATAAATCTCTTGTCCATTTACGTGAGGCAAGCTGTAAAGATATAGGAGGCTGTGGAATTGAAAAAAGCTGTGTGACAGGCGCCGCAAAAAAACTGAAAAGAAACAATCGTAAAAATAATTGAGCTTTAAAGCATAGAAAATGGATTTTCGATTCTATGTAAACATATTCTCCTTAATGTTACAATAACATCGTGTGCTTCGTTGTTTTTTTTTTTGTGGAAAGCAAAAGAGTATCATAAAGTCTCAAAACTGGCTTCAAATTTTTTTAATTTTGGCATTTATTTCTTCGCACTCTGTATAATATGCATAAACAATTGAGTAAATGTGAAAAACAATTGACTTTTTTATAGGTTTAACTCAAATTGCATTCAACTTTAACGCGTTAAATTTTAATTTACATAAAAAATTATTTTTTAAAAGCATTAATTACGGTATTCCAAAAAGTTCAGTGGGAAACACGCGCAATTGCAGAAAATTGGCGATGGCGCGCGATTTTTTTCGAACTTGCGTTCGATGGCGGATGACTTTGTTCCATTTAGTTTCGCAACTTTTCTTTCTCATTCTATATCGTTTAAACTTGTTTTTCTGCTTCAAAAAAGTAATAGGCTTGTCTAAACCATCATAAGTCTCTGTATAAAGGTTTAGCGGCTCAAATCCCGTTTAGGCCTTTTCAAGTTTTTTTTTCTCGGCGTTAGCAGCTTGTCTTTTGAAGATTGGAGAATTTAGTTTTATTTCAGCATTTGAACTATCATGGATCGGATGATCCAAAGGATAGTAGATAGTCCAGACGTTTTCTACAAGCATCAACAGTTTGACGATCCCGAGCTAACCAAAACAGAGCGAGAAGATATTCTGCGGGATCTGGCAGTCGAAAATGTAGGCCTTTTTCTATCAAGGTATCCATATTTATTCGGAAAACCCTTAATCGAACTGTTTGAAGGTACGGAAAATATCTTCTCCCAGAAGACTGCAAGCTCTTTGACGGCGTGGAGAACGATGTCGTAAAGTACGTTTTAAAGCAAGTTCGCGGTAGGAAAGATGGTGTAAAGAATGTAAGAGAAGATAGGTTCGATAGGCGAAGGAATGATTTGCGAAGTTAAGGTCAAAAATCGTCGGTTCAACGCAATGCAAAAGATGATGAGTGAGCCCTTCTTTTCGGATGAACAAATGCGCGAACGAGAACCATATTTATTCGACGTAATGATTGGTCGATTTCTTACAGAAGAAGGTAAGAAATAGGTTTAAAAAACTCGGAAGAAAATTATCAATAATGCTGGATGTTTTCAGAACGCCACGATTTACGTCCGACAGTTTCGCGGGATCAATCTCATGGAGCGTGGTCAGGGGTACTAGATCAGTTTGAAACGTCGTCCGAGATCGCTCAAAGGCGCAAAGTTCAACAAGCCGAATGGGAAGACACTGAATACGGAGTACATTTTTGAATTCACTCAAATTGTGTTAGCTTTAATAAAGAAAAAACGAATTTAAAAAGCTCTGAGAAAGAGAAATGCCCAATAGTGAATTTTTTCCAGAGGTTTTTCCACTCAAAGTTTTTTCTTATTTTTTTCGAAACACTGAATCAAATTTACTTTTTTTTCATCCCAAGCGAACTCCAAACAGAGTTTTGTGTCAGAAAAAGGCGGATCCAATGGGCCACGGCCATTGTAGTCGCTTCTTCGCTCACGTGAACAATATGACGGCGATGGATGACGAATTCCAAGCAGAAGAAGAGGAAGAGGACGAGGAAGACGTACAACTGGCGGAACTTCGGATAAAAATGGAGAAAATGTCGCAAGAAGTATTTTGTCGCTCCGAATGAAATAAGAATCTCATCAAAGGAACGTTCAGGAAGCCTCTGCATTCGAACAGATTGATGACGACGAAACGCCGCACATTTTGCGACACGAGTTTGTTTCCTACATGCAGGAGAGATTCATCGCCGGGAAAGATTCAAAGTTTGCATCATCCAAAGAAAATATATTGAAATATAAAATTCCAGGTTTTTCGATTACGCACTCGTCGATAATGACGACAGTCTTGACGAAAGTGACCCAATTAGAGAGCGAGACGAGGAGGAAATGTGGTTCGACCAGGACTAATTATTGCAATTGTACAAATTTAATAAAACATATATTGCCATTTTCTTTCCTTTATTCTTTGTATACCGGTCGTTGCCGATGATTATTTCAATCTTTTTGTTTCTTTGTTGCTTCTATCCGATTAGAGTTCGTAAATGAGACAACATATTTTCATTTTAGAAAAAAATTTTTTAAAGTCAAATTTCATTGAAAAGAAACATGCTTCTAAACTTTGAATTTGTATAAAAATTAAGTTATAAGAATGAAAATTTTCTCATTTGGGAACTTTGGAAAAGCATGTATACAGCGACTGAGATGTGCCTAATGCCGGCCGGAGCTCTGTTTCTTTACCTTATTTATATTTTTTCAGGGTAAACTTCGATACAGGTTAGTCAAGCATGATGACGAAGCCGAATGGAACGATGAACGGTAACAACGCTTCGTCGGGCACCCCCGAGACTCGTTGGTTTTACTTCGGCCCCGACAATGAGTGTTACGGTTCGTATTGTTGGTTTATCAAGCTTCTTAATTTTCGTTTGTACTTTTAGTTTCAATCCTTTACAGGATCTTTGATTCTTTCTGAGTCAGCATTAGAAACGAACAAAATTCTTTTCAGAGTATTCACGCCTTCATCATTCATGAAATTTTACTCACAACAAAATCTGCATAACCTCTCAATTTTCAAAATTCAACGCCTCAAAGGCCGCTTTCCTGCTTTTCAGTTTTTCTTGAGAAAAAGAATTCAGGACCATACACCGGCAAAGACATGGCGATGTGGACTCAGAGCGGTTATTTCAACGATTCTTTGCCCATCCGAACCGAGAACGAGGAACGCTATCACACGCTCGGCGAGTGGATGCGCGCTTGCGGTGGAAAGGTAACATATCGAAGGGGTTTACGATTATTAAAAGTCAGAATATTTAGAAAAATTGTTGTTTTCAAAAAGATCTCCGCGAAAATCAGGATCATCATTGCATAACTTTCTGAAGGTTTTGTCCAATCCTATCAATCGAGAAGTTGTGTTTCTATGGTCGTTGTGAAACTTGATACTTATATTTTCCAGTTGTAACTAAATTATTTTGACAGCCTAGCAAAGACTAAAGTTTCTGAAGTTGCTCTAAGACTCTTCGAACTTCTAATTGAACCTTCTGAAGGCCAAAATCTGCATAACGTCTCAATTTTCAAGATTCAACGCCTCAAAGGCCGCTTTCCTGCAAGAAGCTGGACTTTGAGGCGTACAGACTGCGAAGCAAGATATCCGTTTTTGTAGGTACAGCGTAGACCATGCCCATGGATAGACCAGCTATTGACTTTATGAAAGCTGAACTCGTTGCAGACGCCGTTTGCGATACCGGTGTACACGATGGAGCACTTGATGCAGCAGCTGAGCCAGATGAGGACGACGACAGGACCGCCGATGATGCTGGTGCCGCCTGGTCTGGCGCCGCCGTACCCACCGCCGGTCCGTTTCCCGCAATACATGCCAGGCCTTCCCCAAATGATGCCGCCGTTGCATCCCAACGCTAGCGCGCATCCTATGCATTCACAGCCGCCGTCGGAGCCCATCGATGCCGGCAGCGTCGCGCACACGCCCGACAGCGAGCAGGACATCGTAAGCACTTTCACTTCTCTTTTCTTTCTTTTCGGTTCTCTTTCACACCTTTCTGTTCCATTTTGGGCCGCGCAGAAGTGTGTCGCTGGGTTTCCATTGTGTTCCTGATCTAGAGAAATCACAAAATTCAAAAAAAGTTTTTGTTGTTGTAAGTGTCACTTCTCAATCAGCGTATCCACATAATTAGCTAACAAAGTGCACGCTTAAATTCAATTGGGGTATGCTAACGATCAATCGAAATTGCATACAGCCAGATACTATCTCAATGCTACCTGGATTTGAGAGGGCTAGGAAAGCTTTAGAAGTATGTTGCCCGATAGCACATCGATAGCTATTTCACTAGGTATCCTATTTATCCTCGATTGACCTTTGTTACTTTTACACCATTTTCGCCTTTGCTCACTTGGGAATGGAGAGTTGCTAATTATATCAATCTGAAAATTTTTCCATGCTCTCGGATACTATCACACATCAGAAACACAATGAATACCGAGAAAGTTCATTGAAACAAAAAATAAAAATCAAACGACACATTTCTGAACAAAACGTTCACATCCAACTTATGTTCACTTTGGCTCTTACGTGGTTTTTTTTCAGTTTGAATGCATGCGTTTCATTTGAAATGATGAAATCGACTTGGGTTTAGAACGTTTTTAGGGTGATTAATATTTATGTAAATCAGCGGTTATTGGAGTAGTCAGAAGCGTTGGTAACGCCAAGTGTTCACTTAACAGGATATTTTATCATTCTAAACAGTAGTATAAATTCTGTTCCTTCGCACTTTTCGAGTAATGCAATTTAACTCAAAGAAAGTGAATAATAGTTTGCAGGATTCAAAACGCCAATATGCATTCCTTCAGTTTCCATAGCGGAGTTTCGAAAAAAAAAATTACTAATTTCTGGTCGAAAAATCGGTTTCGCAGCTTTTCTGAAGCTGATAACTTTGCGCTGTCTATGACCGCCTTCCTAAGTGACCACTCTAGTAACCGATGATTTTTTTTTACTTATCCCCACTGCATGCATTGACAATCGACTTCCTTAGTTTAAAATTTCCGTTTTTTTTTTTCAGGTATCGGGAAAGGGAAATGTCCATAAAGCATGAGTGAATTTTTCAGAAAAGCTTTTTCAGTTCGCTTCATTGTTACCTGTTTGGTGTTGTCTAGTAATTTTGCTTGTAACTTCAGCTAGTTCCAATTATTTGCTTAATTTTCACTTTTCAGTTGCTTTTATCTGCATGTTTTGAGGATATAGTTTTCAGTTTATTTAAAGTAGAGAGATGCTTAAGATGGACTATAAGATCGCATGTGATAATGTAGAGCTTTTGAATAACTCTTTAAGGAATGTGGCCGAATTCGCTCTGAAATAAAAACGATCTGACGTGAACGAACTAATTGGATTTATGAAAAAAAATGAAAAAAGTATTTCGAGACAGATAGCAAATCAGGTTGAGAAATTTAATCAAGCAATTGAATGATGGTTACTCAATATTCTCAGATGTTCAGTTATTTAGTCTGCGTTTTATAAAATTATATTTCTTGCTCCGTGTCTCGAAATTCTATAATAATTCTCATATGGGCATTTTCAAGAAGTATTCAGTATTATTTTCACGATTTTCCAGCACTCTCACCAGCAGCCGATGTCCGGAATGCAGAAACACGTCTACGTGATGGCCGAAGGACCTTCGGTCCGTCATTGGGGAACCGAGACTGACCTCAAGACGACTCGCGACGTTTCCAGCCAGACTAATCCGATTATTGTTCGTTTTTCTTTGGGTTTTGTCTGGAAAGTTTGTGTATTTGGTTGCAAAATTTGCAATTGGTGTTGAAGTTGATGGATGAGTGGCTTCGAAAAATAAGAAAGAAGATTAGGTTAGTCGAAGATGTCGGAGGTTTACATTGAGAAATCATGGAGAATTTTCTCTTTCTCGGTATTTATTGCGATTTAATTGGATTTTGCATCGTGTTTTGGAAACAGTTATGAAATAAAAAATTAGGTTAATGAGAGAGAATTTTTTTTAGTTTTCGTAGCTCAATGGAAGTTTCCATACCTTTTGCAAGTTTAACACATAAATTTCAATGAATATGGAGGGCAAGGAGAATTTCGATACGAACCTGATTTTGATGTTTCTTAAAGGAGTTATGGCATTATAATCTTGAAAAAGTTTTGCTTTTTTGAAAGCTGTAGAGGGGAACGAACATCAGAAACTAAAATCAAATAATCGTACTCGGGATGTCTTCCAGAAAAGCAAAGTAAAGAATTTTGTATTCGATCAGCAAAACTAGAAAAAAAAAATGAAAAAAAATGACGTATATGTATAAGCAAAAGTGTTTTTTTTTTCTAATTTGGCTCTGTTTAATCATTTTATTTTTGAACAAAAGTTTTAACTTTGATTTTAACTGCCAGATATTCAAAAACCAACCTATTGTTGTTTCTTTCCAGATCCCGAGCAAGGACGCGGCTCGTTTCCTGTCGGAGCTCATCGGCCAGACCGTCCATGTGACGTAATTCTCTCCCCTCGGTTCTCTTTGAAATGCTTACGGCTTCTGAAATTTCTCGTATTTTCCCTGGCGATCCTAATTCTTCTAGCACGTCTTCGTTCTCTCTTCCTGTTTATTTCTAGTTTCTTCAAATTTTCGAACTCATGATTTCATTGTTGCCTTCAGTTTTCTTTCGCTTCCACAACAATCAACTGTTTCTTTTCTATGTCCTCGAGGCATGTAGCTTCATGTTTTCCTTTTTTTCGACGATGACCGCATAATCGCCAGCAATCTATTAGATCTTTTCGGTTTGTCAGAATTCTCTCTTACTAGAAAATGCTGACAAAAATGACACCAGTTTTTAAACGACTCTTCTTATTTAATTTCACGGTCTCGCCTTCTCCTTTATCCTGTTAAAATTCATATTATACGAACTTTAACAACTCTGTTGTATTGGCGAGGTTCTAGGAATTTGGCCAACGTTATTTTTTGCTTGATTTTGCTCATTTGTGCGGAGTTTTATTATTAACGTTACCACTTTGTTTCAAATTGTTTTCATTAACTTTCTTGAAGACGATTTTTGTGCGTCGTTTTGTTCCTCTCTCCCTCTATAGTTTTTCAACAACTTTTCATTTTTGTTTATCGCCTCGGAAATTTTTGTTTTCCTTGTTTTCGATCGAGTAAAACTTTTTTTAAATTGGCTAAAAAACGTGAAAAAGTCTATTTGGTTTTTTCTCGTCAGTTGAAAAAAAATTCTACAAGATATTCGAGTGTCTAGGTTAGGAAATGTGATCTCTTTGGCATTTATTCATCATCCCTCGTTTTTTTTATCTCCGCCTTTCTTTTTCACTAGAATCTTAACTACTTTTTCGATTTCAAATGTGTAGCCTTTTATCAGATTTATTTTCTTGTAGTCTCCAAAAATAGTTCATTCAAGAGGACAAAAACAGTTTCGTTTTTTCATGCTCGGGAGTTTCAGAATTGATTTCCGACACCCGAAAATAGCTTGAGAATATTTTTTATGTTTTGGCGCTTTTCACTTTTTCCACGTTCGCCCCAAAAAAAAAAACTAGTCTTTTGATGAATTTTGAATTGTGAGGCGGTTTTTTTGAACAACAAAAAGAGATTTCAGAAAAAAAGGAAGTTTTTGTCGGAATATTTTTCAGCATGAGGCTCAATTATTGCCCTCCTTCGCGCAGAGGATTTTCGCAGGGCTTGAAATTGTAGATTTTGAGAGCCGCTCTGTTCATCTCCACTATATATGCAATCGGAATCGGCGAGAAATTCGATCTGAAGAAATCCTCGCCGTCCATCTTCTTCCTCCTTCTCGACAGGCACGTCTTCAGCCATTTTCCAAGTTTGTCTTTAATCTTCTCATCCATTCTTAGATCTCAAGAAAGGTCAAAAATGTGAAAATTTGAATTCGTAGTTGATGAGGAACGTGTTAGAAGAGGGTTTCTGCAAAGGAATTTCATAACTTTCTTTTTCAGCTCTCCGAGGCTTTTCATTTCACAAAATTTATCCATGAAGAGGAAATATAACATCAGAATAAAACTGGAATAAAATTGTCAAGCACCGAAATTCCTGAAGATATTTGAAGAACAGGAATTCTGAAACTTCTGTTGAAATGCCCCGCTTCCTGTTATTTATCGTTATAATTCTTGATACTATTCGAAAAAAAAAAAACTAGATCTAATGATTCTTCTTGAGTTTAATTGAACAGAAGGGTTTTTCGAATATGTAATCATTTATTTTCGGTTCTCTCAAATTAACTTTTCAGATATCAGATGTTTCAGATGTTCCAGATTGATCTTCTATTTAGAAGCAAAGATTAAACTTCGAAAAAGAAATGAAATTCAGGTTTTTTTGTCACCTAAATAACTGTTTTTCCCTTGCCTTCTAAATTATAGTTTGGGTTTAAATATGGGATTTATAATGAAATGGTACAATTTTTTTTCGAGAAGAAGTTTGATCGTCGAAAGTGTGTTTTCATAGACAAAAATTTCCCAGCCCTTGAGTTTTTTCATCAGTTTTGAGCAATAAGCTTGTGAATTTATTTTCGCATTTTATTCTTTTGAATTCTTAAGAAATCTTCAAATCTCATTTGAGGGTTCGAATGTTCGCAATGCTACAAAAGTTGAAACGTGCAAGAAAATGCAACTTTTGGCGATAACTTCATCGGAAGTAAAAATAAAAAAAGAAGGAAATCGTTTGCCAAGCCGTAGGTTGCCGCCGAAATTGGTTTTTCTTATTTATTTTGGCCCTTTTCCAAAGCTCGAATGGTTATGGACGTTTCCCTTTGATTCGGCCATTTGCCGGTTCCGTGCTTCTTTATAATGCGGCATTTTTCACTCAGAGTTTTTTAGATATCGAGTTTTATTTCGAAAAAAACTGCAGAAAGCGTATCTCGAGCTCGAAATTCCAACAAGAATAAATGAAAATTTATGAAAAGTTCAAAAAAATCTCTTCATAACTATCAAAATCGCATGAATTAAAGTTTTTGTAAAAACATTTTGAGAGTTTGAGAAGGTCTTTGTTCTGAAATCTTTCAAAACTTTTTCCAAGAACACCTGAAAACATGATCACTATAATTTTTTTGTCTAGACTAATAATAAGAACAAATTTTCTTTGATCTGTGCGAAGTTTTCTGTCCATATGTTTCGCAATAACTTTCGCTGATCTCATGAACATTGGGATTGAAAGTCACACCTTCTTCAAGTTGATATTGGATCGAAGGGGCTGTAAAAGTGGAATTATATGAATGTTCACAATTTTTTTCAAAAAAAGATTGTTTTTTTGTTAATAATAATAATAATAATTTATTCATCCATAAGGTGAATAGAATAAATAAGGTTTGGTTTAAAACCGGCTTAAGGTCACCCTCACGAGTGACTTCACCGGATAGGGCATACAATAGATATCACAGTTGAAAAAGTACACGTATAAGCATTTTGAGATTTTTGAGATCATTTATAGAAGCCGCCTAGGGATGCTGACGAGCAATTCATTGTCGGGGATGTTGTCTAGATGAGATTTCAAAATTTTTAGGAGGGACAGAAACCACGTAGGGAACTCTCAACTCTTACGAAAAAATTTAGGCGCCTCAGGCGGAATTCCAAGAAACTCGGTTCATTTTATGAAACATTCTCATCCGGCCGAACTTATTCAAATGTTCCTCCTTCCGTTCCGCAGAAAAATATTGAATTGTCGAATCTAGTTATCTTTTTCCTTCCTGGTGCGTGGGGCAAAAAGTTTACTTGAATCGGTCATCTATTTCGAGCGTTTCTGGTAATTATCGCCTCGTTTCCATTCGACTCTAGCTGAAATTTAATTAGGCCTAGTTTGACCTACGAAGTATAGTTACCCAGTTTTGCTTGCAGAGCGGTTTTTTTCGGTTTTTAGATGGGAACTTAAATAATCAAGCGATGCTCTCAGTACTAATTGGAGCGTGAAGCTGGCCTCCGGGCAACAGGACAAGGAGCAAACGGCCGCGAATTTGTTTCCGCACAAGCTTTATGGACCCGCTTTATTGGTCCCCTCGTGCTAGAATTTCCGCATTCTGTTCACTTGTTTCTTCTTCTTTCCTTTATTTTTTTTTCTCCTATGTGGTACTCGTTTCGATTATTTCAATTGAATATGATTTATTTTCGAAATTTCATCAAAAAAATAATTTTTTTAAAAGCTTTTTTTCTCCCTCGGACTTTCTAGAGAAACGAGTACAAGAAACAAAAAAATACAGATCAATATCATTTTCAAATCGACATTTAGTAGGAAATCGAAATAAGCACTTGAGATCTTTATGAAATCCACTCCTGCTGCTCTAAAAATCTTGACAAAAATTTTTGAACTAACAACGATCTTTTAAGAATAACACACTAAAGGGTTCAGGTAAAAATAGGCCCCTCCAGTAAAAAAAATGAAGCTCTTCCTAAGCTTTTTGGAAGTTCATATCACTTTTAAACGTTTAAAAATGGAATCAAGATCTTTTATATCAAAAAGTTCATTCTCATATTACCACGTTCATCGGTCCAAGTTCCATTTTTTACGTTCCCATTTTTTCAAAATCATTTTATTTATACGTACTAGATTTTTCTTCATTATAAAAGTCAAAAAAGTAAGCATTTCATGGTTTTTTTTTTAAATTGCAAACTTCATTTGGAGTTTCGAAATTTTTCTCTTTTGACTTGAAACTTGAAGGGCACTGTTTTTTTTTTTCAAATCTTTATACTTATCCATTTTTGATGACAAAATTGCGTTGAAATAGATGATTAGGATAAAAAAAAATTTTTTTCTTGGCAAAACTTACTCCAAGAAGTCGGTCTCTATAAGCGTTCAACATTTAACGTTCAATTTTTTTAAACTTTGTCCCTCTTAAAATTACGGCTAGACCTTTCCTGCTCAAGTTTTTTGACCTTCCGATGACGTTTTCCAGTTTTCTTTCCCAGAAAAACTTTTTTGCAAGATATAAATAACCAGGTCTATGTCGTTCACGCTTATCCTACTATAAGGAACAAGAAACGTTTTCTCAAGGATCTTTTTCCCACCGTGAGAAAAACTCAGAAGCTCCGGCTAGCACTGGTTTCCCGAGTCGCAAAAACCATTCGGAGAGCCATTTTCTCGATTTTTCTTTTGAAAAGAATAACTTTCAATGGGTTTTCGACCATTTTTCGATGATTTCATGATTCCCTAGTCTTTATTTTATGAATAAGAATTGCGAAAAGCTGAAAGATTGGATAGGAAAGAAAATATGTAGTCTGAAGTTTAATTCCATTCACCGCTAGCTCGAAAAATATTGCTGGCTTGTTTAAAACTCTTTTTCTACCAAATGTTTTTCTTATCGTGTAAAGACCCGGATCAAAAATACACTGAAGCCAGCTTTGGACGAACTATGATTCGATACCATTTTATAGTTCACAATTTGATAATCTTTGAGCCTACAATTGATCTATAATGGCTTCAAAACGATAGACGACTACAAAAATTGCACTTTCAGTAATTTGTAGTTGAATTTTTTGCATCGAGACAGTTGGCTTTTTTTGGGGGTAGTCTCAAATTTGAGAGAATCGACTGTTTTTGAAGTCAAAAGACAATTTAAGAACAAAGATTTGCAATCAAGCAGGACCTCATAAATCGCAAAAAAGAATTATAACTCTAGATAATCAACTTTTCATGCAAAGGTCATAGGAAAAGTTAGTTTTGATAAATGCTTCTATTTTTTGATTTCATTCTCGTTCCCCGAAAGTTTTTTGGGCCGAAACATATATTTTCTTTTGCTAAAAGGTGGATCAAAAATCTGTTACCTGCCTATGTTGAGAAATCCGTTTACGGCAATTCAAGTCATGTTTCCTAATAAGTTCACGCTTGGCGTAGCTCCAAAATGTTTCACCTTTGAGTGTCCAACTTTTTTTGGCATTTTAAGAAAGTAAAGAAAAACATTTTCAAAAAGTTGGCTTTAAGAAAAAGTAAAAAAAAACTTCTAGTTTATGATTTTTGTTCCAAGTGTTTCAAGATAACATTACAGAACTAAACATTCTTGATCTCCAAAGAAATTATAAATACTACAAAACAGATAATCAAAAGTATAACTTTAACGTATCTTCAATTCATACTCAAGCTTCTATTTCAGAGATATGATGTTTCAAAGTTGCGAAATTTTCAAGCTTAACTTATCGAATTTTAAAAAATGGAGTCTCAAAAAAAATTTTTGCTCAGGTAGAGACTATGAGAGAAATTTATCCATATCTTTGAAGAGTATTTGAGCGAATTTTCCCAAAATTCCAAATTGCAAGGTACAATGACTTCCCTTGTCAGTGAAATGCTTATGTAACGTTTTTCTTCCCGGACTTACATTTCCTATTGAAATTGAGAAGCTCTAATTCAACTGTTTCTAATGGTAACAAAAAGAAAGTTTGGTGCTTTATGGGACGGTAACACAATTTCGGATTGGGATTCAGAGAAGTTTCGCGGCTTTTTTATAAGTGAGAGTTATTTTTTCAGAATTTTTTCTAAGCTTTTATTTTCACTGGTCGGCTTGAATCTATTTCTAGCTTTCGTAATGTTTCTTTTTCTAGATTTTTGACTTAATTTTGATTTGATGGGTTAAAATCTTGAAAGTCTAAAAACTGCAAAAATTATATTTTTCAGGATAGACGCTCCAAATTTTAATTGTTTTACAATGTGGTTTTCAAGACAATCCTCAAATAATAAGAAATTCCGCAGATTATCATTTTCAAGAATATCATCAAGCACACCTAGTAGTATTTCAGTTTTTATAATTTTTGAAAGTTTCAGAAAGAAAAATCGGGGAAAAAATGGAGAAAAAAAACTTTAATGTTTATTTAAAAAAAAGAGCCTCTGACTTTTGTTTTCCGGGAAATCTTGAAATAGCCGTGTGTTGCCCTTTCTTGAAACGAGTGTTTGAATCCCACAAACGACAATCGGCGCCATTTCGGACGGCGGGCCCCGTGATGACGGCGATCTCTTCAAATTGGCTCGCGGAGCCCCTGACGTGCTCTCCGATTGCAATCCGGCCATACTCATTAAACATCCTCGTGGCTTACCTTCTTTTCCCAGATTTCAGCTGAAAAAATCTCGTTCAAATTATTTACGACTAGGCTTAGCGAATGTTTGAAGGATCAGAGAGTCTTCCCAAAAAAAAAATGGTCTTAGTTTAATGGGGCAAAAAGGAGACGTGGGATCTTTAAAATTGCGGTAGAACGGTCGCTTTAATTTGGAAATAATATGTTTTTGGAAAAAAATACATATACGCAAAAAAATATCTGACCTGTCTGCGCCCTCTTTTCTCTCATTGGAAGGTCATATTGAAAGAGATCAGGAATGCGCAGACCAGCTTGTTGAAAAATGCGAAGAGATTATACTAAACTCTTTTCTTGTAGAAAATTTTTACCCAGCTTTCTATCGCTTTTATGAAAATTTCCGTAATTCTCACCCTTTTATTTTTTGTTTTCAGGATCCGACTCTTCAGAAATCCGTCCCTTTTCCATCTGAAATTTGAACAAAGAACTTCTGACGTCTTTGTTTTCGAACTCCCGATGTCCTTTCCCAACTTTATTTGTTCCAATTGTCTCGATTCGGTCTCGAAATACCCAGAAGAGGCTCTTTCAAACCCGATGAATCGTCTCGAATCGCCTTGTATGAAGACGTGGTGTCTGTCTTCTTGTCGTGAGAAGTCATTTACATGCATTTCTATGCAGATGAGCCGTCCCAAATAAGGAAAGCCACCCAGAAGAAAATTAAGTGAAATGAACTCTGCCATCTCAATTTTCGGTCGGTCGAGCAATTCGAGCTGGACAAAAGGGTTCTTGAACAATTTTTATTTGCAAAAGCTTGAGTTATTTTTTTTTGGAAGAAGTAAAGTATTTTTCGCAAGCTATTTGAGCCAATTTATCCGCTTCATAGTTATCATGACTTTTTTTATGCTTTTAAGATTACAAATTTATAATTCGAAAGGTATTTACTTTGAGCATATATGTAGGCCTTCTTGCAGAATTTATCGCTAATCTGGTCCGATTCCTTTGAAAATTCACTCACTTATCTAATGGATAAAGGTCTGTTTGAAATTCTGCGTTTGTTCAAATTAATTTAAACTGTCCAAACAACGTCGGATAAAACCCGCCTTCATCCAGAACTGTGTACTTTCTTCTTTATTCTCAGCTTAATTGTCAAATCAAATTTTTTGAACGTCAATTGTCCTTCTTCCCGAAAAATAGGTGGAAATTGAACAATACGGACGTCGTCGACCCCATTTCTTCATTAATTCAACGTTTTTTCCCGATTAAATTTGACCGCATCATCGCTCCGCGTGGCACGACCCTTTCGCGGCAACTTTCTGGCTCTCCTTCTTCTTTTTCCCGATCTCATCACTTTTCAACACGTTGAGCTTGGAATTATCTCTTTTTTCTATGGATATTTACATTAAGAAATGAACTTTGAATTAGGAATGACCGCATGTAGAATGGCTTAGCGCGTCGCGGTCGGAAATTCCATTTGTAAGCCTGTTCAAAGGCTTTTTGATGCAGTCGAACGCAAGTAGATCTGTGGTCGCAAGTGATAGTAAAAACGTTAAATTGAAAAAAAAAATGATTGATTCCACAATTATTCATTTGAATGAAACGTTTAACTATCTGAAATTTTTTTAATTTGAAAGTTTTTTTGAAAAGGCATTTTAAATTTTTTTTCGAAGCGGAATCATATTTATTTAGTTCGACTCTGCTGTTGAAATTTGAAAAAAAGTTTAAAACCTGTCATTTTCAGCTTCGAATAGGTTGAGAAGCATTAGTTTTTGAATTTGATCCTTTTTTTTCCAATTGAAATTAATAAAAATTTTTTTTTGAATATTGAGAACGTTGAAGTCGAGTTTAAAAACACGATTTTAGCACTTTTTTTAATAAGAAAAAACTTGAAAAAAAGCATAAAAACGCTCCCATGAAAGTATTACTTCTAGATTGTTCCGTTACTGATTTTAAACTCTTCGAAAGGAATTTTTTGCTCGATCCAAATCAGAAGAATATTCAGAGGTGAGCCATTACAATTATTTTTCTGTTAATTATTGTCTTAATTTTTGAACAAACTTCATGTAAACTGAATGAGTAGAGAAATGATGTGAAAAAACTAAGGAGGAACAGACAGAAAATATCACAGAAAATATCCGTGTTTCAAGTGATTCTCTTATTTTTGACGGGAATTTTCGGCCGGATCTCCGATCAATTTGTCGCTTTTTCGCTCAGTTCTGACGTTGCGAAGTTGCTCGTTTCCTGATTGATGGATTTTTTCGTCATTGTTTTCTTTTTTCCTCGATTTCCCTCTCTCCTTGAAATGTTCAGCTACAACTTGAACCACAACACAAGTGTTCTGTCTGGCGTTGTTTGTAGTTTTTGATTTGTTTTTATAAGCTTTGTTTACTTAGGTTCATTTGAAAAAATAAGGGAAAATGTGTTCTTTGTCAAAATCTTCAGGTTGAGAAAACTTTAGGCGATCGCTATAAGTGAAACATTTTGATGCCTCAATTTTTCAATATACTTTCGGGCGTTTTCTTGTGGTTTTAAAATTTTTATTTTAACATTATTTCCAGTTCGAAAACTATTTATGAACCGAAAAATCGGAAAGCCTGTAAAGTTCAACCCGGGTCGTAGAGTTTTCAATGGTATTTTTTTTGGTAAATCGTAGCTTTTTCCTGAAGCTTACTACACTTCTTGATGTTTTGAGATCGGAAAAAAGGTAACTTCACCTTTTTCAACCGCATTTTTATCTTTTCATTTTGTCTAGTTTCAAACTATGTCAACCTTGTTCCTTTAAAAAAAAGCTCTCAGGCTGTTCTTTGTCGAAAAATTGCCAGCCAAAGTTATAGCCCATTCAGAATGATGGGGGTGTTTAAAGGCGCAGGTCGTAACTGAATTAACACTAGAAAATGTGCCGGACGCCGACTTTTCAAGTATCCTAGACTTTTTTGAACGATATCGCAAAACAGAAAACAAAAATCTCCCTGTTTCATCGAATCCTTCAACAACTTTCTCATTTTTTTCCGATTTAAACGTACCATGCTCAAATCTGAATGTTTGATGCCTTAACATCCGCCGCGAAATCCAATTTTTTGCTGATTTTCTGGGAAACGGCGAGAAAAGTTCGAATTTTCGGCTGCAGCGTGGAGTAGAGTAGAGATCTTTGAGGTCAAACGCTTTAGGGAAAATATTTCTGAGCTGTTATTAGCTCGCTGAATCATTTTTTTTCTGGGAACACATCATTTTTTAATATTTTTTACGCGCTCCTTTTTTTGGAATGAAAAACAAGTTTAAGAGGCTCCTTTGAAGCTTTCAAGAAGGGAAAAGAGGATATTATGCTGGATTTGATGTTTTCCTCGAGAAAAAAGCAGTTTTTGAAATTGAGAGTAAAGTATGAGTTTGACACAAATGTGATGTTGGATACATTCTGAGTTGATCTTTTCATTTATTTTAGGAAATATAGGACTTTCATGTTTTATGTATCTTTTTTTGTCATAAATAAAAGGCCCGTTACTCGAAATAGTTATGAATATCTATTTTCTTCTTTATTTTGATTCCACCCTTTATGTTTCTTCGTGAATTACTCAGGATGATCAAGAGATTCGGCCAGCGATAATTCAGTTGAATCTCCATGCGGTTCTCCTTTTTATTTTGGAGATGCAGTAGCTTGAAAAATTCTGTAAACCTTTTCTATGAACTATTTTTCCTCTTTTTTAAACGAATTTTCAGTAGAATTTTTTTATTTTTTCAACCACCATTCGAAAATTTCTTTTAATAGTTAGCTCGCCGAAAAAAAGCTTCGAGATACAGTAGAAAGAATTTGAAGCTTTTATTTTCTTTCTCTCATCGCGCCAAGTTTTTCATTTCTTCTACTAGCCGACAATGTATCAGAATTGTACTCTTTTATATTTTTCCGAAGCTCCAAATGACGCAGTTGCAGATGCGGGTGAGAGCCTCGTCGTACTGTCAGGTCGACGACCGACAGCCGTTCCTCACGCCGCAGAACAGCTACTCGCGGAGACTCGGCGAGCACATGATGAACAGTGGTGGGTTTCCGAACAATTACCTGTCTACAGTACTCTTCGAAAATAATCCTCACATTCTTCTTGGGACCAAAGTATGATAGATCGTTCCTATCAAAGTTTTTCTTTCATTTTTCTTAATCCTGGAAGCTCCCACCAGCTTCACATGGTTTTGGACTTTACATGGAACAGTTTAGTGTTTCTTTTTTTTTTGAAATTCCAGAGACCTTCGCTCCGCGAATAGTTCAATAGATAATATATGTTAAACATTTCCGGAACTTAGAATCCAATACACTTGAGGAATGAAGGCTCAAGGCTCAATCTTAATTTCTCTCTAATAATAATAATAATTCTTTTTCGAAGCACTAAATTGAAACTGAAGGAGACGCTTTCAAACGCAAAATATGGAGGGGCACTTTTCATCACAAGAAAAAAAAAATGAAATAATTTCTGAACCGTGAAATTTGTTTATAGATTTTTGAAGCGTTGGCGGTTCTTTCTGTCATTTGCAACTGGCCGGCTAAAAAAACAGCATTTCCTTACTAGGAATTAGTTCTCCCAGGGGCCGAATTGGAAGTTTAGTGCGAATCTCGCATCATTTGTCCCTTTTGTCTGGTTCGACAGCTTGTATTCGGCTTTTTTCCTTCTTTTCCCACGGATCAAACTACAATCAACTCTAATTTCTGGCCGTATTCCTTACCTAAACCGTCCATTCGTGCTTCTTTCATTCACTCGATATCAACGAAAAAATGAGAGGTTTTTTATTCATTCATTTTTTTTATTCTGTTTATAATTACGTTATTAATATTTTTTTATGGAAGGAAATTTTTTTGAATATAGTCTCAACGTATCATAAAAAAGACGATAAAACTGGTGGCATCCGTTGTTGGATATTGGGAAATTACTCTTTTCGGCAAAGAAGAAAAAACCCGCCTCACAACCTATTTTTGGAGGTTTTTCAATTAGAATACCAGGAATTCAGCCCATTTCCGGCCTTTGGATTGCACTGAAGCCCGGGTTTAAATGGTGCTGGAATACGATATTTGTCTAGAATATTGAAAGATTTTCGGCTTGATTTTTCTTGTTTTGTTCATTTTGGTCACAGCAAGTTTTGAGCACTTTTGAATGAATTGAAAAAATCTGACTTACAGCAAAATTGTTGAAAACATTTATGAAAAGAGCTTTTTTTGCCGACTTCAATTTTTTTCTATCAATTTATCGAAAGAGCATTTTCGCTCCACTGACAAGAATATTTATATTTTATTCTTCTTTCACTTTTTTCATCGCCCCCTGTTTTCCACGAATCCATATTTTCTTCATACTTGAACTATATTTTGCACTTCATAATTATTTTATATTTCCTAATGAAAAATGAATAACCTAACCAACAAAAATTAGTCAATTTTTCAAGTTCCGAGGAAATTCGACGAATTGTGGGAAGTTGTGAAGCGCCACTGATTAGCTGTCAATTTGTGGGAATCTGTTACCATGGCGCCTTCCTCCGGCTACATTTCCGGCACAGACAAAAGAAAAAGTCGATTGTTTTCCGCAGAGCGCGATTGTAGCCGCATTTCGCGCCGCTTACCGTACCACAGTCGTCGACATCGATTCTCGCTTTCCTTCGATTCGCTAAAATGACCTTCTACTCGTTTCTGGATGCTTTTCTACTTTTTCTCTCGAGTTTTCAATTTTTCAAGTAGAATATAAGTAACGGTACTCTAATTATGATAGTATGCTCCAATTTTGAACAGAAAAAAACTTTCAAAAAAAGTTGAGATTTGATAAATCCAGTCGCCTGTTATTTTTTTCTCTTCCTCATGGTTTTTGAATTTGATTTTAACATTCTCTATGTGATTTTTCACGCGTGGAAAAGTTTTCCGTGGGAAAGTGTTTTTCTAGACGGATCAAGTATTTTCTCTAACCAGTAGTATTCAAAGATGGGAAAAATGAATCTTTCAAAATCGCCTGGAAATTCAAAAAAATATTTCAAAAACAAAAAGAAAGTTTTTCTTTTCATTTTTCTAATACCTTCTGACGTTCTTTTTGCTCTTGTGAATTATTTATTTAAAGAAGATATTATGTACATCCCATGAAGCTTCTCAAAGGAAAGCCATAATTCCTTCTTTTTTCCAGCTTTGGTTAGAACATCTAATTTTCCTCTCAATAGAAATTACTGTCGAAAATTTAGGTCTACAGATTGATAACTCATTATTTTGTTTGCATTGCTAAAAGTTCAAAACAAATAAGAAAAAGAATCTTGAAGGGCACCCGACTTAAAGCTACTTGAGTGAGCGCATATTCTGGTCAAGTCGGCTTTTTCGTTGATTTCAAAAACAACGATTCAAGCCATTTCACGACGTTTGAATCACAACGGATGAAAAATACCACCCACAGGTTAAAAAAAGGCAATTTGATAGAAAAAAAAAACGTTCTCCCTTGTTTTTCTTGCAGAGTTGGAATTAAATTACCTCCGATTACTTCTGAATCTCATTCACATTCATTACTCGAGAGGCGTTTTTCAAATGATGCTTTCCATTTAGATATTTCGTCTATTTCCTCACTGCGCTTCTTTCGTTTTTCAATCAAAAATGAATTCTTTTGGATTTTCGGACGAATAAATCCACAAGATCCCTATTTTTAGAAGAAATGTTGGTTTGTAGAGGATTTCACGGTGGTTCAGAATTAATTGTTTCTTCGAAAAGTAGATAAGCTTTTTTTGTATTCTCGCTAGTTCATACGAAGAAAAAACAGGATTTCGTGCAATCTTTGGAACTTTTTTGTCTTAAAATAAAACTCTTATTGTCCCTCTTTAGCACATTTCTTTGGTCATATTGCTTGAGGTTTCGAAAAATGGAAAAATATCTTCTTTTTGGAAATTCGCCGAAGCCGCGTTCATTTTAAAGATATCAGCAACCATTTTTGCGAATTTGAGAGCTACTCCATTTGAAATTCGATTTTTAGGCATTTTTTTTCAGTTGTTTCAGTTACCAAAATTGAGCTTCACTTTTTTTTAGATCAGCCAGAAGATACTGATTTTTCAGATTTCCGCATTTTTTTTTCTCAGAAACTACAAAGTTTTGTATGCACACCCTGAGTCATCGTGAACTTCTGTTTATTTCTCAACTAATTATTTTTACGACTTTATATATTCTATTCAGTGCCAGCTTAATACAAAATTGCTAGAGATACGTCTGAGTTCCTTCTTTTTGAAAAAATGTTCTGATTGTCGTGTAAAAACCCGAATTTTTCAAGCTAGCGATGAAACAACTATAATTTTTTTCTAATCGCTTTCCAATAAGAATCGCGTGTTTCGTCTACGCTTTGAGCTACAATTTCCGAGCTGTGATTATACGTTTGGAGTGCAATTTCGGCGGTCGGAATGACGCGTCGGATGGCCAAGTGTTCGTCGGAAGGAGCCCGAGACGGCGGCAGTTCGTTGGAGCGAATCGCACGTTCCATGTCCTACGACGCTCGGCGAGCCAAACGGAGTCGGCTGACGCGCGCGCGACCCGTTCTCGGCGACAGCGACCGACAGTCCAGTCGCCACACGGCCTTCCAAGGTCTGCTCAACCACGGCGGCCACGACGCAGCGAAGGCGTTGCTGACGGAGTCGTGGAATGCCCCTTCGTGGGCTACGACCACTTCTACCATTTTCCCACTTCCCTATCTAACTAAATGACTCTGAAAGTGCAAAGTTATCCGACTCCTTCAATAAGCTTTTCTTAACCTCTTGTTATATAAATATATCAGCAATCTCTTACCCTAGTCTGGAGGGATCAAACATCTCAAAATATGCTCGCCTGAGCGCGTTTCCTCCACTCGAATAAGAAATCAGTTTTTTAATCTCTAAAACTGTGTTCTTTATTTTCAAAACAGCTAATTTTTACTTCGAAAACTTTTTAAGAATGTCCGTTTTCCTTTTCAGAAAAGTTTGAGATATATGTTAAAAACGTTTTGTTGATCAGTTATTCTGGGATTTGTAAAATTTTCTGGAAAACGGTTTTAATTATAACAAAACAGGTGAGCATAAGACATCAAACTGCAAAAATTTATTTCATTTTCAACTTTATTCGAACTGATCATTTTTATTATTTCAGGCAACACCCTCTCGAGCTCTCTTTCAACGATACCACTCTGTAGCGGGTGAGAAATTTCGCTTTGTTCGATTTGTAATTATATGTGAGATTTTAGGGCCGTTCATGGCAGGACTCTCGTCAAAGGACACACCGTTTCCAACTGCACTCCGAGATTCGGGTTAGTTTCCCTGATTTTCTTGATATTTGACCTTATCAATATCAAAGTTATGACGAAGTTTTAAGAGGGGATTCAGTAATTTGTTTTTGAAGCTGATCAATAAAAATTTGCTGAAAAAAAATAAATAGTTCAAGGACATTTGAGGGTGGATAATAAAACTGGCGACTTTCTGTCCTTTCAGCGGGGTTGATTTCCCAAAAATTAGTGTAAAAAAAGCCGTGATTGTTATAAAATAAATACTCTTGACACGAATCTACAGTAAGATGAGTTTTTTGTGTCTAGACTTTCGAGTTTTATCTTTTCTATCTAAATCTGCAGAATTTCTTAGCAACTCGAGCTCTCTGAACATTATGAACATGAAATGAAAGAAAAAAAGGGTTATTGCATAAGAAAACGTTGAGCAGCTGCACTGGATCCGATAAATGTGGCCAATATTTTATTGCTTTTTCCCCGTGGCGTTTGGTTCATTCAGACAATGTTTGCGTAAAATATTGTTTTTCGTTTGATTTATTGAAGCTTCTTCAATGTTTTCGAATAACTTTTTGTCTTTTTTTGATTTTTCGCAAAAATAGTGAATAAGAAGCACAAGTTTTTGAACGAACCCTAATTAATACTAAATACAGCTCTTCTTTTTCCATGCTTTTTAGGAACCTTTCATTTTTTTGATTTTTTTGGGGAGGGGGAGGGGCGGGGCGGGGGAATTAGGTACTTGTTTTGCGCCATTTGTGCCTAGGCTGAGTTGGAAAAAGGGCGTTACGATAGTTCAGCTCGATTTTGAGCATAATTTCTATAACTCCCTATGAAATTTTGAAAAACAAGTATAAAAAAGTGAGCAATTAAAAAAAAAGGTATCACACTGAAAAACCGCCTCTGTAAGACGCGAAAACCACCAGAAAAAACCTTCGGCCCAATAATTTCATGAATTTTGTCTTCCTTGCTACTTCAAACGTCCTTAAACTGTAATGAATTGTACTAACCAAACTGTTTGTATTTCAGTGTCAAGAGTACAATTTCGCCTTCTCGAATTGCGATACAAATCAGCTTCTGCTTTTTCTTTCATGTGACACACTACAATTTCGATTATTTTTTGTCCTTTGAAATGAAGGAAAAGGCAAATTTCTTCGAATTAAGGGTCGATTTTCACCTGTCGTGTCTCTTGCAACGAAATTTCACTTCGGTTTCTGAAGCTTAACTTCAATTTCAGTGGATTTTTCGCAGTTTTCTGGCTTTTTTTATTAAACAAACTAGATCCATTTTTTTTCTGTTGGTCTGCTCTTGGCTAATTTTTATAACGAGCAAAATGCTAATCGAAACTCCTACACATCGCTTTTCGACCTCCTCTCTTAATTTGAAGTTCCAGTTCAACCAGACCAGCTTCTAATTTTAAAGAGTTTTTTAGAAATGCTATTAAAAGTTCTAATTAACTTTTTGAAATTTTGTGATCAAAATTTCTTACTCAAATGAGTTGATTGGCGCTGATAATTTTCACGATTTTGAACCTTTTCTGACTCGAAGTTCCATGGACGCAATTGGAGTAGCTTAAAAAGTCGCGGTTGCGTTGCTGAGTTCAGCTGTATTTTTTTAATGTATTTTCTTTCTTGAAACTACCGCGCTCGAATTATTTTTTTGTCTTGTTCGGGTCTTGAACAAACGGCAACGCGACCGCGTCGCTTCAGGTCATTTATCGACCACGATTTTTGATTTTAGGCCTAAAAGTTAGTTGAATTTTTAAAAAGATAGTTCTTTTTTCCGCTGAAATGAGTAGTCATCTGCCAACTTTTCATGCTAATTTTTTTCAACACTCCATCAGAACTCTCAAGTTATTAAAACGAAGAAGTTAAATTAAGAGATAACTTTTGAATATATAATCTTTAATAAGTTCCCCGCAGGATTCCTATTCAAAGTAAGGCAGTCATCACATAATCTGAAAGAAAGATGGGATATGTTTCCAAGGGACTTATTAGCAATACCCTTTGGCTATCTCCCTATTCAGGCCATTTTATTATCTATAAAAGGATGAGCAACGATTGATTCTCCAATTTCCTTTTTTGCCCATTGTTTTGAGCCTTTCTCTGCTTTCCTGGGGTCATCTATTTGGGGTGTTCGTTAGAATCAAGAGTCTCGAATTTCTCATTTTCTTCTTCTTTTTCGTCCCCTTACTTTATTTTTTAGCCAATTGAAAATTTTGACTGGCTCTGAGAGGGGCTAATATACTGTTTGTTTTCAGATTTTTCTCGGGTTCATCCACTTTGATGCGAAAATTCTCGTGCCACAAGATTCATTACCCACTTGCGCTCCTCGCAAAACTTTCTTTTTTTTCATTCCAATGTAATCGCTCTCGAAAATTCAATTTGTTGTTGTTGTTGTATTTTTTTTTTGCCGCAAAACTACCAGCCAAAAACAACACAACTCTTTATTTTGCTTTTATTTGTATTTTTGAGAGGAGAAGTGATTAAAAAAGTTGGACAGTGAAAGAAGAAGATAGGAAAAAAGCAGGATCTTTCATTTCTATTCTTTCTAGGCCTCTTTCATCCAAATTTTATTTTTCATTCTGAACCTTTAGTCCTTTCTCTCATTTTTTTTTCTTTTTTTCCGGTTCAAAAGTCCGTTCACTGACGTCATGGAAGAGATGTAGATCAATTATTCTTTGCACTTAAATGACTTTGCAAAAACGTTCTATTTTCCATTTTGAGATGTGAGCAAACTTTGAACAGTTTTTGAAGGAATCGAAAAGGGATTTTCAAAGATTTCAAGGACGTCTTCAACTACTATGATTGAAGAAAAAAATAATAAGTTTTGGGTCTATGTCACACATTCTCATTGTGAAGCGCTGACTTCGGCTCACTTTTTCCGTAGGTTGCACGGAGAATTGTGACGCAACCACGCATCCGACTCGAAACGGCTTGCCATCTGCGAAAATAATCGATTAACATTATTTATTGTAAACTCGGAGAGCCTATCTCCATGCGACCAATTTTTTTTCGTGCCCGAGATATTCTGTTACTCGGTTATCGTATTCAACTTCGACGGAATCTGGAGTTTCCGATTATTTTTGAATCGAAGCCCTCAAAATCTCTTCCAAAATGGAATAATGTTTCTCGGAAAAAACTCGCCAAACACCCAAACAAATCCATCGGCGTTTAATGAATAACCGTAGGAATACTTGATTACCAGAAGAGCAAATACGGGGAACATGCGAAGAAGCGTATTGTTTGCGAACGGCCAAAGTGGCAATATTGGGGTGAGGGTTGAATGTGCCGGAAAATGCTCATTTCTCCGAGGCTTTTTTTCTCCTTCGGCGCCTTTCCGTTTTGTTGATGATCCCCGAGGCATCTTGCTGAAACGGTTCTAGGTTTTTTTTTTCCTAGAATTTTATAGAGTTTTTTGCGCACTCGGACGATGCCTTTTTTGAGATCAAAAGGAAAGTCATCCGTTGAGGCAACATTAAAAATTTTTTGTGTTTTCAAAAAAAATTTTTTTGATTGATTAGGCTCAATCTTTCAATATTATTAGAGTTAATTTTTTTCCATTTTTTGAATGGCTGAAATCGTCTAAATGAAGAGTTACAGTTCGTCTATGAAATTGGAGCCGAAATTTAAAAAATTAACTACTTCATCTTTGTTTTTTTTAATTATAGATTTAAAAGGGTTTTAAAACTTTTTTTCAAGGGCTCTGAGCTCAATTTTTTTCCTCCAAACTTGGAAACTAATATAAACTTTAGCATTCCTTGGAAACCTTTTGATAAATATAGATTTATGTCTTTCTTTTGAAACCCGAAGACAATAATTGAAAAGCTGTTTGGATGTAAACTTTTGAGAAACCCTGACCGGAAAGTTTGACTTTTTTTTTGGTCTGAACGCTGTTCCTGTCTTTTTTTTCAAAAGGACTACGTAAGTATAGTCTATTCATTGCTAAGAAACAACAAGCGACGTAATTTTTTGTGCTTTTTGAAAATTCTGACTTCATTTTGTCGTTGTCGTTGTCGTCTCACTATACTGCAGAATCAATTTTTATGAAAATTTATAAACATTTTCTGGTATGTGGCCTTTTTTATCTCGATTTCCATAATTAGATCCTGTTTTTTTCTTTATAGAAAATAATTTTGTCGATTGTCCGGTCTGAAGCTCGAATTTCGCATTTTCACTCGCGTCAATCTTTGTCGAATGGATCATGTCGAGCAGATGTTCGGCAGCGTCGAGTCGGAGATGTCGACGTCGGCGACGCCTTCTTCGACCTTCTCGCCCGTGCCGCCCATGTTCAGCGGCCGCTTTCAGAGATCTTCACGAGGGCCTCGCTACAAATATTCGGACACGATCCTGCACACCTACTCGTGTCGCCGGTGATTCTGATCCAGTGTTGAAAAGATATACTCAATCTTGATATTGCTTTACAGCCCTCTTACATAAGAAAAATGGAAATTTTTACAAACGTACACACTTATGATCGCCCCACAAAAATTGTTCTTTTCGAATTTCATACTAGTTAAAACTGTTGCTGAAGCTCAACGGTACAAAGACACGTATGAGAAGGATTTGAAGGAAAAAAGGAGGCTTTCATCGGAAATAGACTTCATTGATTAGCGGTAAAAAAGATTCAGAGTTATTTTTTTGCTCTATTCGTAAAGCCTTCAGTAAAATCTGAAAAAACCTCAGGAGAAATTTGAGCGGAAAGATATTTTTGAAGGGAAAAATTCGCAAAATGGTTTGAGAGCTTTTTCTCAAAAACATTTTCGAACTTTTCGAGTGCTTGAGTTTTTATTTTTAGAAAACAGTACGAGTTGATGAACATATGAATTATCAAACATCACCTGATTATCTCCATAGGAAAATGAACTGATTGGACATCCTTCCTGTAGTAGCCGAGAATAACCTGTCTGACTTTTCGAAAATAATTGCTTTTTGCTTCTATTTTGGCGAAAATCTCTCAAAAAGCAGAATCCGCCGCGCCCTTTCCTGCCGAAAGGCTCCACGGAAATGAACTGCGCCCACAGGGGAACTTTAATTACCTGTCTGTGCCATTTTTCGCAGTTATAACAGAATCTGAAAGGCAGGCAAAGCCCTGGTTATATTTTATTTATTGCTGTCCGGATCTCGACAAAGTGCCGAGTGTCTTCTTCGGCGTCCCATTTTGTTGCCGCTTCCCAACTTTTTTTGGCCTTTAACAATGGTTTCCGGGTCGCGGAGCAAAATTCCACGACGTGCTCGACGCTTTCGGTATCTTTTTCGCGGTTTCATCGTGTTCATAAAAGTATTCAGATTTTAATGCATTTTTTTTCGAGTTTCTGAATTTTAAAAAAGTTTTTTTGGGCTTTTTGAAGGTGTTAACGGTTTCAAAGTGCGTTCTGTTCACAGAATCTCCTATTTTGGGATGCCAATATTCTTTTTTTGAAACCTTCAAACTATCCCAAATCGAGAATTCTACGCATTTTGACACCTGAACATTTTTGAACAGAAAGTAACTTCAAGTTTTTAATAATGGTTACTAAAAAAACGACCGACCGCCCGACTTTTCCAGGATGCCCGTGACAAACTGTATACAAGATACCTCGAATAAGTCGGTTCAACTTGCAGAAATTCATTAAAAATATATGATTTCTGATGTTTGGTTTTGCTGAAATTTCATCAAGCTTTGTAGACAAATTGGTCGTTAGGAACACTAGGTGATAAATGTACGCGGCGGTTTTTTATGGACGTAAATTGGGTTATGCCAGGAGATTTTGGGACAAGCTTGAGGCTAAAAATGAAGAGAAAGGGATGAGATAATTCTTTGAAATAGAAAAGAATGGGACTTTGAGGGAGTTGAAGTGAATTGAATTTTTTTTCGTAACTTTTAATTTTAGGTCGAGCTCGATTCCGGCTCCTTTGGACCGTCGCCAAGGCCGAAGCTGTGATCTTCACGCGGCGGAGGACGACCGTCAAGATCGGTTCGACAATCCCATTGCTCAGGTTATCGACTCGAGTCTCAGAAAAAGGGATTACGGTAAATACTGATGAAGAAAAGCTACAGTAATCACATTTTTCAGAATTAACTAAAGCGAAAATCGAATTTTCAGCCAAAAGTCTAGAAAGTAAAGTTGAGCGGCTATAATCTGTTTCAGGCAATCCATACAGTTTAGCAAGAAAAAACAATTATCGCAATATAAATTTTTTCAGTGATAAGCCTTTTGAATTCGCAAACGCACAAATAATTGCAAAAAAATTATTTGGATAGTTTGAAGCTTCATAACTCGAAGAGAAAGATCTACTGCGAGAGATATTTCTTGCTTTGGAATTAGCAGTTTCTGAAGTACATTTCAGCCAAGTTTCGTCAAAAATTCAACCGGGAGCCAAAAAAAGTTCCTTTGTAAGATTTTAGTTGAAAAACAATATTTAGATCAAGAGTGTCACTGAAAAGAGTATTCTAGTTGGATTTGTACAATTTCTATGCAATCTGATGAAGTCGATGAACCATCTATCGATTTTTTGACGTTTGAATCATATTATACGGGATTTAAAGATCTGACGATCCTTATTTGACTGATAAAAACGATGAATATCCGCAGGATCTACGTTTTTCCAGCTGCCAAGTCTTGATTCTCCACGCGTTAAGTAGTACAAATAGGACAGCGTCGGATCGTGTTTCAGAAAGGAAAAAAACCCTCTTACAAGCCTTTTTCTCTCGACTTTTCTTTTATTATTCCCAATTTATTTTTTCCTGGAAAAGAAGACGAATCTCTGTTTTTGGCTGGAAAAATGTGACCCTTTTATGAGCCATTTCGTGTTAATCCTTCTCTCGATTTGCATTGAAACTAGAGAAGCTTCGGATCCTGAAAATATTTTTTTAGATATTTTTTTGCTATTTTTTTGCCTATTCTTCGAAATTTTTTTTTAAAAAAGGTTTTTTTGTTCTGTATAGCAGAACTCGATGATTTTACCAATTTAGGTCTTCATTTTTATTATTCCGTAATTTTTGAGATAGACTCAGTTTGAAAATCAAAATTTGATGAAAAGTAATTTTTTGTTCCGCATTGTCGTGCACTTTTTATTTTCTCCAGCCTAAACAAATTTATTTTGCGAATTCGTCCATTTTCAACTTTTTTCTCAAAAATAAAATTTTCTATGCTTTTCGAAAGTTCAGGGAAAGTTTCCCTCGGAATATTCGGCACTCCGAAAAAATAAATATTTTTCAAGCTATATAATGTTCCTTTAAACATCCCAAAAAGATATTTGGAAAGAAAAAAAACTGAAAACCTTAGTCTTCATAAAGCCTCATGATATGTATACTTCCAGGTTAAATACTTTACCTTTAATCCGTTTTTGTTCTCATTCGATTTCGGCAACTCTCGTGGGGCGCGCCTCGATTGAATTAATTGCTTCTGAGGGCAGAAACAAATGAAAAAAGCAAACGACAAACAGTGGAAATTCAATATGTTACAAGGAAATGGGCATGACATGCATCAAGCCCCCGTTTTTCGCCTTTTCATCAAGTTTATCGATCTTCGCTTCTTTTAGCATAATTAATTTGTTTTGAGAAAAAATTAAGTTTGTTTTTTTGATAACAAGGAAGCTTACAATTTTTTCTACAAATTTTTCAGCAATCATATATATATTCGTTTCTAAAATTCCGTACAAAAATTGTTTTAAAGGAGCATGAACATATTTTATAAAGGTTTCGAGGCGGAGAGCCTTTCTGTGCTATTTCAGAGAGTTAGAAGTTTTTGCGATTTTTGCCCAGGGAAGATTTTTGAATAGTTTTCACGGAATCTGTTGATCAGGACAAAATTAAAACACGTTTTCACCGGAAATAGCAGGAGTTTCATTCTGATTTTCACGTATACAGACGATATTTGGCGTTCTCACTCTTCAAAAAATATCTACAGGCTGTGATCTTTAGTTTTCCTGATCAAAGTTTCCTGAGCTCTCTAGTTTCCTAGAACGAAAATCACAAGCAAAAAACCTGGCAGTGTCGTCTTTCAAGAAAAAATTTGGTTTTCTAGGCATTCAATTCGGAACTAATGCAGCTTTCGACTCATCATTTTAGCTCTGATTCTTGATTTTCCGCTCATGATTTATTTTTCATAGGTTTTGAAAGGATCAGCCTTTGAATTTCGTCCAAAATCGAAGTAGCTTTAATTTAGGCCACGCCCATTTACATGGCCTTTTCGAGCAGTTTAGGGGACTTTCGAAAAATGAATTATATAGCTATAGCTATAATATTTTCTTCCTTTCATTTTTTTTTCTTTTTTTTACGTAATTGGCATTATTTCATAGCGTAAGTATTAGACTTTCGATCTTGTTTAATTCAAAAATTATGTAAAGAACTAGAAATAGCTTCGCTTCATTCTTTCCGAAGATTTTTTTTTCGAATTTGTAAGTTAGGAATAATTTTCATTAACGAGAGCCTTCTTAAAATGAACAAGCTTTTTAATCTTGCAAATCCATCTAGTTTGTTGGTTTTTTTTTTTGAGCCATTACTTAAATCAACTAGGAAAGATTTTTAAAATGGAAAAGCATATCTATAAATTAGGGTGAATTGAAAGAAATATGAAATCTTTTGATCGATTTTTAAAGGAGCGGAATGAAATTTTCATGAAGACCTTGTAAAATATTGCCATGATATCACCAAAAAAAAAAAAATTTCAAAAAGTGACCTTTCCACACATTTCATGACACTTGGCTTCAAAAAAAAAAAAGTGGAAAGTTTGAATTCATTGAAACTTTAGTTTAAATACGAAAAATGGAATTGGAACAAATCCAAGTAAATGGTTGACGTTCATTTCCTCATCATCATCATCTTCGTGGCGAAATGTCCTCTGGCCATTGTCGTATTTAATGCGCTCGGTTGCCCTGTTCAACTGGCTCGGGACCTCCCTAAAAGCCGTCCGTTCTTTCCATCGTACTTCTCCTTGTTTCTTTCCATTCCTTCGGATTTTATTTTATTTCAGTTTAGATATTTTTTTACTAAAAAGCAGTATTTTATAACGTACTTTTGACATATCAACGAAAGGATGTGGCCGAAAACCCAGAGAACTTGTTAGTTTCAAAATCGAAAATAAAATTGAGTACCAGCCTGAGCCGTTAATTTCGTCCAAGGGGTCACTTGGAAATTGCTACAACTCCTCAAGTGGTCTATCTACTTTCTGAAAATTTGTATTTCGAACATGTGTTCCTCCGTTTTCTCTTTTAAGATAGCAAAAAAAAGATTTATGCAAATCGAGTCATGAAATTTGCCACGACCACAGGAGGTTAGAAAAAAACCGCATTCTGACGTTTTTTTCTTGGTTCATTTTTTTCGTCAAAAAAATTTGAAAAAATGAATTATCTTTTTAAAAAGAGTTGTCGTGAAATCGAGGCGTGCGATATGAATAAGTATTGAATTATAGAAACAAACTTTATTTGAAACAAAAACATTTCATTTTCGACAGAAAAAAAGTCTATAGTTAATTATCAAGTCAGCCATTAGCAAAGACGATATTAAATAAGTTTCAAAAGAAGGGTTCAAAAATATTTCATTTCAGTCTTTGAGGTCTTTTTCAAAATCCTATTCGATGTTTTGTTTGTAATTTTTTTTCTTACTGATTTTCCTGCGTTATTTTCGCCATTTGACAATGTTTGGACCAACAAAATATGCCACTTCAGGGGTTTCTAACACAAATTTATTGAAAGAGTTGGACTCGCGAATGTCGACGACGACTCTGACCTACGGGTCGACACTTTCGACCCTCAACCGTCGGAGAACCGAGCCGAAACGCAAGAATGGTCCATTCTCGCCCAAACGCGACAGGGCTTTCTCCATGTTTACGGTCCTTTTTCCATCGATTGTTCTAGGAAAATTGGAAGTCTCTCAGCTTTTCTTTCTGCAAATCTCATTTTTTTATTCATCGGGATATGATGTAAAAAAAGGTGGAAAAAAAACAGCAGCGTATAAAGTCGCGTGATCCTCATGAGCCTCTGAAAATCAGTTTTTTAATATTTGTTAATTTTTGCCGAGTTTCTCCATTCTCCCCGTTTGTAGCATTTCTCTTTCATTTTCCATATTTTTCAAAGACTTTCTTAGTCACACACACAAATTCCTTTTGGACTCTTTGTTGATGTATTTCCACCTGGATTTCCGAGAAATTGGTCTTGTACTGGCGGAAGAGCGTGGGAGTGTCTCGTGACTTGTTCTTAGCCTCCGTCTGAAGATTTGCACAACTTTTTTTTTCCAACGATCGCTTCCATGCAAATCGAATTTTGGTCGAGTTATGATGGATGGAAAAAACAAAGGATTCTTTTCGTAAACCCAAAAAGAAATGGGCTGACGGTATGGCCGTGTACCACGACTTGGAATTTCGCGGAACGACATTCCGCTGTGCCGCTGCGCCCCTTTGCGAACCTTTGGTCGCGCTTTTTTTTAAGGTACTCCACTTTCATGTTCTCCCACAGCAATAAAAATCTATTGGAACCTATATTTGGAAGACGGTTTGCAAACGCGGGCATCGGAACAGCGGAATGTCGTTCTGTGAAATTTCAAGTCGTGACACACAGACTATAGAAAAAATTAATTATTATAGGGGTGTGTGGTAGTGTAAGTTTTCTTGTTTAGTGAGTATCAGGTTAATTGTGATTTTTGAAGTTGCAAACATATCAATAATGTTTTGAAACCGGAGTGCAAAGCATCCCTTTTCACTCACATTTAACCCCGAAATTATTTATTTTTCAAAGGTTTTTCCTTCACAACTGGGCAACCATGGACATTTGAATTTTTAGAATCAATATATCAGTGCTTAATATAAGTCTGATAGTTGAGATGAAGAAGTCGGTTTCAAAATGTCACCCGAAAATGTACGAATTCAGGTTTCTTCGGACATCCTACGTGTTTCGGGCTACACCCAACAGTTCCGGAGTCTTCTGACGGCCAGATTCTCCCCAAGACGAGAATCTGTTCCCAACGTGCATCTGGAGCACGAGGAGGACGACGAGATCTGTGGTTCGTTCCTTTTTTTTTAGTTTCAGGACATTTTGGCGCAGTCTTTGGGAATGGAACTCTGGATTTTTAAAATTTTCATACTTACTGATCTCAACAAAATTTTTTTGATCTCACATTTGAAAAAAAAATTTTTTTTTAAGTTGATCCAAATTGAATCAAATAAAGAGAAAAACAAGAAGCGAGTCAAATAAGACACGATCTTTATTTACACCTTCTCAAATTATATTTCAGTCATATCTTGAAAAAAATTCACCTGCCTTTATGATAAAATTGGAACTTTATGATAAAAAAATAAAAGCAAAAATTCCATGAGACTTTGCTGGCAAATATTGAAAAGAATGAACTTGTTATACTTGGAAATGTAGTTTGAACTGGGTTCAGAACTCACTTTTTTGTTGAATTTGTAGGGAAGTTTTGAAAAAAAAAGCAGGAAAGATAGCTTCTGAAAAATATTCAAAAATCATATTTTTCTCGTTCTTCTGAAGTAAAGTCAATGAGGGCAGAAACTAGAAGCGAACTTGTGACCTTTTTGACGATAGACGCGATCCCAAGCCGCTGCGCTGTAGTCCATTTTCTGAATCTTATTCGATTGCAGTTCATATCTCACACTTCATACAGAATTCAAGAACTTCAAGGCGCTTTTTATTTTTAAAGATTTTTTACCAACTCTGGAAACTTCTGGACTCTAGAATACTCTACGAATCTTCAATGGATGAACATTGAACCTTGGAATTTCTACAAACCTGACGTGAGAAAACAAAAATTGGAGTGAAATTCGAAACGACGGTGTGATGGAATAATCCACTGAGTGGGCCAAACGAACCAAGAAAGAGCAAATAATTATAATAAGTGACAGGAAGACGCTTTTTTGACGTCGTGTGTAGGTCTACCGAGAAAAAAGAATTTTTTTGTTCTTGGAAACATTCTTCGGAATATTTATAAGCGCGTGAAGATAATTTTATTGGAATACGAAACAATTTGTCATGATTGAAAATTTATAGTTTTTTTTAAAGTCGCGGTATTTTTTTAAAGAATCGAAAATGAATATGGATGATTGGGCATACTTTCATCAGAAAAGCTGTTACACAAACGAAAATGGCTGAAAGGATTTAGTAATAAAATTTTTTATACAACATCAAAAAAATGGTAATTATCCTTGCAAATGCGCTCTATTAAACAACCTGAATTTTTCTCCAATACTAATCTTCAAAAAAGTTTTCGGTTCAGCGCATTCTTCACCCACCCACCACTTTTAAGCTTTTTCCTTCTTTTTACAATCCTTATCGGAATTTCCTTCCCTCTCAAGGGTTACCTCTTTCTTTTTACCTGAAATCCCTCCAAAAACAAGCTTATTTTGTCTGGAGTAGATTTTTGAGACTAATTAATTTTTCACGTTCGATTGCGAATATCACATAATTTTTTGCTGATTTTCTCACCGCCAGGTTCCCACAACGGCGAAGAAAGAGCTGAAAAAATCAGTTTATGATTAAGACTAGATTATTCATCTTCTTTTGAAAAAAGCCTTCTTTTGCAAATTTATAAAAAATGCAAAATGAAAATGGAAGGATAATTCAAAAAGCGGCGAATTCAAAGTAATTTAAGCCAGGGATTGAGGGCTATAAACGGTATTTGGAGGCGTCTCATTATGAGAACATGAATTCCTCCAAGAAAAATCAGCTTTTTGGGGGAGGTATCATTATCTTTATTTCGAAAAGTTTCCTTTTTAATTTTTTGAGAAAAATTTTCATGAGATAAGATTGTATGGAAGATTTTTCTTTAAAAAAAAATTAATTCTTTGTGAATATATTTGGATAATATCAGATATAATCTTCCATGACGACTGCCCCCGAACAAGCTCATCCGATCCGAGAACGCTTCTCGTGATTGAACGTCTTCAAGTTCCTTCTGCGGAGTATTATGATAATATTCTGTTCAAAACAGCTTTCTGGACCGTGCAAAGACGTGGATACTCAGCAAAACGAAGAATCCTGTGACGACTGTTTTTGTTTTGAGTCTCGGAAAATTATCATCTTGATTTATTTTTCAAAATTTTTTTCTGCGGGATTTAGTTTCGCTCCGATATTTTGTGAAGCTCACGAGCGCAAACTTTTTCAAGTCGGAGAGATTGTGAAGCATTTTGTAGCCGTTACACATCAATTCATTTACATGTTTATTCAGAGAAAAACTCGATATACCGTTTTTTTTTTTCAAATTCCAAGTTCATTCTTTGATTTATTAGGCAATTTTTGCGATTGATAAAACAATAGAACAAAAGCGACATGTCAGGATATCAGCAAAAATTCTCTTTTTTAAAAAAGACCTATCCTGCTTTTTTGAAACCTTCAAAGCAGTGGTGTGTGGAATATTAAAGAAAAACTCTCACAAAAAATAAAAAGTATTCTAGAAGCATGAAAGTTTTGCGAATATGTTTTCCTCCTCCAACATTCAGAAAAAAGAACCGGTTTTTTAAAAACTCTTTTCACGGAAGTCTAGCCTGAACATTTTTGAACATGTTTTTGGCTCCTCCTGTACTTTTTATCTTCATTGAGTGCGTATACTTTTGAATGAGCGGAACAGTAAAGAGCCTCAACAAATATCCGAAAATGTAATTTCTCAGCACCTCTGTGACGGCGGATATTGAGCACACGGACAGGCTTAAGCTACCTGGCGGCCACTCCCTCCCCAGACACACCCCCCAGGCTTGCGCGTTTGCATATGCGCTCGGCCGAGTCGACGATGCGACGATGACTTCGTCGACAATCTACGAACGACGTCGCAGCGAGCTGAAGCACCAGGCCGCGTCGCTGCCGCAGCACTCGCTTCAGTCGCAGCTTCCGCCGCCCTCGTCGCAGCTCTATTTCCGTCGGTCCACCTTGAATCCTTACTCTACCGCCTACAGTAATGCTGGGAAGTTCGCCCGCGTCGTCGCGCCTCAGAGGAGATTCAGTTCTGTCGATGCCGCCTTTCCGAATGCGATTATTAGAAGGAGCAGTTCGAAGAAACGACGCGAGTCTAAGAATGTTGTCCACATCTTTTCCAACCCTTGTAAGTTTTCATTTCGAATTTGAAGAGCTTCATTTTTTCAATTTTTAGATGGTTCACCTTGAGTACTTTTTAGAACAAAGCTTGAAAGTTAACGTACGAAAAGACGTTTTAGTGAGTATGCTGATCTTTACTGAGAATTTCGACTTGTGGTCGCAAGTCTATTTTTTAGGACCTGCGATTGAAAATTAGCAAGGGAGTCTTCAAAAAAACTTTCGTGATTTCTCGTAGTCGAATAATTTTATTTTTTTCTTTTTTTCGAATTTTTAAAGGAAGTCTTAGTTGTCAAAAAAATGACAATTTTTTTCGAAAAATTTCAAACGATGTGAGGAATGAAAAACTTCACAACAAACGGTTTTTACATCTTTTTTTCTTTCACTTTAGATTTTTTTATTGAAAAACTTTTTTTACATCGATTTCTACATTTTTTTGAATCGATGAAGTTTCTTTTTATTTTTTTCAAGCTTGAAACAGAGTTCATAAAATTCCTAAAAAAATAAGGAAGAAAAATTCCAAAAAAATTTGAATCGTTTTGAAAAATATTCTGTTTTTTTGCTTCATTTCATCATCGCGTTCCTCCAGGAAAAATGTTATTACCTCTTTTTAAATTGGTGCAGCGAGAAAAATGTTGTTTTTTTTTCAACTCTCAAAACGGAATTTTGAGAAAAGTTCCATTTCGTGATACTTTCTCGTTAACTTTTGAACAGTCACAATTTTCTTAAGTTTATACTTCTTGACCCGAATTTTAGCTTTCGAAAATCAATATTTTCTACCTCAAAACCTTTATGAGATTTGATTATGACCCTTTGAACTTTTGAGCACTTTGTAAGAACCTGCCTTTCTTCTTAAAGGTTTCCCGGCTTTTCCTGACCGGCTTCTTTTGCTTCATACTATTTACTTCCCTTATTCCTTTTTATTGCACGACCAGATTCGTTATCTCTAGAAATATTAATTTTTTTCGATTTTGAAGCAAGAATCTGAGAGTTTCTGATGAATCTTGTGAATCACAGGCTAAATGGAACGCATTCATCCATGGTCACGAGCCTTTTTTTCCATTGAAATCCAGTCAAATGACAAATTGGAGACAGAACATCTCGAAGGGAAGGGCGATCTAAAGTCTAGGTGTATTTCCGTCGTTTACCTTGTCATAATCCGGCATGTATCACCGGCAAATCCAGGCAATATATACACGATCGTGTCGATGAAGGTCTTCTCTGGGGGGATTTTCTTGTTTGTTTCCTCAGACTCTTCTTAGTTAATCTCGTTCCTTTTCCTGCGGCTTGAAAGTCGTCAAATGAAACTTGTAATGAGAGATGGCCGGAAACATGATATTCGTCTCTCGTTTCTTTTTTTTTCTCCTCTCACTTAATCCTTTTTGGGAGCTCGTCGGGTCAAGCGAAATTAGTGGGAAGTTTATAGAGAGAGTGGGAAGAATTTCAGAGCGATAATTACAATAATAATCAATATATTATTGAGCTGTCACGAAATACTTTTTTTTAAAGCTGGATAATGTGAAAAAGAAGCTTTTTCGATTTTCCGATCTTTCTTTTTAAAAAAAAGAGTTTCAATGTTTAGATTTTCGAAGAAAAACTTGTTTTCATTGAGCTAATGCGCTTCTCTCTCGTTTGGATGATTCAGGAGAAAATAGTCTGAATAATGATTTTTTTTTTCCTTTTTAGTTTTAAACTTCATGGAACGCGCTAGGCTTTCGGAAATTTGAATATGTGGCCGCCTTATTTGTGGCGAAAAAATTTTGAAGGGTTTATATAAAAAATTAAGATACAGATTTGGTCTTCCCTTTGTGTTGAAAGTGTTTACCCATCAAAAGCCGATCTTTGCCTGGCTTTTATCTTTTGTTCTTTTGTAACGATGACATTCATCCAGGTGGGCGGCTTATTTTCATGGAGCTTAGCCAATAATCCCAAGAGTCTGGCTTATATTATCAAATATCCTTGACCTTTCTCCATACAATATGTCAACTTTAGTTCTTTTTCATTACGAGCAGATTTTCATGAAGCTCTTATGTTGATACTACATTTTATGAGGCTCATTTCCGACCTCATAAGGACAGAATATCCGTCAGATTCTATTCAAAATGATGCGATTTTTCATTTTTCCTCCAAAAAGCTAAAGGAAGTCAACATCATGGCTGAATGGGCGTGTAATCAGTGATGACGTAGAGAAAACGTTTTTCTCTCAATCAGTTTAATTTCAGAAAAAAAAGTGCAGAAAACAAGGATTTTCGAGGATACCAGCTCATGAGCTACCGTAGAAGCTTTCCTCACCAAAACAAAGATAAGCTTCCATCTTTGAAGGATTTCATTTTAAGCCTAGAATAACAGAAAAACACTCGAAAACAACCTATTTTGTTGGAAAAATCGGACCAATTTTCAAAAAAGAAAAACTACTGAAACGGAAAGAAAAAGTTTTATGCTTATCACAGAAAGTTTGTTAGGCCGACTTGAAGCCGTCGACGCTTCATTTGAAAACTTTGAAAGTTTTCTTTGAAAGTTTTTCAAATAGAACCACGCCGCGACCGCAAGCCATTCTCCACGCGACCAAATCGCAGGGAGTGGAGATTAGACGTTGTTTCGAGCTTTGTGGTCAATAAGAAGATTTTTTTGAAACAATACCAATTTTTCGAAAAAGTTATTCCAAAAAAAGTTTATATACTAATTTTTTTCACAATTAAACAACCTGACCTTTTTCGTATCTCCTATTGTTTTTTTCAAAAACTGAAAAAAATAAATGAAGAAGAGAAGTATTCTATCATTTTATATAGTACAATTTCGATCAAAAAAATTTCGTGGCTTTTAAAAATATATTTATTTTTGCCAATGGTCAGAAATGTTAGATTACGTAGAAATTTCCTTTCATTCCCGATTCTTTATGGTGGATTTCATGACTCCAACTCAATTTCGGATCAAAATCTTCATCACGAAAAATTGAACTGAATTGAATAAATTTTTGAATGCATTTTTGCTTTTTTCTTAAACTTTTCAAGCCAAACTCTAGAAATAACAAGCTTGGCGATAGCTACTATGAGAATTTGAAGAGGTCTTTTGAGAGTCGAAAACTTTTTTTCCCATTCTAAGGTCTTTCAGATGATTTCCTTTTTGCTTCTTCATAAATATCAAACTTTTATTGACTCGTGAAATTCGGGATGCCTCAGTGGCCATCTTGTCGAATTAAGCCGTTTTTTAAGATCTCATTTAGTGAAAGAAAAAGAGATTATTTCAGTTATTGTTTATAGTTTGATCTACCTCATCTCAAACTGACCTTCTTTGTGAGTACCTTTCGGTCTTCTTCTTCGGTCTTTTTCTACTTCAAACCTGAGAAGACTCCTCGAAACCTTCTCCTAATGAGGCCGAATTTAGACTTGTTGATTTTCGAGTTCCGACTTCAAAAAAAGTTATCCAAAACGCGTGATCTGCCTCATTTCAATGAAAGCCATCTTTTTTGTTAGTAACTTTTGGCTTTATTTAACGAGCTCCAGCTAAACCGCTTCCCAAAATCTTTTGCTAATGAGGCCGAAAGTTTGGCAAGTCATTGAATTTGGACTGTGATGGCGGTGGCTGTAAATAGACGTCGTCCATGGCAACGACGGAGGCTGGCGCCGCCTCAGACGCCTCTTGTAGAGGAGGAGGAGAAGGCCCGCTTCCGACCCGCAGTCTGACTCGATCTGCTCGGCACGGATTACGGTGGTCCGACCTCCTTGCGGAATTGCATGCACTTTCAATGCGTCATGACCGCCACCTTCGTCAGTCACTGTAATTTCGTTACTCGAGGTTCGGCTATTTTTATTCTTTTTGAAGTTTTTGAACAAGTTTCATCTTGCGTCTTCAGGTTTTAATTAACGGTTTCTCGCCCATTTTTGAAGTCTTATTTAATCGTCTGATTTTTTTGACTTGTCTTGTCATTTGTATGCAATCTCTTACCATCGAAAAATCAATATGAGAATCTGAGTTGATCTGCAAACTTTCAATCGATAGCTGCACGTTGCAAAAGTCACTGAAGAGGTCCCATTTTGTTAGCTGAAAAGTATAAAATTTGACGTAACCTCTGCTGAATCAGTTAACCAAAAAGAGTTTACGGTTTCTTCAATTTTTATTGCAAAGGTAATGATCCTACAGTTTTTTGAACGTTTTTTTTTTATTAAATTCAGCAATGATTCAACTATCGGCCTTAAAAGAGTGGTTGTATCTTTTTCGAAGAATCACCTGTCAAGTTTCGAGTTTGAGGTTAAGGTATTCGTAGTAAGTTCAGGATTTATTTCAAAATGGGAAAGGATTATTGCATTGGAAGAAAGATTAGGTTTTAATTCGATTTCCGTTTCACCTTTTTCAAAATTTAGATGTCGTGTTGAAAACGAGAAGCAAGAGATAAAAAGATCTCTCAACTTTCAAAAAGATCTTTTTTAGCTCGCTCGAATGAACCTTTATTTTACAAAGTGAAGTTAAAAATCTAATAATTGCTTATTTTTTTCTAACCAGGGTTTTAGTCTCGAAACTTTGCAAAAAGCTTGATTTCTTCTCATTTCTAAGTATTTCTGACTCACAATTCGTTCCTGAGTTGTAAAACGTTTTCACCAGTTTTTTCAAACATTTTTTTTACCACTACCGTAAACTGTTTTCTCACACTTTCTCACAGTCGGAAATCAGAGAGAACCGCTTATCAATTCGCACGAATCTTTCCATATTCTCACAATCCCAAAGTACAAATACCGACCTCCTAGGCTCTCTGATGCGAAATTTTGGAAAAAAAAAACGGCTCTCAAGAAATATTTCTATTAATTAAGAGAATTTTACTTTATCTAGATGAACTTTGTTTTCTGGAACTTGAAGTGCCTTGAAAACAAAAGGGTCAATATTAGAATTTCAGTTTTCAAGGGCCAAAACGGAATGCGACATTCCGTTCGATATAATGACGTTCAGAGCCATGGAATATCGATTATGTCATCATTTTTCGCATTTTCAAATGGTCTTTTGGAATTAGGTTTCTTCTTTTTCAACTCGAACCTCTTGAAATCTCCTTTTCCAGACTTTTTGGGGAGTTCCTTTTGTTCAAACATACATTATACATTTATATTTGGAACGAAATACATTTGCTCAGTCAGATATCGTCATTCCAAGTCATTTGATACCTCTTGGGTAAATATTTTAGGTTGAAGGCTTTTCCCAACATTTTCATTGCAAAGAGTCGATTGAGGGAGAAATAAACTTTTTTGGAGAAATTTTTAACAAAAAAAAACTTCAGTCCGATCAGGATCAAAGTTCAGAAATCCTTGTGTTTTCTTTGATATTTTGGCTTCTTTTTGAAGGTCAAAGTTTCAATTTTATCCATTCTGAAACCTGTGAAGCGTTTTAGCAAACTACGTCTTTGATAGGCTCATCAAAAAATGGGCGTGACTGGCCAATTAGATTCAGACATTTTTGGTTCTTTGGAGCTCGATATCAATGATTTTCGAATGAACTACCGATTGGAAAACGCTGTCAATCTAGGGAAAAGAGTTTTTTTTTGCAAATCAAATTTTTGAAAATGCGTGTCTTCCCATCTCAAATTAAGTTCCTTTTTCTTGAAAGTCATGTTAGGTAATTTTTTTTATGAGAATAAATTCTGAAAATTTTTGTAGTACTCTTATTATTTTTACTTTAAAAGAAATGAGTTAGCTGTTTCGAAAGTTTAATCTTTTACAGGCCTTTATTCCTAAAGTAGCCCCTTTATCTTTTCTTGAAGTCTGTTATCCATATTCGGAGAAGGCTGTGATTTTCCGCGAAATAGCGCAAAAAACGGATAGATTTTTGAATATCTACAGTTTTGTTTGTATTTCTAACACAAAACATTGGCGAATGGAATATTCTATGAAGTTTCCAACTTCCATTTGGACTTCTCGGCCTTTATAAGCTTAGAGTTGGCTCCTTCCTGGGCCAATATTCGAACATCAAACAGATGGCAGCTTAAACGGCCAAGGGGTGGGAGTTTTGGTGGCTTTGCGCCAAAGCCGCCGCCCCAAAAAAGGAAATGTCGTCCTCAATTGGGGTTTTTTGTGCCGATTTCGCGTCCATGCTCCTTCGGTCAACCATCGAGTTCTACGCGACGCTTTTCGCGAGTCTTAAAGGTCCATTTCTTTGATCTTCCGTCGCTTTCTAGGTAGATAGCGTTCTCTAGCTCAGTTTCCCTGCGAAAAAGGTTTTTTTTTTGAGATGGAAGTTTCTTGTAGATTTTTGTCTAGAATGGATAGACATTTGAAAACTGCGGAATGGTTTTTTTAAGTCGCGCGCAACCAAAAACGACTTAAGTAAGCTGCTCTGTGTCAAGTCGGTTGGAAACTCGAACCATTCTGAACTTTCAATCTCGAAATTTTTTCGCTTCACCTTACCTATCATATCATTCGATAAGATTCGAAATTTATCGGTTGATTATCTAATAATCAAAAAAAAAATTTCACGCATTTTCTTTATTGAACAGTCTTTTGTTCATGTTGTGATAAGTTAGCTGTGAAAAGAATGAAAAAAAAAAGTTCACACATTTTTTGAAGGAACTGAAAATGATTGTGTAATCCTTCAGATGAACGGTACGTCAACGGCGGCGTTCGATTCGAAAATGACATCATCGAGGAAGGATCCAAGTCGAAAACCCTCGGCCAGTTGACCAAAATTCGAAGGCGGCAAAGTGGCGGCTACGGTATCTCCATCAGTAGGTGAGCACGAAGAACTGATCAAAGACGCACTTGGAATGGCTCGACGCGTCCGACACTAAACGGCTTGTGCACGGCACCACAAATGATGACACTTCATTCCAACCGCGACGCTTTCAGCCATTCCTCGTGCGTCCGTGTTATTTGAAATCACAAGAGATCAATTCGTATATCCAAAAATAATAGAAAAATTTGTTCTGGTTTATTTTCTCGTTATGTTTTTTGATCCTTCGGGAGCATTCTCATAAGAAAATAAAAAGCGAACTCACACTTGAAGATGAAAGTTTGGGAGTTCGGAAACTGCTCCCTCAGGGCTTGTCAATTTCTCGCCGCTGTTCCGTTGAAAATTGCTTCGGGTTTACAGCTTTTTTCAGAGACAACGGGTTCTGATTCAATGGAGAAATATTACGGGATTCGGATTCTTAAAAAGATGGATGGGATTTTTCCAATTATTTCAAGATAATTGGTCAAATCTAAGAGATATAAAAAAATTTATCAGTTGAAATCTTGAAGAAAAACTTGCTTTTTTTAGGGCCATCTGGATATTCTTGAAACTGTTTTTGATTGTTCAAAAAGTGTTCAAACATCTTCCTTACAAGCCAATATTTTTCAAAATATTTTTTAATAAAGCTTCGCCTCACTAATGAAAAACAGTGATGCTTGACTGATTTTTACGCTTTTTTGTCATTTTCTAAATTATTCCCCAAGCCTAATCAATCTTATGGCGAGTAAAACGTCGTATATTGCAGTCCATTTCTTCTCATCACTTTTTTGCATATTGGCGAAATATATGCATTTTATTCAAAAAGTTTGTACTGCTCTTTCAAAGACCTCTCGCTGCTTTAATAAGTACATCGAGAAGAACCGCCTTCTTGGAGCGTTATTTTTGGCCAAGACTTCTTTCAGGAAAATTTTTGAACAGGCTGCATTTGGGAAAAAATGTTTTCTTTTGGTTTCTCACCCAATTTTCTGAAAAACTTCAGTTTTTTTATTCGGTTGAAAATTCGGTTCAAAGCTATCCGAAAACCAGAAAAACAACTATTCGGCAATTGAGAACGTGCGTGTGAAGAACAGATTTGGGAAGAGCGAAAATTGAAATGTTGTCCTGAACGATTACTCGTTCTGTTTTTCTTTTCTTTTCGGAACACTGCACCTCATTTGTTTCGAAGCTAATAGTTCCGCGTTTCTCGTTAGAAGCCACCAGGTCATTCCTCTTAACTTCTTGGCATTTCGAATTTTCCTTTCTTAGTTTACAGCTCAATTCGCAGTCGACCTTTTGGGTTTTATGAGAAATATAGAGGTTTTTTTCCCCTGAAATTCATAGAAAAAAACAAAAAAAATGTTTGCAGTTTTTTGAGGCAGCTCCAAGCGAAAAAGCCATAGAGCTGTTTCATTGTTCTGTGTTTAGAAGCACTAGTGAGAATTCAGCAAATTCTTAAATTAGGTCTATTTTTCTTCTCATTCCGCATTTCATAATTGATGCTCTGTTTGGTGAAATGCTCCGAAAAAGCCTCGAAATTTGATCTTATCCGTATTTTGACCAGATCAAACGTTTTTGCCTATTTATTTATTTATCAGATTTGATTCAGCTTCGCTCAATTTTTTTGATCATCAGGAAATTTGAGATACCTTTACTTCTGCCCAAAAGATTTTTTCGAGAGTTTAAAAAGCTGCAAGAAAGTAGATTCATAAATAATATGAACGGGCGGTCTTTTGAAACGGCTTTTTTTTTAGGTAAGCAATGGATTAGAGAATCGGGAAACTGCTTCTCTTGAGAAAAAACTGGGAAAAAGAGACTTCAAGAAAGTTGATATAAACGGTTGGAAGGCAAAGTTTCAACTTTTCCAGTAAGCTTTTACCTTTCCAGTTCACCTGAATGCCTAATTTTTGACTTGAGAAAGGTGAAAAGGAGATAAGGACAGGTGGAAAAGCTGACGAAAAGTCACCTCGAAAGCCTCAAGTCTTCACGTTCTACCAACTTTCCTTTTTTGCCCCAAAAAATTATTGGAAAGACTGGTTAATGGCATTTCGAGTTGCTCTCCTCGTGCTCTTTTTATTGCCCCCAATCGACATCGTTTCATTCTTCATCTTTTATTTATTTCCTTCTGTTTTGCTCTAATTCCGTGACAAACTGGGGTTCTTTTGGTCTTTCAGCTTGATTTATGGCCTAGTAGAGATAAGAAAAATTAGCATAGGAGCGCAGTTGCGTCAACTTTTTTGCTTTTTCGTTGCGTCAATCACTTCTCAGCTACTTTTGGGCCAATCTCTACTAACTTGGCAAATGAAAAAAAAATTAAAACACCCATTGAGCAGTGAAGTAGTTTTTCTCAGCTTTTTGAGGCTATTTCTTCTTCTGCTCAGCTTTTTGCCACACAGAGCTTTTTCACCAATTGTGGTTTTTTTCCCAAAATGTTTCACCGTATTTCTTCGAAACTTTTTTTGAAACTTGAATAATTTTTCATTGAGTTAAATTTAAGCTATCTCAATATTAAACTTGAATTTTTTTCATGATTTTGGAGCTGTTAAGCATACGTTAACACTTCTCTTATCACGTGAACCTTCGAAAATGCTTGAGAAGTTCAGAAACTCTCTTTATTTAAGACCATTTTGAGGAAAAAAAGTCAGAACCTCTTTTTTTCAATATTACGGACTTTTTGAGCATCTGTTCTTCAAGCTAAAAGTTACCTCAGGCTTTTTTCATGACAAAAATGTTTTTATTAACAAATGTACTTTGGTTTTTGAATCGAAAAGGTCTGATTTTCCTAATTTCTGAAATAACGCAGTAGGATCATACCATTTTCTCAGTCTGATCAAAAAATTTGTGGCTGGGAGCTGAAGAATAAAAAGCAAATGTGAGAAAGTTAAGCCGCGCAACTAATGAGAAGCAGCTTTCTCCGATCAAACAACTAATTAAAGAGATAATTAGCCGACGCTTAATTCATTTTTATGAAATGATTCGACTTGAGAATAACAAAAATATTTCATAGACGAATTGGTTCTTTGAGAATTCAGATGAAGAACGAAGAGAGAAAGATTTTTGCTCGTAAAGATTGAGGACTTCATTTTTATTCTATTTTTGCTCCAAAAATCTCTATTTTTGATCTTTTTTTTTAGTTTGACTTGAATTTAAAAAACCAGCTATTTTCCACAAAAACTTCTTTCTACATTTGGAAAGCTGAAAAAGAGATCATCTGAACTAAATTTACGAGTTCAGGCTCTAATAAAAGGATGGGTAGAAAAAGATGAATGCTTATTTATTAAGACCATGTTTCTCAATGTGTCTCGCAGTTTGAGTCAAAATCGAAACGCGACGGCGAACGAATCAGAATCCATCACTCGCTTTTTTGCCTTGATTTTTTCCGGCTTGTGGAGAGAATTCATTTGTTGGCCGCCACCTGCTGGACGTCAAGGAGTGCTCTCCGCCCTCGGCTTCTGCGCCCGCCTTCCTTCCGCGCACCTCATTTCCTGACATTTTCCCTCCTTTCCTACTGTTTTTCTGGCACCAAACGTCGACATGTTTCTATTCTGGTGGCTGCACAAAGACCTTCAACGCATACTGTAGGCTTTTGTTGGTCTTGACTGGATTCGGAAGAATTTTATGAGGGAATCTTGTGAAATATTCTTGTGGGGGCTTCGTGGTTTGGTTTTATTGCTCAAAAAAGCCCCGGGAAAAATTTAACTTAAGATACAATTTTTTCTAAAAATAAGCCTAAGATAGTGATGAAAAAAACTCATTTTTCTTTTACGAATTTTATATTTTAATAATTTTAAAAAGCCATAAAAAAATTCTCCTTTTTCGGACTTGATCGTTGAGTAGTGAAAAAAAGAATAGATAGTTTTTGAAATGTGTGTTTCAAGCAGCTATTTTTTTCCATTTTAATCAGATTTCAAATTACAATAACCTTCCATCAATGCATAAGGTAAGTGAAGCAAAAAAAAATTGAGTCAAAAAACAAAAAAAAAAGTGGAAAAATTATCTTTATATTGTTATTTTTTTCCCAACACCCTTGTTTTTTGCATTGATTCGTATAGAGGAAATTCCATTCTCGCTTCTAATCTTATGTTTTTCTCACATTTTAATGTCTTTCTCTTAAGCTTATCGAATTGTCGGCGGTGATTAGCCGGAGGTGGAATATTTTGGGAGCAAATTTCGTTTTAGCCAAGCCGTCGGCCAATCGCATTTAGTCGGACCACTTGTTCCCTCTGATGGCGCTTCAAAATCCCAATATTTTTCCTCTTTCCTTTCAATATTATCCCCATTTTTTCTCAGAATTCAATGATTTGGCTAAGCAAATTGGGGGAAAAAAAAAATTGAATTTCTAGATATTACTATCGACTTGTTTTTTCCATCTTTTTCGCGTGATAATCAACTACAAAGGAGCACTAATTGTCTGGATTTTTCCAGAGAAAAAAAGACCTCTCTCCCATTTTTTTCTCGCCAAATCCATTTGGAATAGAATGATAGCTTCTACTCATTGATTAAGAAGAAGAAAAAGGGCATTGAAGAACGAAAATAATTCTAGTATATATTCACCGAGGAGGCAATGTTAAAGATCGAGCAAAAAATAGAAAAAAAAAGTTTGACCGCAGATGTTTACACTCGAGGATTATGTATAAATACAAACTAAAAAAAAAGTGAAAACCACATGAAATCTTTGGTTACTTTTTTCAAAAAGAAACTTGAATTTTACAGCGACAGCACGGCAAAGATGCGCTGCCGGCTGCGAAAGCAGCTTTTCATGCGGCGAAATCGGGTCAGTTTTGAAATCATAAAAAAAACCTGAATTTGTGCTTTAAAGTAATTGTTTTGAGCGCGAGAAAAAAACATTTTCTTTAAAACTAAAAGAAAAAGCCTGGCGACTGAAAAATTTTTTGCAGACTTTCTCATTTTTTTATCTAGAAAACTTCTTGAGGATTTTAAAGTTGCGCAGAAGAACTTCCAAAAGATATCGAGGCGAAGAGCCGTTAAAAGGCCACTCTAGACTTCTGTGCCTTTAAAAACCGCAGAAATGATTTTTTTTTTTTTGAGTAAAAGCAACTCGGTTCCAAAATTTAATTAGGTTAGTCAAACCTTCAAAAAAAGTTTTTTTTTCTTGGTTTATGAAGATTCATCACCTCAGCCTGCCTCAGGAATTTTGATGCGATCGGAAAAACTTTGAAAAAACATTTCGCTTATTGAAATGAAGACTGAAACATCAATATCACAACCCGGAACAAACTGAAAGAAATCTCAAGATTTTCTCGCTGATATTAAGAAAAGCCTCTTGTGCAAAGCCAATTATAAGTGCATTGAAAGGGCGAAACGTTTCGACAAAATGATCGATGACGTTAGTGAGCTCATGAATGTCGAATTGGACCGAATTCGTGTTGAAAATGAGCTTTTCGGAACGGAGAGCGAAAAAAATGGACGAGCAAAGTTCATCCATTTATTTGGACCTAATTTCCTATGAATGACGGCTGTTTCTTTTTTAGTATTATCTTCTCGCAAACAAGGAAATTAAGGGCACGGATGCTGAATCTGGAAATTTCCTTTTGATAAATCGAAACGAAGGATTTTTTCTATTACTGGATAGATACTTGATAAGATCAAGCACTCTCTCATTTTCTATTATATTGAAGAAAGAGAAGAAAAAACATCAGCCAATAAAAATATATTTCAAAAAAAAAACCGAACCGCCAAATTTCTGCCGAATCTTGATTTTTTTCTCTGCATTTCCGTTTTTTTATATGAATCATCCTCAACTCTTTCGTTTCCAGGTATGCGACGTATCGGTATTTCTTGCTTTTCTGGGCCTTGCACTGGTAATAATCGATTCCGAGTTGACTGCGCTTCCAGATCCTTTGGGCTTCACGAAGGTATGAATTAAGGTTTCTGTGAAAATAATTGTCACCTTTACCTGAAGACTTCCTACACATCGCTACTTTTGCGAAGTTTTTGCGTCGCGACGACATTCACTCTCATCGGTTGCCTTGTACATTACCACGCTATTGAGGTGATTTTCCACCTGATTCTTCCTTCACGGGAATCTTTTCCAGGTGAAAATAGCGCTGATAGACAGTGGGGCTGAAGATTGGCGGGTCGCACTCAGCACGGAACGAGTCTTCAAGTTGCTCATCGAAATCGCCGTTTGCATCGTTTGTCCTTTTCCCGGTGAGTTTCGAAAAGAGTCTGAAATTCCGGGAAATCTATATGAATTGTCTGAAAAAATATTCATTATAAAATTCTCTCTCATTTCTTCAAGAAGTCTTGAAGTCCTATTAGCGAAAAAAAGAATAAAGAAGATTAATTTGTTGCTAAGAGGCTATTTTTAACTTTTAGCTCAGAAATGATAATAATTGACAATTTTTTTCACTGACTACGGTATGAGGAAGATAAATAATGCATCTTAATCCCTTTCAAGTTTCTCACCAAAATCCTTTTTTGACTCATTTTCGAATCATTCTTTCCCAAAATTTGAGATTCTTCACGATATACGTTTTTATCAAGAGTTTTTTGATCTATCGCCAATAAGCAGAATTTCAAAATCTATAATTAAAATGATGTTTGTTGTCATCTGTACACCAGACTACAAAAATAATTGAAAAAAAATATTTTCCGCTGATTTTTAAGCTTTTCATCATTTTCTCACGCTTGGCGAGCAATGCTTTTCTAAATATAAAGTTGAGTTGAGTATTCCCTCGGATTTTCTTGAATATCAACGTTTTTTGCGTTGCTATGGTTTCACATGGCTCTTTGAGAAATCACGAATTCGAGAGATATTCGTGAAAGATAACCTGATTTGAAGGAGCGAATGTCGGATGTCAGCCTCGGACGGAGTTGAAATACTGAAGCCTTTTTTGGGTTGACTGAAAGTTCGTGAAAGATAGTGGAAAAACATTGAAGATCCGGAGTTTTTTTTTTCGTAATGCAGGAAATTTTGGAAGAATGGTTTTTATTCCGTTATTCACCAAATAGCAAAAGTAGGACGGGTTTGATCAAGGCGATGAAATGCGAATTGAAAGTTAACTGTCCAATATGCTAGTACTGGTAGAAATCAAAATTCCCTTGAGAACTTTTTTGCTGTTTGATCATTAAGAATAGTTGTAGGTTCGGGATCGATCGGAATGCCGTACATTGACTCGGATACGAGGAAAGTCGACATCAAGCAGGTCCCCGTGGATGTCCTGCTGTCCGTTCCGATGTTCCTCAGGTCCTACCTCCTCTGTAGATTCATGGTCCTGCACAGCAAACAGTTCCAGGTCGGTTGCAGAGAAAAATATTGGTTAAACCAGAAAATAGGAGATTTCCATTTGTCATGAGTTCAAGAGAAAATCATAAATTTTTTTCTGCAGGATGCGGCAACACGGTCGATAGCCGCCCTGAACAGAATATCGATGGATTTCCGATTTGTCATCAAAACAATGATGGCGGATCACCCCTTGAGGGTTCTCATCGTCTTCACTCTTTCCTACTGGATCTGCATGTCCTGGATGTTCACCCAGTGCGAGAGGTATCGAAGAATTTAATTGAAATATTCTTTTTTCTATTCTCGTTCGGTTTATTTTTAATTGCTCGAAGACTATTGTTGCGAGAAAAAAAATGGAACGACTAGAAAAAATAAAATAAAAGCTCCCTTGCTTCCCCTTCGAAATTTTCTATTATACTTCCTCATCTTACTGGAAAATACATACAACGAAAAAACTCCCAGGAAAAGTTCGATCACTAAAAAAACTCTGACGCTCTCAACTTTCGCTTGTACGCTAGAGTGGTAGTAGATTGGCTCTGAATATCTTCGATTTTGTTCAGTTCGCTGATCTTCCCTATTTATTGTTTTTTTTTTCTGAGTAAAATTTTCGTAAATTGAGGTGCACGAAAATAAAAATTGTTTGTACAAGCAGTATATCAATTCCAATAATCGAATCGAGATGTTTCCAGATTCGACGGGAAACTTGAAGTCGAGCACTATTACCTCAACTCGATGTGGTTCATAATGGTGACGTTCATGTCGATCGGATATGGAGACATCGTTCCCAATACCTACTGCGGCAGAACCTTGTCCATTACCACGGGAATCGTCGTGAGTTTGCAGACTTTCGTTTAAAAGAAGAGTTTCGACTCAATTACTAACTATATTTCCAAACGAAAACGAAAAATAATTGAAGTTTCAGTTATTACGAGAGCAATTGAGTTTATATAAACAGTTACCCCAAATATTTTTATAATTTGTTTTTCAGAAACTATTTTTTTCCCTTGGCCGGTCACGCCTTTGAAATTTCCAAAAAAAGAATGAAATAATGATAGAAATCAATCAAAAAAATTTTTAATGGACCTAACTTTTTTTATTATTGACGAGCCGAGAAAGAGTTATAGACTTTAGAATTTATGATATAAGATGGAACCCCTTATATGAAGTTGCCTTGAAGGGCGCCGGGGTCTCATCGGCTCTCATCGCGGTCATCTCCCGCAAGTTGGAGCTGAGTCGCGCCGAAAAGCATGTCAACAACTTCATGGCCGACTCGAAACTCACAAATCAGCGCAAAAATGCGGCGGCCAGCGTCTTGCAAGAGACTTGGTTGGGTTGATGATTGAGTTTCGATCGAAACTATTTATTTCTCTTCTAGGTTCATCCACAAATACAAGAAGGCGTTGCACAAGGGCGACGACCTGCGACTGCGACATCACCAGCGCCGATTCTTGCATTCGATCAACGAGTTCCGAAGAATCAAGTGGGACCAGAGGAAACTGCAGGAGAAGGGCAACTCTCTGCTCGATGTTGGAAAGGTAAGAGTCAAATGAAAATTGCAACGGACAAGGGAGGTCGTTCTACGTAGAACTGTTCAGTTGGCAATTTCCTGTAGTTTGTTCAGAAAACTCCTTTATGAATCACTACTTTTAGGGGTTTTCTTGAATTTGAGCATTTATTTCTCAAAAAATAGAAATTTTTGCAGGTTCGAAACTTTCATTATCTTTTCTGAACCAATGTGTTTTCTGGCCAATATTATTTTCCAACCGCAAAGTAAAATCACTTTCCTTGTGAATGACAAAAATGAGCCTCTCAATAAGTTTCCCAAGTTTCATAATTATTTCTAATAGCTTTAAAAAAAGTTACCTGCACTTCTTTATACGTCTCAGAAAGCTCTACAAAAGTCTTAATCCAAACTTTGTACGATTTAAAAACTTTCGTTTTTGGTAGGGAAGCTTAAGTTCGAAAAAAATTTCTGAATGGTTTTGAGAAAAAAACCTACAAAAAAATTCCAATATTTACCTATTTTGTTTCTTGAGGAAGTCGAAAAAGTTCTGTTGAAAATGGAATATCTTTTTAGGAAATAATGGTCGACATACTAGTTCTCATTTTAGTTGATCAAGTTAAAATTAGGGGAAAAGCTTTTTTTGATCAAAGGAAAAAATTGCGATATTTTCAGTTGCACTCGGACATGCACGAAACGCTGTGGGAGATGCACCGGACGCAGGACCACTTCATCGCCCAAATCGACATCCTCACACAGAAGATCATCGAGCTGCAGAACACGTTGTCGGCGCGACAGCCGTGCTGCACGGCGACGTCGCTGGCCCCGCCGTCGTCCTCGGTCCATCCGGCGACGTCTTCGGCCCCACTCCTCCACCACTTCCACGGTTGCCATCACCCTCATCACACGTCTCCGGGACCGCCCAGCATCCCGCGCATCTCCGTCGGCAACAACGGCAGCTCGTCGGGTCATTCGACCAACGGATCCCTGCCCCAGCAGCAGTGCTCCGTCGACCAGCACGTCTATCCCAATGTTACCACGCCGTTGATCACCTCCTTCGACGAAGTCTGATCGTCGTCGGTCTTGGAACAACTTCCTCTTTTTCTCGGCTAGCTTGTCCTCCTGAAGCTTATCGAGAAAGTTTCTCGTAAAAGCGGTTAAACAAATGGACCACTGTCTCTGAGAGACACAAGAGTTATTTATCAGGAAAATTATCTTTCCATTTCTGTGAAAACGGTTGACATTTTCGGTGATTTCCAATTTTTTTTCAATCTTTTTGAAACCTGTAATTCTTACGTTTTGGTACTGGATGTCTGTTGATGGCCCAATTTAATCTAAACAGTCTAGATTGTGATATTCTCTCAATTTTGTAACCGAAATTTTTCAATCTCTGACTGTGATTTGTTCTTTTTTTTCTTTTAATCTGCACTTTGTTTAATTTTTTTTGAGTTTCGATCAAGTTTAAGCTAGGTAAGCTTCTTCAAAGCATTGAAACACTTCCCAATTTGAATATCAAAATTTGAACACTTTCTTTCTGCAATATCTCACAGTTGTGATCGTTTTTTTTGCCTCCACTAACTTTCCAAGCTTTTAATTGCACACATATCTCGCAAACAGGGATAAGAAACGGCCGGTCGTTCCTTTTTCTGAAAGAAATCTTTACTATCTAGCTGTGAAAGCAAGAATTTTCTGTTATCCGGTTGAACCCCTGACACGAGTTGTAATTACACGTTTTTTTTCATACTTTCTTTGAAGATAAATATTATATTCGATAGAAATCTGATAGAAGAGAAAGTTAACAAGAAAGATCGTTATTTGCTCGAACACACTCTTACAGATGAAGATCCTTCATAGTGGCTACCTGTGCAAACCTAGAAAACATATCCTAACTAAAAGAGGCAAAGTGATAATAAAGGGGTCTCACTTAATTTGCGATGTACTCGAATTATGATACATCTTTATGTGGACTTCAAAGAAGTGTTTGAAAGAGTTTTCGTTTAAAAAAAAACTCCAAACTTTACACTGAAATCGCCTTACTTGTTAGTGAGAATTAAAATAGAACATCAATTTGCTGCTTCCAATAAAATAACTCTTCCCCTTGAAGAGCCTCCGGTATTTGTACAGCTTGCCGCACGTAAATGGACAAGAGATTTAACATTGGGGCGCGCTTTGTCACACCGCTTCGATTCATTTTTTCTTCTAACTTCTCTCGGACATTCGTAACGCGAAACAGACGTGCTCTGGACTTTTCTGAGCAATTTAGAAATAATAATAAAACTTTAAAAAAAAACTTCATCATCAAATCCAATTTTTAAGTTACAAGAATTATGTTCCTCCAAGAGGACAAAAAAGATACGAAACCGTGGAAAAAATAATAGAGCACAAAAATGAAAAACTTTAAACTTTAAAAAGTTTTTTAGTATCTCCACTAGCTCTACTTTTCGGGTCATATGAACCAAAGTTCATTTAAAACACAAATTTCATTCTCTGCAACAAATAAAAACGTGAAACCCGTGGCACGGTGTCATTTTTCTGATATCGAAAAAATGAAAACTTGCAAAAAACCACGTGACAACGTGTCCTCTCTTCTTGTATGACTTGGCTTCATTTATCCTTCCTGCTTCCTTCACGAGTCGTCTTGTTCCTGCATTCAACTTCAAGATGAGTTTTGAATTCTATTTAACTTCTAATTTCCAAAATAAGTATCTGTGTGATAAGCGCTAGTAGATTAGGCCCGCGGGACTCCCGGAGTGCCGATCCTCTTTGCTTGCAAATTGGATACGCAAAGTCACGCCGAAGCCCATTCCAGTGGCTGAAGTATAAACTGTTGGCAGTGCGAAACTGACAAAGCGATGATGGGACCCCCGCGGGAAAGGCCGTCACGGCTTTCGGCGTCTAGGATTCTTAGTTCTGACAAAGCCGAGCGGAGCTCTAGCGCACCGCCTAGTTAGTTCTTTCTGACGGGATAAAGTTTCCTTAACTTACTTACGGCTTTAGATAGCTAATCAGTCAAAACATCAAAACAACTATTTATATCATCTTCTCCGCATTAGAAAGTCTTTAATCTTTGAAAATTCAGTTAATCGCGATGAAAAGAGATCCGCCTTCCATGATCAAAGTCGCGACGACGTTGTCAAACTAGATCCGTGACGGACGGTCAACAGCGAGGCCGGCCAAACAATACCAGGTATCAGCCCAATGCTCTTAAAAGCAGCTGAGGGTTTTTTTTCTGTGTTAAACTGCAAAGGAGAAAAGAAACAACAGTAACCTCAAAATGGCTTAATCGCTCCTTACTATAGTAAAATATGAAATTATCGTTTATTCAAATCTGATTGACATATGTTCTATAGTCTGTTCAGATTTTTAATGTCAACCAGCTAACTCCGCCCCCGCTGAGAAGGTACCTTTTCGCGTCGATGTTTTATCGCGCGGGACTAATTTTGATCTTTTTTGATTTAAAAGATAGAAAAAGAAGTCAAAAATGCAGCCTTATTAAAGGGACATCGTCATCTGTAGATAAAAAAATTGACGCGAAAGATATTGTAGCCTTGGGGGTGGAGTTAGCTGCTTGACATTAAAAATCTGAACAGACTATAACAGGCTAGCCAGACTTGTGCGAGGTCCAGATTGAAAATAAATTGAACTTTTTCTCATTTCAATCTTTTTTATAATTTTTGATGTTTATTCGAGAGGAAATCAACCTATATAACATTTTTTTTAAATTTTGCAATGAAAGAAATGTTTATTGTTCATTCACCAACCGAATTCTGTGGCGTGAAGGAAGAGAACCAGGGACTTTAGTAGCGTCAGCATTTTTAAGTGATCCCTAAAACTGCTCAAAAACGTCCGGAGCACGTCCGTTTCGCGTTACGAAGGTCCGAGAGAAATTAGAAAAAAAATGAATCAAAGCGGTGTGAAAAAGCGCGCCACAATGATAAATCTCTCGTCCATTTACGTGGGGCAAGCTGTACAAATATCGGAGTACCTTTAGGTATCTTGATATTCGGAAGTACGGTCCTCTTTTATTTTTACCTTCGATATGGCACTACCATCCTCGAACCAGTGGGTCGCCCACGCATTCATTTCGAAAATAATCGAAATTTTCCCGCCTTGCTCGAACTTAGAAAAGCCCTGGTCGGCTTTTATTGTCCCGTTCACCTTTCTCTTATACCGTCCCTGCTGACACAGAACCTTTTCTTGTCGATATTATCTCGCGCGGATCTTTATTTTATTCAGAAGTTGGAATAAGTCGAAAAAGCAGCAATATTGAAGGACCATCCTCACACGCGAAATATGTTGCAACTATAGGGGCGAAGTAAGGTGCTTGAATGTTCCTTTACTTTAAATTTTTTTTAATAATCGAAGATGATTTGAAAGCGAACTTGTGGCCCTAAAGAGGGCCGTTGGGTTCAGTTAGTAGAGCAAGATACTACTTGCTTGCAGAAAATTTGGTGACAGCTTTCGTGCCTTCAGAAACGGCGTGCTTGGCGAGCTCACCGGGAAGAACCAGCCTCACAGCGGTTTGGATTTCGCGTGAAGAAAGCGTCAAGCGTTTCGAGTACTTTGCCAAGCGAGAAGCTTCGTTTGCGAGCCGTTCAAATATGTCGTTAACGAAGGAATTCATGATATCCATCGCCTTGGTGGAAATTCGAGACTCCGGGTGTACCTCAAAATTTTTTTTTTCATGTTTCAATTCATTATTACATCTCAAAATTCAACGCCGCTTGTGTGCCCTCAATTACTGTCTCAATGCTCTTTAGATTTGAGAGGCTGAGGAAGTATGCTGCCGGTCAGCACTTCGTTCTCTATTTCAGCGCGAATCCTTTTTATTGATTGAAGGCGCGGATACTTCGCAAGGTATCCACGCCAATCGAGCTCGATTGACCTTTGGCATTCCGCGCTTTTTATTTCTCAAAATGTGCGTTGATTATTTTTAAAGTTTTTACTGTCCGATTATTTGCATTTTTTTTCAAAAGGTTTCAAAAAGAAATTTTGGAAAAGGGCCCTTTAATGAAATTTAAAAAAAGACGGAAAAAAAGTTGAAAAAAATAATAATATTCCGAGAAACTTTTGAAACCTCTCGAAAAAATAAAAAAAAAGCTACTCGAAGATAAGCTTCAGGCTCATCTTTTTAAGGCTTTTTTGACGTCTTTTGGACTTTGTCTGTGTTCTCATAAATTTACTCTACGTAGATCTACGCATATAGCCTGTTCCGCATCAGCTTAAGTTTTTCTTTTCGCTAAAAAAACCGTGTAAAAAACTAGATCAAAATTGAGATTCTCCGCTTCAAGAGTTTTGTTTTTTGCTGTATTTAGCAGTTTTATAGAGCATAAGTTGTTAATTACGGTAGCTTTTCCTTTTTTCTTTTAAAACGTGCCTTGCGCGGAACGCACTATAACACTAACCTGCTTGAGGACTCGGTAGATGTAGGTGGAATAAGGCAGCCTGTGCTTGGTAGGGCGCTTCTTCTTGGTTCCAGCCGAAGCAGTTTTCAGAGCGGTGCCCGTGGCAGCCTTCTTCGGAGGACGTCCCCTGGGTGACGACGAGGACGACTTAGATGGCATAATAACGTTGAACAAATTACTTGTAGTTGATTTGATCTACCGATTTCGAAAAATTTGTATTTCTTACAACGTTAAAAACTACAGTTGGCAGAAGGCGTGGCAAGGGGCGTGGTCTGCCGAAAAACTTAAACTCGATTTTTGCCTCAGCGCGCGCTTTCATTTTTTTATTGCACAAAATTACGAAATTTCATATACAGTCTTTTTCAAAGTGATTTCGCAAAAAAAATATAGCTATCAGGGAATGTAAAATAACTCAATTTTGGAGAGTCAGAAACAATTTTGCATTTCGCGTAATTACTTTGAACCAGCTTCAACGAGATCAAGATAAAACGCGCCGCGGTATCGCTTGTTTTTCAAAATTTTTTACCGGGTACCGGTTCATTACCTATTCGTGAAACCTCACCTCGACTACTGCAGTGACGTTTTCTATCCCGCAATAAATTCAGGCATATCTACTCGAAAAACCTTATAGGTATTTCACTAGAGAAATTTTCATGCGCAGAAACTTAAGATTCAATTCATATTCTGAAAGATTGCTCAAGCTCGAAACTAATGCTTTGTACAGAAGGAGACTCAATCTTGCACTCTGCACACTTCACAAAATTGTCCTCAAGATAGATCATTTTCCAAGCGCTCACAGGTTTTTCAGAATCTCTCATTCGGGTCGACATCCTCTGCGGTTAATTCAGGCTGGTCCTTTATGCGATTCTTTCTTTTCAAAACTGATCCCAATCTGGAACAAAATCTGCTCTAGATTCAACGTCTCTGTTCCTCCTAAAATTTTCAAATCTCATCTGGACAACATCCCCGACAATGAATTATTCATCAGCATCCCTAGACGGCTACTATGATCTCAAAAATCTCAATATGCATATACGTGTATTTTATCAACTGTGATATCTGTTGTATTCCCTATCCGGTGAAGTCACTCGTGAGGGTGACCTAAAACCGGTTCTTAACCTTATTTATTCTTTTCACTTTGTGGATGAGTAAATTATTATTATTATTACTCTTTCTTTCTCAACTTCCGGAGAATGCGGTCATTTCATTTTTTTTCGAAAAAAGATGAAAAAAGTAGATTGCGAAAAAGCTTTCAACACCTTTTTGGAATTCAACAAGCAGCTTCAGACTCTTCTTTTCAAGGCCTTTTTCAGGCCGTTGGACTTTGCCCGCGTAAGTAAGCGAAAAAAAGCCAATTGAGAAGTGTGAGAAACATTTTTAAATCAAAAAAATTCAAAAAGAAAAGTTCATTGATAAATTAGCAACCCGAAAAATTTGATAGACCGAAAAAAATCTTGTTCGCGGTTAACCTTGCGCGTTGAAGAAATTATTTTTTTAAAAAAACTTTTTGAATTTAAAATTGTGAACGGTTTTGCTAAAACATCATCACCACGGCCGCTGAAAAAGTTTCTTTTTTTAAAACTCAATTGATGAACGAACTCCGTGACTATCTTGAAATTTATTTATTTCCCCGAAGAAGATGTAAAATTCTTCAAATAATCGACCAGTAAGAATTTTTTTTCGTAACGAAATCTATATGGAAATCGTTCACAGAACATTTTCGGCAAACACCGTCGCTTCTTCACAAAGTTTTTTGAACTCCCTGGCCTTCTCTTGCAGCTCCGGAGGGATCCGCCTCTTAACATATTTATATTGTTTCCTAAAACTTCAAATTTACCTTTATATGATGCAAGAATGCGAAGTAGAGTAGTCCGAACTGTTGCATGCTGTCCACGGACATCGGTCGTTTCAGCCGGATGTTCTGTACGATTTCTTTCATCTGAAACTTGATTCAGAGCGAAAAGTGATATTGGCGAACATTGGGCTCGTGGCCATCGTGCAGATTTTTCAAGGCTACCGAAAGCGCCAACAAGGTTCCTGCTCGGCCAGATCCGTACAATGAAACGATCGCCGATTTCTTAAGTTTTTTTTTGGTCCAAAAAACGTTTAATAGAATATTTTACTTCATGACCTTGCTGAATTTGCACGGCCGTATTGAGGGGAGGCCTGATGTTGCTGGGTCCCGTGAGTGCGTCCCAATATTGATGATGATACACCTCAAATATACTATTTCAACTCTTCAAAACCTTGAAACCGATGTCATAATCGAATTGGAACATCCTTCCGGTAACACTTCGATCGTGTACTTTATCAAATCCGGTTGATCTCGTGCAGTCTAAATCTCACATTGAAAAAATTATTATAAGTCCAGTATACAAAGCGAAAAATAAATCTATAAATACTCGAGCTTAATATATAAAAATAGGTGGATTTGGCGCACAACTAAAAAGATGCACTTTACTCAAGTTCACTATTTTTTTTCTTATCAACTATGATGTTATAAATCGAAAAAGTCGGAAATTAAAGCATAAATCGAAAAAGTCGGAAATTAAAGCAAAGTCTTACTTATCACCTTTCCTATTCAGAGTTTCTTGAATACCTCAATATCAGGTTCTTATTTATCTCGTATTCCTTTTATCCTTTTTTCCATACTCACCCTTCGGTTGTTGATGAACATGCTGCCGAAGTACTGGTAGGCGCCGGTGTTCAAGGGAAACAGTTCCGCGAAATTATTTGGCGTTTCATCGCTCTTACACAACAGGTGCACAGCGGTGACTTGCTCCTTAAACATAAAGCAGGAACTGGATGTTCAAACTTTTTCCGTACATGAAAAATCATGCGCCAAAACTCTTCAACCGCCGTTGGAACGCTGAACACCGGAACTTGAGCCAAAATTACTGGATGGGGAAACTGAGAAAATGTATTTATATTCATGTAGAATCTGAAAATAATACCCCGTCTAGAGGAACTATGCTCGCGTTGATATAGTCTTGTTTACACATTTGAAGAATGACTCGATTCGCGTCGTAAATGGGATACTTCTGAAAATTTGAAGTTTTTCGAGGGTTTTCTTGTTTTTTTTTCGATTGTTGAGTTCAGCAAGAACTGCTTGTGAAGTTGAGCTAAAGATAACTGAGTCTCCGAAAAAAATCACTCCGGACTTACTCACATGTCAGCCTATTAAGGCTCAAAATTCTTGTACTTTCTGCGTCCATTTTCTCTGTGTTCTTTTTACGTTTCTGATATTTTTTTTCGATTTTTTCATGGTTTTCTTTGGAAAACGAATCGTACGTCGCTTTGATTACGGCTCATGTTGGCCGCCCAGACTTTGCACTGGTCGAGAGGAACGCGACTCGCTCGGAGTTCTTCGTACTGCATCTTGTACTTGACGATCGCTGAAAAATACGAAGTCGTTAATTGTTCATTTCTGTTAGGAAAAAACTAATGATTTCAACCAGTAAAAGTATCGACGTTCATGGCCCTCCTCTCACAGTCTTTTTCCTTCTCCTACAGTTGGTCCGACCGACTCACGGCTAACTTGAGATGCAAAAAGGCTGCGCTATCCACCGACCAGGTACTGATTTTTTTTCTTATCGTGTCAGATCTTTTTTTGATGGATTAAGCTCTAGCCACAAATAAGCTATTACTGTAATTTTTTTTTTTCGAAATCGCCATCGCGCCTTCATCCGAGCCATCGGCAGTCGTCCGAACAGCGGACACGCTGCTGCCCTCATCTTCCTTCCCTCTTTCTTTCATTTCCGGTTCTGGATTTTTTTTTGGCGGATTGATCGCCGAATCGTTGTTTGTCCGATTCATTTTCTTTATTTCAACTACCTTTTGGTACCCTTTTTGTTTTTGGGTCTAACCACATATGATTTTTTTTTAATCTAAGGATTGGCTGGACCTAATAAATACTAACGAAAAAAATCTGAGAAGAGATTCAAGTTTGTAGCACAGATCAGAATTGAGGCGAGGGTTCGAGATTTTGAAGAAGCATTCCAAAACAGGCCAAGATACAAAATCTTTCGCATTAAAATGCGAAAGATCTTTTAGAATTCAGTAACTTTATTTTCTGCAACCTACTGGACCCTTTTTTCACCTTTTTTAGGTCAAATAGGTACTTTTAAAGCAAAGAGTTTTTGTCAAGTTTATTTTTTCAATTTTTCTAGAGCCAGCTGAGATCATGTTTCGAGAATTTCTCTAAACTGTCCACTAGCGAGCAGGGGGTCAACTAAAAATTTTAGAAAAATTGATTCAGTAAAGAGTAGGTATCATTCGTTGTGGGAGATTCTGGTTTCGATTCGGATATAGAACGGTTTCGAAGAATCGGACGTTTTTTGCGGATTTTTTTTAGTAACCCTTTCGAAAAATCTTTGAATTTTCACGTACCGAGATGTTCTACGAAGTCTCTGGCAACGCAGTTCTTCTTAAGGTCGTCAGGAGTCGTAGGCAGGTCTGGCGATCGAACTGGAGACGGCGCCGCTGGGGGTTGATTGCTCGCGACAGTGTTCTGATGAGCACTCGGAGTCCTTTTCACTGTCGTCTTTGTTTTTCTCTCGCTCGAATCCGTTGCTGGAAGTCTTCATAACTTCTTCGTAAAAGCTTCTTCGAAACAATGGTTGTGATGATCGCGTCCTGTACTACTGGTTTTCTTCCGAGCTGTGGCAACCAAGATTTTCCCCGCTTTTTTCACCGTACTGCCTGATTCCTTGTTTATTGCCACACAACTGGTTTTGCGCTCCTGCCGAAGTTGGATTTGAATTTCGAGTAAAATGTTCCACTGACAGGCGTACTGGCACGGCTGCGGCTTTTTTTATCTCTCGACTTTGACCGCCTTTTTTCGTCGGTCATACTTGATTTTATTCAATACTGGAAATCCTATTTTGAATTAAAAGCTTTTTTTAGTAACTCACAGAAAAAGATGGAACTGTTTGGCACTCTTTTTTTCGAAATGACTTTCTCGGTTAATATATTTGTTTAATATTCACGCTTCATTTTTATTACTTGCATGCTTCAAATTTCGTAATTTTCGAGAAAAAAAGGATCTCTTTTCTTAAAGTAAATTGTCCATAGGTTATGAAAGATCTTCCGCTCAGGTGTTAAATCTATTATTTTTCGCTTGATCCAGGCGGAAACCATTAAGATTTGGAAGCATTTTGGAAATAATTCGTTGACTCCATTAGTACGCTGAGCAGGGTAGCTCAGCCGTGCTGAAACGGGGTCTCAGCGGTTGCCCCCCGTATTAAACCCGTATAAACACAGTTGGTCACGGCGTTTCTGCCAGTTGAAGAAAATGCAAGGAATTTGAAACTCGGCAAAGTCTGCGCACTTCTCGAAATTCGCCCGCGAAATTTGAAAAAGTGGCTTTATTTTTGATTTTTTGTCAATTTTTTCATATTTTTTCACTTTTTCTTTTCGTAGATTGCTGATAGTATTGCGGGACCACGATCGGGGTATACTCTGGGTTGTTAGACGTTTTTTTAAAAAGTAGTTCTGTGAGGCTAACTTTAAAAACTCTTGATGAAGAAGCGTTTTGAAAAATCTCCACCTGTTTGTATGGAACATGTTTCACCCCATTTTATGTTTTCTTATTCTATTTTTTTGTCGATTGTTCAGATTCCTAGGTTGTGGACATCAATGAGATGAAGTTACATGAAAAAAGTCTGTGAAGTTGAGAAAAAATATGTCCCGGAATTCATTTATATCCGGATATTCCGTCAACTTTTTATAATAAAAAAAGTACTTGCTGTAAAAACATCTTTTATTTGTTTCTCCACAGCAATATAGTTTTTGTTTAATCTCTTTTAATTTCCTCGTCTTTTTTTCTTCAATGTTCATTCGTTTCTCACACTTATATCATCGGTTAACCTTATTTATCGGTGCATGCACTAAACGTATCGGTGCATGCACTAAACACGTCCTAATTGACGGAGAAAAGTGGGCGGGGCGTCGCAAAAGAAACACCGTGTGGTAGAACTTTTGGCAATTTTTAGTTCAACTGAGACCCGCTTTAGCCCAGATGGGTTAAATGTTTTTCTCACACCTGTTGTTCCCATGTTTTAGCCCAACTGAGACTAAAACAACCTCAAAAACACGGGTTCAATACGGGTACACCCGCTGAGACACCTGCTCAGCATGCGAGTAGTGTAGTCATCCTGTTTTTCTTTTCTCCATACGGTATCAACAATTTACGCAATCGCGTGCCTGCACAAAACTTTAGTTCACGCTTATTTTCATTTTAACTTTCAATATTTTAAAAAAATTAAATTTTCTCGAGGTCCATCTTTGTCGAAATGATTGTTTCATGAACTCTCTTAATCAAAAAAGTGCAACGATATATTACTTTTTCCAGAGAGAGAGATCTACCTTATCTTTTTGAAGTGAATTTTTTTTCTCATTGCTGTTTTAAAAAAAGTTTATATCTAAATATTATGTGTTTCAGATGACATGCTTTGTTACAGTTGGCTCAACTTTGTTCGAACATCTAATCAATGAAGTTTACTATTTTATTGAACTTATCCCCTTTTTTTTCAGATTCTCAGTGAAGAATGTATAATATCGTTGCGCACAATTGGAGTGAATAGAGTGAAGTTACAAATAGGTTCTGTTTCAAAGCGGAGTCCTCAACCGGAATTTTTTTTTAGGAAAAGGAATATTCAACAGCGACGTTCGCAATCGTGTCTTCAATGGCGTCGTAGCCGATGAAGGTTCCGGCGTCAGTTACGACCTTCCTGTCGAATACTACCGTTACAAGCCGAGTATAAGAGAAGATATCGAGAATTCGCTGGTAAGAGATATTATGAAAATTACCGTGTGACCAGAATTTTTCAGGTGGTTGTCGGTCATTGCGGAGCCGGGACTTGTCTGGAAGTTCTTCGACTGGGCAAGCCTTTCATTGCTGTTATCAACGACACGCTGATGAACAATCATCAGGTGAATTTTTCGGAACTTTCAGTTTTTAAGCGTCTTTTTGTCTCTTTATTGCAATGAAAAAAATCAATTAAATGAAAGAGCAAACGTCTTGAAACAATGTTTATCGAAATTTTTCTTACAATTTTTATTTTCAAGGGCATAAAAGAGTTGTAGTTTCTAATGAAATTTTCATTTAATTTCAAAATAAGTACTACTTTTTTTGTAAAGTTTAAAAACGAAATTGTGTTGCCACAAATTTCAAATAAACGCTATAAATCCTCTTTTCCCACTCTAATCTTCAAAAAATAAAAGTGGTGATAGAAAGAAAGTGCTACTTTTGTGGTGTGCGAAAAGTCGACTTTTTTTTTCCTCCACCGTACAAAAATCATACAGGCGTTTTTAGAAACGCACAGCCTTGCAATATAGAAAAAAACGTGGAAAAAGACCCTTAGCTTCAAAAGTCTCACAAAAGTTCTTAATGTTCCTTTATACACCATAGAAAGGCATTTTTAAATACTTGGAAAGGAAATTAAAAATTACGCCAATTCCGTTTTTAATCTGTAAACAACAGGAAGAACTGGCTCTGGCTCTGTCGGAAGGACTGCACCTTCTGCATTGCACGCCGTCTTCGCTCTCCTCGACCCTCCAGAATCCCGGTCTCTTCACATTGATACCTTTCGAACCGCCGTCCCAGAAGCGAGTTGCCGCTCTAATTGATCAGAGAATGGCTGTTTCTCGATAAAAATTTATTTATTTTATTTTGTACATATGCTGACTACATTGTCATACGCGTCTCCAGTGACAATTCAAATAAAAAAATCAAAGGGTTTATCTTTTTAAATCGTACTCGCCAATCTCGATATCAATATTTTACTCATTGTTGAAAGTGGACGCTGGAGAGTTTTTGGAATAAGATAAATTTTCAATTTTTTTATTTTTTTAACTTTGTTTCCTGTCTCTAAATTCCACAATGATTTGTGGAAAGTGGCGTGTAATTTGGGGAATAAGTAACTTTTTTTTGCTATAGAGATCAACCCTGGATTGAGGAAGGAAAAATCTTTCAAGGTGAAAAAGTTCGCCTATCAGAATCAAATTCAACAAAGAAACATGAAAACTTCGAGATGAGCCGGCCACAGGTTTCAAATTAAATGAATTCCGATAAGTATTAAAAACGTTGCTCAGGTTGAGAAAATAAGTGACGAAATTTACCGAGGGTTCTGCAAATGGATGTTGGAAGGCGTGAAGCCAATCATGGCCCCTTCACAAAAAGCGATTTTCGAAGTTATGGTCAACTCGAGAGATTTCGAGGTCGCTTGAGAAAAGGTTTTATAGAGAAACATTAATCTCACAGTTTAGGTGTTGAGAAATTTGGAGGATGAGTTGCTGGGAACGGTTCAACCGGCGGTTATCCACATTCCGTCTCAGAAGTTGGTTCTTTCTGAGTCAATGTGGTAAATTCTGATATCTGATAGAACGCTTTTTTTTTGTGAATTGAAGGCCCTCAGCGATGAGGCAATGCGTCGCCAAACATCTTCAAATCTCAAATTGCGAGAGAAAAGTTATGTCGCATCTATACGACAACTATTTCGGGGTTCCTCCGGCTCATAAGGTTCGAAAGAATTGATAAAAATGAAAATGAAAGCTCAGAATTTCTTTCGGAGCTTAGGAAATCAACTACGAGTTTTAGCGGGATTGGAAACAAAGTTAAAGCCAGAAACATAGTGCAATCTAGGATATTCGCTCATTGAAAACTATCAAGCGCCGTTGAAAATATGAATTTGAGAAAATTAAGTTTGGGTTCTGAAAAAGAGCTTTCAAAGATGATCAGGTATCGCTTGAATTTTGAAATGATAAAGTTTCAAAACGCATTCGAAAGTTTTAAACAATAATAAAATAAATTATATAGGACATTTTATTTTGTGATTTTTATGCTACATAGCCGAGTAAATATGTTTCATAATTGTGAAAATTACGCGATATATACAGTCAAAAAAAGAAATGTCAAAAATAAGCTTTTTACGAAATAAGCTTGAGGTTTTTAAATTACTTGAGCTCGCGAATTAAAAACTAAATTTAGTAGTTATCAAGTTTTACAGCTACGGAACCACGTTTTGGAAGAAATCAGCGAACAGAAGTCGAGTCGCAGAAGGAATGTTCTCCCTAGCAAGGTTTCTCAAAGATTTCGGGAAATCATGCCTTTTCATTCATTTTCCAGTCCCGACCTTCTACTTCAATGACATCCTCTAGTTTTCCATCCACATCGGCGGTTAATATGTTCGTAAAACTTGGTTCACTTCTAAAAGCTTAACCCTTTTCTCCAGAAGAGCTCAAGGAAACTTATTGACGGCCGCCGAAAACAAAAATGTTCGGGTCATAAATGCTTCGCTCGGAATTTCGCGGATGAATTCCGTAACAAAATTTTCTGAAATTTGAATCATTCAGAGGAGTTTTGAGGATTCAAAATCGCCTAGAATCGCGCCGAAAACCCATGAGACACCGCAAGAAGCTCCAAAAACAGTCCAATATATTTCGTCTCTGCAAGTGTCAAGAGCCACCGGCTCTTTTCAAGGTATTTTCAGTCTTGATAAGACAATTTCTAAATCGGTTGATAATTATAGTTGTATAGGAACAAGACCAAAAATGTTTTCTTCATGATCATTTTTCACACAAAAGACATTTGTCATTTGAAAAATGATGTTTCGGGCAGTTTTTTTAGCAAAATTTCTGGACACTTTTCAGCAACAGCCATCAATTTTATTAAATAGATAACTCACTGCTTTTTTGATAAAAACTATTTTACTTATGCTTGAACGAAAAGAAAAACTGAATAGAAATTTAGCCCGAAGGAACCAAAGTTTTTTTCCTCTTTGACAGCTAAAATTTCGGAATTTTCATACCTCAGAGCTGTACGAAGAAAGGCGCGAGTATAATCGCCGAAAAAGGAGTTATTACAAAAAAATCTACCTGAATTCCCAAAGTGCTTGACTTAATTTTCTTTTAAACCTCACATTTTTCCAGAAGCGAGTCCAGCGCGACGGCCCATTATGAAAAAAGCTCAACCGACGCCTTCCGCCTTCAAGTTTGTCAAAAACAACGGAAGCACTGGTTTTCCTTTTCCAAGATTTGATGTTTTATCTGGAGTAAAACACAGGAGTCCCCCTCTCTTACAAGGCCAAATGGACGGCGCTTCAATTAAATTCTCCATTGGACCCAGAGCTCTACGATGTGTTGGTCGAGGTCATCAACAAGAAAAAATCCCTTGAGGAGGTCCTTATCTCCCTTTTATAGATAAGAATTTCGAGTCTTCCAATCTTCGAATTGTTTATTTTTCATCAAAATTATTTTTCTAAACACTGCTTATAAATATGGTATCTAATTATCAATGAGAGAAGCCAATTTTCAAAAAGAATGATAGCTTGTGTTGGCTCTGAAAATTCAAAGTTTAGCCGGTTACCCGAAACTTTCAACTTTTTTGGGCATTTTTTATCATACTTATCACAAACTATCTAGGCTATAACCACATACGTATGTGGAAGTTAACTGTAGTTTCAAGGTGGACGCCCCGATTCGCGACAAGGTCCGCGGGATCGTCGAAAAGGGCCTTCTGACGACGAGTTATCGGAGGAGCACAACTGACTTTTTGCCCGCGGGATGGCGACTTCTGAAAAGAAATGACGCGTTCGAAGAAGTCAAATTCCTGGTTCGGACAACTGAAGTCGGCGAGGTTCTCTATAAACTTTCTTTTAGAAAATCACTTAAGAAGACTTTTTTCGGCTTCACCTTATCCAAAAAAGAATAATAGACCATGATTATTTTTAGAAATTTGTTTGTCAGATATGGCGAGAAATCTACAACGCATTCAATACAACACAGACGCCAGAAGAGATGCTTCGATATGTCGCGCAGCGATTCATAGGAATCTCCACCGATAGTCATGTTCACTAGAACCTTCCGCACTCTTCTCAAACTACAACTCATTCAGCTACGCGATATCGCGTCCTACCAACTGATCACTGGACCCAAAGTTCAATTTCTCGCCGCCCCCAAATGTATTGGAAGTCGCCCGATGCAGTACATCCAAGTGGGAAATGATGATTTTCGTCTATTGTGAACATTATTCAGATCGATGTAGTTGAGATGGATCTAGTCGAGTACAGAAACAACACCTATGAGTCGATTTTGGTCGTGACGGACATGTTTTCCGGCTTCGTTTTCGGTCGCGCTTTACAAAATGAGAATTTCGGTGAGTTTTCACATACTTTCAGTGAAAACTTTTTTGTGAAATTTCAAAGCTGCTACCTACGAAAAAGTTCAAGTTCAAAGCTGAGAAGTATCAGTTAAATTTTTGATTTTTTAAACGCGAATTTGGAAAGTTAAAATCTGAGATTTCACGTGACGTAATTAGATTCGCGTAACTACGAGGAATCTAGACTTTTGAAGAGTTCTTGAGCCAAATTGTAATCTCTCGTTCTAATAGACTTTCGAGCAGATCTTAGACAATAATCTGGTTCTAAATGACGTCAGAAAAATCCTCGGAAGTTTTTCAAAAAAATTCGAGGGCCGCGAAAGCAGGAAAGAAGCACGTGAGGTCAGACAAGTAGCTCCAAAAATGTTTCTTCTCAAAATTCACTCTGAACGCGTCATTTATTTTTTCTTTATGTAGTATCTGTATCTTCAGAACAACTGTCAGAAAATGACGAATAATTTCGGAAACGCACAGATAATTTTGAGTTTCCCGGAATTCGAACAAGACATAAGTATTCCAGCTTCACACCGAAATATCTTCCCTTTTTGGAACTATTAGCGATTTTTCAGGAGTTCCAATGATAACAAGGTACTTGATGGAGATACTCGGCTCTTACGGACCTCCAGAGGCTTTTCGCATTGGAAAAGATGTTGAGGAGACGATTTTCGGGGCGATGAAAGACATCGAAACCATGTTTTCCATCACTTCTCGTTATGCCGGCAGCGGGGTTTGATTTTATCTAAAAGAATAATTTTAAAAAAGGAGAAATCAACTCATTTGAAAAAAAGAGTATTTTGTAAAAATTCGGCGTTCAAAAAGTAAAACGTTTTTCTATAAATTTCTTTTTCTTACGAAGTTTATCGATTGCGTAGTCGTTGGAAGAATATATTCAAAACGAATGAAAGTTTTTCATTTTGTGTTCCAACTTGTTTAAAGTTGTAGTAGAACTGGAAAAGCATCAAAATTCCGGAAAATTTCTTTCTATGTATACATTACCATCATTTTTCTACAATTGTCTCACGTTTCAGCCAGATTTGACGCGAGAAATTGTGAGATCTATTTATTGCCGTGCTGAGAAGCAGGACATGGGCGGAAGGTTAATTTCTAACTTTTTTATCAACTGAAATTTTCGAACTGGAAAAAATCTTCAAGGGAACACTGGATGGTGAGTTTGCCTTTCGCGGTCATTGAGTACAATCAGACGCCGATGAAATGCTTCGATTTTCTTCTGAGTCCTTTTGAGGTGATATTTTCCAATTATAATATTACTTTCATCTTTTTCGTCCAGTTGATGTTCAAAAGAAGGCCTTGGACGACGCCGACGCCTCCGTGGATCGACCACGAAGAATTGAACGAGAAAAAAAGACAAGTGGCCAGAGATTCGGCTCGAGGAAAGAAACGATCTAACAAAAAGGTAAAAGTTGGAAATTGAAAAGTTTGAGACCAAAAATCAGTCTGAAAAGTTGATCATATAATTTAAGTCTACCGAGAAAATATTACAAGTCAGAAATTCTTTTTTAAAAGCCTAGAGAAAATATTTTCAAGCTTTTAGAGTTTCCTAAAATTTTTCCTGGTTCAGAAGTTTCTCACTGTGAAACTGGAAGATGGGAAAGATGAAGGACCACCGAAAGACGACGATTTATTGAATCCGAACGAGTTGGATGAACCTGAAGATGAACATTATTACGATGCAGTTCCGGAGGATCGTTCCGAGTCCCTGAAGGAGCTGGTGAGTGTTTCAACTTTTTTAACTTTGGCTATAATCATCCTCTTTAAATAACTAATTTTAAGCTAGAGAGCGCGTCTCAGCCATGAAAATGATTGATATAAAGCTTTTATGGTCCAAATTTCGAGAGAAATTGAATAGGAACTTGACAAAAATTCTTTATTTTGAAATATTGTTTTCTATACGACCTTATTTGAACTCGGGCTTCAATGGGGATTTCATGGGCCAAAAACTCTTTTAACATGTCGACTTCGATTTTTTAGTAAGAAATTATCAAGTGAAACATCTTGTTCACTGTTTTTGAACCTTTTTTTCAATTCAAAGGTGTTTCTTCGATTTGAATCTTTTTTGTGATCGGGCTCGAGTCAGTTTATCGTTTAAAAAATAATGAGTCATGTTATTCATCCTCTATGAATTTTTGGAGTTTGCAAAGCGTAAAAATAAAATTTCTAGATTTATTATTAGGGTTCTTCTCCGCAGAAGTTGAACTGATAAAATAATCATCCTCTTTAATTTGTTATTCAGCTGCAAAGATTCGCATCGCCCCGTTATGAAGCCGAATACGACGTTGACGGGAAAATGATAACTCCGGGAACTGGTTGTATGTTCGCTGCCGGGGACCAAGTTTATGTGAGAGAAAGGTTTCCAAAACCCAACTTCATGAAGGTTTTAGGTGAAAAATCCAGTGTATTCGATCAAAAATCGCTCCGGATGCGCTAGATATTTCCGTGGCGTCATCGTCGACATCGACATTTTGCACATTGAGATGCTTTATCGAGTTGGATTTCTTCGTCGAAAAGCTTCAATCTTTTTTTTCAGGTCCGTTTTTGGGCTGACGACCAAGAGAACGTTGATGAGCTCCCTCTGACTTGTTGGCCTGCTGCCAATGATGGTTTCCAACTTTTTTTTTCTGAACATTTTTTGAAGATCCGAAGTTGAGGTTACGATTCTTGCGAGGCTTGGTTTGCTGCTTGGGATATCGCCGCCTCGACTAATTATCTCTATAAACTGCGTTCCGTTGGTAAGAATTTAGAAAGTCGCAGATGTTCTGAAAAAAATAAATTTTATTCTCATTTTGTTGAGCTTTTTTCGAGCAATATGAACGATCCCAAAAACCTGTAAAACTTTTTTTTTGGAAGAGTTACCGAAAATAATTTGAAGACCAGTGCTTCAGTATTTTTTCTCAGTTTTGATCTTACTAGGATGTTTTCTTGTAAATCGAATTGGGAATTGAAATTTGGTGAGTTGGTAAGCACAGATAAGAAAAGTTTTTCGAAGCTTTTCCGAAATTAATGAATAAGATCCTCTAAAATATTCATTCTGTACCATGTATTACATGTTTCAGTGAAACGGAGATGTAATGAATAACTTCAGAGATGCGGAAACGGTGCATGGCCAAAGGAAAATGCAGGTGCGGCTGTGGAGAAGTTTCTGACCCTGGCTGTCTTTTCTCAGCTCCGTGTTGCGTTTCGGTAGCCTCAAACTTTCTAAGGAATCCTGGAATTCGGTCTTCCAGACCAGAAGTCGTTGCCTGCCGCACAACCGTCTTCGTAACCAGTTCAAACTGTTTGGCGGCGTTGTCGGCGACGGACTGAAGACGTCGAACAACTCCAAGGCAATGACGTCAGCTTTGGCGTCACTCGGAATGGCTCGGCCTAGCAACAACACAACTTTAAAGACTCTTGAGGAGGAGCTCGATGGCGATGTTTATTTGAAAAGAAGCGAACATGTAAAATGTTCGCATTTTAGAAGTCGTTTGAGCATTTGTTGAAGGAGCTGATTCCTGCCATGAAAGTTCCTTTCAAGAAACTTCGCGAAAGAGCCGTCGCTGAGATTTCCGATAGAACGGCTGTTTCTCAGCAGAGGTACACATGTCAAAGGATATTCATATTCACATCGTGATAATTCAAGAAAACCTGCCTCACCTGCAAAACCGAAGTTGACTCTGAACTTGGTTCCTATGAAAAGATATAAGTCGCACGAGAGTATTCTGCTGGATGGGGCTAATAATGATGATGATGATGATCCTGACTACGTCGAAAACACGGTTCCGCGTTCCAGGTCCGGCCGAGAGTCCAGGAGAAAACGACCTTACTACACTTTTAGACCTACCACGTTTTTCGAGAAGTAAGCAGAGTAGCGGTGGGAAAAAAATGGAGAGGGCAGTTTTGTAAAAATCAACCTTTCTTTTTTTAAATTTTTTTCAAAGCACTAGGAAATTTCAGGAATTTTTTTCCTCAGAGTTGATTTCGAATTTCGAGTCAAATTTTTTTTGATTTTCAATCGAGTTTTGAAAAGAACTATAACCCCTGGAAGTGAAAATCGGACATAATATGAATAAAAAACGTTGATTTTTCATAAATTGGATAATAATTTTTTCGATATAATTTACAGTGTCAAATCGAATAATTTCGAGTAATTTTTCTTCAAAAGTGCTCTCGAAACTTCCAACAATTTATTTTATATTGCAAAAAAAGCTATAGTAGTATTTTTAGAGAAGCCGAAAAGGTGAAAGACAAGAAAGAGTCGTCGCGAACTAAATACACTCGTTCACCGGCGAGAAAGAAGAAGCGAGAATCTTCAAGGATAGAGGTACTTTCCGAAAGACGTGAACTTCAAAAAAATACTAACTTTTAGCTGAGCTTGAAAACGGAAAGAACACTGAAATATAAAGTTAAATAATTATTTTTTTCAACTATAAGTCCTAATAAGCGAGTGAAAAACTTTTTGAAACCACCAATATTTTTTCAAAGAAAAAAGTTTGTTTTTCAGGAAGAGAATCCGTTTAATCCGACGCCAAAAGATCAGTCAAATCTAGCATTTACAAAAATTAAAACAAAAGTCACTTCTTTGAATCTCAGAAAAGAAGAAATTGAAGAAGCCGCAGATAAAACTTCGACAGACGGATCTCTAATCGAAGGTTTCTCACCAAAGGAACATCCAATCTTCTAACTAATTTTTTCAGAAGGACAAAGTCCGGAGAAAATTGCAGAAATAGTTGTTGAATAACTTGCCTTATTTTTCTTCATGTATTAATAATTTGTTGTACGGGAAGTTTTTTTAAGTTCTTGTTCTATTAATTCCTGTGATACTAATGTTTGTAATATTCAGTTGTTGATTGACTCACTCTGATCTCCTGTGAATATGAAAAAGTTATAAGCATGCTAAAATATATTGTTCTACCTCACAGATTGTTCCATGAAGAAATTGACAAATTATATCAAATAAATTCCTTTCTAGCTTAAAAGGAAAAGATCAGATTTTTTCGTTTTTACTCGGGTTTTTTTTTCTATTTCAGTGGATAGAGCAGCTTCTATATAGCAGAGTTATCATATCAATTTTCAAGAAAAAAAAAATCAAAATTTGAGAAAGTCAGCTTTTAAATGATAACAATCATAAAATTTTGAGCTTCACGTGGGAGTTTCAGACTTGCGAAGTAAAAAAGAAATTTATGTACACCCTTGTATGAGGGAACATTGACAATTCTGTTGCTTTAGGGGCTTCTTCGAAGGAGAGAATGAGGAACTCGGTTAGTTTCAAGATGACTTTTGTTCAGGGTGAAGTTCGAGCAAGGAGCCAGTGTCGCCCTGCCCAGAATCTCGTAAAACGAACCATTTTTAGGCGCCGAGTCGCGGCAGAGGAGGATTTCTGAAAAGAGTCATCATTTCGAAGGTCCAGAAATGTAAAACAGAAAATTACGTAACCAAACCTTCTTCTAGTAGTCACTATAGAGGATTTTATCTTGAGTCTCTTTTAAAGACGTCAGAGCCACTACAAAGGTACGTATTCATTTTTTTTTTCTCTCACTCAATTATTGGAGTTTGAAAAGCTCACCTGGCGTCGCCTTCCTTCAAAAGCTTTCCCTAAAAAACAACCTAAAATGAGTTTCTTTTCAAAAATATTCCAGATGAAACAAAATCTAAAAATTACGACTCACTAGTCAGTCCATCAAGTTTTGTACTTTATCTCTCCCGATTTTTAATTCTTTAAAAAAGGAGAGGCGGGTAGTTTGGCAAGTATTGCGAATACGCCGCGCAAAAATTAAGGACCCTCAAGAGTTCAGTTTGCGTTCATTTTCCTCACCTCCCACAAACTCTCCGGTGCTGAGTCTGAACGTCTTGTTGGACATCACGTCGTAGAGCTCATTCTCGCCGTGTCGAAGATGAACAATCGACATGTGGGGCTCGAAAATGCGAAACGGTAAAATCGTGTCAACGCCGTACTTCGAAAAGGTTTCGTTGATTGCATCTGAAGGTTTTTCTCTAAAATTTAGGAAAAGCCTCAAGTAATTGAATTTAGAACTCAATCTTCTACTGTTATTTTTATAGCTTGTCATTTTTTTTAAAAAAATAAGAACTGAAATTTTTTTACGAAATTTAATTGAAATGAGTTATATCAAAAAAGACAAGCAGATTTTTCGTGTTGAAACACTAATTCGTCCAATCAAAGTCCCTTTATAGTTTTCTATTCTTCTTCTTTTCCAAAAACTTCGGACTAATAAATCTTGAAAAATGAGAATAGTATGTCATTGTTGAAAAAAAGCAGTCGAATTTTGAAATAGGGTTGCAAGACGATGAGTTTTGAACCGTGAAAAAAGAATTATAGCAAAAATCACGATGAATGCTGGATACAACTGACGCCGACATGGCGTTGAGGCGACCGTACAGAGTCGTATTGGCACGGGTTGCTGTTCCTGAGCAGAATTCGGTAATTTGGTTCGTTGAAATCGACAAAAACCCATGAAAAGGATCGGAATCGAGTGAGAAACGTTACAGAGCTGCTTCGGGAGTTCCGACAAGGCGTCGAAGGTCCTGAAGTAAAACAATTCAACGAACATTTTTAAACTAAACTTCAGGCTTGTTTTTGAACCTTTTTTGAACGCGCTGTTTTGATAATAATTTTATTGCAATTTTCGCGAAAAGTAAATATTGACTTTTCCTTTTAATTTTTCCTGCTAATTATTATATACGCTCCATCGCACAGTGCGCGTGAATTTTTTATGGATCTTTTTTTTTCATTTTTTTTTTCCGATGAACACGCCATTAATGCCGTGTTCAAAGTAATTTCCGCGAAATGCGAAATTGTCTCTGACCCTCCAAAATTTAGTTATCTTTCTCTTTCTCTGACGGCTATTTTGAATTTCGCGGAATCACTTTGAACACGGCATAAAGTTTTAGTTTTCGTTATAGTCTGTTCAGATTTTTAATTTCAAGTAAAATGACGTTATCCGAAAACGCTCTCGCTCTCTGAATGGTTTATCGCGACATTAGGGGGTAGAGCTTGAGCACGCTCTTTCAAGTCCTCGCTAGTTTAAAAAAAGAGGTTCACTCATACGTTGGCTGGATCTCATCCCGGGGTGCGGCCTCCCCTGGTTTTTTTATTTTTAAAAAAATTATTTTTAATCTAAATAGATATATTTTTTTCGAATATGGAAAAACCTCTGTTTATTTGTATCATTAATGTGTAGATGATTCAGCTTCACGTGAAGTTGTGTCAACGGATGAAAATACTTGACGAATTTCGGGTCCGTCGAAATTCAAATCGGCTTGTATTTGTTGAACTTGTTGTAGTATCTGCAAGAAATATCATACTACGGGATCAATTTGAGAAAAACCAACCGCATCCTTCGATATTTTCACAGAAAGAAAGGCATTCGGGCCGAATTTTTCCTCCTTTGCCAAGGCGAACGAAAATAATAACACAAGATGGAATATTTTGAGCATATCTGTAAAAACTTGTGATTCGTATAACAGAAAACGCAATGAATAGATTGCAAAAAGAGGTAAGCACAAGAAGGTTGAGATATTTCACTGTTGGTTTACGGAAATGTATTAGTTTCGCTCGGAAATGATAAAAAAAAATCCTTTTCATATTTTCTAATTTTTAATGTAAGTTTTCACCGAAATTAGTGCTTGAAAATGATAAATCTTTACATATATTAAAAAAACACATTCTACATAAATAGCTGACGCGGAAAGGAACTCTAAAGATGACACATTTTTAAAGACGATGCAGAGAAAGTGCGAAAGACACCTGTCACAATATTCCCACACCTCTGTCCGTGGAGACCTGGGCGTGATTTAGGAAGCAAATAATTATTTCTAGAGTGGTGAAGAAGTAAAAAGGTTAATTGGTGGTCTCCGGAAGGTCCTTCATGCCGTGTTCAAAGCGATTTCCGCGAAATTTCGATTTATCTCTGAGTCTCCAAAACTTATTTATCTTTTTCACTTTTTGACGGAATTTATCAAAACCACTTTGAACACTCCATTTGACGTTAAAAAAAAGTAAAATCCGGTTTCATTATCGATAAATCAGCTCGAAAACTTGAAACTAAAAAAAACCCGCAAACGTACTGATACATGCAAAAATCCTTTGTAAACCCGTCTATCAGAAAACATTTCACCGACTTTTTTTTTTTAATTTCGATCTCAAGAATGTTTTTTTTTCGGATAATCTCGTAGTTGAGTTGAACGTTCCATGTTCTCTTCTCTTCAACAAACAATTTAACGGCTCTGAATACGATAGTCTCACTTATCTCAATTAGAGCATCTGGACAGGATTAGCAAAAGTTACATCATGGTGATGTAAATGGCGGGTGATCCAAAGTCTTTTTCGTCTTTAGGAAAGTTTTTCGACTTTAAATTATTAATCAAAAATTCAGATTTTTAATTGAGATTTGACTAAAGAATTTTTCGATTCTGCAGCTCTTGAACATAAAATTAAACTTACAAAAGACCAACGTTTTCACAACAAAATTAATGAAAAAGTTTTCAAAGCCCGAAGGTGTATTCTCAAATTTATCGAATTAGAAAAATTGAAGAAAAAGTTCAGAAGGGGTAAATTTATATATTTCGACGAAGGTTCAATTGGATGGTAGCGTAGTTATTTATTTATTTTTTTACTCCGAAATAAGTTTATCTATATTTGAGTAGAAAAATATACGGATCCTGAGAAACATTTAAGTTTCTCGTGGCCATGTCCTGACAATCCTGACAAAAACCCTCGAAACTCGGCCACATAAACTTTTGAACTATTTCTGAAAAAGAAGCATCAAAAATATATATGTATATATTCAAAATAGTTCAAAGTTAATCATAGGTACAGAACGCCCCATTCATAATAGAGCAACTGGTTTAAGTGCTTGCCAAAATAAAATGAATTAACAAATTAGACCAGAAGGACATTCATTACTTCCTTCAAACCTTACGATTTCTGATTCTTAAGGAAAAAAAACAACCTTTGAAATATTTTTGGAAAATTGAGAGAAATCAATGAAAGTGTCCTCCAAACGACAATATTTTTTCGTTTTGCTGAACTTTCCGTCGCTTTTTCCATCAATCCGATTGAATTACACAGCTTCTGGTGTCAGACAACTTGCATGTGATGGACGCCTGCTCCATTTTCACTTCCCAGCGGAAAAAAAATAAGAACTTTAAATAGGAATTATTTTTCGACGAGGAAGTTCAATTCAATTATTCGTTTTAAAAAAAGCTTCACTTACACATTATTAACGGGGGAAAAACGTGAAAAAATATATCAATATGTGTGGAAAAAGGATATTGCATTGAGGGTGGTTCAGCCGAAAGATGTGTTGAAAAAAAGACTTTTAAAGCCGAAAAATGGAAAAGTGGAGACAAACACCGTTTGCAAGAAAAAAAGATAAACATCAAATCCAAAAAAAAAAAAACCGTAGGTGATGAAGTGGAAATTGATTTTCCGTTATTATCGAAAATGACTTCAATTAGTCTTTTTTCACGCTGAAATTTGTTCTTCGCTTTGTGAATTCTCTTATGATGAAATCTTATCACAAGTAAAACTCAACAGCGAGTTTCACGCCTTCTCTATTTTTTTCAGGAATATGGCGGAAATCATTTTCACTTTACTGCAAACGGCTTCAGTTTCTAATCGAATTGAACAGAAAAGGGACTAAATAGTTGAAAAAAATAAAATGGAGAGAAAAAATTACAAAAAGGCGTTTTACGCATTGAAAAGTGCAATTTAAAAAAAAAACCTCACTGGAATTTTGGAAGGCGCACTGACCAAAAATAACAGTCGAAACGGTTTTTCCCCTAAAGACCTTTTTAAATGTTGCCTTCGAAAACCTCATCAAGAACTCTCGAACGGAAAATAGAGATCGTTACATAAACATTTCACTGAGGGTCAACTTAAAAATCAAGCTTGGGTTATCAAAAAAAGTTTGTAGAGATCTTTCTATTGCAATTCATTTCGAAATTTTCAAATTGTTTCCAAAGGTTAATGTCTTCTCCAAGAGGCTTTAGCGGTAAAAAAAAAAAAGCTCTGATTGAAAACAAAAATCAGTGAGAAGTGGGTTTTCGGCACTCGAATGTTTGATTTTGTATTTCAATTTTTTACTGGCTAGTTCCTCTTTTTTCTTTTTCAACATCCTAATCCTTGCGCAAAGTCAATTTGAAGGATCAATAAGGATCAGAAAACTGCAAGTCCTGATAATTGGGCTGATAGGAATGATAATGTTCATCGGGGTACTGGAAGCTGCGCTCCCGCGACTGCATCATGCGGCTTCGACGAGTCGTCGCCGAGTCGAGAATCTTGGGCTCGACGTCTTGCGAGAATCCACGCGACATCATCTGCGTCCTCTTTGCAGTCGCCGACGTCGTCGGTCGCGACGGCGACGAGTGAGCTCGCGGCTGAGGACTCGAGTAGGCCGTGTGAACCTGAAAACTACATCACTAATTTTTTTTTGTGACGCATTGTCCTTTTTTTCTCACGATTCTCTTTTTTTTTCGTTTGAATCCAATCATTGAACACCTTGTGAAAATCAAGGAAAAGAATGGTTCGAAAAAGTTTTTGGCTCTTTCTTTTTTGAACTTCAGGCTTTTGAATTTCATCGATGAATCTATATTCTTATGACCTCGCCTATTTATTGTAAGCTGATTTTCGCGGCTTAAACTCGCCTGATATAAAGCAATGTGTCCACAGTTTCTAACACGAAGTCGCTCGCAAATGTCGAGGGCTTGAATCGTGTTGGATGGGTGCAAAATCGAGCCATATTCACACATCAGAATGTAGGCGAATGGACGATTGACGATCCCGTTGCGGTTTCTGGAAGACGATGAAATACACGACATAATAAGTGATTCTCCGAAAGTATATGCTCTTCCGTGCTAGTACTTCGCGATTTTTATCACGACTGCTTTTGATTATCGAAGATTCTCGGAACAGAAAATAAGCCGCCATATCGGTACAGTGACAAAGTCACTCACTGCGCTGGACTGCGCATCAGGGAGATCCGACGGAGGTTCCAGCTGCGCGGCGAGTGTTTGTAGATTTCTCGAGCTCCGGACCACGAAAGCCACGTCTTCTCCAGCGTTTGTTGCTGCAATCAGAGTTCTTTCCGTGAAACTCTTGATAAAAGTACAGTCCTCCACATAAATATAATTCCACCCATAAAACGCAAATATCGAGAGATTCGACATTTTGAAAGATCCCGGTCCAAACTTTAGCCGCTTTGAACTTTTTTGCAGCTTCTTGAACCTTTTTTTCATAGAAACTCATTGAAGTGAGCAAGAAAAATCGAGGAAAATTATTCAAGAAATGCTGAAAAACAAAATGGATTTATAATAATGTCAAACGGAAAAACGACCTCCCGAAACATTTCCTGACAGTTCGCCCACTGATCATTTTTTCATTCACACGACTCTTAGAAACTTGCAAAAAATTTATTTCACTTTTGCGGAGGACTGTTTGTAATAATTTAAGTGTCAGAATATATGTTTCTGAAAGTTTTCTACTACATTTCTAATACACAGAACATCATTTATTCCCCTAATTTTCCTAGAAAAACTCATTTAAGGTTCTTCCTGTCTGCCTCATGAATATTCCATTTGGATTACTCACCTTAGTCGCGTCATCGAGTAATTTGAAGCCGATGACAATGTAACCGGCGTGTCGATGCGCGGGAAGCCGATTCTCGCCGACGGAGGCTGTCTTCTGGATACTGTAGACTTCGTCGTAAGACCCTGAAACCCCAATGAACATGTTAATTTGTTTATGTGCACTCGTCTTTGACTCATCTATTCGAAAATAGTTGATTTCTCACGCCTTGAATGAAAATAACTATTTAATCCCATTTACCGAGAAATGACGTGGTCTTTCGGAATCGTACTATTTCTTTTTCAGATGAAGCTGCTCCAAAATCATAGAACAAAGTTGACGCCCATAAACTTTTCCAAAATAAATACCCCGAGGCGTTTTCGTTTCTTTATGGACTTTCCGAAGCTTTTGAAGGATTTATTTATATCGAAAATTCACGAAAACTCCTCAAATTGAAAAAAAAAACCCAATCTCATAACCAACCCAAAGTTCTCAGACAACCCTTCTTGGACCTAAATTTAGCAACATTGACCTTAACTTGTAGATAGTTCAACGCTGAATCGGATGAATCGATAATCGACCATGAATAATTTAATATCACAAATTTATCGCATTTTAAAATTAGAAATCTCTATAATGTTGTCATCGAAAACTATGCCTAAAATATCCATTCGCTGAACGAATCTCAAACTTATCAATTTCTGGACGTCTGAGATAAAACGAAATTCCCTTCATAAACTCTCGAACCTCTATTTGAATCTCTATTTGACTTGTAAGAATTAAAAAGATCTTACGAATTTGGTGAATTTCTGACGTTTTATGTCGTTTTTTAACTTATATCGAATAAAAAACAACCGTTTTGCTAATGTTAATCCAATTCTATAGAATGACGTCCAATGTGACTTTTTCCAGAGCTTCCATTTCCTGCATTATATCCAAAAATAAACGTGAACCAATTGAGAGACCAAAAGTGAGTTCGAACTCCCAGCCTTCTAAGAGGCCTTTTCAACTCCTTTAATTAATCTTTTTCCACTAAGACTGCATCGAGCTCAAAAATAACCACTTTATCAAAACAAAAACAGAAAACCGAAAATTTCAGATCATGAGCTTGAGAAGATTCAGTACATAAACATTCATCCTCCGGTTGGGGCTCCTTTTTTGTAGTTTAAAAAAAAAATCAGACTCATAAACCTCCATTCAACTATCCGGAGGCGTTTTTCTCGTAGTCCATATACTTTGAAAAGCATAATAAAAGATTATATTCCAGTCTGAGATACATAGAGAAAAAACTAGGCTGACATTTTTTCAAATTTTTTAGACTTTAAAAGGTGTAGGCAGAAGTTTCATTCCAAGTGAATATATGAAAAAGAACTACATCGTGATCAAAGCTCAACAGCTCGTTAATTCCGAAAACCCTATTCTAGTCCATTTTTTAACCCATGAACTTTGAAAAACCTAAATTACACGTCTTACACCAACGAGAAGAATGAAAAATGAACCATATAAACTGCCGCGAGTCGGCGAACACTCCTTGACGACGTCGTTGATCTCCTTGAGCCGTATCAAGTGTTCGGGGGAGCGAAATTGAGCAAAGTGGAGGTAGGGGAACATTGCTGAAAAAATTAGTATAAAAATAAAACATATAGAGTTGATTCATAGCTAGCTTGAGCCAAAATTTGAACGGTTTGATAAAACTTTAAGAGAATGGTCTCGAGAACTATCAAAAGAGAGTTTGATATAATTGCTTCGCCCGTGGCCCTAAGACTAAATTCTTTTCAGTAACCTGTGGGCTTCTTTTCCCGAACTCAAAGTTGAAAGTTCGGAGACCCAAGTCCACGTTACTTTTTTGGGACACTTCTAAAAATTCTTAGCTCCAGCCTAGGCTTTTCTTTTCTTTGCTGCTCATTCGAGCGTTCTAAAACCAAGTTCGTGACTCATTTCTCCGTCCCAAAAATAACGCTTATTTTCGTACATTTGTTTGTTCTCTGCAAAAAGACGCAAAATTTCCAAATCAAGTTATTCTCACTGGAGCAAATATGCTTCACCATGAATAATTAATGGTATAAGTGTATGCAGCAGGAGAATAAATAGCGGAAAATGATGTGAGAATAAACTTTTTTCGTCTATTTTTGTTCCAAGAAAAGCTAAATTCGTCGCCTACGTAGGAAGACACGGTGGCGGTGTAGATGAAGCTCAAAATTTTGAAACAATATGAAAAAAATATAATTACAAGGTAATAAATGCTGCATTTTTTTGGCTTATTATTATTCGAGCTTTTTTCTCAAGTTTTGAAAAAACGAACGTTTCTTGTCGACGCATTTGAGAAGGACGCCTTCTGTGAACAAATTGCTTTCCTGGATAGAATGGCACTCGGCGATCGCCTTCTCATAAGCTGGATCTTCCTGGACGAACCTGCAAAAATATCGACTGAAACTTGAAAGTTATTCAATCAGTCGAATATTATTCTGAAGTCTTTCTACCACGTCTCCAAATCACTCCGAAAAACTGTATTAAAATAGGTAAGAGTTGAATAATCACGACGCTTTTACTAGCTGACATTTTTTTCAAGATTTTTTCTAATTCTATCATACTTCTATTGTCTTGACATTCGTTATATTCTAATTTCGGTTAATCAATCATTTGCCCAACTATCTTTAAATGAAACGTCATTTGCCAACTTTCTAATAAAAGGACTTCTGGAGGCAATCCGATCCGCATCCTCATGTCTCCGCCGTCCCAAAAAAGGTCGCAAATAAAAGGTTCGCGTGGCCAATTAGAGACATTTAAACTGAGAGTAACTGGACACCGTATAAGGACGGAAAAAAAAACATTTCCTCATTTTTTCTCTCAAACTTTTCAAAAAAGGAAAGGCGGTCATGGGTGCGTGAAAACAGCTCGAATTTCGTGAAGAGAAGGATTTACGGCGGGAAGCCAGAAGAAAAAAGTTTCCGCATTTCATGGTCTGCCGGCCAATCGGACATCATCCGTCAACACGCTGCTTTTCCTTCCTTGGCAGAGAAAAGTTGGTGTTTTGAAGGAAATTCATTAAGGGAATCGGTTTCAAGCTGGCAAATATGACATATTATATGAGAGAAAAAATCGAGGGAAACGTTTTCCTCTTATTGTGAGTTCCTAGTTGAAAACTTTACGTTCTTTCCCTTTCTGAATATTAAACTACTTTCAAAAATATGTGGTTTTTTTCAAAACAGAATTTTTCTTACTGTATATCAAAGAAATAAAAAACGAGTTCTATGACATTCTTTTCCTATATTCAGATCTGTTTTTCTTACAGTTTTTGATCCAAAAAAATAATTTTAATAATAAACTCGTTATACCTACTTTTCCAATTAATTTCCTCTCAACTCCTAAAATACAAGAAAACTTCCCCTGCGAACGGTTTTTTTTTTCAAACATAAAGTCCGAAAACCTATTCGAAATCTCCAAAAAACGGCTAAAACGTTTTTTTGAACTCCCTCGCCAACTCCCAAGAGTGCTCTTAACCGAAAAAGAGAAAGAAAAACGAGGAAAAACGATGAGAATTGATGCAAATGACATTCAAATCCCGATCTCTTCACGCCGATTTCTTACTTCAGTTTTCCCTGCAGGCAATATAATAAAACGTGAAAAATCGAGAATCACAATGAAAACAATTTTTATCTTGCAAAGATTTGACAACGAAAGAAAATTTTCTACTAATCTTCAACTTTTCAAAAAACCTTGTTCTTGACAATTGCCTTACCCATAGCTGCAACCGGGCTCCTGAGCTCCGCCAACAAAGCCGATCAACGACGACACTTCCGTCATCTCGTTCTCACTGACCAGGTCGATCACTTCCTCGCTCTTCTGCAAAGTCAACTAATGGTTGAAAAATGAAATTAGATGTATAGAAGGATTAGTCTGAACTAAAAAAAAAAAATCTTTTTCAAAAAAAAGGATAGAGATGCGTAGGGATAACTTTTACGAATAGTCCAGACAGAGGCAGAGATAACTCAAAAGCTCTTCAGAAAAAGATGAACTTTTGTTTGAATTTTCTCTTAAAGTTTAGGTGCCAACAATTTTTCGGATTTCTTGATTTCATGAGTCACGCTTGCCTAGCAACTTCGTGTAAGCAGTTTCTGCAAATAGTAAATTTCCCTTGCGAAATCGGCTGCAATCCTCGATTTTCTAGTCTTTTCGTTTCAGAAAATTTCAAAATATTGACATTTTTATCATTTTTTGACTTTCTGTTCTCACTAATTGTGTTTTAATTTGAGAAAATCGACGTCTAGCCTCGCTTTCACTAGTTTCATTTCTTCGTTCAAAGTTACTTTGAGGAGGAAATCGAATTAATTTGAGTCGAATGGAAAAAAACAAAAAAAGAACAAAGAACAGTATTTCATCATCATTTGACGACTCTGATTGGTTTTTTTCGTTTTGCCTTGAGAGTTACTTAGCGATAGAAATCTAGTTTGTCTCAATGAATTTGAGAGGAAACAAAATACAAAAAAAAAATAGAAAAAAGGATAATTGGTTTTCGTTTTCGTACGAAGTTCATCTAATTCTAGAGTTCTTAAAACAGAACAGTTTTGACCCTTAGATGGCCACATGTGAAACGACTAGTTACTTTTAAGAGCGCCCGGCCGAAAACGACTTTTGCATGATAGTAGCGGATATTTTTGAAGCGAGCTTCTGAACTCCTAACCCGTTAGAACAGATTTGAACCGTGCCGCTCTAAGCCATTCAAAGTTCGAACGCATATCCAAACATGTGGTCGATTAAAGTATAGAACGTATAGATACATAAGTTTAGAATTTCCCTAGATATGCGAAAAAAAAAATAGCTTGAAGCTCAGTTCGAGCCTTATTTCCTTATTTTCTAAGAATGTATCAAAATGATGAGACGAACCAAGTAATAGTCGACGTTCGTGACAGGCGGCATTGCTGTTCGCAAATAGGGAATTTGGTAAGAAGCCAGATTCGTTAGGCGACCAAGTTAGGACGCCAAAAAGTGTTGAATGAAGGAAAAACTGCGAAGGAAGAGGACAACGCCTTCAAGCGGGGGCGGAGCCTCAGCTCGGACTCTGCGAAGGAGGCGGAGCTTTTGAGTTCTAGTGGTCACTAGAGAGCTCAGTGAAATAGTTCTGGAGTGCTCAGAGAAGCTGAAGAAGCTTCTTTGAGTAATAAGGTGTAAGAAAAAAGGTTTCTCTGGTTATGTTGTCCTACTTTGGGTTCTCAAAGCTAATAAACAACATTTTAAATTTTTTTGACAAATTCAAAAAAAGCTAGTAGAGCCTCTATAAAATTCACCAAATCGAAGCGATCATTTAAGAAACCCGCTGAAAGCTTTTTGGATTCCCATGGTTCTTCAAGGTCGCAAAAATCAGTATGAAAAATCAAAAAAGCTTTTTTTTTTGAGTTTTTTGGACCACGGTGACCATTTCTGATCATTCAATCTTCGACATGTTTGAAATGATCAAAACTTAATTATCGACCTTCACAAAAAATATTTAAAACAAATCTCCAAGCAAATACATTTTTTTTCTTTTTTTTTCGTACAACCATTCAAAACCCGCTTAATTGTTTCGTACTCTCAAAGAGCTTAGCCAAACAAGTATTGTATATTATATACATTTTTGCGTTCTCGCCACTTCTCCGGATGTACATAACGCCATCTAAGGCGCGCTATACATCCGGTACAACTTTCCGGTTTTTTTTCTTATTTTTTTCTGCTTTTCGCATGTTTGTTTGGTTTTAGGACTGGTCATCATTCCAGAAAGAGATTAGGATTTAAATTTATTAGATTAAAGAGATGAGATGAACCTAGATGGATGCATGTGAACTAATAAAACATTAAAAATCATTTTTTTTCGACTGGAACATTTTCAGTTGATTATCCTAGCGTTTGAAAAAAAATGTATTCAGAATCTACTTTTATAGTCTAATCTCTAGCGCCTTTGTCGCGTGTGGAATGGCTCGACGCGTTGCGAAAAAATTTCATGAGAGTTGGACCAGAAAAGTGTGTGCGCCTGGGAATCAAAAAATGATAGAACAAGCTTCCAAGATTTTTTTTATGATTCTGAGTTCCGTAATGCAAACGCGTCGCTTTGAGATATTCCAATAGCTGTCAAGAAGATTTCAATCTTCAAAATGAAATTTAACACTAATATTCGAAAGAACGTTGAAAAAAAAAAAGTAAAAATAAGGGAAAAAGTTACTCGATTCGTCCCGATAATCTCAAATTCTCCTAGCACTCAAAAATTCCATTGTTTTTCGTGCAATTTCACTTTTATTTTCAACAATACTCGAATATTCAATGCTTCTGATCGTGTCATGTTCCAGCTGGGGGCAAGTTCACAAAGTAAAGAAAAACTATTTTTTTTTGTCGCCTTCGAAAAAAAAAATTCAATCGTCATTTCTATATTTTTTTCTCTCTTTATTTTGACCTGAAGAACTGAAAAAACAATTTCAGACTAGAATCATAAATAATTCTAAACTTGGGCTAGACACATATGTGTCTATTTCAGGCCTTAAATTCATCTTTTGAAAGAAAAAAAAAAGGAAAGGAGTTGAAAAAGTTGGCCATTTTTCCCGTTTCTGAAACTGTGTCCCACTTTTTTTGGACATATATCATATACTCTTTAATAAAGCCGATTCCACGTTTTGAGAAAAAACTTAGTTTTTTTAAAGCTTTTTTTAAAATTTTTCTTGCATTTTCCTTTCAAAGTATTCAACTGAAAGCCGAACAGATTTCTTCTTGTTTTGCCGAACTTATATTTTCCAGCATTTTTCAAGTTATCAATTCAATAGAGTCTATTGCAATTTCAGAAGCCTAAAACTCACCCTATACTTAATTAAATTAAATTGTTAAACCCTTTATAAAATCCCCGATATTTTCAGTACAGAACTCAAAAAAAAAACAGAAGAATGTAGCGATTTCACGCAGCCCTAGAAAGGGGAAGCGAATTCGAGGAAGTTCAACGAGTCGGAAAGCCGCGGAAGAACGTGTAGGGAAAACGAGGAAAAACACACTATCATATGCACCACACAATCATCGTGTGCACCCTCGCAATGCGGAATAAAAAACGACGACAAGAGAAGAGGAGAGGGAGGCGAAATTCGATTTGGCCGTCATCTCCTTCTGTTTTATTATTTCTTTCTCTTGTTTCACACTTCCTTTTTTTGTTCATACAGGGGGGTTATTAGCTCATACTTCAAAAAGCAAAGGAAAGGAGGCTCAAAGAAGATCAGAGCTTATGAGATGTCCGTTCAGAAAGCTAGAGCTTGTGAAAAAAAGTCCGAAACGGGCAGTCTGCGACCTCGAGTAGAATGGCTCAATGCGAAATCCCTGCGAAGCGGACGCTATTTCAAGTCTAAGAATAAATGTTTTTCGATTTTTATTTTTTTTCCAAGTTTGAAGGTTTTTCTATTCTGGGTCATTAGAAAGAAATGTGTCATTTACTGTTTTTTTGCGGATCAACTATCCATTTTAAGTTCAATGAAAGACAAAATTACAATTTAATAATAAATTTAAAAAAACCACTCTATTCCGATTTTTGGCTTTCTGTGATGTGATCTAAACTTTCACTCAAAAAAACAAAAAAATCGGAAAAAAATTATAGGTAATAAGATTTTTAGAGAGAAAAATTAACGGCAATTCGATCTAACTCATTTCTCTTTCTGTTTTTGAGACAACTATTTTGATTTGAAGTTTTTCTAATCTGAATTGAATTTTCCAAGAACAATCTTATCTAATAAAGTGGATAGTAATGTGATTTACTGACGAAAATAAATTCTTTAAAAATTAACTTCTCTGTAGTGCTGCATGGCTCATAAATTACATGAAAATTATCAGAAATATTCTAGTTCACTTTTTTTACAATATTATTCAACGGTATTAAAACGATGAGGAATCAAAATATTTTTCATTAAAAAAGCCTAGCGATTTCCTATCAAGTGTGACGAAGCTTCTTTTTTTGAACAGAACCTAGGAAATTACCCAGTTTTTTCTCCCTTGAAATGACTCAGGATAATTGGAAGAGATAGGAAAATGAATGAAATAGAAAAAAAGAAGGTACTTGAAGATGAGGCTAATGAGATGTGCAGACGTGTTTCTGGAGAAAAAAAGCGTGGGAGTTAAAAATTTCTGAACTTTTCAATCATAACTTTTATAAACCAAAAAAAAAACCCGAAAAAAAGTGCTATAGTTAAAAAAAGTTTGAAGGTGAAAAATGAAAAAAAGCGCCAATGTGAAAAAAATTTTTAAGAAAAAAATCCTCAGATTATCCGATTTTTTTAAGCGCCAAGATACAAACTGTGTGTCCAATCCTTCATATAAGTAATTTTACTGGAAATTCCCTGCTATATGATTTGAAAAACGGGTTCCGCTTAACTTAATCGATTTTTTCTTGGTAATTTTACAACATGAAATCTATTCAAAAACTCGCAAATCGCATTTTAAACTTAATTAAGCTCAATTTAGATTCCAAAAATACAAAAGTCGAACTACACTACACTTTACTTCTTTCAAGCGCAGAAAAAATTCGAAAACAACTTCAAATTCAAAAATTCGGTCGCAGTGGGAATGGCTGAAATTGGACCGGATTGCGAACGCGTTGAGCCGTTCCAAGTCTGCCCAAATGTTTAAAGACACTTGACAGTAGCTATCAATCATTATCATTTTTTTTCGAAAATAAAAATCAATCTTGACTTATACAAACAATTTATCTGCGTAAAAAAGTGCATTTATATAATTTCATTTGCAAAAAAAAAAACATTTCTGCAACAAACTCAACTCCACTTCCTCCTCCTATTCGATGAAAAAAGACCAAAGTTTGTCCTATTATTCCGGACAAAGCGGATGTTCAAACAATTGAGGAAATTCGAGTACTCGAACAAGGTTTTAGAAAGAGCAAAAAGGGGGAAAAACTGAAGAAGAAGAAGAAAAAAAAGAACGAGGGACAAGAAAACAATGCCAACGCGTACGCGTAACCAAATACGGAACCCAAAAAGGAAAATCTCTCTTTTTCTGGTCAAATCCAAGGTTTTTCTTTTTGAGACTAGTTAAATTTTTAAATGAAATATTTCAACTTAAAAGTGACCTCAACCATTTTTTGGTTGAGAAAAATCTTTCAGCAACTTTTAGAACAAATTCCAGCCATCGAGGTGGAAAAGCAAGAAAATGTGAGACAAAAAAAGATTAGATCTATCTCAAATACAACAAAAAAATGTTGAAAAATCACGATAAATAGAGTATTCTCATGAACAATAAAAAATGAAAAAAATTTTTGAATTAAACTTTTCAAATTCATTTTCGTATGTCGATACCGTATTGAAAAAAACTTTGAAAAGCCTCTCAACTTAAAAGAAATTGAAATTAGTTTTATGCAGAATTTGAAAAAAAAAGCCAATGGAAAAATGATTTTTCAAAAATCCTTTACGCTTTTATTTCTTTCTCTAGCGCAAGAATAAATGAGCTGAATGAATATCCAAAGGCTTCAAAAACGAGAAAACGCCTGAAAAACTCAATCGCTCAATCTCTCATGTAGCCGCTTATGCAGAAGGAATCGTGACGGCCTTCCAGTTTTGTATCTTAATACTGAGAAATGAAAATTTTTCTCGAAAAAAACAGGTCAAAACAAGACAAAAAATTTGTGGCTACTAAAAGCCACTGACGAAATTTTCCTCTCCCATTTTTTTTTCCTTGGTTTCTCGCCATAGTAACACGCTTTTCTCAGCAAGACCGATTTAAATTGAAAGAAAGGAGGGGAAAAGACAGCTGGAACAAAAGAAAGGCCTCTCACGTTTTTTTTTTTGGTTCAAAGATCAAAGTTTGCTGCGAAAATGAAGTTTATATACAGAAGAAGCATTTGGATCGCACTTGTAGTCCATAAATGTAGAGAAAGAAGTTTGTGGCTCAAAACTCTAACTCTCAGAAACACA